GGCTCAGTGGAATTCACTGGTTATTGAGAATGGATTGTTAAAGCGCACATGGGAAAGTGCGGATGGCAGCACAGTAACAACTCAGTTACTGGTACCAAGGAAGAAAGTTACCCAGGTATTGGAAGAAATTCACGGTGGTAAAACTGGAGCCCATCTTGGGGTAAACAAGACCTTGAGCAAGCTGAGAGATCGCTTTTACTGGGTGGATTATTGCGAAGATGTCAAGAAATGGTGTCGACAATGTAAAATTTGTGCAGCCAGCCAAGGACCAAGCACTCGATCTAGGGGAAAAATGAAACAATATAACGTTGGACTGCCATTCGAAAGAATCGCTGTTGACATTGCAGGCCCATTCCCTGAAACGCACAAGGGCAACAAGTACGTTTTAGTGGCGATGGATTATTTCAGTAAATGGCCAGAAGTTTTTGCCATTCCAAACCAAGAAGCATCGACTGTAGCTGAAGTATGGTCAATAATGTCTTCAGTAGATTTGGAATTCCCTTAGAGCTTCACACTGACCAAGGAAGGAACTTCGAGTCAAGACTGTTCCAGAAGATGTGTGATCTGCTTGGTATTCACAAGACTAGGACAACAGCTTTACATCCGCAGTCTGATGGGATGGTCGAAAGATTCAATAAGACCATTGAAGAACACCTCTCGAAAATGGTGGCCGAACATCAAAGAGATTGGGATCAACACATACCGCTGTTCCTAATGGCGTATAGAAGTGCAGTTCACAACACCACCGGACTTTCACCATCGAAGATTTTATTTGGTCGAGAATTACGGTTGCCTTGTGACTTGGTGTTCGGATCACCAGACGACGGCACCACAAATGTAGAGGACTACGCGGATGAACTGAAGGAAAGGTTAATGGAAATTCATAAGGCCGTAAGAAGTAAGATTACGCTAGCCAGTGACCGGATGAAAGCTCGTTACGACCTCAGAGCCAATTCTACGGGATTTCAACAGGACGATATGGTATGGTTATATAACCCACAGCGCAAGAAAGGGAGGTCCCCAAAGTTAACTCCAGCATGGGAAGGTCCTTATACAGTCATCAAGAGGATAAATGATGTTGTGTACCGGATTCAACGCAGCCCTAGAAGTAAGATGAAAGTAGTTCATCTGGATCGATTGAAGAGATTCAGACAGGAAACCTTGATCGGGACGATCAAATTTGAGAAGGGGGCAATGTCAAGAAAAATGGCGCATCCGCCAGAAATTAAAAATGTATTACTGGTTGCCTGCACAACCGCAACGTATCCGCCAGAAATTAAAAGACTTTTTCAGGCGCCATCTTTTAGTCAAGTCGAGAAGTAAGGGAATCAGACAATAGAATTGTCTGGTATGAAGAAGTACGCTTTCCGAGAATTGGAGAAGTTTCGAGAAGCAGTCAATAGAGTATATAAGCCGGAGCCATCGACAACTGAGACAGTTTTTGAAATTTGAATATACCGCGTGGAAATTGAAAATCGGACAATTTGGTGAAGGAATCTTATAAATAGTTAGTTTGTTGTGTGTTATAAGTTAGTAATTGTGTATAAAGTGAGAAAATAAATTCGTTAAGTATTTTATCGTGAGTTTAAATTAGTGGACCCACGGAATCCGTAACAATAGTTTTACTTTGTCAAATAAAAATTAGATGCAGTGTTTATTAAAGAGTTAAATACGGAGGCTCTATCTACAATCTTAATTAGGCATAGAAAATAAAGTTCTTCTACCCTGGGTGACAACCCACTAAGGGAGAGAAGGTAACAAAATAAAACAATAAATCACCACCATACACCAAAACACTTTTACTTTTACACTGGACGCGCGTTTCGCTAACCATGTTAGCATCATCAGCAGATGATTAAAATCTAAACTACTATCTACAATTTGAGAGTTTATATACTCGCTCAGTGGGCACCGAGTGGGCGTGGCAAGATCTAACCGAGTCAGAGCCCACCGAGCGTAACAGTTAGATTTCCGCCAATAGAGAGTAGGAACAAAGAACTTGAAGGAATTGGACCCTTGTCTCTGTTCATACTATCTTTACATTTTAAATTCTGATGCTTTCATATGCATCTAATTGCCTGTAATTTGAGACTTGTTGAATTAATTTGTAGTCTGTATTGTTATGCTAAAAATTCTGTATTGTATGTGATAGTAACGATAGGTATTTAGAATCGAATAAAATACTCGTTACTTAGTAACGAATACATACGATTCGCTATACCTCTAATTGCGAGTCCCAGCCGTATGTTACCTGTCCCGGACCGAAAGGACTGAAAGGAACTACAGGAACTAATTAAAAGACTAGTTCACGGGAATCTATTCAGTTGGCAGATCCGAGATATAATACACGGCGACGACGATGGATTCGGCCTTGTCTATTGCCACAGCCGGCGTTGAAGTTGAATACTGGATACTGTTTAAGTATCCACGACTTTGTTTAGTTGAATATTTTATTTCACTTTGGGTCCTTAAATTAAGGAATATCTTATAAAACGAAGTAGATATTCTGAATTTTTAGACAAAAACAAAAAAATTGAAGTGAGGAAAAAATGCATTTTTTAGTCAAATTTTCGTATTATTTGCTCCAATTGATTTGTGATATAGTATTTTAAACTCTGATTTGAGTCTCTCTTTCATTTTTTTAGCCGATCATACCAACAGGTATGGTAGGCTATTACAATCGGTTTTAATAAATTCGATTAAGAAAAAGTTTTTTTAATTTCACTCAAAATGAGTTTCAAAAATGACCTAAATACAAAATATTTTCATGGTGTCTGTCTGTCTGTCTGTCTGTCTGTCTGTCCGTCTGTCCATACTGGGGCACCCGAGAAGCTGGCCATTAGTTTTTGGTGGGGGTAGGGGGTTGGTAAGGGGGTATGGGAGAGGGTTAAAAATTTTAAAAAATCGTAACTCCAAAATTACAGTAGCTAGCGAAAGGCGGTTTTCAATTTAAAATTAGGAATAATATCCACAATAAAATTTGTAATAACATCAAAGTCAGTCAAAGTCGCAGTTTCTTAGATAATTGAAACTAAAAGAACTGCCTACCAACTTTTTATTAACATATTTTAGTATGGGCGGCTATACGTGCCTCCCGGCGCCAATTTTTTTTATCTGCAATAAAACTTACCTATATGTTTTAAACATACGCAATTACACGTCCTTTGTTTAAACGTACATTATAAAAATTATACAGATCATACTGTGAATAGTTCTGACTGACAACGAAACCCATTAGGGAGCAACGGGGATGTCAATGTTAGTCGGGAATAACTATTGTGAACTAAAGACCTAGTTCAAGGAACTATTCCTCTGGAGGAAATAGAACTAAGGAACTAGTTCCTCCCAAGGAGAACTAAAATTCCCACCTCTATCTCAATAGATTGAAGCTAAGAAACAACGGCTATGCAGATTCAAGCTCAACCTGTATCAAGGAAGTCTTTGCTGCAGACTCTGCGATAAAGATCGTGAAACAGTGTAGCACATAATATGTCATTGCGAGGCTCTGGATCGCAAGCGATACATTTTATTTGGATAAGCTAGGCTAGAACCGGAGGAACTACGCTCCCATCCTATCAAGGACCTGCATAAGCTAGTGCAGGGCACAGGGATAGGAGAATGGGTGCAGATATAGAAGGGGGACAAACACAATAGGCCTCACAGGTCGCAGTGTTTCCGGCAGAGGACGGCCCCTTGTTATGGAAAAAAACTTCTCCCCTCCCATTCAATCTACATCTACATCTCTACCTATTACGTGCAAACGTTTTACAGCCTAAACATTTTGCCCATCCGTTATTCCATATCTAATTCAGGTCGATGCATCAGTAATAGGCGCCTAGGCTGTCCGTGTATGCCAGGACCATAATTACAAAATTTATGCGCGCCAAACTTTCGAGAAGAGGTCGTAACCCATCCGGCGCCGTCGCCTGCATAAACAAAACAGGGCCGAGACGTTTATAGAACGTCGGGCTCTTATTCCAGGCTCTTTCTCTGCTCTCTGGAGAGCTACAGGTTCGGAATTTCGAGCGAAACCGCGAGAATTTTTCGGCCTGGAAATGACCCAGGTTAAATATTAAATTGCTGACCCTGGCGTTCAGTTGCGGTGGTTTATTTAAGAGATACCTGCAAATGGGTACAAAGACGGTGAAGGTACGGTGTAACGAGTACAGCAAATACCTGAAACTGTTTCTGTTCGATTTTTATGAGTTTCTTGGTGCGACTATAAAAATAAAGCTATGAGTAGAAAGAGACGATTTATTTTTTCTATCTTGTGTAAAAATTTATCTATATTTTGTATTCTATCATTTTTTTAGTTCAGAGTGAGATCTGATCAGACTGATATCTGATCAGTAAATCAGTAATCCAAAGAGTGCAACACTTATAGAGGTGTGTAGTTTGTGAACGAACTAGTTCCAATGAACTATTCCGACCCCGGAATGAACAGAACTAGTTTCAGGTTTCTCAAAGAACTAGTTCCTCAGGACCTATTCCGGGATCGAGACTGTGACCGATATATGCGACGGCGACGGATCGGCCAGCGCGCGTAGCCCGATGCTAGGCAGTAGTGGGAAGTCTCAGCCGTATCTTATCGGATCCGGACCTAAAGGAACTAGAGGAACTAAATAAAAGACTAGTATATGTACGGATCGACCAGCGGGATTGATGCTAGGCACAGATCGAAGCTTTCCGAAAACAGGATCCGGACCTAGAGGAACTAATTAATAGACTAGTTCACGGGAATCTATTAGTCGGCAGATCCGAGATATAATACAAGGTGACGACATTGATTCGGCCTTGTCTATTGCCACAGCTGGCGTAATTACCACAGAAAATTGTCGTGGATATTGTTTTTGATTTATAGTTCGTTCTTTAAATATTTTATGAGAATGTTTCCCACTTTAGGTCCCTAAAATTAAAAAATATCTAACAAAAACAAAAAGCTTGAAGGGAGGAAAAATGCTATTTTTCGTAAAATTTTCTGTTTTTTGTCTTTTTGGTAGGCAACGCAGAGGTGTACATCATCCTGGCCCTCTTGATCGGCGTGGTGACCGTGGTGATCGGCTGCTGGCTCTCGGACAATTGCTGGTCGCCCGATCCGGAGACGGGCGGCGCGGTGACGCTGGCCTGACCGCCGCCCAGGGGCGTCCCCGGCTTGGGGGACCCCCGCGACGTTGCCGGCGCCACCGTGGTGGACGTCTCTTCGGGCGACGACGACGAAGAGTGCAACTCTTCGGGTGGCGGGGGCGGACGCTCTTCCAGTCCGGAGAGCGACTGGCCCCTCGTAGAGGTAACAGATTTATCTACTTATTTTTAAGTAGTTTACATTCTTACAGAATAAAATTAAATATTAAATGAAAAAGCACTATATTGAAATTAATGAAATAAAAGAATTTAAATGTTACATTACACTGCACATCATCATGACAGTTTTTTGTATCGTTTTTACCTTGTCATGGTATTGTAATATTATGACACGTCATTCAATGACATTTAATTCATGGCGTTACATAGCATTACATGACATTACATGACATTACATGACATTACATGATATTACATGACACTACATGACACTACATGACATTACATGGCATTACATGATATTACATATTACATGGCATTACATGACATTACATGACATTACATGACATTACATGACATTACATGACATTACATGACATTACATGATATTACATGGCATTACATGACATTACATGACATTACATGGCATTACATGACATTACATGGCATTACATGGCATTACATGACATTACATGGCATTACATGACATTACATGGCATTACATGACATTACATGGCATTACATGACATTACATGACATTACATGACATTGCATGACATTACATGACATTACATGACATTACATGACATTACATGACATTACATGACATTACATGACATTACAAGACATTACATGACATTACATGACATTACATGACATTACATGACATTACATTACATGATAGTAGGGTCTAGTAGCATAAAAATGAGACACGCCATATTTCAGTAAAAAATTATAAAACTGCTGAAAATTTTTATCCAGTCAGTTTTCAATTTAGGTTTCTGCATAATGTTCTCTTAAGGGTACTTATATATATTTATAGTTTTGCAATAGTTCCGTTTCCATAAAATGTCTTTTTATAGAAGAAATACTCTTTGGTATTTAAACGGTTGTAACTAAGAAAAAAAACTAAAAGATTTGAAAAATTTATTATTTTTACACCACTTGACCCTACATGACATGACGCGATAAACGTTCGAAAAAACTACTGATGCTAATCTTAATTGTCAATGTAGGTATCCGAAAGAGATGTGCTGAACCCCTGACACCACGCCTTGTGCGAAAAGAATGGTGCCGTGCTCATGGGTGACCACTCGCCCATCGAGGAGTGCGAGCTGCACAAGACCACCATCACCAACCTGGCTGCCACCGCGCAGCAGCAACTGCTGGAGAACGGCCACTGTTGCCAGATACTGATGCCGGAGGACAACAAGTGCGAGGTGCACGACGGCTGCGCAGCTGTCAACGGTGTCATCTACGACGTGTCGACGACGTTGATGATGGGCGGCGTAAGGGGGGCCGGCGAGGACGCGCTGGGGAGCTGAGGGTGCGATGGGCTAAGTGGTGAAAGTATGGACTGCTATCGAATCAATGTTTGTGTCTCGTGAAGAGATGGTAAGGGGGATACTATTGGTTGGAGGTAATTAAAGATTAGACATCAACAGGAAAACGGTAATAATAAAATTACATTTGATTTTTAATACATTGGGGTGGCTCTAGAGATATAGAGATAGGGGGTATGAGCACGCATAGTGATGTAAAATTACCAGTAATTTATAAATCGGTAATATTACGGTAACATTGGTAATTTATAAAAAGACAGATTTTTAAATGATATTATTTTATTATTTCAAAACTATAAAAATATTACAAAAAAACAAAAACGTTTTTTAAACTAACTAGAGTCAGAGTGGTCTATAGTACATAGTACGTAATAGAGTAGATAATGGTAAATCACACCCAATCTCGTCATCTTGTTCTTCTTTCTCTTTCGTTAATAAAGTCAAGTCTATTACTTTGAAATCAATATATTCTTCTTCCATTTCTTTCTTAGCAGCTTCTCTCATTCTTGGATGTTCTTCTCCATTTAGTAAATTATAATTATGGGCAATATAAGTAAGTTTTCTGGCCCTTTATTTCCATGGTAATAAGTCTGTCTCTTCTTGGCCAATGAACAAATCCATAAAGGCGGATTGACATAGTCAAAGTTACTTGAACCAAGTACACTTGGATGACGCCTATGATTAATGCTGCACGTGTCTCACTACTTGTACGCTGCTTGTATAGTATTGACTGTTTGATCAAAGTCGAGATGGAGGACTTTTTAACATCAAAGTTGCACCAAAGTAAGTAGATTGCCTCATTAAGTACTAAAAGTTCTTTCGGTTGCGGCTGTGGACGATGATAAATTTAAAATGTCTAGAGCACCTTTATCTATATAGTCTAGAGCCAACATACTTATTTAGAGCTGGGCAAATGAAAAAAAGCAATATTTCCAAAATTACCGGTAATATTACCCTTTACATCACTAAGCAAGCACGATATGCCCAAAAATATATACCGCGTGCGTCTTAAAAGTGGCTCACCCCTACAACTTTTTTAACAAAACGAAATTTGGTATGTTAGTATATGACATAAATTAGGATTGATTTGCGTATTCAATTGTTTTTGGGCACGTCCTATTTCACCGGAAATGACTACAACTTTTGATTTTTAAATCAACACCCTCGGTATTTTTTTACTTTATTCGATAAAATATGACACTGGATAAAATGACATACCATATGTCAATTTTTGACATTTTCGCATATGGCAAAATACCAAGTGTGTAGTACCAAATTATTCGTAAAAGAATGCTTTTTTCGAACTTGTGCTAATGAGCCACACTCGTTCCATTTGAAAAAATTGAGATATGATACAATTTGGGCATTTTCTAACCGACCAGGAAAAGACACGAAAACCATTAGACGATCAAATCTATTTTCCCAAGGCTCCTTGATTAAAAATTAGTGTGTTTTTAACATAGCCATGACGCTCTAGATTGAAATTTAAAAAACAATTTTTTTAGCGAGAATATCAAAAGTTGACATATGATATGTCATTCTATTCAGAATGTCATTTTCTATGGAATAAAATAAAAAAATACGGAGAATGTCATTTAAAAATGATGTAAAGCAGTCTTTCTCCCAAAAAAAAACTTATACTCTGATATGTCTAATCTTTAATTAGCTTTGCAATGATGAAAAGTGAAACTTACCGTAGCACCCTAAAGCAGTAAAACAGAAACTTAGTACCACCCAATTGTGTTTGACTAATATATGTAAAAAAAACCCTTAAATGTGTAATCCACCACGGTTATCCTCACTATGCGTGTTTTTGAAGTCGATTTCGAAATGAATAGAAGTTAAATATGTCAATTATTATCTACCTATGTATGTATACATTCCTAGTCATTGTAAATGTAGACTTGATGTTTAATGTCGATTTGATACTGGATACCTATAGTTTAATCGCTTGTAATATCTAGGACAAGTATCAATAAAAAAGGTTTTGATAGATTTAAATTTACAGTCTTAATTTTTTTAGTATACCTAAAGTATTTTCTATTTCTCTTATCTCAAAGTTATATTTTCTCTGATATTATTCAGATTGTAAAAGTAAATTTAACAAAACCTTAAATAAAAAATGCTCAAAATAAAAATTGTTATTGTTTATGGTAAATTCAAATTACTTCGTTAGTGTAAGTACTGAGACTAAGGAAACTACTTTAAAATAAGACCTTTTTAGATATCTTTATACTAAGGGCTGGCAAAGGTTAGTCTTGGGTCGAGATTTCCGTATGTAAGAAGAGTACAATGCGTTTATAATGTACTGAACAAAGAGAGGACAGTAAACACGTTGCCAAACGTATGAAATAAACCGAGAAACTGTGCACATCGCCAAGAGACGTGGAAGGGGATATAGCAGATTTGTCGCAGTTGACCAGTCGACCCAATCAACAATCAATACCTCTCTCAGTACTTAAAGTTCTAGGGAAAGGTGTACGTCGTGCGTTCAGCTTCACGATTTAATTACGTCTCGTGATACTTAATTTGTTTATTTATTAACGAGTCGTTGTAATTTTCCCTATAGCATGAATTTTTTTTAAGTGCAAGCTAGAAACACTTGCATTTTTGGTAAAAATAAGTGGAATTGAGTGGGTGTTCGATAGTGGTCGCGCTATTAGAACTCTGAATTCAAAAATCGATATCTCGAAGTCTATTAGAATTAATAGATTGTAGTTTTTTCAAGAACTTTGTTAATATTTCTGCTGTATTTTCTTTGTAAACAGTATGTGAAAATCTTTATCAATAAAAAAATTACACGATTGCTGAAAATTGCTATGCTCTAAAAGTAAATGGATGGATTGTTTACAATTTTTGAATGGAAAAGACAACCTTATCGAATTTTTCTTATGTAAACATATTGTAAAATATCTGATCTTGAAAATAAAAAAAAGTTTCAATATCTAAAGTGGTTCTTGAGTTATGACCTGTTATGTGTTAAAAAGTTGAGTTCTTAAATTATCGCGATTACTGACATTTTCTCGTTATAAAAAAAATGACACCCTAACAATATCCGTATATAATTCCATTTCAGATGCTCAGAAACATGTCTAATGATTTTATCTAGTTATCTCTTGAAAAAAAAAGTCTTTTAAAAATAAGCGGTTTGCGGTCGTGATTTTACTTTGCTTGATAGGGAAAGGCGTATCGGCAACGCCGCAACAGCACACCGTCGCGCGTCGCGTCGGTCGGTCGCATTTCTCTCACTCCGACTTAATAAGATGCCTATGCGATTTACTTCCACACATGTAAATGCCGACCCAAAAGTAACAGTTGCCAGCACGGTATTTCTACATTCTTTGAAACAAATAATCCTTAATTTTTGGATTCCAAATATCAATTTTTGAGGAGAATTTGTAATTTATTAAAATTCTTTTTTTTATAGTATGGCCAAATAAAACATTTTTTTTCAATATGTCTAGTCCAAATATTTTGTACTCTCTAGACTATTTGAAGTAATTCTATCACTTCTTTTTAATATTATTTGTAAAAACGTGGTATTTTAAAAAGTTATTCTTAGGTCTCAGTCATATCAGCCTGCCTTCTTCTAGCTGTGCCTCTTCCAAAAATTTCTAAACAATTTTTCGTCGAAGGAAAAAGAAACATTCTGTATATATTGTCACAACACCTTGTGGTATTCGTCACAAGAAAAAAAAAACGTTAGACTGATTTTGGTACTAAAAAGAATGAGATAAACCTTAGATTAAATATACTATAAGATACACTACTACAAGTTTTGTTCGCGTGATAAGCAGATACCGTATGATTTAAAAAAACGGCGTCAAACACTGCCGGGAAATAACAATCGATGATAATGATGGCGATGCCAATCTCTAGAGGTCGTTTACAAAAAACTGACATAAAACTTGTCAAAAATTACATTTCTAGATACAGAAATCTATTCCCAAAAAATTATTTTTTCTCAGATTTTGAACTACACCATTTAAAAATCCTTACTACTTTAAAAAAATACAACCTTCTTAAGTCCAACTGTCAGTAAGCACCATTAAAAAATAAAAAAAGAAAAGTACAGGCCAAGTAATGACTTCTATGGCTTGATCTCGCCAAAATTATCATCGACTGTCATTCTCCAGCCCTCTTTGACGCCGTTTTTTTTCGATAATATGGTACTTGAACAATAAAAATCATTTTTTGTGAACTTTAATTCCTGCACAATGACCAACAGAGTTTTTTAAGTATACTGTATCTTTTCTATATATTTAATCTAAGAGCTAAACAAACAAGGACCATATAGATTTATAAATTTTGATTTTATTTATACTGTTATTTCTAAGGATACGTGTTTTGATGTAAAAGGAATTGAACTAAAATCACTCTAAATTTCGAAAAAAAAATAGATTAGATATCTGTAACACTAACGTGAATACTGATACCCATTTGCTTTAAAGGAACTGTCGTACTACCTAATTGTATGTTGTAGATAGACATATATAAAGACTGATTTAATCATATTATTAATTACTAAACAAAACCAAGGGGCTTAATCAACGATTAGGTGTTAATTTTATTTAATACAAGCCCGTAGGTTTGTCTTTAAAAAAATTCGGTTAAAAGTTACATATTATTGGGCGTTTTTCTGAACTGTTATCAATAGACACCTCTATAATTATCTTGTTTCACCATAAATAGAAGAGATTTTCCTCTTAAGGCTGATCCTCGCCTTTCAGTCTCACTGCAGCAGTCTAGATCAACTAAATGTATACAGGGTGTCCCACTTAAGATAGATACAAGCTAATATCTTGATTGTTTGTTGAGCGATCTTTTTCATTTTTGGCAGGAGGCTGTATGGCTATAAGACGTACATTTTGCCCAGGGTAAGAAATGCGATACCTCATAGACGTACGTTGTAATGGGGTTTAATATTTTTCATTCAAAGTCAAGAGTAAACTACCCTTAGGACAGTATTTATTTCAAATCTGATAAATTATATTGAATCCTCCTTACCTAAGATAGTTAAGTTCTAATTTTTATAAATATTGATACAGGGTGTGTCATTAAAATAAGACATTTTTATTTTTATGATTATTTTTTTAAGTACTTACGACGCCACTGGATAAACAACTGGTTTATTATCAATAACCAATTATAGCCAATTATCAATTAATAATCGATTTAAGTTTTCAGATAGCTTCCATAATAATTAAGATACGATACAAAAAAACTAAATATTTTCAAATTATTTTGTTTACTTTAAAAATTGTTTTTTAAGTTTGCTAATACAAATAAATAAAATGAGTTACAAAATAATTTAAAAACCCAGTTTCAATGGAATCTGAAATATGATTTTTATTCGTTTTATTGAGGAATATTTTAAAAAATCCAAACAGTTAGATATTTAAAACAATCACTATTAACTTTGGAAAATATGCTCTAAACAATTTTTTTTTGTATCGTATCTTAATTATTATGGAAGCTATCTGAAAACTTAAAACGATTATTAATTGATAATAGGTTATTGATAATAAACCAGTTGTTTATGCAGTGGCGTTGTAAGTACTTAAAAAATAATAATAAAAATAAAAATGTCTTATTTTAATAGCACACCCTGTATCAATATTTATCAAAATTAGAACTTAAGTATCTTGGGTAAGGAGGATTCAATATAATTTATCAGATTTGAAATAAATACTGTCCTAAGAGTTTACTCTTGAATCGAAAAATATCAAACCCCATTAAAACGTATGTTTATGAGGTATCGCATTTCTTACCCTGAGTAAAATGTACGTCTTATAGCCATACAGCCTCCTGCCAAAAATGAAAAATATCGCTCAACAAACAACCAAGATATTGGCTTGTATCCATCATAAGTGGGACACCCTGTATTTAGTTGGTCTAGGCATCTTTCGTTGATCTCCTAAACCTAAAATGGCTACAAAATTACCATCAGTGTCCTGCCCATTGCCATTTGAGGGATTTGACTCTGTGGATGACATCTATTAGTTGTTCAGTAAAAATGAACAAATCTATAGCTTTCACTTTCACTAAAAGTATGAATATACTGATTAATTTCGCTAAAAATGTAACAACGAATCAGTCAAACTGCTTCAGTGAGACTGGACTAATAGGTGTGGACCCGCCTTTAGAATCAACTGACTTTTTTTGAAAAATATAATGTGCCCAATAACTTGTACAGGATGGGTCAAATTCGACGCTTTTAAATGGAAACACCCTTTTCTATAGGAGATAGACGAAAACTAATATCGGTGTCTGGAGCTCAATTTTCATCAAAAACATGATGGTGAAAACCGCACGTCAATATCTGTTACCGTTTCGGAATTACGGGGTGTTTTTCAAAAATGTGCATTTTTAACAAAATCGGCTGTAACTTTTTTGCTATGGATTTTGTATTTCCATGAAAACATTTCCAAAGCACCTTTTTACGTAGAATTTAATGGTTTAAGTATATTTTTTTTAAATTAATAATTTAAGAATTATCAACAGAAAAATTGATTTTTTATTTGGGACACCCTCTATATTTTTAATTAACTGAAAAGAATTTAAAATTACCTTTCCAAAAATATAGCACACTTGATATTTTGTTACAATCCCCTTCGAAATACAGAATTTTTAAAAGTTCGCCACTTTTAACTAGTGTGCGCTGCGTAGTTAGATATTCTGTGCTAGTAGCTAGTACGCTTTGGACCCCTTATTGATGATATGCCCTTAATGGAACTCGAAAACATATTTTTCGAGCAAGACGACGCACCGCCTCTAAGCGCTGAAGTTATCAGCAAATTTTTGCAGCCAATTTCAAGAATAATTGAATAGCTAACCAAGATCCCAGCCGTTGGCCGTCGAGGCCGCCTGACTTAGTGCCCATGGATCTAATCCTATGGATATATTTGCGGAAGAATAAAGGTTCCTTATTCTTCCGTATAATCTAGACAAGAATTAGAAATACTTAGCAGTTATGAGAGGGTATCTTTCACCCCCACTGAGTTAATGAATTCCGCGAGACATGTTCAAAAACTGCCCCGTCTGTCCATAACAGAAGACGGTTGTTGATATGTCGAACCTGTAGCAAAATCTCATGTCTTGGTTTGCTATTTATTTTTATTGTTATTAGATATAGTTCAAATGTGTTGATGTTGGTTAAATATATTTTAAATTGTTATAAAATTCTGCATCTCTCATAGCAAATATTATTTTCGTTTTAATTGATGTTCACAGCTATATAGATTTTTTTTGCATTACAGCCGGTGCCGTTCAAAGCCTACTTATTTAAAGCGGGCGAATTTTTATATACTCTATATCTCGAAGAGGAATCGAGCAAAATATCAAGTGTGTTATATTTTTGGAAAGGTAATTTTAAATTATTTTCAATAAATTAAAAATATACAGGGTGTCCCATATAAAAAATCAAATTTTCTGTTGATAATTCTTAAATTATTAATTTTAAAAAAATTATACTTAAACCATTAAATTCTAAGTAAAAAGGTGCTTTGGAAATGTTTTCATAAAGATACAAAATTTTCCATGGCAAAAAAGTTACAGCGATTTGTTAAAAATGCATATTTTTGAAAAACACCCCGTAACTCCGAAACGGTAACAGATATCGATATGCGGTTTTCACCATCATATTTTTGACAAAAATTGAGCTCCAGACACCGATATTAGTTTTTGTCTATCTCCTAGAGAAAAGGGTGTTTCCATTTAAAAGCGTCGAATTTGACCCACCCTGTACATTTTATATCCAAATAATTTTTAAAACACTTTGATAAATAGGAAAAGTAAATTAAGCTATATTATTCTTCCTGATATTGATGATTATCTTTTATGATAGCTTATCACTAATATAAATCCGGCCTAAGTAGCAGACGAGAATGTTGAGCTCATACAGGATGTGTCATGCAACAAAATACATAAAATAAAATTACTTCAGAATACCTAAAGTTGTGAAGTAACTGAATTCTAAATTCCTTAATACATAGAATAATACTAACTTCTAATTGGCATACCCTGTATAATATTAATAAATACGTGTAAATAAAAGTTATAACACGGTCATTGCTGTTTTATCCCTTCGAAAATGACCCTATAAAAATTTAAACATCTCTAGGACACGCTTTTTTTTCGTATTGGTGCTTTTTTATTAAAATAAAGGGTATAATAAACCGTATATAGTTAGTATATAGATACATGTCTATTATGTACGGCATTGTATAGGGATCAATATTATAACCTAGATTAATACCAAGCCTTTTTAAATATGAGAAAAAAGAAATATTTGTATTTTTGCCTAGTTTTTGAAGTTTCAATAAAGGACAAATGACAGAAAAAGTGTTAAATAAGCTTTCAGTACCTTGTAACGGAAAAATACGGCGTCCAGTTGGCTTGGAAATGACTCGAAATCGTCTTTTCTCAGCCAACTTGACAGCGATTTTTTTCGATCATTCTTCAAAAGTTGTCCATCCTGTATATTGTGAACTATTGCAGTTTTTTGTAATATAACTTATTTTCTGAATTCTAAAAAAAAATATACATTCATCTTTTAATTCGCTAATGTTAAGAAATAGATAAAAACAAATATTTTTTGTAGTTAAACAGGCTTGGTAGTGTACCCAATATAATACTCATTGCAACGATATTTGTACCATTGTGTATATCTAAATAAAAACATACTGTGTGTAAGAAAGCTGTTTTATTTTTATTTTTATTTTTTTGTTCTGTTCACAGGCATTATATGTTAAAATTAAAAAAAACTCATATTTTCTTACTCTACTATCTGAAAAAACACAAATTAAATGTTAATGACGCGAGATAACTTCTGAACGCGCTGAAGCAATAAATCTCCTTGCTTCACAACCGAATTGAATTGTGCATTCTTTAAATCCGGCCTGTTTGTTTCCACGATCCCACCCACACGATCGATTTTACAATGAAGCCTTCCTGTTGCTATAAACGTAGATAATTCACTAAAAAAACACACAAAAAGAATTATATTGATATAAACATATTTTTTTGTATAGTTTACTCACTCATCAATAAACTCAGTTGAAACACCAAATGCTTCAGCCATGTACTGCAAGGTAAGACTTCTATAGGACTCCAGAAGCTGTGTATAAGCTAAAATTTTCATTTCCCTAACATAATACCGATAGTGGGGATTTAGAAAATAATCTTTTCTAAGAACTTCTTCAACTTTTGCTAAAATTCAAACAATATTTTAACAAAATATTCAATAATTCATACTCTGTACTAACCGAGATTTCCAAAAAACTCTGCATATTGACAATTATACAGTGAGAACAAATAATCTTTCACAAATGGTTCAGAATGTAGAACTTCCAATATTTCTGAGCCTTTTACAACCTAAAAACACATCAATCTTGAATAAAATTTATAAAGTTCATCTAAACTTACCTTATCTCTTAACTGATTACGAGGTAAACTTATAATCGAAGTATACACAGTGTACCTAACAAATGCTTTATAATCCATAAGTTCATACGAAGTAAAAGTACTAACGGTATCTAAGAACAAGTTTGAGGCAGTTTTGAAATCTCTTACAGCCATACAATAAGCTCCTTGATATACTTTTAACCGATTCCTTCTGTCCCAATCGCCTCCTTCCTCAATAAGACTACAAAAATTGTAAATAAAATAAAAAAAATTACTTCATAAACAAAACTTACGTTTTTGCTTTATCAATATTCCTTGTGATAACATCGTGATCCATAAAGAACAACCCGATTCTGATTAAATGGAAAATAATATCTAAACGATGTCCTAGAGAGACGGTTTTGTCGTATGTTTGTCTGAAGGTGCTTAAAGCGTTTTCTTTGTCGCCGATTCTACTGTAATACTCTGCTTTTCTTAAATAAGCTTCTCTTACTTCCATTTCGCCAAGATTTTTCTCTGCATCCTCAATAGCTTCGTTTAGTTTCTTCACTTGTTCATCGTTCTTCGCTTTGATGGTTTTCAACAATTTCTCGTCCAATTTCCAGCCAATTTCTTGACAAATTAAGTCATACCAAGGAGCCATATCTAGAATAAGTACTTGCACTTAAAAAAGCCCTATTTGGAAGTAAATTTAACAATATTTACCATCTTTTTTTATAGCTTCGGTGATTTTTGCATGGACTGTTTTGTCGTTTCGGTATTCTGGCAATGTAATCAAGAATTTGAAATGGGCCAATTCCAAATCGGGGTTCTTCTCCAACCCTTGGTCTTCCAGGTTTTCGATAGGCATTTTGTTGAATGTTTTTATTTAACAAAAAACTCGAGAGAAACACGAAATAAAATGACCAGCAACTTTTCTTCTGTCAAACTTTGGAAATTAGAAAATGTCAAAAATCTATAATATTTAGGCAACCAGTAATACACCATGTATATTAATTTTTTAAAGTGTCTAGTGGTCCGCCAAACGTATAAAAACTCTAGTTAAATAAGTCACTGCCTCTAATCTTGAATTTAAAAAAAATCCACTTCAGATTTGTTAAAACTAACTTTTACTTGATTTCCAGTTAAATAATATCTTAAATTATTACTTTAGATTGTGATTTCGGATAAAATTAATAAAAAATATGCGATTAGAGACAACAGACGCCAACTACCAGCGTCCTGTGACGTCATTTTCGACGCTTTCTGCGCGCGATCTCTAAAGACCGAATTGCGAAATGTAAATCATTGTTTTCCTGTAAATTCCAAGCATGTTTTGACTGAAGTTGATGTAATTTAAGTAAAATAGCATCTAAAATAGTCTGATCGGGGTAGAATATTTAAAAATCGCTTAAAAAAATGGTTTGTGCTTGTAAAAATCGGTCGAAAAAGTGCAGCAAAATACGGAACAGAAACAATATTAACAAAACGTGGGTGCACTAGAATGCCCGATGCATTTTTGGATAAACAAGGGAAATCATCAGGGGCATTACTGGCCAAGGGGTTGTTCTTTGGTTCGTCCCCCACCGGAAGCTGTAGTAGACTACCTTAGTAATATTTTTATTAAATATTATAGAGTGTCCCATTTTAGTAGCAATTGGGAATCTTTTCGTTTATTAATACAGAGTGTTTGAAAAAACATGTGCGTTACTAATAAGCGAGAAGACGCTCATTTGTAACCAAAATGGGTTACCCGATATTCATATACAGGGTGTTCCAAAATCGTTTTCCTAAATTATTGTTGTAAATGTGTTTTTCAGCTAGATATCAGTTACCTCGTCCTAGGGGATTGTATCCCAAGCCCATGGTAACGCCAGTCCGCAGATTTCAGTCCCTCGAAAGCGTTACCAACAACACACTGCGATATGCAAGGTCTCCATACCATCGTCCCAACAACAGATCCGCCGCTTCGAACAATCCACATAATATTTTATATTACCACAAGTAAATATTAAATAATTCTGTGTTATTATTGTTAATACTGATATACCAAAAAACGATGTCAAATTGGCTGGGAAATGACGATCGTTCACATTTACCATAAAAAAGGGCTCCATTTTTCTCAAATAGAGATTTGATTTGTAAATTAAAAAGAAGAAAAAAAGACTCAAAGTCTCGGTCTCATACATGTATATTAGTTTTAATATACAGGGTCCGGAAAACGGTAAAATACGAGAGAAAAATGATTGGGTGGCTTTGATAAAAATTTACTGTGGAAAATGCCATATAAAATTTAAAACCGCGAATATCTGCAAAACCGTTAAAAATTTTGAAATACTCTAAATACAAAAAATGTTAATTTTTTAATTCGCCATCTATTGAAAAAATAATATACAGGGTGTTCCATTAAAAAAAAAACGAAGAAAAATAATTTTATATTTTAGAAAGTTTGAAATATGGAACATCCTGTATGATTTACGATTACCAAATTTATAAAAAAGTAAGTACAACCAATCTAAAGTAAATACCTAATATAGTTTTGATTTCAGGACAGTTCTTGTATTTATAATAATTTTTTTAAGAAAGGATGAAAATATATACATATACAGGGTGGTCCGAATTATATTCCGGAAACTTCAGCAGCATATTCTGCAGATAAAAATAAGTAAAAAAGTTCGTATAAATATATGTCCTAAATTGCTTAGTTGGAAATACAGGGTGTAGAAGTTTCATTTTTATTTCGATCTTTTCCAAATAATTTATGAAATAACGTCAATATTTGGATGAAAATTGGTGCCTGGGAGTTTTTTGATACGAGAAATTTGATTTTGATGTCACACAATAAAAATGAAACCTGTATCTCCGAAACTAAGTATTTTAGGACATACATTTATACGAAGTTTTTTACTTATTTTTATCTGCAGAATATGCTGCCGAAGTTTCCGGAATACAGTTCGGACCACCCTGTATATTTTATTTATTTATTAATATCTCTGAAACTATCGAAATATATTTACTCATATCTTAGGATTATGTAAAGTGATCTGAAAGGAAGCCAAAAATGCAATAATATACAGGGTGTTCCATTTAAAAAAAATCATCCCAATGCATTCACACGCTCACACTTTTTTGAGCTGCCCTATAGAAGTTAAAATATTTTCCTGAAATACTTCCTAGCTTCCTAGTACATACTTTAGGCATGTACTTAAACAAAATTCCCAAGTTTTTTTATTTTAGGAGTTACAGATGCCCGACGCACTATTGCCGGACCCTGTACAGGGTGGGTCAAATTCGACGCTTTTAAATGGAAACACCCTTTTCTATAGGAGATAGGCGAAAACTAATATCGGTGTCTGGAGCTCAATTTTTATCAAAAACATGATGGTGAAAACCGCACATCAATATCTGTTACCGTTTCGGAGTTACGGGGTGTGTTTTTCAAAAATGTGCATTTTTAACAAATCGCTGTAACTTTTTTGCTATGGAAAATTTTGTATTTCCATGAAAACATTTCCAAAGCACCTTTTTACGTAGAATTTAATGGTTTAAGTATAATATTTTTAAAATTAATAATTTAAGAGTTATCAACAGAAAAAATGTAATGTAAAAAAATGTATAAAAAATTTTTTTATTTGGGACACCCTCTATATTTTTAATTAACTGAAAAGAATTTTAAATTACCTTTCCAAAAATATAGCACACTTGATATTTTGTTATAATCCCCTTCAAAATACAGAATTTTTAAAAGTTCGCCGCTTTTAACTAGTAGGCTTTGGACCCCTTATTGATGATATTCCCCTCTGATATTCCCTTAATGGAACTTGAAAACATATTTTTCCAGCAAGACGACGCACCGCCTCTGAACGCTGAAGTTATCAGCAAATTTTTGCAGCCAATTTCAAGAATATTTGAATAGCTAACCAAGATCTCAGCCGTTGGCCGTCGAGGCCGCCTGACTTAGTGCCCATGGATCTAATCCTATGGATATATTTGCGGAAGAATAAAGGTTCCTTATTCTTCCGTATAATCTAGACAAGGATTAGAAATACTTAGCAGTTATGAGAGGGTATCTTTCACCCCCTCTGAGTTAATGAATTCCGCGAGAAATGTTCAAAAACTGCCCCGTTTGTCCATAACAGTAAACGGTCGATATGTCGACCACTTGTAGGAAAATCTCATGTCTTAGTTTGCTATTTATTTTTATTGTTATTAGATATAGTTTAAATATGTTGATGTTGGTTAACTAAAATTTAAATTGTTATAAAGTTCTGCATCTCTCATAGCAAATATTATTTTCGTTTTAATTGATGCGCACAGCTAGAATTTTTTTGCATTACAGCCGGTGCCGTTCAAAGCCTACTTATTCAAAGCGGGCGAATTTTTATATACTCTATATATCTCGAAGAGGAATCGAGCAAAATATTAAGTGTGTTATATTTTTGGAAAGGTAATTTTAAATTATTTTCAATAAATTAAAAATATACAGGGTGTCCTATATAAAAAATCAAATTTTCTGTCGATAATTCTTAAATTATTATTTTTAAAAAAATTATACTTAAACCATTAAATTCTACGTAAAAAGGTGCTTTGGAAATGTTTTCATAAAAATACAAAATTTTCCATAGCAAAAAAGTTACAGCGATTTGTTAAAAATGCATATTTTTGAAAAACACCCCGTAACTCCGAAACGGTAACAGATATCGATATGCGGTTTTCACCATCATGTTTTTTACAAAAATTGAGCTCCAGACACCGATATTAGTTTTTCTCTATCTCCTATAGAAAAGGGTGTTTCCATTTAAAAGCGTCGAATTTGACCCACCCTGTACATGTATAAGCCCGAGACTTTGAGTCTTATTTCTTCTTGCGTAGCTATATATTCTGTGCTGTGAGTGTATGTTCAAAAAATACACCTCTAATACATTCAGATTTGTATCTAAAATTGATTACGAAAAACCTTAAACGAACATATGCTTTAAAGACACCCTGTATTTCTTCTAGTTCTTCCAATGTGCGAATTCCAAGACTGGAAAGAGCCACGCCAGATAGAGGCAATGTCCAGACCAGTCCGCATATGATCGAGAACAATGTCCTGAAATCGTACATATGCAAATTCAAATTCGGATTGTTTGTGTTCGCCTTCATGTCCGTCTTAGTATTTTTTGGGGCCAATTTCTTAACTACAGGGGTAAGTATAAGCCTTATATAAGTATATACATGGAGGATGTTATCCTATAAACCACTTATTCTTTGGACATGGAAAATTATGTTGCATCTAAAAACTAAAAAAAATCCAAATTTTCAAAAAAAATATATAATCGTGCCCACTGGGGTCGAAACATACTAATCCTAAAAATATTTGCACTTATTTAAGACTCACCCTGTGTATATTTTGAAACTGTTGATAATTTTTTATAGGAAATATGGAGAATGGGAGTTGAAGGTGGTGTAGTTATTGCCATAGCTTTTATAGTACTAATGATTGGAGGTACCATATTGTTATATTTGAGTGGTTACGCAAGTGCTAGCCAAGATTTTCCCGTCATCCAACAGAATTCAAATGATTCTACTGTCATAGAGCAGGTAATTTAAACGAATCTAAATACAGGGTGTCAAAAAAACAAGGTCTATAAGATAAGGAGATCTAACTAAAAATATAAATTAATTCAAAAGTTAATACCCTAGAGAATTAGAACTTCAACATTTATTATTATTATAGTGTATGTTTGTAATTCAACAATGGTTTCTTTTATTATTATTAGAATCGTCTAGAGGAGACTCCTCCTCATCAAGAACCAACAGCCAACCATATTTCCGTGCACCAGGTAGATGTCCAAGAATTACCCCCTCCTCCATATCATATAGCCGTAAGATTATCCAACCAAAACCACACCGAAGGGATCCAAATATTGGACGATCAATCTCCCCCACCACCTTACGAAAAAGCGATCACTTGAATCTTAACCTATATCCAGGTAAAACCAATATTTTTAACCACGATACATAACACTGTATTGTGCATGTGTAGCTCCTATAACAAAAGTGAACAATTAAACGAATAAGTGCTAAAAATTAATATATTGTTTTATTAAGAGTTAAAATGATACTTTTCATGACGAGGCTGTACTTTTGACAGCCAAGCCGCAAAAAGTCATTTTTACTACGAATAGGACATACTTTTTTTTGAAGCGCCACAAATAATTTTTTAAACAATTTCAAACGTTCCAAATAATATAAAAAGATTTAAAAGTAATACCTTGTATGTAATTTTATATCGAGAAACTATGACTATGAAATATTTTTAATATTCTTTTAATGCTTTTAAATATATTTCTGTTAATTTATTTATTGATATATCTGAAACTATCAAAACATATCTATTTAATATATCTTAGGATTTAGGATTATGTAAAGTGATCAGAAAGGAAGCCAAAAATGCAATAATATACAGGGTGCTCAATTTAAAAAAATCATCCCAAAATTCCTATATTTTTTTTATTACAGTAGCTACTGATACCTGACGCACTGTTGCTAGACCATGTATAAATACAGGGTGGCCCATTTATTCTTTTTTTCAAAAAATCCAAAAACACGTCAATTTTGTTTGTGAGGGGGACAACTTTTGCCCCAAAAATGATTGCGAAATCTTCAACCCTCTAAGCGGGGGTGTCATTCGGGGGTGAGAAAATATGAAGGATTGAAATTTGAAAAGTTAATTGAAACATTTATCAGAGTAAAGGATAAGGATAAATTCTTTCGACCAATTTGAGGTTTTTTCTTGTTATTTCTAGATATTTACGCATTTTTTACTTGCCACAAGGTTGAACGATCAGGTGCGGTAGTTGCTAGATATATAGCTATTCTGTGACTTGTGCTTTGAAGTTCTTCTCAATATCGTTAAACTGACTCACAATAGAATTTCCAAAAATACCAACCCAACCGTTCAATTTATGGGGGTTTTGTGTGTGCACCTCGTGAAAAACCCTGGGGTTGTCTTCAGCCCAGTACCGACCAGTTGTGCCGATTAACTACACCGTTCAAAAAGAAAGTACACTCATCCAAAAAACACACATTAAATAGAAAAGTATTATCATTCGCCACTCGTTCACTCATAGTTTTACAAAATTGCAAGCGACGATCAAAATCGTCTTTGTTGAGTTCTTGTATCAACTGAATTTTGTACTCATTTACTCTGATAAATAAACTTTTCAAATTTCAATCCTTCATATTTTCTCAATAACTCGACCGATTTTCAAAAACGAAACCGGAAAGTATAGAGAATAGAAAGCCCTTTTCATTGCGGTACCACTTGACTCCCCTTCCCATTTGAAAAAAATTGGGGGATGACGCCCCCGCTTAAAGGGTTGAAGATTTTGCAATCATTTTTGGGGCAAAAGTTGTCCCCCTCAACAAGCAAAATTGACGTGTTTTTGAATTTTCTGAAAAAAAAATTACCCTGGTCGTTATGCCTTGCGGAACGTTTTCGATGGGCCACCCTGTATGTAGATGCGTAAGGCATTTTTATAAAACCCTGTATACTTACACATACTTTTTTCCACAGGTTATATGGTGTTCATTTTAGTCTTCTTCACAATAAACCGATGTCCATTTTTATTGCCCTTTTTTTATGGCATGGTGATGTGAATGGTAGCACTGGAACAGTTGGCAATATGGAATGAAACAACTTTAAAACAAACAATAATTTAAAAATTCAGGCGAATTTGTTTTAACGGTAGATATTATCTGATCGAGATAAATTTATTTTTATAATTCTTAAGGAAGGCTGAGGGTGTGGTGCTACTGTTGCGCGCAATAGTTTAATACAAAAAAAATATAAAAAGACACGATTCGTTTTGGAGGTTTTCTAAATATCCATACTCTACCTATGTGTAATATTTTAAATATATGAAAAGCTTTTACCTTTAAAACAATATTCATCCTGTTTACCCCTGACTTTATTACATATACCCATACAGCTACTACAGCACAAGTTGTGACGTCACTTAATATGTATTGGGCATACATACGAGGGAAGTCCAAAAAGTTTCTTACCTCACCATGTATACTGAAACATCCAATCAACAAAATCTCAAGCATCTCTCGAAAAATGACCACTCTAAGATTTCAGCCGTTTTCATTGCTTAGTTATTCCGTATAACTGCATGACTACCCTGCGTGTTTGTCAGATTTATACCCCAGCGACTTCAACGAAATGTTTCAAAAAGAATCAAAGAAATCTGACATTTGTCATTTCCACTTTTATTGAGTTTTCATTGACAAATTAAATCTGCATTTTACTTATTTAAAACTGCGATTTACATAGCGATAAAATGGCAAAACCACTAAATAGATGGAATCGGCAAATCAACTTCAACATTTCCGACTATCCTCGTATATTAATCCCGTCTACACTTAACATATTACCTGCCAGTTTTGTATGTCAGGTAAAACGGAAGACCGGTAGTACTCAAAAGGATCGTCACACGTAAAGTTTTACGTGTCAGGTAAGACTGGCAGGTAAACCGTTACGTGTAGACGTTGCTTTACATTCAAATTTATATATTTAAAAATTATTAAATGTTGCAAATCCCCTAAGACTGTACTTATATGCCAAAGATTGTTAGCTTTAATTATTTGTTTTTGTTTAATATAAATAATATAGAAAATTTTAATTCTTACCATAATTTCTTCTAAAATTATACCGCATGTTTCTGAAAAGTGGCTCACCCCTCACCCCTATAACTTTTTTATTTTTTTACTTTATTCGGTAAAAAATGACATATCATATGTCAACTTTTGACATTCTCGTTTAGAAAAATCGTATTTTAAATTTTAAATCTCGAGTGCGATGGCTGTGCTAAAACACTAATTTTAAATCAAGATGTCTTAGAAATCTTAGAAAAATAGATTTGATCGTCTAATATTTTTCGTGTCTTGTCCGGGCCCGTTATAAGATGTATTTTTAATCATATCTCATTTCTTTTCAAATGGAACGAGGGTGGCTCAATAGCATATTTGGAAAAAGCATTTTTTTACGAATAATTTGATACCCCACCCTTGGTATTTCGAGTCAAATTGTCGTTATGAACCGCATGTTACAATTTCAAATAAACCATATGCGTAAAATGTCAAAAGTTGACATACGATATGTCATTCCATTCAGAGTGTCATTTTCTATCGAATAAAGTAAAAAAATACCGAGGGTGACATTTAAAAATTAAAATTTGTAGTAATTTGGGGTGAGACAAGAAGTGATAAAAAAATTGAATACGTCAATCATTCCTAAATTATGCCATACTAATGCTATACTAACATACCAAATCTCGTTTTTTTATCTGAAAAAATAAAAAAGTTATAGGTGTGAGCCACTTTTGACACGCAACCGGTATATTATGTAGTGCTTCCTTACTTTTTAAATGTCATTTTGACGGAACCTTTTAAGTGCAATTTTATAATTAATACATGTTTGTATCGACGTGATTATAAATAATAATGGCACAATACTAAATAAAATATACAGGGTGATTATATGAAACCCGATGGTAATAATTTTTAAGAGTAATAATTTAAACAATAATTGTGTTCAGTTCTTCATAAAAATATTTTATTTTTATAATTTTATATCATTAATAATTTAATTATACAAATTCAAACAGAAATTTTGACGCAAAAAACAATAATTACGATATATAACAGTTTTATATAAAATATGTATAAATACATTTAAATATTATAACGCAAACTATATGGAACAATCTACGTACTCTGTAAAAAATTCTGGTGCTTTTCCAAAATTTTTAAAAAATCTGGAAAAAAATTATTGATGTGTATAACGAAACAAAATGAAATATTTATGTAAATTATCAAATAAAGGTATTCTTCTTTCCATTGTGTTGAATTTTATTTTGTTTAATTTAGTTTTTCGAGACAATCATAAATTGTATTGGAAACTAGATACTACCAGATATCATACGTTCTGAGAAAAAAAAAACGATGTCACAGTGGCTTTTGAAATAAAGTATAATATAAATGTAAAAAATAATTAATATTTGAAAGCTTTTTACATTTTTCTAAATTGTATAAATTATTTTTATAACAAACTTTTGTTATTTTTAATAAATGAAAAAATAAGCGCCCCGATACAACTTATCATAGATTATCATTTCGATGTCCACTATGACGCCTTTTTTCCATCATAAGGAATTTATTTATTTTACGCCAATAATTCTTAATCATGTTTATATAATATATATACCTATGTTAAAAAAGGTAATATATTTTTACTCATATTAATTGTCATATTATTTTGAATATTGTTATTTTGTATACAGGATGGTCCGAACTGTATTCCGGAAACTTCGCCAGCATATTCTGTAGATAAAAATAAGTAAAAAAGTTCGTATAAATGTATGTCCTAAAATGATTAGTTTCGGAGATACAGGGTGTAGAAGTTTCATTTTTATTTCGATTTTTTCCAAATAATTTCTGAAGTAACGTCAATGTCTGGGAGTTTTTTAACATGAAAATTTTGATTTTGATACAATATGACTCATATTTGTAGAGGGAGCCACCTACATGGGTTTAAAATGTCTTGAAGAGTAATAACTTTTCGTACCGGTATAAAACTACTGAGTGAAAAAATATACATTTCCGTGATTTTTTACGTAAAAAATGTACCTTGATAAAAATCGCTACGAGGAACCAATCTCAAGATATTTAGAATGGAAATAGTCAATACGTGTCATTATTGACAGAAAAAAACATGTTGAGTAGATGGTTATTTGACTGAAATGATAAATTTGGGAACTTTTTAAATTTTTCTTCAATAGAATGATGATAAAACATTTTCTGTGAACTTTTGGCACAAAAACATTTCAAATTTATGATTTCAGTCTATAAATAGTTATTAGAGTACATGTATTAGTCAACATGTTCAATTTATGGAAATGATGACAGGGTGTTGATAATTAGATTCCAAATATCTCGAGAACCATTACTCGTAGCGATTTTTACCAAGACATTTTTTTACGTAAAAAACGTCGTAAATGTATATTTTTTTGACTCAGTAGTTTTATACAGGTACGGACGAAAAGTTAATATTCTTCAAACCAGTTGAAAAATATGTAGGTGGCGCCCCTTAGAAGTAGGAGTCATTTTGACATCAAAATCAAATTTCTCAGATTAAAAAACTCCCAGACGCCAATTTTCATCCAAATATATTGACGTTACCTCAGAAATTATTTGGGAAAATCGAAAAATGAAACTTCTACACCCTGCATCTCCGAAACTAAGCATTTTAGGACATACATTTATATGAAGTTTTTTACTTATTTTTATCTGCAGAATATGCTGTCGAACCACCCTGTATAGTTAATGAAATATCAAAATATCTTCACAAAAAAAATAACTTAATATTTTTTCTAACATACCATTTCATTTAAGAAATAAAAATAATCTGCAATTTTAGTATAAAACACTCATACAAATTATATAAACAATTACAAGCGTTATAGTTGCAAAACCAAAAATATAAAAGATCCCATAGATTATTATTTTTAATAATTCTTATAACAAATAAATTACATTATTATATCTTATACAGAAAAAAACATAGCAAATCACAATAGATTTCTCAACAACTTAGGTAATAGAAATCATAAAATACATGTCAAACTCGAGTCACTACTGGAATCATCTTCAATATGACTTTTTAAAATACAAGATGTACATTTTGCTGGCTCTTCTGAACATTTGCAAGAACTACCATTTTCGCTTTTATTGGTCGAATTTTGTGATGTCGATGGTTCATCTTAAAACATACCATTTAATTAGAAATCATTAGCCAAATATTGTAGAGAAAAAAAATATTTATACAGGATGAATCTCAAAAGTGGCTCACCCCTATAACTTTTTATTTTTCAGATAACAAAACGAGATTTGGTATGTTAGTATATGACAGAAATTAGAATTGATTGACGTATTCAATTGTTTTTGGTCACTTCCTGTTTCACTTGAAGAAGAAACAATGACATATCATATGTCAACTTTTGACTTTTTTGCATATGGCTTATTTCAAATTATAACTTGCAGTTCGTAACGAAAATTTGACTCGAAATACCAAGTGTGTGGTACCAAATTATTCGTAAAAAAATGCTTTTTCTAAATATGCTAATGAGTCACCCTTATTCCATTTGAAAAAATTGAGATATGATTAAAAATACGATTTGGGCATCTTTTAACCGACCAGGACAAGACACGAAAAACATTAGATGATCAAATCCATTTTTCCAAGACCCCTTGATTAAAAATTAGTGTTTTAACACAGCCACGGCACTCTAGATTGAAATTTAAAATAGGATTTTTTTAAGCAATAATGTCAAAAGTTGACATATGATGTCATTCTATTCAGAGTATCATTTTCTTCTTGGCATAAAGTAAAAATATACCAAAGGTGCCATTTAAAAATCAAAATTTGTAGCCATTTCCGGTGAAACAGGAAGTGTCCAAAAACAAGTGAATACGTCAATCAATCCTAATTTATGTCATATACTAACATACCAAATATCCTTTTTGTATTTGAAAAAATAAATTGTTATAGGGGTGAGCCACTTTCGAGACGCACCCGGTATACAGGGTTGCTTATTAGTGCGAGAAAGTCCAATATCGTCGTTGTCGACAAAGATATGAAAAAAAGTTTTATAGAGATACTGCGTGGTTTATAAAGGTGCACGTCCTAAAGATATTTTGTTGTATACAGGGTGTCCCAAAATAAAGTTATGATAAAACTTTAATTTTTTTTTTAAATTGCACCCCCCATTTTTCTGTACACAATTGAATTCAACATTCGCAAAATTCTCTATATAGTACACTATTTTTATTATTTACGTTGCGGTGTTGCCATTCTATTTCATATTTACTAAACCCCCCCCCCCTTGATTGAAAACACTAAAAACTTAAAACTTTGTCATATTTTTTTGGGAGGAAACCACTTATACAACAAAATATTTTTAATATAAAACTTTTTCATATCTGTGTCAACAACGACACTATTAGACTTCCTCGCACTAATGTACCACCCTGTATGTATTGTGTCTAAAATTGAAAAGAAAAATCAATGAGAAAATTATGAATTTTGTTGTATAAATATTTTGATAATATTTCAATTGTGATTTTCTTGGGTATAGTTTTTTTCATTAAAATTTAGATGATTTTTGAGCGTTTGTATTTGCCGAGGTTTCGATTTTTTTATGCAAATCTTTCTCAAGGCATCTCACGGTGCCAGCCACATTATCCTAGGAAAAGCGTATCGGCGTAACGACCTTGAATCGATTTCCAGCAATTCTATTGGCTGAAAAATTCATCGTCAGAAATTTTATCTGTCAAATTCATCTGTCAAACATTTCAGCCAATAGAAGTACTGGAAAACTATTCAAGGTCGTTACGCCATTTCTAGGATAGTGTGGATGCACCCTCACATGTTGCTGTTGAATTCTTATATTGTTTCATATTTCAATATGTTTGTTTGAATTGTTTCACATTCATAATCAATATAATAATTCAATGGCCGAAACAACAATTGAGATGTTTTGAGAAAGATTTGCATAAAAAAAATCGAAACGTCCACAAATAAATGACTTAAAAACACCCAAAAATCATTTAAGTAATTTTTAATTAAAAAAAAATTGATACTAAAGAAAATCACAATTGAAATATTAAATAAAGGTTTAAGAAAAAGTTTTGATAATGTGCATGCCAAGTTTGATTGATTTTCCTATATTAACTTTATCAAAAATATACACCTACCTGGATCTGAGGAGAGTCCAGAAACTGGATTAATATCCTCAGAACTATTTGAACTATCACTGCTGGTTTCGATATTAAAAACTTCCGAAACACCTCCATCACCTTCCAACTCGTCATCATAAAACATTGATATCACTCGAATCGGTTTAAATCTTTTATTCCTATTAAAAATTCGGTCATTAAACAAAGACAATGTCACATCTTCGTCTAATTCTGCCAGTCTTTTTTTCTCATCGTGCTCTAAAAAATGTTTAATAGAATATTTTTAGATATATTCATTTAATTTTATTATCTACCTATCTGGGGTACTATCCAAAAATAATTTCGGTCATATATTCTCGTTAGACCCGGTATATTTCTGTATTGCTTATACAAACCGGGATGTTTCGTGATAATATTGAGACACATCATTTGTAAATTCGGCTTTTTCGAGATACAACATGTAATTTTTATGGCCGATTGGGCCGCAGTAGAAGAAACCATAGGGTATAGTTCTTTACCTTTTAATCCTCTAAATGCTACACCTAAAGGTTCTCTGTTGAGAAAATATTGTAGAGTTCCATTGCAGAGGTCTAAATGAACCCCAATTATACTGCCTAAACCATACTGACGTCCATATGATCCTTTTAGATTATTGTGTTGTATTTCCCCCTGATAAGAATAGCCCCAGGACTCTGAATTATTACCTAGTAAACTAGTAAATTTATATTTCCATTCTGAGAATAATATTTTAGCAGTCCCAACTCCTATCATCTAAAACAATACCCTTGATTATCAAAAAATAAAATTATATTTATAAAGCTTAGTTACCACATCCGTTCCATAAAGCTTTGACATAATTTTAACTTCCCAGTAATGGTGAATATTTTGTTCTAAACATTTGTTTCCTCTTACAGCTCCTGTACCTGAACTATAAATTGGATGAAATAACACTTCTCTACAATCATTCGATATTTTTATATTTGGTGTTTTAACATTTTCCCATGACCACTCATAATCTGGATTATCTTCGCCACATTGACATTGCAATTTGCCATCTACAATCTGAGATTTGAGTAAATAGTATGGTTTCAAAAAATAAATGGAAAGAATTAATTTTCAGTTAGGAATATGCATATTCTTTACCCTTTTCAAACAATCATCTGAGCAAAATGAATTATACGATTTATTTATAACTTTAGGCGCTTTAATGGCATTGGGAGAACTAATAAAAACATACATTTCAGAAAGCGGCACTAAATACAGTAAATTATTTGTTCTAAATTATTGAACTTATTTACTTATCATTCAAGTAATTAATTAATTCTAGGATTTGTTTTTATTTTTTTGATACTTTTAATGACAAGTGAAAAGTGACATAATGTCCGTCAATCTGCCATTCGAAATGTCATAATATCAATAAATTTTCAATTAAAGGAAACTGGAATACGATTTTATCATTATGAATTTACGAAATGCTTGATTAGAATATTTTAATAGAAGATTATATAAATTGGGTGATTGTAATATTTTCTAGAAGTTCTTTATATTCTTTGATATTAATTTCATTGCTTTAAATAAACATCTTTAAACACTTTACATCTAAAATAAATATAAAAATGGAAACCCAGGCATAGTTAAACTAAAAATACAGAGATGGCTCTTACTTCAAAATTATCATAAATTTTAAATTAAGAGAAATTGAATTTTGTTGGTTCTTGATCATAAGCGAAGTTATTTACCTCAAATCTAATTAATTTAGCACTCATAAAAATTAGTTTTTTTTATTCTAACAAATAAATAAAAATTGTGCTTCATACACTCACACCATCTTTGATAAATTACAATAACCAGTACCATTTTAAATTTTAATTACAAACCCTCATTTGTTTTACGACCGTTAACATTCTATCAAATTTTCGCGGTTCTTCACGTGTTGTTTAGGGAAGGAGTCTGGAAAGAGTTTCTAAAATTTAATTTCACATAATGGATAGCTCATCAAGCGCATACGATTCCTCCTTTAGAAGTTACGATACTGAAGAAGATCTAAATGAATCTACAGACGGTAAGCTTTATGGAATAAAACTAGCTTATATTGTGATAACTCTAAAAACAAATTTATATTAAAGAGACTCTCATTTTCGTTAGGTATTTCTGATCAGGACGAGGCCTGGAACAAACTTAAGAAATTTAGACTCAGAGGTCGAATTTGGACCTTATATAAACCCGTAGTTGAAGACGCAACTTCGTTGTACAAACAATTTATGAGCGATCCTCTTGAATCGGAAGTTTGTGTTGTTTTTCGGGTTGATTTAAGCTATATTTGTTATATACAAGTTATTTTCTAGAATCTGGCACGTTGGTTTGTACAGTACTGCGTGAATAAGTCCCACAAATTTACCACATACGTTCTATACAAGTTTGTATTTGATTGTGCGGCTTTTCAAAAGTTTCGCTTGCAAAAATACTTTTCATATCCGCCGAATGTGAATAAGATTCTGAATAAAGCCGACGACAGTAATGCAGAAGTGTTTGTAAGATTCTTAAACTATTATTATTTTTTATAGTACAACACAAAATGTTTTTAGAAAATCGGGAAGTACCTTTTTATCGAAAACGGTAGAATGGCCACGCTTACGAAAATTGGTCTTTGCAAGTTTTTTCAAACGATTATTTCCGAGGCTTACAACACGGAAATGCTGTATAAAGACCCTTTCAAATTCCTGTTTCAACTGATTGATCACATGTGCAAAATTGATAGGACTCCGCTGGTAATTACAGGAGCGACATTTGGTATGTTTTAAATAAAAAAAATCTTCTTACGAACAAAAACAAAAAATTCCTGGGAAATTTTTTAACTGTCAAATGTCACAGCCCACTAAATCATAAAACATTTTGTTTAGCTGCGGTTTCATTATTAATCAGTTTTTTACTGTATTTTCTTATTTTATATATAGGTATAAAGTTAGTAACTTCTCTAACAATAATCCGAAAAAATATGAAAGGTCACAATCAGATAAATGACGAAATAATTAACATAATTTATTTAGCTGTAACGAAAGTTTGGTAAGTTTTACATTATTATTTGGCACTCTAATAAGAAATAAACATTTTACAGCAAAATGCAAGTGGCAATTTTCAAAACGTTTAAATTGGACTACATTAAGGAAATGAGGAAGTGGATTTATTACTGTGGAGAGGTTTTTCTTGATTATTTTGATTGCCTGTCTGTTGCAATTAGACTATTAATTGATCAGGTAATTCAAACGATTAAAAATGTCCATTAAAACTTTTTGATCACACTGTATCATACCAAGATGATTTTTTAGACAAAGGTGGTTCGCTTGGCCACCTTGGATTTGATTGATAAGCTTACTCGCAGCGAAGGTATCAATGTGTTCATCAAGGAAGCTTCGGTTAATGAATTGGCCAAGCATGTGTTCTGTAGATTTACAGATGTTGACTCAAGCGTAGCTCTAAGAGCTATGGAAGTGTATGCTTCTCTGCTAGAAAGGTGAGTTTTATAATACCTTACGATCGAAAAAAAAACGGCGTCAGACGGCTCTTTAGCAAATGACATGTAGAGATTGACGTCGCTAAAATTACTGTCGATTGTCAATCGAATGCTGTTTTTTACGTCGCCAAAACTATTGTCGATCGAATACTATTTTTTGCCAAAACTTAAATTCGTATTTAAATGAGTATTTTCTTGGACTATTTCAATCATACGGTATTATACAGGGTGGTCCGTGCTGTATTCCGAAAACTTCGGCAGCATATTCTGCAGATAAAAATAAGCAAAAAAGTTCGGATAAATGTATGTCCAAAAATGCTTAGTTTCGGAGATACAGGGTGTTGAAGTTTCATTTTTATTTTTATTTTTTCCAAATAATTTCTGAAGTAACGTCAATATTTGGATGAAAATTGGTGTCTGGGAGTTTTTTGGCATGAGAAATTTGATTTTGATGTCAATATGACTCCTACTGGTAGAGGGCGCCACCTACATATTTTTTAACCGGTTTAAAACCGTACCTGTATAAAACTATTGAGTAAAAAAATATACATTTACAACGTTTTATACGTAAAAAAAAGCTCTTGGTAAAAATCGCTACAAGTAATGGTAAATTTTTGTCAATAATAATGACATGTATTGACTGTTCCAATTCTAAATATCTTGAATACGTAGTGATTTTTACCAAGAGACATTTTTTACGTAAAAAACACGTAAATGTACAGGGTGAGTCAAATTCGACGCTTTTAAATGGAAACACCCTTTTCTATAGGATATAGACGAAAACTAATATCGGTGTCTGGAGCTCAATTTTCATCAAAAACATGATGGTGAAAACCGCACATCAATATCTGTTACTGTTTCGGAGTTACGGGGTGTTTTTCAAAAATGTGCATTTTTAACAAATCGCTGGAACTTTTTTGGTATGGAAAATTTTGTATTTCTACGAAAACATTTCCAAAGCACCTTTTTACGTAGAATTTAATGGTTTAAGTATAATTTTTTTAAAATTAATAATTTAGGAGTTATCAACAGAAAAATTGATTTTTTATTTGGGACACCCTCTGTATTTTTAATTAACTGAAAATAATTTAAAATTACCTTTCCAAAAAATATAGCACACTTGATATTTTGTTTTAATCCCCTTCGAAATACAGAATTTTTAAAAGTTCGCCACTTTTAACTAGTAGGCTTTGGACCCCTTATTGATGATATGCCCTTAATGGAACTCGAAAACATATGTTTACAGCAAGACGACGCACCGCCTCTGAACGCTGAAGTTATCAGCCAATTTCAGGAATAATTGAATAGCTAACCAAGATCCCAGCCGTTGGCCGTCGAGGCCGCCTGACTTAGTGCCCATGGATCTAATCCTGTGGATATATTTGGGAAGAATAAAGGTTCCTTATTCTTCCGTATAATCTAGACAAGAATTAGAAATACTTAGCAGTTATGAAAATGTATCTTTTACCCACACTGAGTTAATGAATTCCGCGAGAAATGTTCAAGAACTGCCCCGTCTGTCCATAACAGAAGACGGTCGATATGTCGAACATCTGTAGCAAAATCTCATGTCTTGGTTTGCTATTTATTTTTATTGTTATTAGATATAGTTTAAATGTGTTGATGTTGGTTAAATATATTTTAAATTGTTATAAAATTCTGCATCTATCATAGCAAATATTATTTTCGTTTTAATTGATGCTCACAGCTAGATTTTTTTTGCATTACAGCCGGTGCCGTTCAAAGCCTACTTATTTAAAGCGAGCGAATGTTTATATACTCTATATCTCGAAGAGGAATCGAGCAAAATATCAAGTGTGTTATATTTTTGGATAGGTAATTTTAAATTATTTTCAATAAATTAAAAATATACAGGGTGTTCCATATAAAAAATCAAATTTTCTGTTGATAATTCTTAAATCATTAATGTTAAAAAAATTATACTTAAACCATTGAATTCTACGTAAAAAGGTGCTTTGGAAATGTTTTCATAAAAATACAAAATTTTCCATAGCAAAAAATTTACAGCGATTTGTTAAAAATGCATATTTTTGAAAAACACCCCGTAACTCCGAAACGGTAACAGATATTGATATGCGGTTTTCACCATCATGTTTTTGACAAAAATTGAGCTCCAGACACCGATATTAGTTTTTGTCTATCTCCTATAGAAAAGAGTGTTTTCATTTAAAAGCGTCGAATTTGACCCACCCTGTACAGGTACGGACAAAAAGTTATTACTCTTCAAAACAGTTAAAATACATGTAGGTGGCGCCCCCTACAAATAGGAGTCATATTGACATCAAAATCAAATTTCTCATATCAAAAAACTACCAGACACCAAATTTCATCCAAATATTGATATTACATACTTCAGAAATTATTTGGAAAAAATCAAAATAAAAATGGAACTTCTACACCCTGTATCTTCGAAACTAAACATTTTAGGACATACATTTATGCTAACTTTTTTACACATTTTTATCTGCAGAATATGCTGCCGAAGTTTCCGGAATACAGTTCGGACCACCCTGTATACAAAGTGTTTTACAGTTTAGTAAATAAAAATGTTTAAAAATTAACGACAGCAATTTTTTCTAAGGTATATCGAAGAAATCGAAATACTACCAGAAGACTTTCATACGCTAACAGAAACGTTGTATCATATCGATTATAAGTTCGGTTCTGGCTGTGGAAAATGCCTTATCGAAATAATGAAGCTAGAAGATAGCGATGAGACACATATGTTGCTGAATATATGCAAAATAGCGAAGCGAATTGTATGTATCATCTATCGATATTTTTTCTTGAAGGCCCATCCCTAATAAAAAAAACAATATGTTCAAAATTTCGTTATTAAGTGCGCTGTGAATGATTCTATAGTTCATATCTATGGAACAGACGGTATCATTTCAGTTTCCTATATATTTTAGTTTGTATATGGAATTTAGATACGTTAATTTGACTTACCTGCTTCGGTAGCGTATCGGATGTTTGTGTTAATAAATACTTATTATAACTTATCTATTTTTATTAGAATTATATATTTTTATAACAATTTTAATAACTACCAACATTTATTCACAACGTAAAATAAAACAACAAATTATTGAGTCTACCCCACGTCTACCCTACATCATAGTTTTACATTTTTTAAATAAAATTAGAACGACACTGAGAAACCGGAATTTAAGTCGGCCATATTTGAGGCCCATCGCGGTGTACCCATGTGTACCTGGGTGTACCCAATGACATCGAAATAATAATTATTAATTAGAGTGTGTATAAATTGGGTGTACCTAAGATTTTTGATATGCTCGTTCCTTAGTCTTCTTATTCAAAGCAACACTATATAATACAAAACTAAAATGTCAAAACGAATTACAATGTCAGAAAATAAATAAATAAATTTGGCAACTTGACATTTTTTACAGCAGAGTTACCACCTGAATCTCCAGCGGGAAATTTAAATTCCAGTTAGTCAGCCCGGCGCACGGTGTGGTATTAGCATGAAAAAGGTGATCGGAATTCGAAAAAGCAAATGTGTTTAAGATTTCCCAAAAATAGATAAATGATAAGTTAAATCATGTCTGCCATGAATGGCGTTGCTATGGGTGTGCTTAGTTGCATTCATTTGTTTCAACGAAACGTCAAAGTTGTTACTTCTCACAGATAATAAGTAAATGGCTAAATTTTATGTTTAAAATTATAAATTGTTGTTGTTCTTGTGCTCTTTTTACGTTTATATTATTGTTTTGATTGAAAATGGCTCAGCAAGCTGCAGGTATGTATTCTTCAAAAACGTATTATTTATTTTGATATTCTCTATACTAACGATTTTTTTTGCAACTAAAAATTAGGCGTTCAGAAAATTTGATTAAATTTGTGACATTTTTATTATACTTAGAGATTTAGTTGCGCATTTAGAAGAATTCAGCATATTGTCTATATACGTTTTACTTAGTAAACATTGGGCTTTCATACAGTAAAATAAAATACTGCGACTTTTTACGACTTTGCTGATAAAATGAGAAAAACATTCTTGGTTTCTTCTAATTTGCCAATCAGTGATATATTAATGCGAGGTGTAAACCGCGATGGCATTGTTGTGTACAAAGCGATCGCATTTGTGCCATTAGCAGTATAGCACAATTTGGCATTAGTAGCGACTTTAGTTGTATGGGCATAGTATAAGGAAACTAGTAGTTTTACTCCTTGTCAAAAATCCTTTGTTCTTTTTCTGCCACTTTATATGACCTTGTTCTCGCCTCCGTAGCCGACGACGTACCTGTATAGTCGTGGTCTATTAACTAAGCAAAGTATAGACGTGGCACTCGCCATAGTTTCACAGATATGTATTTAGGAAAATATGAGTTCACAATAAAATAAAATAAAAAAAATGATCATCGAGTAAAAACTTGCTTGAAAACAGAATATTTTCACATTTCGTGTAGGTAACAATTCTTCTGTATCTGAAAATCTTCTGATGGGAAGAAATGCGGAAAAAATATATAATGACATATTTTTATATTATTATCTAGTTCAGAGATGTTCTACGACTTTTTTTTTATTTAAAGCAAGTTTAATTTTCTGTAGATAACTGGATTCGGCATAAAATTATGCTATAGTACACTGTCTTTATTTAAAGCACACTGCGGTGTTGCCAATCTATTTCTTATATACTAAAACTTTGGTTAAAAACATTATATACGAAAAGTGGTAAAAAACTAGAGTGAATATAACTTTATTAATACTTTGCTATGTTTTCTTAAACATGAAGGATATCGGAATAAATTCGTGTAGAAAAATTTCTTTATCGTATACAGGATATTTTTTATGGCGTCACCAAAATCGTAATATTTAAAAAATGTTGTATCTCATTTTTTTTAAATGCAACACCTTGTATATTATTCTTCTTTCAGATGTAGAATTAAAAGGTGAACATTTTTTGACAAGACAAGATAGACAAAGATCATATTAGGTGGCTTTGAAAAAAATTTACTGTTGAAAGAGCCATATGTAATATAATACTGCGAATCTCTGCGACAGCGGTAAAAATTTAGAAACACTTTAAATCAATAAAAAAATGTTCACTTTTTAATTCTGCATCTGACAGAAAAATAATATACAGAATGTCGCATTTAAAAAAGTTGAGATATACCATTTTAAATATTGCGATTTTGGTGACGCCATAAAAAAATACCCAATATAGAATAATGTATATGGAATGATGTAAAATAATAAAAAAAATCAAACTAACTTTACCATAACTTTTTTTGTGACACCCTGTATATAACAAAATATTTTAGGATACACCTCTTTATAAACCTTGAAACATATGAATAAAACTTTTTTCACATCTTCGACAACGACGACAATATTGGACTTCCTCGCACTAATGGGCCACCCTGTATATTTACGGTGGTTTAAAGCTAGGTGTGGCACTTTTCTTCCCTCAAATATAAACTCAATATTTTGTCTATAATATTTTGAAAATATTGTTATATATTATGACCACTTATAATAAAAAATAAATAAAAAAAACATGAAAAAATACAGTCCACTAAATTTATAAGAGATTATGCTATTATAAAATTCTTTCAATTAAAAAATATGAATAATTTGCGGAGACTTTAGATGTACAAAATATTTACTCTAAAATTGTTTCAAAAACCAATTTATATAAATTACCTCGTAAATTATTATTGAAATGAAAATTTTATGGAAAATCCCCTGACCAAAAAATATTTTCATGTGCATATTTGAGACAACCTGTATATCTAAAAAACTATTTTTAAAATCTGCACATATGCTAAAAAAAATAATAACATTTAATTAATTACATAATATCTCAGGTTCTAAAATAAACAAATATAATTAAATGTTAACTGATAATTACTATCAGCTTGCCGATTTACATCCGATGGAAATCTAAAAGACTCAAAGAACAATTTTTGAATTATTTCCACAATTAATAGCAGCGCACAGTAAGGCACTCATTTTTTGTCAATCCGTCCCTGTGCTCGGACGCAACGCTCGAACCTCACAGCTCGACGGACCGAATTCAACTGAAACGCTTCGCAACCTGCCAGCTTGCAAAAACTGGCAGAAAATATTTGCGAGAGTGCAACTACTCTTTTCCTTAAACTATGGTATGGGCACAAAATAGAAATCAACCCGAACGCCGACTCTGCCGAATTTGATGACGTTTCACGAATCGCGACGCCATATTGGCAGCGGGTAACTCTCAGGGCCGGATTAAAACGCTTTCGCAGGCTGTTGTCAGGGTTATATTGAATAAGTACTTTTATTATCTGATAGGTATGTGATTACAGACTGAGCGTAATACGTTATTTCGAAAGGTAAAGTTTGTATTGTATAGATACCACCACATGTAATTTTCATGCAGCGGTTTTTTTTGCAATTAGTAGGTGGGCAGATAATAATATATGCGTAGTCAAAAATTTGGAAATGGGTAGAGATCGTGAATTTTAAAAATAAACTAAACCAATTAATTAAAGGTCAACTTTCTACTCGAACCCTTGAGCTGCGTTTTACTGGTTGGCAAAAATCCGTGGTCATCCCTACACCTTTCTTAGAAGTTTTTATGGTCTGGGAAATTACGCGAATTGCGTTGCTATAGATACGCTCTAAAGTGTAACAGCATGGTACAAAGAATACAAGGTATGATATTGCGCAGGTTGGTCGCTACGTCACAGGTGATAACAGGCGCTATTGGTCAGCACGCTCCGCGCGCCAGTTCAAATCGTCAAGGTATTGTTATAAACCTGTTTTTTTGTTTATATACCGTCATTGAATTATCGCTAAGCAAGTTACTGTGGAGCAGTGCGTAAGGAGTTGGACTAGGAAGCGAGACCGGAGTTCGAATCTCGGCGGGACATAACTTTTTTTTAAATACTGTTGTATTCGATAGTTTATTTTTGTAGTATAAAAGAAAGAACTATTTCTTCTGTTATTTTTTAATCTGCGGTATTAATATAAATTGATTGTTGGTACAATACCTCATTTAATATAAAATAATATTCTACTTTTGAAATGTATCTGGCCCCTAATTGTACCTAAAAGTAATATATTTTACAGTGATATACCATATTGTAAACTATTTAATATTTCAGTCACTTAAAAAGTTAATTTGCCTTGAATAATTGCCTACGATCAAAGGAAATTTGAGCTATATAATCCTTGATGGGCATATTCTGGGTATGCAAATACTTCCTCTAAATTTTGGGTTTCGTTCAACCGATTTATTCTCAAAACCTGAAACATCTACATATAAAAAGAAACACAGGTTACTTATTATAATAAACTTCACCCTTGGAATTGCTTCTATCACAATTACAATACATTCATCTGCATTGGCATTTTCTACTTTTCGATGGGAAACAATATAATTCCCAACATTTTTTAAATGATGTAACAATTCCTCTTGTGGTTACTTTTCCATAGATATCCTCATCTCTGTCCTCATGTGAATTCAGAGGCAATGAACATAAAAATTATTTACCATAAACATCGCAAACTAAAAACCTAATAAACAATTTTATACCGAATATAGAAATAAATTTAGTATTCTTACCTATTATGGTCCAAATCCATGTTAATAGATAATTATTATTTTTAAATATATTTTTGAAACTGCTGGTTTTAGTAATTATTAAATTAAACGAACTAAAAATTCTTAAAAATAAACAATTCGTAACCATAACCCCAAAAAATGCAGATCTCCTGTCAACTTTCTTTATTTTTTATTTATTCATTATTTTCCTAGTGACGTCACAGGTGGTATGCGCGAACTGAACGAAATTGGAGCCGCTATCGATCATACCTTGTATTCTTTGTACCATGGTGTAACAGTTTACTATCCTGAATTTATTTGTTAGAGGCACGTTCTGCGTTTTGAGTACACATTATCCAAATAAAAATGTTTTTTTTAATGCTGGGAAAGTTTCGCTTGAACACAATGTTACCCAGATAAATCGAACTCATTATAATAATAAAATTATGATTAGGTAGGTAGGTAATAAGTATTATGTTAAGATGGGTTAATACAGTATTTAAAATAAAACAATCTATGCATTTGTTTAATATCTATTTATTTCTCCTTATTAATAATTTATTTTTTATTTATTCCGCTTTTAAAATTCGTATTTATGTGATATATTCATATTATGCGATGGTTAGAATTCAACTAAACCCTGACCTGCCCTGATTAAACCGGTAACGCCGCTACATTGACAGGTGTTACCCGCTCATAAAGGAATTTTTAGGTTAGCCACCGTTTCGCGCGCATTTTGGGAGTCAACCTTCTGGTTGATTTCTATTTTGTGGTATGGGCATTGCTCGCGAAATTTTTTATTTAGAGGTCATTGGTTGTGACTACTGGCATTAGTGGCATTGACTGTGGAAACACGGGAACAGTGATTTTTCTTTCTTTTTTTTTAGAATCGACGAATTATCCTTTATTTTGTTCATATTATTTTCTCTTTAATTGAAAATAGCAATAATTTATATAAAGTCTACATAAAAAAAATTCGATCAACTATCTGTGTCAAATACCCCACTGTGCGGCGTCGAATATATCCATGGTTGGCAACAATGAATTTAAAAATCGCGCCCTCGATTACGTAACTAAAAGTTTAATTGGTATCAAATATGTATATACAGGGTGTTTAAATTAGGATGTTGCCAAATTTTTTGGAAAATTGCAGTAGATTTTTTTTATTGAGTTGTATGGACTTACGTATATTTTATTTTTAGCGTCCACGTCTGAAACCTTTACTGGTCGAATCTTTGAGTGATCACACACCAGTTTTGGAGAACTGGGACTTGTATTTGACAGTGTTTCAGGATAAATGCGACATCGAAGTTGATATCAGCCTAATAAGGGTTCTAAGCGAACTGCTTTTCGAGTCTGTTTGCCAAGTTGTTACCGGAAAATCATCGATGGAACGCAAAAACTCGAAAACGAGTAAGAGAAAGTTACTCATCTTACTCCTATTAGAATTTTTGATTCTAAATATACAGTGTGATCCTAAATAATGTTACCGATACGTTGAAGTAGGCGTATTGATGTTATTGTATAACTATGCATACTTTACATAGTAAAAATTAAACTTTAATATTTCTACGCCTACTCCGACGCCTTTTTTAATCATCGCACCCTATTTTTTTTAACATTTCGTATTTTAGGATCAGTAGATAAGGACGATCATAGAAAAGTTGCGGACAAGATTTGTCCAAATTTAAAGTCGTTTTTAATCATATATCGGGACGAGCCAGTTATAGCAAAAAACATATTGAAAGTCGTATCGAAATTAGAAGTAGATGCCATTGGAGGAGAAAATTTAAGTGTAGGATACTTATTTTATACGGGGTGATTTAGTTTTTGTAACAGGACAACTTAAATAAGTAATCATCTTGGCCTTATAGATCTATTGTGTCTCCCTTTCTTGTATTATAACTCATCATACAGTCTCAGGACTTGAACGAAAGCCAGTATCTGAGACGTTTTTACAAAGGTTATTTCTCCATCTCCGGTATCAGTCGTACCAAAGTTCATGGCATAAATGGTTGTTTTTTTTTCAGCCTTTCTTATCAAAAAGTATTAAAAAGTGATCTAAAAGGTAGCCAAAAATGCAATAATATACAGGGTGTTTTATTTAAAAATAATAATCCCAATCCACTCACACTTTTTTGAACCACCCTATAGAAGTAAAAATATTTTCCTGAAATACATCCTCGTACATACTTTTTTTACTAGGAGCTACAGATGCCCCACAGCTGGGTCACACTGTAGGTCGGACTGTATTTGTCTCTACGTTTACTTATTTCTCTGAAAGAAACAAATTTAAATACAAAAAAGGAAATACACTTTGTTCAATTTTCAAATGTCTTGCTACAAAACCATGGTTTCCCTTTATTTTAAATTAACATTTCTTCTTACAAATAGACACATTTTTAGTATATAGAAAGCTTCCTAATGATTAGTATGAAACCTTTTAAATACTGGGAGGACACGGATGTCCTGGAGGCTCATCTAGACTTTCTCAACCATGTCAAAACCGTTTCTAAAAATGGCGAGAATGCTTTTGAAGAATTGAACAAGTATTGTTGCGAAGAATTACTGGGTTCGCTAAAACAAGAAGAGTATTATCTTGAAAAGATCAAGAAATTAGCCCTTGTTTGTAAACATGTTGATTTGACCGAAGTTCTAGACATAAACAGTATTTTTTCGTATGATTTTAGGGTTGAAAGTGCAGAGGTAGGTATGAAATATTGAAATATCGATATTTTAAAAATATATCGATATAATTTACACGTCCCTACTGGAAGCTTGATACTCATTCATCCGTTAGTGTGCGAACACAGTGCAAGCAGGTTTCCCGCTTTCCGGTAGTCGGCGCCAATCTGGGTACCTATTCTTGACATCGTTCGCAACTTTGCGTATACGCATCACGTGTATTGTTATAAACAGGGTATCCCAGGAATAAGTGCAAGTATTTTAAAGGGTGGTAGATCTCGATAAAAGAAACATATTTTCTCTTTATCGTTTTTCAAATAAGCCCAAAATAACGGAGTTATTTTACTTTGAAAATTTCCAAAAAAAAAATTATTTTTTGCTAAAATTTTGAGAAGCTTCTTCTTCATGTGCCTTCTCCTCATCGGAGGTTGGCGACCATCAATTGCTATTCCTCCCTGTCTTGAGCCAAACGGATAATTGCACTGGCCTCTCCTATATTAAACCACTGGCGCAAATTCCGCAACCAGCAAAGCTGTTTACGCCCGATGCCTCGTTTCTGATTCAATCTTTCCCTCAACGATCAGCTGTAGGAAACTATATTTGTTATTTCGAAAAATATGACCAAAATATGCTGCTTTCCGTCGTTTTATTGTAGTTAATAGTTCTTGGTCCTTACACATTCTTTCCAATATTTCGAGATTTGTTTGAACCACTGGATCTTTTCTGGATTTTCTTTCTTGTTAATTTAATCTACTACCTATGTTGCCATATATTATTAAGAAATTATGGTTTTTAAATAAAAACTAAAAAAATACCAAAAAATTTTTCAAAAAATTCCGATTTTTCAAGAAAAATGTATTTAGAAAAAAACCTTATAGTCGTGTTTCTGGGGTTGAACTATACTACCAGTTAAGTTAAAATACTTGCACGTATTTCTGGGACACCCTGTATATGGGTACATAGTAGCGCCACGGCACATAAAACAATCGGCACGCCAACTCTACTCAGATTCCATTGTTTAAAATTTCTATAAAACTTGACCTTGTCGGCGCCATTATTGTTTCCTAGTCAGGGCCGGATTAAAACGTATCAAAAAATTTCTCAGAAAATACGACAGGGTCGTATTAAAAAAATACTGTAATTGACTGAAACTGAATTTTATTTACAATACTTTTGTCCAAACAAATGAATCGTTAACCGCGCATACTTCTCCAAAAGTAAAAATGAAAAAATCAATTAAATATTTCACTGTAGAGAATAGACAATTAAAATTAAAAAACATGCAACTAACAAAAACATGCCAGGAGTTACAAACAAGAATTAAAGAAATACCAATAAAATATTTATTGAACAATATAAAGAGGCTACGTACAAATTATGCCCATCAATGGGCGTAGCAAATTTTATTAATATTCAAATTTCACAAATTAATAAATCCACAATTTTTTTTGAGAAACTTCTATTTTTTTCATGGCAGGAAACAGTAGGTACCGCATTGTATTTTATACGGTTACAAAGTGAATTGGTAAACATTTTAAATTCAAAGTGAACAGAACGCAACCTGTACTTGTGGGCCTTATTTATATCTTCAATCAAGTCTTCTCTATTAGCTGCAATTGCCCATGTTCTTGCCCTAAAAATGTATTGTTAACTTATTTTTGATATAATCATTTTATTTATTTTTATAATTATATTTAAATGAATAATATAATGATTTTTAAAATTAATTTTTAATGTCTAGATTCTAGATACAACATTAAATTTTATTTTACTAAATATTTAACATTAAATCTTACTAATATTAAAGTTTGTTAAGATTTTTAATTAGATCTTCCTATTTAGCTGAATGTCCTAATATGTATACTACTGTTTTTTTTTTCACAACTAAAATATGTTAAAATAATTAATCACATATATACATACCTAATAGGATCTCTAGGAAACAGAAAGAAACTTTTATTGAACAACAAAAATAAAACTACTAAAACAAATTATATTACATAATAATAATAATAGCTCCCGTATATAGCGTTTGACGCCTTGGGAGTAGCAAGGTACAGCTTGCCATACTAGAGCCGTTCGGTATACAAAGGAAGGTAATGTGGCTAGCACTACGCTTCAACCGCCTATTATTACCTCAGGATTGTGAATCCCAAGTACTCATTTAAGGCTGAGTCGACTTAGGTACCCAAACCATTTTTATTTTAATAAAAATTGTCGGCTGATGAAATGCCGGGTGTGGGATTCGAACCCACTACCTTGAGATTGGTAGACGAGAGCCTGTACCTCTACGCCACCGGGCACCTATTGGCAACTATATTACATCAGAAACGAAAATAAAACTAGAAAAACCAAATATATCACATAATAAACAAAAATAAAATAACAAAAACAAAATATATCACTCAAGAAAAAATCAAAATAAATTAAGCCGCACGCTACTGACTCGAATCTGCCGTAACTGTGTGTTGTCGCTGAAAAAACTACGACACTGGTTACTTTTTGTTGATGGAAACGCAAATGGCGGCGTGCGCGAAGATATGCGCGTAGCGTTCCCGCCAAAGCGAGTTAGCCTGCCGTGTGATTTATATGCCGTGGTAGCGCCGCGCCGCCTCGCGCTTATAACCTTGAAAAATTAAAGTGTGTTATCAAATCGGCTAGTTCACAGTGAAAGCAGGTAGGCGCCGTCAACCAGCGTTCATCGGCGTTCTCGCTTTTACCGGAAAGAAAATTTATTTATTTCTGCTTTTGCACGCGTCGACGGCGCACAGAGGGTATTAAGAACTAAAACTTGGCCAAAATTATGTTTTATGATTTTTTTGTTTTTTTGCTAGTAATATTAATTATTAGAGGAGAGGGTGCTAATATGGAACCCCATTTTGTTTTTCCTACACAATACTTTTTCCTCTACTCTGAAACCCTTTCCACCGATCAAATAGGGCCATTCTGTGCAAAACCAAGCAATTGGATGAGGATGCTAGAACAAGAAAGTAATTTGTATATTATAGACGATATTTGAGCGAGGATGGGTGTTATAGGGTAAAGACTAATTCCTTTAAGAATCTATTTAAATTAATGTTTTTTTTGGCAGTGGCAAATATTGGCAAGATTTTTGTACATATTCCAAAGCTGGAGACTTTAAGCATTGAACGGATACTAATTTCCATGCGGAATATTGCGGAATAGTCTTACACCTTATAAAAATGCCTCTGATTTTTTAAATATAAAACATTATAAAGAAATAGAATAGAAGGAAACGTTTCAAAATAAAAATATGGCATAAAACAGGACTTGCCAGCTGGCTCTGTATCCATCATGACAGTTATTATAAACAATTTAAATAAATAGAAATATTCAGAATACACTCAAGATAATTCATACTTATAATTGAAATATATTATTTATTTGATAGTCAACTTACGACTTAAAAAAAAGCTAATAAACGCGCTTACATTTAGTATTTATAGATTTGTGTTCAGTTATGATAAAAAATGAAAATAAAAATATTTCACTTTTGGCCAGGTTTATAGACCAAATACTCCTATGTGCGGCGTTTGAATATGGTTAGGTTAGGTTAGGTTAGTTAATCAGGTAAATTTCCTATTAATTAACTACTTCCGAACCCTGCTCGCATCTCCGAAAAAGCCATATAACAATACACGGCATATACGCAAAGTTACGCATCACGTGTATTGTTATTTGGCTTTTTCGGAGATGCGAGATGTGAGCGATATTTGAAGATGCGAGATAATGCGAGTGGTCAAGAATAGGTCCCCAGAGACGGCGCTGGTTGCCGGAAAGCAGAAACCTGCCTCCACTATGTTCGTACCCTTATCCGACGATACGATGATACGATATTAATTTTATTGGTTTAATTTAAAGAGTTTGATTGGTTAGAAAATTATGCAGTTTTTAAAATTATTGCATTTTCATGCCTCCGTTCATCGGATGTACGATTTGCTTGTGATTGGTGTTATTTTATATTTTCATTTCTATAAAGATTTCGCTGTTTTACTTATAGTTTAAAAGCTAGCAACGTTTTCGAGAGAGAATTTTAAGAAAGCTGGTTCTTTAATATATCTTTTGCTATGCTCTCCTGAACAGAGCGCGGACCGTCTGGCTGCCGGTAGACGTTGCGTTCTCTACTGCGCATCATATCTATTCTGTATTCAACATCTGTTCACTACTGCGCATCACAAATTCGCCCTGTATTTCAGGAACTATGGAGGCTAGGACAAACCTATGTATAGCGTATTTAGTTTCATAAAAAGGTAGCAAAGTAATGTGAAAATCGCATCATTGTATCTATTCATAAACAAGAAATCCTATAAACCACACGAAAATGGGATACCCTGTACAGATGTGATGCGCAGTAGTGAACCGCAGTAATCTACCGGCATCCAGACGGCCCGCACTTTGGTCAGGAGAGCATAGCAAAGGATATCTTAAAAAAAAGCTTCTTAAAATTCTCGTTTTCCCGACGGTGCTAGCTCTTGTACTATTATATTTTTATTAAGGTTAGATTAAGTTTGTCAAAAAAGTGTCAACACGTCCGTTATCGTACGATCTTTCTCCGTTGACCGGCTGGAGTAAAAAATTTACGGATGAAAAATGGCGCGAAAACGCTATGACCAATCAGAGCGCCGGCCGTGACCATCGTATCAACAGATAACGGACGCATGAAAATCAAGCTTTAGTGTTATATTTTGCCCCAATTACTAATCCTAAAATTCTCTAACACAGTATTGCCATGTATTTCAACCATTGTTGGTCGCTCTGTATTTTTTAGTACAATGACGAAGTCCTGAAGTTGCAATCTAGCATCTTCGTTTGGAGAATAAAAAATCTAACAACTGTGTCTAAAGAAAAACAGAACGAAAATATAGAACATTTTAAATATGAATCTGACAGATTTTTCCTTAAGTGTATAGATCTAATGGGAAACGAAGATATCTCCACAAAAATCAAGGTAAATATTGTCTTAAGTTGTGAACTTTTTTCTATTTTGTATTTTTTTAGGCTTTCGAAAGATACTTGGATACTTCAATAAATGTTTGTGATGTTCTGGAACATGCTGGTAAACAAATTCAAGGTTTGGATGAACTAAAACCTTCGTTGAACGAGGATCTGATAGCTCAGCAACAGTTGATTGATGTACTTGAATTAGTACTTATTTCTAGCGATAGTAACTTAATTATATCATTATTATCTATTTTTCACTAATCGGTATATTTAATTTTTCAGTTCCTGTACAAACCCGTCAAAAATATATCGCAAATTTTGTCAAAATTGCTGGTTTCGGTGTTTTACCCATGAAAATAGTTTCTAACATTTTCAAGTACTATCAAAAAGTAGGTAACCTTACAACCACTTAAAAAAAACAATTAGATACATTATTTTTTTTTTAATTAAAATTAATAATGAATCTTTGCTTCTGACTTTTTTGTTATTATTTCTCCTTTTATTGGTTTTATTTTATACATTTATCTATACCTAATACTATTTTTGTATTTTTTTTAATTTATTAAGAGAATAATATTTGTTTTGAATGTTCTTACTTTTTAATTAACTTCTGTCATTTTTCGAAAATTCTTTTTTAATATCTTTTTTCGTGTTTATTTTTTGTGGTTTATTTTTTTTACTTTAATTATTTCTATTTACATTTAAGAAACACAATGGTGGGCATATTAAAAAGCGATGTTGCAACATAATTCTATTTCTGTTTAATTTTATACTGTATATTTAATATACAGAGTGTGCCAAGAAGTTCGTAACAAATGAGAAAAACATTATTATTGAGTTATTGAAGGAAAGTTTATTGAGAATTACTTCAGCATACCGAATAACAGGAAAGATCATTTTGACATAGTATGTATGTTCATGCAACAACAATCAGAAAGAAATGTTTTTATGCTGTATACAAAGTGTTCTGTATTGACATTCTAATATTTAAGAGAGTGATTTATGTCCAAAAAAGTTGTCCCTTGATTTTTTTTATCCGACGTATAGTTTTTGTTTAAAGAATTAAAGTCTTAGAGAGTTATTATAAATAAAATGGATTTTTAGAAAATTTTACCACCCTGTATCTATATGTAAAGTTAAGATGTTTAGACATATTTTTTTAACATTCATATGAAAGTTTTTTGTAGAATATGTCCAAGAATTACTCCCTTAAAAGCATGTCATTAAGGAACACTTTAACGCTTCTCATATGGGTCACTAAGAAACCAAATGACCATAACTTATCATTATATGATTTTCATTTCTTTTCATTTTTATAAAGATACAACAAAAAAATTTTGTGCATTAAAAAAATGATTTTTATGCATAGAAGACTATTTTAAATATTATAAAGATGTCTATAATAACATCAGAATCATTATAAAAAAGTTTTTTTTAGAAAATTTTACCATTCTGTATCTCAAAAATTAAGATGTTTAGAACATACATTCATATGAAGGTTTTTCGCAGAATATGTCCAAAAATTAGCCCCTTAAAAGCATGCCATTAAGGAACACTTTAAGGGCTTCTCATATGGGTCACTAATAAACCAAATTATCATAACTTGTCATTATATGATTTAATTTCTTTTCATTTTTGTAAAAATACACCAAAAAAAATTGTACATTAAAAAATCATTTTTTTGCATAGAAAACGTGTATCAAGTATTATAAAGATGTCTATAATATCATCAGAGTCATTATAAAAAAGTTTTTTTAGAAAATTTTACCATCCTGTATCTCAAAAATTAAGATGTTTAGAACATCATTCGTATGAAGGTTTTTCTTAGAATAGGTCCAAGAATTAGCCCCTGTCATTAAGGAACACTTTAAGGGCTTCTCATATGGCTCTCTGAACGTTTAACAAATATAATAAAGATGTCTGTAATAACATCAGAGTCATTACGAAAAAGTTTTTTTAGAAAATTTTAGCAACCTGTATCTGAAAAGTTCAAATGTTTCTGAAATTGAGCATACTGAAGAAGTTATGCATCAACTTTCGTTCAAAAACTTTCTAACAAAAACTCTTTTTTGACACACCTTGTATAAGTATAGTTTATACCGTGCAACATTTCATTTTTTAGTACGACAACGACTATGGACAGTTGATAGAACAAATCTTAACTAGAATATGGGAAAGTGAAAAAAATTGGGTGCCAGTGTTAGTAATCAATTCTATTGTATTATTATATGAAGCCTACATCAGAAGGCACGATGCTATTGACATACGATCCGAGGATGCCAAAGACATACTGGTAAAAATATAATAATCAATCTTATTTTCAAATTATTTTTTAGATCATATCAAATAAACTTTCAGTCACGTGATTAAGCTTAACTATCACAGCGTTGCTCACTTTTTCATATTTTTTATTAATCAAAATATTTTAGGAAACAAAAATAAATTAGTTATAAATACCGGGTGTTGCATCGTCGGACGGGACATAGGAAATCCCATGTAAATTTTCATGGGGTCAATTATTGGCTTCCCTAATTATTTTAGAGAATAATTCTATTTAGGTTTATTGAAGAGCATTAAAACCCACATTCAAAAGAATAACTTTAGATATTTTTGATTAGCTCGTTTACGAGTTATTGCCGATTTCTTTTTAAATATTTCTCCTTTCTTATGGCCCTGTATTTACTTATGAGCACCAGTCAGGGTAAAAGATAACTGTCAAATGCAGTTGTCATTTCAGAAATTTACCTATTTAGTGCTTTATTCTTATTGAAAACTCATTCCTACATCGGAAATCTTAAAGATGTATTTATAAATACAAATTAATATGAATTAAAGTAAAATAAAGTAATCAATTACAAGGTTAATTATAGTGTTATTACAATATTCAATAACTTATTAATTTCGGTACTATTTATTAAATTGTTAGAACTTTAGGATTTAAGATGTTCAAATATTCCTCCATCGACTGCTAGACAATAACCCAGGCGATCATAAAATTCTCTTCTTACATTCGCTAGTTGGTAAACTGAAATTCTATTGCATTCGGCAGAAATAGCATTTTTTAACTCGGCTAGATTTGGGTATTTTTTATCCTTGTATATCCTGTTTTTTAAATGGCCTCAGAGAAAGAAATCATTTGGCAAAATATCAGGAGACCTTGCTGGCCAATTTACTGTATGATTTAGGCCAATAACGTTTCCGTTAAAACTATTGCCTAAATATTCCCGAACAGCCAGGGTACTATGTGCCGGGCAGCCATCCATTTGGTACCAAACTTCCTGATTTTCCCTAGCGGCATCATGTAAAGCAGGTAAAATATGATTTTCGAGTAGTTCCAAATAATATTCTGCATTTAAATTTCGCGTAAGAAATTATGGCCCGATAATATTGTGTCCGAATATCCCTGCCCAAACATTTACTTTTATGGATATTGCATTACTCTGTGGATATTGCGTCCTTGTTTCAACAAACCTGTGTTGGTTTTCTTTTTTCCAATATCGATAATTTTGAACATTGGGTTCATTATTTAAGGTAAACGTGCATTCGTCAGTGAAACATATGTTTTTTTTTTCTAAAATCCCTATCCGGGTTTGCTCTTTCCATCATATCAAAACAAAACGCCTGCCGCCGTATTTCGTCCCCATCTCGTAGCTCTTGGTGCTTTTCATATTTGAAGGAATAGTATTTATGTCGTTTCAAAATTCGAAACGTTATTCCTATTTCATCCTCAAGTTTCCTTGTGCTGATCTTTCCATCGTTCTCCTCCACGCACAATAAAACTTCCAAGTCAGTTTCATTTTTTGCATCTTCTCTTTGTTCCTGCCTTGCTTCACATCTGCAGTTATTTATTAGGGTACCTTTGGTGTCAAATCTCTGGATATTCCTTGCGATTGAAGATTTTCCAGGTATCGGTCTATTCGGATACAGAGCAGCAAACATGTCCGACACCTTTTGATAACTATTTCCTTGTACACTTCGCACTAAAAGAGGTTCTAAAAAGAACAATGTTCGACTGCAAGGTCTGCTAGTAAACTTTTTTAAACTTAAAAACATCACAACACAATTCGTTAAAACCAAAAACTCGTAATCACAAAACATCCCCCTTTAGAACTTCGTCTATCATGTTAAGAAATGAAAGTAAATAATAAAGCGCCTCTCGTGTTTGTTCGCACTCTAAAAATTTCAATTAATGCCTGTATATATTTTTAATATATTTTCTAAATTTACATTTTTTTAATTGTAAAATAATATATTACATTTAAATGGAATATATTACATAACAATTATGTCAATTACAGGATTACAAGCTTGTTTTCTAACATTTTTTAAATAAAACGAATTATAAAATTTCAATATATGTATATTTGTCGTAGGTATGAAAAAAGTAAAATATAAAATGGACAAACGCTTACTTACATTGCAATAAAACTTCCACTTTTAGTTTTGCAATCCAAACGCAGTATTTCTATTTCACAAATAAAAATATCCGACAACACTAAAATCACTGAAACTTCCGCGGCTGACAACGAAAACTGTAAAATATAACGGTACTTTTTGTTTTGGACCTGCATATCAACATTACGCTGTTCTATTATGTATTTGTTGTTGAAATAATATAAAATATCTAATTATAACTTGTAAATTTTAATATTTTAACATGATTTTAACTACTTTTGGCAATAACTAACTTTTTGTTATCAAGATGACATTTTAGACGGCAACTGACATATATATGTCATAATATTTGAATCTTATGTATGTAATATAATTTAAATTACTATAATGCAACTTTATACTAAGAAAACATTTATACAGTCACAAAATACAACAAAGTCTAATAATATAGTTTGAAAACAATGAATATTGAATTAAAATTGAAAAAGTTAAGCGCGACCCCTTGTGTCAAAATTAGATGATTAAATTTTTGCAATTTTTACACCATTTGATGACCGGTGGCGCCTCTAGTGTTTGTTCGGGCGGTTGGTCTTTTACTCCCGCTTATGGCCATTAAAGAAAAAGTTCTAAAGAGGGATGTTTTGTGCTCGTAATACAGAACTAAAGTGTCAAAACGAAGACAATGTCAGGAAATAAATAAATAAATGTAGCAACTTGACATTTTTTACAGCAAAGCTACCACCTGAATCTTCAGGGGGGAATTTAAATTTCAGTTAGTCATCCTGGCGCCGAATATGTCCGTGGTTGGCAACAATGATTTTAAAAACCGCGCCCTCGATTACGTAACTAAAAGTTTAATTGGTATCGAGTATAGTTTATTGTATTACAAAATAATATTTTTACTATATTACTAATTATTTGATATATTTTGTAGAAACTGTGCAGGAAATTTGCAGATTTTAAAATGGTCAGCAATCCGGACTGTGTCGTAAAAATAATGTATTTTGCCATAAACTACGCCATAGGCAAAAAATCCTACGACATTTTGCTGTTTGTTAAAGTGTTTACTGCTTGTCTCAGTACTGAGAAACGCAACGTACTGTAAGTAAAAATGAATTAATAAAAACTATTATTAAACATCGGAGTAAAGCGACTTTGGACGAGACGAGCGTTTGGACGGGTGAACGTCTGATGAAATTGTTTTACGCTTGTTACAAGGCAAATGTTTTAGCAAAAGCCTTTCATGTGTAATAAGTGGCAGAGGAATCTGCTCTATAGTATATACAGACTATAAATATATTTGTCAGCATTCATGGAATACAGGATACAAAATCGATTGAATAATAATAATAATAATAATAACAACAATGAAACAATTTTAAAATTTTTTAAATTTTAAAATAAAAATGGAAAAACCAAAGTGTTATATTAAGGGTGTATTCCGTTGCTTACCTTCGTTATGGTTTTATGTTACGTTTCAATCGGTTTCCTGAAAGTTTTCTTATTACGGAACACGGTTTCTGAAAAATTCGGTTATAATAACTGTCATCAAACTAACCAGCGCGAGAAGGCGTTTTTCTGGTTTTTTTTGTCAATCAATGTCATTTATGTGACAGAAATTAAGCAAATATTGGAAGTTCGAGTGAAATTCTCATTTAATTTGTAAAATTTGTAATAATATTTTGTATTTACATCCAAAAGCAATGGAGGTAGGCAGTAAAGGTAAATAAATTTCATTAACTAAATAGAATGAATTTTTAGGGCCAACATGAAAAACAAGACAACAAGTAATCGTGAATGTTTTGTAAGCTGTAAAAATATAAATATTGATTAGATTTGTTTATTTATTATTGATCTGTTTTAATATTGGACCTACAAATCTTCACTTGAGCTGTCTAACGAGTTTAACAGTTTATTAATAAAGTACTTTTCAATATTAAACTCCATTGAAAAGAAAAAGCAAACGTAAAAGCAGAGAATAGGTACATTAAAAATGCATAAAAGATAAATTTTATAATAGAGGTATTGAAATTTAGAAAACGTCAACATTTGACGTTTCCAGTATTTTACCAAACCGTTCCGTATCAAACCGATGTTTTTCAGGAACCGCTCGGACGTAGTTGACCAGTCTGGTTCGCCTGGTTTTGCAACGGAGTACAACTTAAATCAAATACCTACTATAAATTTGCAATGTTTAATTTTGTTTGTTTTTTAATAAAATTGAGATAAAATATGTTAAAAAATTCCGGATTACTGTATTTTTGATAGGCTGGATCATCTGAGGAGATTCGTGCCCGCTGAAGAGGCAAAAAACGACGCGTTGCTTTACTTTAGCAATTCTTTGAAGGCTTCCTCTGCCGCTAATCGTACTATGGTAACACCAGCCAAGACTCCACAGAAAACTCCTACAAAACGAGGTAAGTTTTTAAATCAGAGAAATAAGTCAACGTAGATGCGTCCTCATTTATAACCTCTTCGTTTTATAGTCTATATGTTAAAGAGAAATGGCAGAGAAATGCAGTTTTATTTTACGATAAAAAAATTGAAAAAAAAAGAAAAAATTTGGATGTCCTCTAGGTTAACTTATTTTTCTGGGATTTTTCAATATACTTTTAGAGCGTCTTTGATTTTTTTTCTTTATTTAGGTAGACCTCCAAAACTTGGAAAAACTGAAAAGAAACAGCAAAAAAGACAGAGTAGTACTCAAAAAAAGAAAAATAATTCGATTGTAAAAAATATCGTAGATTTGACAGGCGAGGAAACGCGAAAAAGACAGAGTAATACTCAAAATAACGAGAATAATTCGACAGTAGAAAATGACGTAGATTTGACAAGCGAAGAAAGTACATAAAAGTGTCTTTTATTTATTTGTTGATTTGTTTTGCATAGTTTCTCTTATTATATAAGTTATTTTTACATTAAGTTACATTTTTATCTCTTAAAATTAGATATTATGAAAAACATATTTCTAAAGTACGTTATTAAGAACTTTAGCTATTATTTAGTTGCGTGTTTAGTACTTTTAAGTAGAATTTTTATTATTGTTTTTGGTTTTACTTGCATCATTTATTGAATGTTATATTTGGTATTTAATTTATTATTAGAAATTATTGTTACAATAATGTATGTTTATAATTAATACGATTTAAAACGTTTTTTTAACTCCACCAAATATGGTAATGTTTAGCAATAAATTCTATAAAAGGTAATTTCTCTTATCTAAATTAATAAAATTCAAAATCTCCTGTTTTTTTGAATATCGTCTACTAGAGAGGTCGGCTGTTATCGATAGCCAACCCTGTCGATAGTTTTCATAGTCCCACGAGAGATTGTCGATACTATCGATAGTGCACAGTACTATCACAACCGTTACCAAACTAAGCTGACATAGTCCGTATTTTACACCTTAAGTATATATGATCTAGGATTTTACATTACACATTTCCACCCAAAATATATAATAAATTATCTGTTGTCGGCTGATATCAATAAAAACACAATTATAATGAAACAAATTACATTTTTTTACTTCCATGAAAACTACTTTACAGCGTGTCTAATAGAGCTTACTAGAATTACTAGCTCATTTATCCGTAGTTACTGGCTCATGTATCCGTTATTACCTAGAACGTAAAAAATTACACATTGCAATGTTTTTACACGAAAAAACTACGTACCGTAAAATGGGGTGAATAGAAACATAGTGGTGAATAGAAACAAAATTTCTGAAAAAAATCAAATCACGATTAAAAATATTCAAAGTAAAAAGAGTCGACATATCTAATTTTTCTATCATTGGTAATACACAATAAAATGTAAAAACTATATTTTTATCTGTGGCAGCACTGTTTCTGTCAATCAGCTGATCAATAAATGTGAGATCGATTTATCACCTATTTTGTATGGCGCGAAAACTTTATAAATAAAATATTTATTTTTAAAGTAATACATAAGCTGGTACATGTAAGTTGTCATATTATATGTATTGTTATTTATTGTTAAACCTACTTAAATATGTAATAATTTACTGTTTCTAATCACCTTGTTGGAAGTAGAATAGATAAAAACCTAAACATCAATGTGTGTTTCTATTCTCCCCAATAGCAGGTGAATAGAAACACAAATGTTATTTTTATTTAATATTTATATGCATATTTTTCAAAAATCAAATTATATGTATACGCCAAGAACAAACAAAGACCCATGTTTTAAAATATTCGGGAAAATAATACCACATTTTTATCAACCGGTATATCGCTAATAACCTACGAAACTGTTTCTATTCACCCCATTTTACGGTATTTGTTTTGCATTGCGGTTTTTACGCACCCACTCCTGATTTTAGTTTTTTAAATCGCATATCCTATTCGATTTAAAAAAGTAAAAGATTTGAAAACTATCGATTATTACCTAAAAACTCGATAGTTCTCGATACTAACGCACTATCGATAGATCCCATCACTATCAACAAGCCACGCCAAAAGATGTCGCTGTTTTTGACAGCTTCAATCAAATACATTTAAATTTACATATACCGCGGCCTCCCCATAAGAGCAATGAGAGAATTTATGTCCCAGGATTGAAGGACAGAAGATCGAGTTTGACATAAGTCCATCCTTGTTCAGTAGCTGGATGTAATGCACATGCGCCGAAATGCTACTTTTTCTATTGGCCGAATGGTGTCGAGATGGGTTATCGATTTATTTTTGGACGCGTCGTCGGCGTGGATTTTGTTTTCAGTTTGGACTTGGGCAGTCGCCATTGGTGTCATTAGTGTTTTCTCTAACTTTCTGTGTTTTCCACGTGTACTGTGTTTTCGTTTGTATTTTAATCTTTGTGCGTTTATTGACAATTTTGTGATTTAGTTTTAAAGACTTTTCCTGTAGTTTAATTAATAGAACAATGGGAATGGGCTACTTTATATTTAGTGTTACTATTTTAAAATAAAAAAGACATTATAATGTAAAGACTAAAAATAGAGACTACATAAGGCTAATTATAATGCTTACACAGTTACACACAGACTGTCTTATTGTAAATTATTATTGTTTTTTTTTTCATAATATAAAAGAGTATTTACAATGCAACAATGTAAATAATTATATTTTTTGTATCTAGCTTGATTTATGTATAAACTTAATATGTACATACTTTTAGTTATATTTGTTTAATAAAAAATATGTTAATAATAAAGAATTACTTTTGTTTCATTTTAAACCAGGACTGATGTTGATTATTGATCATAAATACATGGGCAGTAAAAGAAACAATAGACAGTAAAAAATGTACTGTTATACTTTGTTTTGCTGCAATTTTTAAGTCGAGTGAAATAGATATGCAATTTGTAATACTAAGTTCTTAAGACAGTTCCTTAATTGAGGTTTTACTAAATTATTTTTTGAATTTTAAAAAAAGTGAAATAGATATGCAATTTGTACTACGAAGTTTTTAAGACAATTTCTTAATAATTGTGGTTTTACTAAATTATTTTTTGAATTTAAAAAAAAAATATCGTACCTGTCACTTTTTTTCATTCGTTTTATTTAATAATAATTGTCTAACACAACAAAGTCTACTTAGAACGATATGATATAAATATAAATGAGTTCATTAAAAAATGGTCTGATTAAAATTAGTACCTAAATAAGCAAAAATTATCCCCTCATAAAACAAGAAATTAAGGAGTTCAGTAAAAGGATTGCAACTATATATTTTATTCAGTAAATTTTCATAATAGTAAGTATAAAAGCACAATCTCTAAAACGACAATATGAATAATGTATATTAAGATTTAACTCGAGTTTCAGTGAAAAAACTATATTGATATTAAAATATTTTAATACCTTCAGAATACTAATTACATACCATAAAATAGGAGTTTTTCGATGCGGGAAGCCTATCTAGAAAAAGAATTTTAGAAATCAGCAATGGGATTCTGTAAGCTCTGTAGCAAGAAATTTCCTATCGAGCCTATGCTATTTGTATACGATTGATGAGTCACTAGACAGGGAAATGTTTACAGAATCGCACTGCAGATACCTATTACGCTACTAGGAGCCCCCCATTGTGAGACAGATATAAAATAATTTTTATATACCTATTCCATAGCCTATTTTTTTAAATGTCTGTAATATTTATAATAAACTTATTTTAACGAGTAGAAGTATTGCACCAGCATCAAAATTAACACTACTTGTAAAAAACTGTTGCTCCTTGAGTTTGTAATAGATATAAACAAAATAAACATTCGAAAATAACTAAATCGAAGATATCTGAAAACTTTTGGTTGAAAAAGTGTTTTGCCATAACATGTTGGATACGATTAAAATATCTCAATTGATAAATATGCGCATAATGTTACATTATCAAACTTATTTGATTTCAGAATATTTAACAAAAAACTTCCAATTTTTCGAAAGATTTAAAATTCAATTATTAGAACGTGTTTAACCTCAACTTAAAATAAATAAAACCAAAACAAAACATATCATATGATTTGGAACTGTCCAATCAAAGTGCTTACAGATCGAGCAAGCGCAGAAAACCTCCTCCCGAACAAGGATAGACTTATGTAGGAAATGCATTGACATTCTATAGCCATCCTTCAACATCGGGACAGGAATTTAAGCGGTACTCTCCGTATATTTTATTAAAACGTATTTGGCTTCAATACATTTCTATTTTCTATCTCATTCGCTGAAAAAAATAGTATCCTTTTCTAATGACGTTCACTGACACTTCCATATATGGATAACATAACCGCTATAAAATTCAACGATTACTAAAGTGAATAGAAATAAGTGCCAAGAATCTTTATAAGGGTAATTTCACAATTTCCTACTTTGTGTTGTACTTTTTCAACGGTCCTAGACAGTGCCTAACTATTTTAGTCCGAGACTTCGACGTTATTTTGGTATTTTTCCAAAACCGGAACTAAGGGCCTAAAAAATGTCCTACGCCTGCAGTAAGTATTGTGTTTTGCTATTTTGTTTATTATTGTTTGGTTTACGTGCGAATTTCAGAAAGTATTTATGCAACTTTGCCTAAAACCCAAAGAGGTCAACCACTTGTTTTGGGTGGAGATCCCAAAGGGAAGAACTTTTTATATACTAACGGAAATTCAGTTATAATAAGGAATATTGCAGTAAGTATTTATTCTGGTAATTAACAACTAAGTATGTAGCTTTTAAAAAGTTTAAATAATGAAAATTAATGTATTTTTAGAACCCAGCAATTTCTGATGTTTATACCGAACATTCTTGCCTAGTGAATGTTGCTAAATATTCACCCAGTGGATTTTACATCGCTTCTGGAGGTGGAGTATATTTATTTAAACTTTTATTCAACTTACATTCAGTATATTATGATTAATAAAAGAAATATTTCATAGATTAGGTTATCTTTTTATAAGGCGTCTTAAAAATACCTGTTTTCTATAGATCAATCAGGAAAAGTACGGATCTGGGATACAGTAAACAAAGAGCACATCCTTAAAAATGAATTCCATCCTTTCGGTGGCCCCATCAAAGACATTGCCTGGTCCCCTGATAACCAAAGAATGGTTGTTGTGGGAGAAGGCCGTGAAAGGTTCGGGCATGTTTTTATGTCAGAAACCGGCACGTCAGTTGGAGAAATCTCTGGACAGTCCAAACCAATCAATTCGTGCGATTTTAGACCTGCTAGGCCTTTTAGGATTATCACTGGAAGTGAAGATAACACTATTGCTGTGTTTGAAGGACCTCCATTCAAATTCAAGATGACCAAGCAGGTATTTTTATTTGGTTTTGTTTTATTTTCTATTGTTTAGGGAATGACTAATGGTTCTGATCTGATAATGAGTCATAATGAGAAATTTAAATAATGAAAATAGCTTAAATATGCAAATAAGATATTTAAATTTTAAAGATTAAATATTTTGGCTATCCTTAGTTTGTAACTGGTTCATTTCTTTAAATTCTTGGTAATATTGTCACTCAGTGAAATAAAATAAAGTCCCTTCAATGAGAAAATTCATGACATTGACAGTTCTCTAACATTTTTATAGACTCCCAGGTCTAGTCTGACGTCACGTCAGTGGGCGCAGTTTGAGATCTTTAGAAACACAATTAACAGTTTGACAACTTTTTTTGAGATGTTTTACTAATTTGTGAACCTAGATCTTTTACTACCTTGTTAAAAAACTAGGTATTTTACACGTAAAAAATTGTTTTTATACTAAGGTTTTTTAATCCTTCACATCCCTGGTATACCGCGTATTTTTCAAAAGTTAGATAAAAAAATGAGATTTGGTACTTTAGCATTTGATTCACTGTACAATTAGTTTTATCCACTTTATGTTTCACTGGAAACTACTACAACTTTTGATTTTTAAATGGTGCCTTATTCAGTATTATCTTACTTTATTTCATAGAAAAGTACAATCTGAATAATAAAGTAAAAAGATATTGAGGGTACATTTTAAAAATCAAAAGTTTTAGTAATTTCCGGTGAATCCGGAAGTGACAGATACTAACTGAATACGTCAATCAATCCCAATTTATGTTATATACTAACATACCAAATCTCGTGATTTTATCTGAAAAAATAATGAAGTTATAGAGATGAACGACTATTGAAAAACACCCGGTATAGGAAAAAATCAATTTAATTTTTTTGCAAAAAAAACACTAGAAAATTGAAGACATTGACAGTTGTCTGTCATTTTTATAGACTGACTAAGTCTGACGACACGTCAACAGGCGGAGCTTGAAACCTTTAGAAAGAATAGAGATTTTAGAGTTGTGACAGATTGCCACAGATTAACTTAGTTTATGGTTTTACTGGTTCTCTGAAAGTAAATATTTTTCAGTTTTTACGGTTTCGTGAAACATACCTCATAAAAAACTAGGCATTTTACATGTAGTTACTTAGTTTTTACGCTGTAGTTTTTAAGGATTTATGTCACTTTAATTTTTTCTGCAAAGGACCACTCTAGATTTGTCCAAGCCGTCCGGTATTCACCGTCTGGTAACCTGTTTGCTTCCGCTGGATTCGATGGGAAAGTATTCCTCTACGACGGCACATCTTCCGACTTGGTAGGAGAGGTAGGCAGCCCAGCACACGCGGGCGGTGTGTACGGGGTTGCCTGGAGTCCAGACGGTAAGCAACTGCTTACAACTAGCGGCGACAAAACCGCTAAACTTTGGGACGTGGAAACCAGACAAATCGTTTCAGAATTTAAATTGGGCAACGCTGTAGAAGATCAACAGGTAAGAAATAGATTTTTTTTAGATAAATATGTAAAATTTTAAATTTTTTAAGGTGTCGTGTCTCTGGCAAAACGAATATCTGCTCTCTGTGTCGCTGAGTGGGTTTATTAACTATTTGGATGTGAATAATCCAGATAAACCTCTTAGAATTGTAAAGGGCCACAATAAGCCTATTACTGTATTAACTTTAAGCGAGGATCGTACTTCTATCTTTACTGGATCTCATGATGGTATTGTGACCAGGTGGAACACTGAGAATGGTGAAAATGAAAAGGTATGTAAAATTATATGATTATGTTTGGTTGTATATATGGATGGTGGAAGTATATTTTGGTGGAAGTATATTTTTTACTCAGTAGTTTTATACAGGTACGGACAAAAAGTTATTACTCTTCAAACCAGTTAAAAAATATGTAGGAGTTGAGGCTATGAGAAATTACTGGAAATTATTTTCAAGTTTGTAGAACGGCCGCTAGAGAGCGTAACTGCTAGGAAAAATAAGAAAATAGAAGTTTTACAGAATTTTGCCTAGATAAAGGGTGCTATAAATAATAGCTTAATAATCTTCAATAAATTTTGGATTTTTTTGTCAGTACCATTTTCCCCTATCTGCTAAGATAAAGTGGTGGGGGAAGGTTAGATCTATCTTTATTTAAATGTTAATAACTCCGGACTGGATGATCAGAATCCAACAAACGAGGGCTCGTTTAAAAGAGCGTTCCTTACTCTATATTATACCATAAAAATAATAATAATAAGCTTTTGAGCGTAGCCGCTAGGGGGCGCTGTCTTACAATTAAACAAACATTGCGCGTTTTTTCAAAAAAATTAAATGCAATAGTATATACAATTTAGCTGATAGTAAAGAGTAATAAAAGCTTAAAAAGTCAGCGAAATCCGTATCTTGATATCTTCTTTTAAACCGAAGATATTAGCAATATTATAATAAATACATCACCTATTGTATTTGTTATAGAAATATTTTGTTAGTTTTCTAGGACACATGTTTATAACTTTTACAGTTGTTGTTATTTGATTTATAATAATTTTAATAAAATTGAATCTTTTGATTTAAATCATGCCAACCCTGGTTATCATTATATAGAAATATAATGACATTTAAAATAGCTAAATACTCTTCAACATGAAGATGTCTAAAAAACGCAGTTTCAGCTAAAACAATTTTTTTATAGAAACTGGAATCTTATAGATTGATATGTGAAAACTATGATTAGGGTTAAAATCAGAGCATCAGCCATTAATTATTTCAGTATATTACATTTTTTTTCCCCCCCATTAAACAGATTGATGGTGCTGGACACGGTAACCAAATCAATAGTATGCGAGTCCATGACGGCACTCTCTACACCGTCGGTATAGATGACAGTTTGAAGCAAATCGACATCGAAGGCAACGCCTACAGGCCGCAAGACTTAAAGCTGGGCTCGCAGCCCAGAGGCATGGATATCCTGAAAGAACAGAACGTTATCATTGTAGCTAGCGTAAATGAGATCACGGTAGCTAAAGATAACAAGAAACTAAGCGTTCTGAAGGTCGGTTACGAGCCTACAGGTGTCAGTTGTTCGCCAAGAGGACATGTTGCTATAGGGGGGTCTGGTGACAATAAGGTAAGTTTTAAATATCTGAAGACTGGTCTGGTCTGTTTTTTTTTTCTTCAATTTGACTTATTATGTCTTCTGTAGGCAAATTTAGACAATTTTATTATTTTAGGTTCATATATACGAACTTGACGGTGATAACCTGAAACTGTTACAAGAACTGACGCATCTGGGACCTGTCACTGACGTTTCTTACTCACCTGATGACAAATATCTCGTCGCCTGTGATGCAAATCGGAAGGTTATCCTTTATGGCACAGAAGATTATCAGGTAAGTGAATATCAAGATTTTTAAACAGTTTTTAAAACTTTTAAAAATACTTTTATTTCAAATATATGTTTTCCAAATTTTCAAAATTATTTACGTTCTGAAAATAGACATTTTATTTATTGCTGTTTTGACACATAAAATAAAACTTCGCATATTTCTTTGTTATTTTTTTTTGATTATTAATTTAGAGTGCTCTGATAAGGTAATATAGTTAATCAAGGAGACAAGAAAATACAGATCTCATTGTTTACAAGCAGGATTAAAATTTTTTAAATTTTATTTATCACTTCATTCTTTTATTTTTCAAAAATAAAAAGATATTGTTTCCATAAGATATATAAAGATTAATTTATTAGAAAACATTTATTATTTATTAGAAAACGTTTATTATACTTGATTATTTTTAAGATTATAAAAAAATAAATTAGTTGAGTTGGACGAAATATTTTGTACTGCTTAACTGTTTTAAACCATAAAAAAAACACGTATATTTAAAAAATAAAAAAACATGTTTTTTTTCAACCCTGTAGTAAGCTATATGAAGCCAATTTATCTCTAGAACTGACGTCATATGGGAACTAATCGAAACACATTCATATTACCCTGAAATGACCGCAAATCTTCATTTATATTGGCTTCATATCGCCGACGAAATAAGCGTGTCTAGTTATAACATGCTCTAAGTTTTTTAACTAATACAATATTATTTAATTTTGCTTTCTGTGGAAAAAGATTGTAAGTACTGTGGAATTTAATTTTTTGTTTCTTTTTTTCTTGTTATGTTATCAAAGAATATTAAAAAAATCTTTCAGCCAGCGACAAAACAAGAGTGGGGTTTCCACAATGCCAGGGTAAACTGTGTTGCGTGGTCTCCAGATTCTCAATTGGTGGCCAGCGGTAGTCTGGACACAAGCATTATTATTTGGTCGGTGGAAAAACCTGCCAAACACATTATAATTAAGAGTAAGTGGCTTTATACAGGGTGTCTCCCATTTTCGTGTGTTTTAGAGGGTTTTTCGTTTGTTAGTAGAGATACAATGCAACATTTTCAAATTCGCCTTGTATTTCAGGAAGTAAGAGGGTCAAGAACGGTAAACTAATAGGATTGCTCATCCTCATAAGACGTACGTTCGCCTCTTCCCGCGCTTAAGCTGACAGTAGTGACGTCATTGTAGTCCTTGTCTCATGATAGTGTGTATTATTAGTTGCCTATGGTAAACTTATAAAAATAACAGCTGAGAAATTTTGTGTTAATTATTTTGTCAATTTTAAATGTGAAAAAGGTGTTTTTAAAGTTTTTAGAGCTATAGAGTGTATAAATACGTTCATTTTGTGATTTGGATTGTGACAAAGTGCTTACTAAGTGCCTACGATATTGTTTATTAATTATTTTAAAGCAAAATATGGAAGTACTCTAAAAAGAATGCCTGCAAAAGGTGATGCTGGGAACTGTTGTTCTTAAAAATGCATTATCCGAGTATTTAATACGATTTATACAGTTAATTTTCTATACTGCATACATATTTTTCATACAATTTTCTATACCGCACATATTAGTTTAAATAAATAAACTAAATAATGGACATTTTCATTCGGCAACCAATAATGCACGTGTGTGTATTATTGGTTGCCGGATAAGGGCTAATAACCATGACAAGGACTACAATGACGTCACAAAGCGAGAAGTTTTCGCATGCACTTGGCAGACACTTTTGGCTGAATGAGCAGTCCTATTAGGTTAACTGTTCTTGTAAGAGGGTTAGGACAAATCTGTGTGTAGTATCTTTAGTTTCATATAAAAAATAGCAGTGATATATAAAAACAGCATCTTTGTATCTTTAATCATAAATTAAAAACCCTATGAAATACACAAAAATGGGATACCCCGTACAAGTTTAGTTATTTTTGGTTTGGTACGTAGTGCACATACAATTTTTTTTCTAATCTCTGTTGTTATTTAATATAGATGCTCATGCTCAAAGTCAAATTACCAAACTGTCCTGGGTAGACAACACTACTTTGGTCTCGGTTGGACAAGACTGCAACACGAAGTTATGGACAATAACTCCTTTCTAGTCTTTTTGAAGGAACTAACAAAAAACGGTGTTTATTTTTCTTGAAATTATTTCAAAACTCTTTCGGCTTAATGCATTTAACTACTATGTGATTTCTTTTATTTTCCTTATTTATGATATTTATTTATAAAACATTTTTTTGCTTACGCACATAGGCTTCAGTTTCTTACAGTAGTATTTAGTTTGTATTTTCTACTAAAAAAAGCATTTTTTTTATGTTCCTACTGTATTTTTACAAACATAGTATATACAAAAAAGTATTTATAAAAAATCGTTTTTTATACTTAAAAGTTTGATATTTTTGCACTTTGTATTTTTTTTTGATCAAAGAAAAGTATTTTGAAACTATTTGAGGGTATGCTTCTGCTAACTGAACTACGTACGATTCATGGAGGGATTGTTTTTCATGTATATGGGTTGAGTAAATTATAACAAAGTATTATCTATATTTATCAAATAAAAATATTATTACATTTATTGTATGTTTGTGTTTCATTTTTTAAGCTTTTTATACCCCTATTTTTAACTCGACAGTACTAATTAATACACCTAAAACATAAATAGTTTAAACGTTGACTGAAGAAATAAGAAGATGCGCATGCAACCTTATGGGCGATTTCGTGGCACAAAACCTGTGGATAAAGAATACTGTACCGGAGTTCTGCTTTCAGTCGACAGAGTGAGTGGTTGCCGGAGACAGTGTTGCCAGAACTACTGATTAATCCGTAGACTTGCGGATTTTGAGTACAGTGCTTTAATAATGCGGATTTTTTATCATTAAATAATTTAATATAATTTTATATGATTAAACAAAGAACGTCGTCAGAGTTGGCTTGGAAATGAAGATCGCTGTTATTTCATATGTAAAATATTATGGTAAAAATGTCAATAATCGTCATTTCCAAGCCAACTAAACAACTTTTTTTGGATCATACGACATATAAAGAATTTTTATTTTTGTTTAACGAATAAATTTTCAATACATAAACGCGGATTTTTCATCCAAAAATATTTTCGTCAAACGTATTACAGATATTACACATTTTAATATGGCAACACTCGCTTTCAGTTCCACACCGTTTTCGATATGCCTTCTCTAGCCGAATTAGAGAAAATAAGTGTTTTAGGCGTTGGCCGCAGAACGATTGGTGTCTGCACCGTACAGCACTTCAGACGTCAGGGGAAATCAAATCAGTCTTGTCACGAATTGGCCCATTAGGTTGCATATCTTCCCAATTCTTTCAATCAACGGTATTTTTATTTTGAAACACCTAGGCACAATATATAATAATAATAGCTCCCGTATATAGCGTTTAACGCCTGGGGAGTAGCAAGGTACAGCTTGCCATACTAGAGCCGTTCGGTATACAAGGAAGGTAATGTGGCTAGCACTACGCTTCAACCGCCTATTATTACCTCAGGATTGTCAATCCCAAGTACTCATTTAAGGCTGAGTCGACCTATATAGGTACCCAAACTATTTTTATTTTAATAAAAATAGTCGGCTGATGAAATGCCGGGTGTGGGAATCGAACCCACACCTTGAGATTGGTAGACGAGAGCCTGTACCTCTACGCCACCGGGCACCTTTTTTTTAACTGGACACAATATAAATAAATGAAAAACTGTAAAAATGAATCCCGGGATTTCAAGCTCGAAAATCGGAATTCCGGGATTAAATGCTCTAGTTAAAACCGAGCAAAATAACCGAAGTGTATGATTCACTTTAAATAAAACCGATATAAATAATTCAATTAAATAAATTGAGAAAATAGATAAATATAAACACACAGGTATTATTCTTAATTTAGTCAAAAAGCGAAAAAATCCCATTTAAAACGAATTACGAAATTTTCTGGCACCTGTTTGTTCTCCAGGAACCGCTATTATTAGCGAGCCTGGATAACATTGATGCGGCCGTCGTCCCAGTACGCCGGTTTTTCCCTTATCATGCACACTGACCACCACGTGAACGCCGCGATGACTGACCAGTTCGTGCTCAAGTGGCACTACCACGAGACCACGCTCATCCAGAACCTGCCCTACTTGCTGGAGAACGACATCCTGAGCGACGTGACCATTTCCGTTGGCGCCCAGCACATCAAGGCGCACAAAATCATACTCGCGATGTGTAGCGTCTATTTTCTTCAGCTATTCCAGGTAAGCGCAAGTTTGCTTGTTTTTGTGAGAAAAAAATACGAATGAGTCGATGGGACTTGGGGCTAAAAATATTTCCCAGCTCGCAGAGTTTGGTGTATTTTTAGCTGTCCAGTAAGCGGTTTTAGGGTTATTTTTGACCGTGCTGATTTTAATTTTCGCTTGTTTTGATGTCTAGCGGTCGAATACAAACTAAGAGACATAAAATTAAGAAACTGTTTTAATACAAATATTTTATTTTTGTATTTTTTGTCTGTATATCTCTAAGGCCTTGTCTACACATAACGTTTTACCTGTCAGTCTTACCGTTTTACCTGCTCAGGCAAAACGTGTCATGTAAAACATTGTGTTGACTAAAAACGGGCCGATTTACTTGAAATAAATTAAGACGGGAGACAGACTAGAGAATTGAGATCATTCAGATAAAACAACGATATTTGGTATGTTAGTGTATGACATAAAATAGGATTGATTGACATATCCAATTGTTTTTGGTCACTTCCTGTTTCACGGGAAATGACTACAACTTTTGATTTTTAAATGGCACCCTCGCCTCGGTATATTTCTACTTTATTCCATAGAAAATGACACTCTGAGTAAGTTGACGTTTCATATGTCAACTTTTGATATTTTCGCATATGGTTTATTTGAAATTGTAGTATACGGTTCATAACGACAACTTGATTCGAAATACCAAGTGTGTTGTACCAAATTATTCGTAAAAAAATGCTTTTTCCAAATATGCTAATGAGCCACCCTCGTTCCATTTGAAAAAATTGAGATATGATTAAAAATACGATTTGGGCATCTTTTAACCGGCCAGGACAAGACACGAAAAACATTTGACGATCAAAACTATTTTTGCAAGGCTCCTTGATTAAAAATTAGTGTTCTTAACACAGCCATGGCACTGATTGACATTTAAAATACGTTTTTTAAAGCGAAAATGTCAAAAGTTGACATATGATATGTCATTCTATTCAGAGTGTCATTTTCTATAGAATAAAGATATATATAAATAAGGTATTTTACTTTGAAAATTTCCAAAAAAAATGATTTTTTGCTTAAATTTTGAGAACAACTGGATTTTTTTCTGGGTTTTCTTTCTTGTAAATTCTACTACCTACGTTGCCATATTATGAAGATATTATGTTTTTTAACTAAAAATTTAAAAGAATCTAAAAATTTTTCCAAAAAATATTCAATTTTTGAAAAACCCGAAAAACCTCGTAGACGTGTTTTTGGGGTCGAAATATATTACTCCTAAAAATGTTTGCACTTATTTAAGACTCACCCGTAGACGGTGGCATTTTTAGAGGTTGCAACAGAATATATAATTTTTCTTAAAAATCTATAGTATAATTTCTTCAAGATAAAAACGTATAATTAAATAGTAAACCAAATACAATTTTATAATTTTTTGGCAATTTATAATTTTCATGGAACTTTTTTTTAGTCAGAAATTTAGTCTAAATTAAGAATTTTATGGCAAGCCCATTTTTTATATATTTTTATTCTTCTTATGTAGGAGATGAAACATACACAACATCCAGTTGTGGTTCTACACAACGCGAGTATAGAAGATGTGAGGGCCATGCTAGCCTTTATATACAGGGGTCAGTGTGTAGTCTCTAAAGACCAACTTCCGAACCTGCTGTCTGTAGCCAAACTCCTCAAAATCCAAGGACTTTGCGACATGAAAGTAAGCCACTATTCGTCTTTTTTTAGTTGATCTTCTTCAATGTAGTCAGTCTCTTCAATAAGACAATATATGACAGTGTCATATGTTTTATAATTCTGCAGTAAAGTTTCTTTCTAAATTCTACAGTAAAGAAGATATATACCTATATACTTTTAATAACTATGTATTTTATTATTAGGTACCTGAAAAAGACGTATCTGCCGAAAGCATTCCATCTAGCGACCGATCGAGTACCAAAAGAACTGAACCAGTACCAGACGCTACCTCATTAGAGGAACCATCCGAAAGTAGTTCGTATGTACCCAGCAGTATTACATTCAAACGGCACAGTAGCGGCTACAGTACAGCCATCAATTTATCGACAGATAGTAAACGACCGAGACTATCATCATCTCCAACGTGGGAGAAAAACCAACGAGGTAAAATGACTAAAAAAACTGTAACCAAAGAGGTCAAATGACCAACCAACTTAATTGTTTATAGCGATGGTTTGTAGCATTCTGCAGGTTGTTGCGCTCGCACTCTCTTAGCAGATGATTAAGGTCCTTATTACCACAGATCATATAGATTATAAACTTTGTTTTTTCTTTATAGTTTTTCGTGGTTCCAATTTTCGGAATCGGGCACTAGTTAGGTTACTAGTTTGCGCACATAGCACGCCCACTTATGGCCTCTAAAATTGTGCACAGCGCTTGACCGGCACAGTTATTAGAGAGATATCGGAAAACCGAATAGCGTCATGCAGTATTTACGCGTACCTTATCATGGTTACGATACGATATGCGCGAGTCAATTTTTAACGCAACACCCGCTAATAACGTTACCGCCTGACGTAATTTGCGGATCAATTACACCAAGCGCTGTCACAGAATATACACCATACAGAAGCGACAAAGAGCTTTGAATAGCATTGGTCAAATGGGAACTAATTGCGTGACGTCACGTTTGACATCCGTGCGCCTTGAACAGCATTTCACACTGAAAGAAAATTGTTAGATTTTAATAGAAAATGATGAAAGGCAGGTTTATTTAATTTTTAAAAACTAGAGGGATTTAAATCAGTATTTTTATTTAGAATTAAAAATAAATAAATAATTATGAAATATATTTTTTAGTCTTTTATGCATAATATCTAGAAATAATTATACCTGCGGTCGTGAATTTTTTTTTGGTGTATAATTCTTTGACGTCACGTTTGACAGTTAACCAGCACTGCCCCCTCCTAAAAATTTTGAAGCAAATCTCTTTGTCGCTTCTGTATGGTGTATATTTTGTGGCGCTGTTTCTAAATAACGTTTAAAAATTGCTTAAATGGGCATGTGCGGGTACATTTGACACCCGGGGCCGGCCGGCGAGCGGCGAGATCTTTTATTTTATGTTATGTTTGAATTATTACTTTAGTTTTATTAGGTAATTTGATATTTAAGTAGCTGAGATAAGTTTTAATTAAATAAATATGGCCCAAAATATGGATTCTACCTCTTCCAATATTAAAGAACCTATAAAGAGGCTTAGGTTTACAGCAGATGACGACTTAGCCCTTCTAAGAGAATTTGTTGCTTGTTGCCCTAAACCCACTGGCAGACGTTGAACAATGAAGCACTGGAAATAAGCACTTTAGCCCTTTAGTTTTAAAATATCTAGTAAACAAAACAATTTCAAAAAATTCAAAGTTAGGTTAAGTTTAAATAGCGGACGCGGACGCGACGCGAACAGAATTTTTTCCGATCGGATAACTATAAATGAAGAGAGTTAATACCACCTCATGTAAAGGAAATAACACCTGGCCTTATTAACGCCCATGCACGCTATTCGGTTTAGCTCTATTACGCTGTTTATTGTTATTTTACGCGAGTTTATTTTTACGCACAGGAAATTTTACTCGTTTGCACATCGTCATAAAAAACAATTTTCGTACCACGAATTAGGGATAAGATTTTTATCTGTATACATATAGTATACCTAATCTGTGTTATTACTAGCCTTATAGAAGTATGGCTTTTATATTGTGTGACTGAATCGCCTCCAGTTGGTGAGAATGTCAGTCATTGCAAGTCATTTTTTTTTGTCTGTTATTAGTAACGCCAGAAAACACAAGTCCGTGCACCCCCGAGGACGTAGTACCTTCGTATCCCATTCCATCCGCAAAGAAGCAGGCCAGTCCCAAGGATACTTCAGAGACTTGCAAGTGTTTTCTTTGCGGCAAGTACCTGAGCAACCAGTACAACTTGAGGGTGCACATGGAGACGCACGAGGAAGCCTATCACGCCTGCCAATCGTGTCCTCACGTGTCTCGAAGCCGAGACGCCTTGCGAAAACACGTTTCTTACCGACATCCCGAAGAGTACCTCACGAGAAAACGAAAAAAGACCGACAACATATAGTAATTTTTCGGAAATTTTTAAATTTTACCGACTTATCGACTTTTTACAGTGTCTCGCTTAGAAAAAGACACTTTTTGAGACTGCCTGAATGACTTTAGACATCAAGTCAATGAAATGAGTCGTTTCTTGACCTTATTTTTGGTTGTTAACCAAAAAGAATACCTAGTATGTCTTTCTAAAGAGAATGACAAGCCTGAAAGAATTAAAAGAAATAGATAGATATATTTAAATAAAAAATTGTTTCTTAACTTGTGTGTTTTATTTAAAACTTGTGTATATACATTTAAATATACACTATTGCATTCTTCTATATACATATACCATACAATCAAAAAAAAAACGGCGTCAAAGACGGCTGGGGAATGCCGATCAATGATAATTTTGGCGGGGTCAAGCCCTAGACGCCATGACTTGGCCCTGACTCTTCGTTATTTTTTAATAGCACTTACTGCCAGTTGGCTTTAAGAAGGTTGTCAATTATTTTTATTTTGAGTGAAAACAATTTTTAAATTGTGTAGTTTAAAATTGAAGAAAAAAAATAATTTTCCAATACTTATCTAAATAAAACAGTCTATTTTTATCATTTTATTTATTCTTAGTTTTGACAGATATATTACAGATTATTCTAACTCCGAATTATATCTATTATTGATTTATTTAGTAATAAAAATATAAATAAAAAAATTAAATGCTGCCCTAACAACTTGCTACTTACAAAATAATCTTTGATGAATATTCCCATTAGTATCTATTTGTACAATCTCTCAACATATAGTTTTATTACCCACTTAAGAAGTAGTTAATTTTATTAAGATGTTTTTGAAACAAATGATTAATAAAATAAACATGACACTTTTAAATTCAAATCCTTTGTTCGAATCTATAATATATGAAATTAAGGAATAATTATTCTATTATTCTCACAAAAAATAAGCATATAAGTATTTACAAAAAAAACAAGTCTAGATACTTCTTAGACTAAGTCTAGATATTTCTTCTATCACATAAATGTACAGATTTTTTGTTAGTGCAAAGCTATAGATAAACTTTCACACTTTGTGAAGTTGTCGTGTGACAATAAATATTAAAATATATATGGAATACTTGGGTGACGTTAATGACAAAAAATTATAGGAAAATATGGAATACTTGCGTGACATTTTAACGACATAAAGTAGCATCAATTTGTTCCAAGGAAGGAGCAATCAGCTTTAACTTTCTTCTGTACATTGGATCCTCTGCGACCGGGTTTCGCTCCAAATATACTGTAGCAAGCTTTTTATTGGCTGACAAGTTATTTACAGTGTTCCAGTCATTAACTTTATTATCATTTAACTGCAAAATAGGAAATAAATAACCAAAAAGAAAATTAATTTCAACAAAATTTTACCCAAAACTCTGTCAAGTTTTCTAAAGCATCAATATTCTCTATAGCAGTGATTTGATTTTGTGCTAGGTCCAATGTTTCTAAATTTTTAAGTTCACTTAAATTTTCAATTTTTGTTATACCATTTTCAGAGAGATACAGTTCTGTAAGTTCGGAGAATTTGTCTAAATTCTCAATGTTTGTTAACCTATTGCTTTGTAAACTTAGACAAGTCAGTTTTTCAAGATGACTCAAGTTTTCAATTTTGGTAATTTTGTTTTTTCCCAAAAACAAAGATTTCAGTTCAACCAAGCCTTCTAGATTTTCAATTTCCTAATATAAAACAAATTAAAAAAGACTAAAGCAAAGTAAATTAATGTTACCCTTAATTTATTATCGCCAAGTTCCAATAAAGTTAATTTACTCAGATGGCTTAAGTTTTGAATTTTTGATATTTTGTTAGATGACAGGAACAGTTTATCTAAATTTAACAGATTATCCAATCCTTCAATTTCACGTATTCTGTTAAAAGATAAATCCAGTATTCTAAAAGTAATTTATCATTATTTAATTGAAGAACATCTACTATTTTTACTCCATACTCTAAATTTACTAATGCATCAAGACCTTCAATTACTGTAATTTGATTATCATAAAGTTCCAATTCCTTTAGAGTGGTTAATGTACTCAAATTTTCAATTTTTGTGATAAAGTTCCATCTCAAATACAACCTTTCGATTTGTGTTAACGGTTCCAAGTTTTGAAGCTTAAGGATCCTGGCATGATTTAAATCTAGTTCTAAAGTATCTGGATCAATTATGTCGATATCGTTAACAGTAGTAGGAGGATTTGCAGTCTCTTGAGGAACTTCATCTCCCTCGTTATCTAAAAAAAAATAAATGAAATGGGCAAGCCCACCTCAACCTTTAAAAATATACGATACCTTGGCTTTCTGTACTAAGAGTTACTTTATTTAGAACGGGCATTTTATCTTACTGCTAGAAAAAAGAATTTTATTGAGACTTTTCTAGATTTACAGGCAATTCACTAATTTAAATAAATATTCTTATATAATTATTTTTAGAACTGTCAAATTTTGTCGTTAACCAAAGATTTAATTGTTCATTTGAACTACAAATGTTTGAAAATGACAAACGACCTACTCCTCTAATTTTATATGAATAAATCAAATTTACATTGAAATTAATATTTTAAATACACATATTTTTATTGTAATACGTTTCTTTAATGTATCCAGTTAATAATTTAAATATTATTTTGTTTTGTAGCAAATTTAGAAACTATATTTTAAATTTCCCGCCGTATTCGGCGCTAGTGTCGCTTGTCGTTAATTTTTATTCGCGCGTGCGTCTTCAATTTCTTTTGGATTAGTTTCCATCTTGATCACATGTGAGTATATATTTTTTTTATAAATTCAATTTCAAATAAGAAATAAATATAGTGTATGCTGTGATATAATTATCGGTAAACATTTATATTTTTAACTAAAAGTGGTAAGAGTCTTGACAATTCATTATCCATTCTCAAATCAAGTATTTCGGCCGTTTGACAGGGCATGATTTGGCTGTCCGTTCGCGCCATGTTGCCTCAATTGCAGAATTCCAAAGAGAAACTGAGTATTTCTCATTAATACGAAGCCGAAACATATAGTTTCACCGTTTATTACCACACACCAAGCGACCTAAGAGGGTTACTTTCATTAAAACCGTAAGAGTTTATTGTTTATCAGTGTAAATAAATGCGGCTTCTTTGTCGGCCACCATTCGGCCACATGCAGTTTTTGCCGCGTGTACATAAAGTATTCGGCGTATTTAGCCTGTAGGAAAATGCCCTTTCTTAGTCACTTTTAATGATATATGATTTTTATGTTTAGTTTTTCAAGTCTGCCACAACAAATCTAAACGACCATGGCTGATATCGAGGATACCCATTTCGAGACTGGAGACTCCGGTGCTTCTGCCACTTACCCCATGCAATGTTCTGCCCTACGTAAAAACGGATTCGTCATGCTGAAAGGAAGGCCATGTAAAATTGTAGAAATGTCCACTTCTAAAACTGGAAAGCACGGACATGCCAAAGTTCATTTGGTTGGAATTGATATTTTTTCAGGTAAATGACTTAAATTGTGTGTTTATTAATATACCTATTGATGCAGATGTTTAAAACAAATTTTCAGATATTTATTATAAATTAAGTTGGACTATAATGTTAGATATTCTGATAAACCAGTGATTTCTCACAATAAAAATGCTACTTTTTACAGGCTTTGAATGATTTGAAGATTATTAGTTTTTTAAACCCATTATTTGCAGATTTTTACATTAAGTAAGGTTATAATTAGAAGGATAATGAACTGGGATCATTGATCTTTTAGGCCTATTTAAAATTTAATTTGCAAATATATCTTGCTAATTGTCATAATGTGAAATATGTTTAATCAGCAAAGATATAGAAAAGGCACATGAAATGATCTTAAGTTAAAAGCATTTTGCCCCAATAAAAATGCATAAAAGGTTTTAAATTTCATAAACAGTGGTGAATTTAGGAAAAGATAATTTATTAATAATGATAATAAAATAATGAAGCAAAGGTTATCAATTTCAATTAAATTTTAATTTTATCTTCTCAAATTAGAAAACTCTTAAAATTTCTTAATTTAGAAGGTTAAAATTGTGACGATTTTTTTAATATACAATCAATATTTCTTAAGGTCTAGGCCATATTCAAATCATAAACAAATGTTTATATTTTAGATCAGAGATGAGATAGACATCTTAACAATTTTTTTTCTTGTTATCGATCATAGGCAAGAAGTATGAAGATATTTGCCCCTCTACACACAACATGGACGTGCCACATGTCAAGCGTGAAGACTACCAGTTGACCGACATATCCGATGACGGTTACCTGTCCCTCATGTCTGACAATGGTGATCTACGCGAAGACCTTAAGGTACCCGATGGTGATGTTGGGGCCTCCCTACGTACCGAATACGATGCCGGAAAAGATATATTATGTACCGTTTTGAAATCCTGTGGCGAAGAAGTAAGTGATGATATGACTGATTTTCTAATACCATATTATCAAAAAAAAACGGCGTCCAGTCGGCTTGGAAATGAATATCAATGACATTCCCCATATAATTTAACATGTAAAATGACAGCGATCTTCATTTCATAGCCATCACTGACGCCGTTTTTATTCGATCATACGGTACATTATGCATTGTTATACCCGTCTGTTAATTTTTTAATTCAAAACAGCAACAGTCTGACCTTACCAATGTCATGTTAATTCTAAAATAGTTCTTTATTGTTATTTTTTTAGATTTTGGGTGACTCAGTCATATGGGCTAAAAAAACTAGTTTTAAACATAAAAAGAACTACTACTACTGTTTTCACTTTTAAAAAACTAATATTTTGAATTGAAATGTTTATATAATGGACCCCAAGTTCTTCTATAAACAAAGTACATTTATTGTTGATACACTACTACATTTACAGTTCTAGAAATTTGGTTGATTCTACAGTTTACTGAAATTTAAATAAATAATGTTTAGAGTCATTTTTTATACAAATATTTGACTTGTTTTTTTTTTGGATGTACATTGTACCGTAGAAAAAAAACTGTGCTACAGTAGCCTTTAAATTGATGATCAATGATAATTTTAGTCTCATGTATGTCTTCTCTTAAAAGTTACAGATTTAAATTTAGAAAATATTTATTTTAAATAATGTAATCATGATAATCAGAGATAAAAGAGGAAATGTTAATTAGGGATGGGCATTTAATACCGTTTTTTACGTTTATATGTAAAATTAAGCGACATTTTCTTTGGCTGAAAGGAAAGGAGGTGGGGCCCCAAGAACGGTAAACTAATAGGATTGCTCATAAGACGTATGTTCGCCTCTTCCCGCGCTTCAGCTGACAGTTGTGACGTCATTGTAGTCCTTGTCATGATAGTGTGTATTCTAGTTGCCTATGATAAACTTATCAAAATAACAGCTGAGAAATTTTGAATTAATTATTTTGTCAATTTTAAATGTGAAAAAGGTGTTTTTAAAGTTTTTAGAGCTATAGAGTGTATAAATACGTTCATTTTGTGTTGTGGATTGTGACAAAGTGCTTACTAAGTGCTTACGATATTGTTTATTAATTATTTTAAAGCAAAATATGGAAGTACTCTAAAAAGATTGCCTGCAAAAGGTGCTGGGAACTGCTGTTCTTAAAAATGCATTACTCACAAGATAGCAATAATTACTTTGGAAATGGACACTTTAAACACTTTTTGGAATTTTTTCAATGAAAGCAGTTTAGATTTTGAAAGATTTTATAATTTTTGTAGATTCTGACTTTGACAAGAGAAAATTATTTCTGTTATTGTTTGGCGGTTGTTCTTGGCAACTGCTATAGTAGCGCCAGATCGCGTACAACGGTCGCGACCCAAAACAATTTCGCGAAATAAAATTTTGACGGGCATTCCCATCTAAATTTATTTCCTTTATCTATGGAATTTAGATACGTCAATTTGACTTACTGCTTCAGTAGCTCATCGGATGTTTGTGTCAATAAATAATTATTATAATCGCCTGTGACGTAAGTTTTTTGATATGCTCTATCCTTAATCGTTTTATTCAAAGTTTCAAGCCTATAAATTATTTTTTTCATTTGTCATTTTTGGATGTCGTCTATTGAAATCTTAAATTCTGTGTCATGAGTATGTCTCTGGATCATCTTTTCAAGAGGAAAAAATTTTTTGTTGACGTTTTGAGAAAAATGCTTCTTCTAAAATGGTTAATTCCACTATAGTTTTCCAAATTTATGTATAGAAATTTTTAGAGAAAAATAAAAAAATTATTTTTTTTATTTTGTCTTTTGTAAAATGATCCAGGTGATATTTATTATTATTTAGATTATAGTACCTATAATTAGATATAGCATTTAATTTAGAAGTAAAATATATCCAAATAAATAATATATTTATGAGAGTGACAGCTACTGTTTATAGGGCTTGTTTCTCTCTACAATTTCCTGTCTCACAATGTACCGTTTGTGTCGGGGAAGGGATCATAGTTTCATAGTTGTCCATTTTTGAAAAAAATCAGTACATGGATATTATTTCGTATATTTTTCATTTTATTGATTTTATGGAAAGCACTGTTCATTAAAATGTCGTATCCTATGTTATAGGGTTTGTTTCTCTCTAAAATTTCCTGTTTCACAATGTTCCGTTTGTGTCGGGGAAGGGATAATAGTTTCATAGTTGTCGATTTTCGAAAAAATCAGTACATGGATATTATTTCGTATATTTTTCATTTTATTGATTTTATGGAAAGCACTGTTCATTAAAATGTTGTATCCTATGTTATAGGGCTTGTTTCTCTCTACAATTTCCTGTCTCACAATGTACCGTTTGTGTCGGGGAAGGTATCATGGTTTCATAGTTGTCGATTTTCGAAAGAAATCAGTACATGTATAATATTATTTCGTATATTTTTCATTTTATTGATTTTATGGAAAGCACTGTTCATTAAAATGTTGTATCCTATGTTATATGGCTTGTTTCTCTCTACAATTTCCTGTTTCACAATATACCGTTTGTGTCCGGGAAGGGTTTATAGTTTCATAGTTGTCGATTTTCGAAAGAAATCAGTACATGTATATTATTTCGTATATTTTTCATTTTATTGATTTTATGGAAAGCACTGTTCATTAAAATGTTGTATCCTATGTTATAGGGCTTGTTTCTCTCTACAGTTTCCTGTCTCACAATGTACCGTTTGTATCCGGGAAGGGTAGGGACACAATGGATCTGTAAGGTCGAAGTGATTAACCCCCCTCCCACTCATTCTAAAAATTCTAAAATTCATTCATCCGGGAAGGGTTTATAGTTTCATAGTTGTCGATTTTCGAAAGAAATCAGTACATGTATATTATTTCGTATATTTTTCTTTTTATTGATTTTATGCAGAGCACTGTTCATTAAAATTGCTGTCCTCCATTCGCGAACTTCGAGTTCCGGGCTTTACGCCCTAGGGCTACTCGAGAACGGTTCTGAAAGGAGCTGTGCGCGATAGCCTAGTGCCTCCATATGGCGCGGAACAGTTCTGGAACTTTATGACTCAATTTGCTGTCCTCCATTCGCGAACTTCGAGTTCCGGGCTTTACGCCCTGGGGCTACTCGAGAACGGTTCTGAAAGGAGCTGTGCGCGATAGCCTCGTGCCGCCATATGGCGCGGAACAGTTCTGGAACTTTATGACTCAATAGAATGGAGTGAGAGTGTCGCATTCTTGAACAGTTCAGAGCTGCACAACTGCGTGAATGGAGGACAGTAAATGTTGTATCCTATGTTATAAGGCTTGTTTCTCTCTGCAATTTCCTGTCTCACAATGTACCGTTTGTGTCGGGGAAGGGATCATAGTTTCATAGTTGTCGATTTTCGAAAGAAATCAGTACATGTATATTATTTCGTATATTTTTCATTTTATTGGTTTTATGGAAAGCACTGTTCATTAAAATGTTGTATCCTATGTTATAGGGTTTGTCTCTCTCTATAATTTCCTGTCTCACAATGTACCGTTTTGTCGGGGAAGGGATCATAGTTTCATAGTTGTCGATTTTCGAAAGAAATCAGTACATGTATATTATTTCGTATATTTTTCATTTTATTGATTTTATGGAAAGCACTGTTCATTAAAATGTTGTATCCTATGTTATAGGGCTTGTTTCTCTCTACAATTTCCTGTCTCACAATGTACCGTTTGTGTCGGGGAAGGGATCATAGGTTCATAGTTGTCGATTTTCGAAAGAAATCAGTACATGTATATTATTTCGTATATTTTTCATTTTATTGATTTTATGGAAAGCACTGTTCATTAAAATGTTGTATCCTATGTTATAGGGCTTGTTTCTCTCTACAATTTCCTGTTTCACAATGTACAGTACGTCTGTCCGTTCTGTAGCTACGGGGTATCCGTGAGAGGGGAAACGATATTCTCTCGATGTTTTTCGTAAAAAATTAGACGACGCGTCCCATCAATAAAAATTCGACAAATTTGCAAGTGGCCAATAAAATGAGTGGGCGGAGCGATTTGCGGTGACGTACTCCTCAAGTCGACGTATAAAATATATTACTGTTAATTTAAATGTTTTTTGTCAGCATTCCTTTCATAGACACAGATCCAGCAGACGTACTGTACCGTTTGTGTCCGGGAACGGTTTATAGTTTCATAGTTGTCCATTTTCCAAAGAAATCAGTACATGTATATGATTTCGTATATTTTTCATTTTATTGATTTAATGTAATATGACAGAAAGTCAAAAGTAGATTGTCCTTTTCTATCATTTTATTTGTATTTCGTCTGTCAAAACCGTATAATAGCTCGCTGGATAAAGTATAGTAATATTTTTCTAATCTACAGTTTTTTTGATTTTCAGGTAGTTATTGCAGTTAAGACAAATACCGCTCTGGACAAATAATGTCGTGCTAAACGGGGGAGGATTAGTTACAGCAAGAATAACGTGAACGTATTATCTACCAAGTCCAGAGGTCCTCTCTCCTTTTCAATAAGCTACTCTTTATATTTGTATTGGACCAGTTGTAACAGCTTAAACTGTAAACTTCTAACACCGTATAGGCTAAAAGAGTAAAAAAAAACGTCGATACGATGTTGAATTCTACAAACAAAACAAAAAAATCCTGTACTTTTATTTGTTGGCAAATTTTTTTGCGACAACTATAATGTTCAATAAATATAATTTAATTTTAACTCTATGTAAATTTTTTTAAAAAACATTTTTTTTACCGTCTATGGAAACACCACATTCTGCGAGCCCGTAGTAACTTTATTTCCGCATAATATATTTTTTTCCGTGTTTCTTTGGATGATTTGAACAATGTCGCAGAATAGGGTGATTCTATTCTAACTTGTTGACATAATTTAAATAAAATATAGCATTTTTAAAGACTTGTTTTGATATTGTTTAGAATAAGTTATTTTTAAAGAAAAAGAGATTAACCTTTTTGGTTGGTTAGCAATACCTTTTACTTGGAATTGGTTAAAAATATAAAATTCGATTTACATAATAGCCTTTTCATTCTTAATCCAATATTGATTTTGAAAAAAAAGTATTTAAGGATAATAGACCTCTTTATTTAAAAAAAAAATAGTATCAGTTTAATGGTTTTGAGGTTTCATTTAACAGAACATAAAATTCCCTATAACCTGCTATAACTGAAAAATATACCGTCACAGTGGCCTGTGAAATGGAAATTGGTTAATCATCCAACCAAAATTATAGATTGTCATTTCCTGGGCTACTGTAGCGCTGTTTTTTCATTGTATGGTGCCGGATAATCGAAAGAACGGCGTCGAGTTGGCTTAGAAATAAAGATCGATGACCATAAAATGTTACAAACATAATGACAGCGATCTTCATTTCTAGGCCATCTCTGACACCGTTTCTTGTATTTTTAATTTCTCATTTAATATATCTTTTAATTTGGTATGCCCTTAATTTCTGCTCGTATTTGATATCTACTGCATTTAATTTGAAACTCTTTTTTAAATAATTTTCCAAAAATTGAAAGTGAAAACCACAGATGAAGGAAAAAGTGAAAACTTAAAAATCAATTTCACTCTTTTTGACATTTATTAAATGTCAAAAACACCAAAACAAAAATAAACCGAATGTTGTGTTGCCTTTTTTCTAGCAATTCTTCTAAAAAGTAATGTTTAAAATTACTAATAATTTAATTTCTCAAACAAATCAGACATATTTCAATGTTTTGATTGATATTTGCTCCTTGTTTTAGCTTTAACTCCCTTTTAAATATTCTAAATCAGCATGTATAACTTGAATCACAATATTTTTGGTAACGTTAAAATAGGACAATTTAATTATCCTTTGCCTAATTCGGGACATGTAGAAAGTCAGCAACCTACTTACGAGGAGTATCTATCACCTCAGTTATCGTTTGATGAGACACAAGATTTGAAACCTTTGGTATGATAGTTTCCAGTGTTTTAAAAGCTCAAAAGTTTTATTATATTCTCCATAATTAACAGGTCATTCAAGAGAATAATGAAATCGATCAATTGAATCCAAAAGTAAGAAAAAAGAAAACACAAATATGCAAGGAATGCAACAAAACACTTTCATCACCTTCGAGTTATTATGTCCACATGAAACAGCATTCGAATAGTAAACCATATAATTGTACACAATGCGATGCTGCTTTTTGTAGAAAGCCTTATCTAGAGGTAATTAAAGAACATTCCCAACCTATTTTCTTTATCAAAAATTGTTTAAGGTACACATGAGAGTCCATACAGGCGAAAGACCCTACGAATGTGAGACCTGCAAGAAGCGCTTTACTCAGAAATCAAGTCTAAACACTCATAAGCGAGGTCATACAGGTCTACGCCCTTATGCTTGTGGAATTTGTTTGAAGAGATTTACGGTAAAGGGTTATTTAACAGCACACCAATGGACGCATGTGTCGGACTGTGGTATTTCATGCAACGAATGTGAAATGACGTTCACAAATAAAAACCAGTACGCCCATCACATGCAAACGCACAATAAAAGGGTGTTTGAGTGTGGAGAATGTAAAAAGAGTTTTGCCAAACAGTCTTATCTAATCAGGCACGTCAATAGGGTGCATAAAAAGGGCACAGAAAACGACTAAAAGCACTGAACTAGTGAGTTATTCAAATTTGTAGGTTAGATTCGAGCAAAAATGTATTTAAGGTAATAGATCAAATCTGTATTAGTGTAGTAAGTCCTAAAATTTGTTATTTATTCGAAGATTTTTGTTCTATATACAAGCTTTATATGTTCCCCGTTTGTGTTTAAGTAATAAAAAAAAAACAATGTTGGATTTTTCTATACAATTTTAATTTTATATAACACAGTTGTCAAATCAATATATTATAGATACATATAAATAAAAAAAAATATTCTGCTAAAAAGTTTTGACCACACAAAATTTGGGGGTGGGAATATTTACCACCAAAAAAATATAACACCATTCCTGGGAGTTCAAAATTTGATAGAATATTACTTAAAAAATATACATTAAAAATTAAAAAACCTCTAACAAAAAATCATGTATATACGTGGTGTCCAAAGTTTCTCTTAATAATACTTTTTTACAAATTAAGTAATATTAATAATTATTGAAGGCAATTCGACTTATTTGCGAACAATATTCAGAACAATTAGAATTTAGGAAATAAGATGAACCTATGTTTAAACGGTAAAATCATACCTACCTATACACTATATACATGTCCATTGAAATTCACTAAAAAAGTCAGTCAAAACACTGTTCTAACAAAGTCGTTCAAACGACCGGCTACGGTTTAGGGAACAATGTATGATTTCGTTGAGGCAACCGCCGAATTCTTCGATTATTTGACGTTTGGTTTGTTCCTCGTCTTGCATGTTCGAATAAGCGTCTTCCGATGTGGTCAGCAAACACTGACATGTCGCTTCTATGACGTCTTCAGTTATGAAACTGATCGTTTGCTTTCTACAAAAGAAAAATATAAAATTTACATCAAAGATGTCCCATGAGGTTTCTCGTTAATGAGTAGTTTATTTATTTCCTGACATTGTCATTCGTTTTTGACAGTTCAGTTTTGTATAACGAGTTTTTGGTTTAAATAAATAGTGTTGTGATACTTTAAGCTTAAAAGTGTTTACTAACTGATCTTGAAGTCGAAAATTGTTCTAATAGCCGTAAAAAAATCATCGCAACTTTATTAGAATATTTTGGTTTGCGTTCCTTAAGTGCTGTTAAAGAAGGTGAGTTTTGTTGATGTAAATAATAACTGTTTATATATTTATAATTAATTTATTTTTGTTTCCTAAAATATTTTGATTAAAAGAAAATATGTAAAAGTGCGCAAAGTCAAGCTTAATCACGCTTGACTGGTACAACGTGACTAAAAGTTGATATGAACTATATACAGGGTATCCCAGATTGCAGTGCTTTAGAAGTTTCTAGAGAACTACAAGATTTTGATCGGAGATTTTTGGCACATTATTGTTTTTCAATGTTCTATTTATTAAAAATATTTTCAATATGGCGCACGGTGGGGTATTAGCATGAAAAAGGTGATCGAAATTCGAAAAAGCAAATGTGTTTAAGATTTCCCAAAAAAAGATAAATGATAAGTTAAATCATCTCTGCCATGAATGGCGTTGCTATGGGTGTGTTTAGTTGCATTCATTTGTTTCAACGAAACGTCAAAGTTGTTACTTCTCACAGATAAGAGGTAAATGGCTAAATTTTATGTTTAAAATTATAAATTGTTGTTGTTCTTGTGCTCTTTTTACGTTTATATTATTGTTTTGATTGAAAATTGCTCAGCAAGCTACAGGTATGTATTCTACAAAAACGTATTATTTATTTTGATATTCTCTATATTAACGATTTTTTTTTGCAACTAAAAGTTAGGCGTTCAGAAAATTTGATTAAATTTGTGACATTCTTATTATACTTAGAGATTTAGTTACGCATTTCAAAGAATTCAGCATATTGCCTATATACGTTTTACTTAGTAAACATTGGGCTTTCATACAGTAAAATAAAATACTGCGACTTTTTGCGACTTTGCTGATAAAATGAGAAAAACATTCTTGGTTTCCTCTAATTTGCCAATCAGTGATATACTAATGCGAGGTGTAAACCGCGATGGCATTGTTGTGTACAAAGCGATCGCATTAGTGCCATTAGCAGTATAGCACAATTTGGTATTAGTAGCGACTTTAGTGGTATGGGAATTGGTCGCGGATCAGTCGTAGCATTAGTTGTATTAGTTGCGATATTACTACTGGCATTAGTGGCATTGACCGTGGAAACACTGGAACAGTGATTTTTCTTTCTTTTTTTAGAATCGACGAATTATCATTTATTTTGTTCATATTATTACCTCTTTAATTGAAAATAGCAATAATTTATATAAGGTCTACATAAAAAAATGTCATCAACTATCTGTGTCAAATACCCCACTGTGTGGCGGCACGTTCGGAAATACCGGAAGTTGACAGCAACTTTCTTATTTTAAATAGGGACCCCCATTTTTTATTACATACTTCAATTCTCTGTAAAATTTTGTGAATTTTGATATCAAACACTCCATACCTAACATTAACTGTTTTCGAGAAAAAAAATACTTAAAATTTTTGGAGGAAAAAAACAGCCTTTCAAAAAAATGTGTATAGCCTAAACGTCAAATTTAGTGATTACCACAGTTACTGTGACATAAAGAGAAGACATGCAGCTATCTATTTCAAAAATTAAATTGTTCAAATGTCATATAATAATGGCGGTAGCTGTCATGGAATTGAGCAATTAAAAAATTATCATAAATCATTTTTTTCAAATGGAAACCCACTTTTTTTATTTCACTAGTGAAAATGTTTTTCAATTCGTTATTTTTTAACTATACATGTTCCTATACCTAAAATAAATCGTTTTTAAGTTATGTAAAATTAAGTTTGAAAACGTATATTTTTCTTGATTTTATCTAGCTTCCTTTGACATTAAGTGTCAAACAGTCAGACAATTTATTTCCATCTGTCAGAAAACGAATTATTTAAATTTTCTATATTATAAATACTGCCTAAAATCATTAAAAATTATCTCGGGGCCATCCTTACCTTGAACTCGACGGTTTTCTCGAGCTACGGGTAGGCAACAGGTATTCTGCGTCTTTGTAGTAAGGCAATATTTTTCGATAAACTTTCTGAGCCAGTAACTGATCGCTGATTCTCTGAGTGGTCGAGCTGGTTTCTAGCGTTTTTAATTCTATCGTGTCCTCGATATTTCGACATCCCACGCACTTGCAGTTGCTGGAACAAGCTATCTTCGCCTGAAATAGTCGGAAATGCAATAAGTACCTACCTGTTTAAAGCTTGATTTTCATGCGTCCGTTATCCGTTGATACGATGCACAGTGCTTCGTCCCATGGACACAAATCGAAAAAAAAGTTAAAATTTACTAATATCTGAATATGTAATTTGATACTTATAGCAATTTTCTACCATCCTGTATCCTGTATATTATTTTTCATAAACAGCGTTTTTTGTTAGCAATTATTTTCACTAAAAATAAATTTTGCGATCATTATCTCATCAGTGAAAAGAATAACATTCATAGTAGTTCTGTATATTATGGAGTTAAGCGGTACGTACTTAATTGAAAGTCACTATGGATATTGTTAAACAAGGTATATACTTTAAATTTATTTCTAAACAAGTTCGTGATTGTTTAGTTTTTATTTATTTTTTAAGATGATTCTTAAATGGGTATAAAAATTTTACGTTTTCAAACTTCAAAAAGGCATTTAAAAAAAACATATCAAAACATATCATATTTATTGAATATTTTTGTTGTCATATTCATACACTTTTAATTTTTGTATAGTTCACCTGCGTCTCCTTGCGACGAAGTTTATTTTATAATACTTTTCAGATGGAGTAAAATTGATAAGCAATGCCGATGTGGTTAATATTTGGCTTGATTATAGGGACAAGAACTCAAAATTATTTGTATTTCAAAAAATGTGTTCTTTATTAGATATTATTATTAGATATAACCAAACCACTTGTGCCTGAAAAAGCCCACTATGTTGGAGCGAAACGTCGCATAAAAAAAGTTTCCATCTTTCAATTTATTATAAAACCTTATACCCAAGAACAGGAAAAAATAATATATGGATATGGGTCTATTAAAGAGGTAACTATTAACATCCGAACCCCTCATACCAACAAAAAGAACAGTAACAACGCGAAAAAGTAACATATTAGAAAATGGTGTACAGAAATATCTTAACATGTGAGGATACTTCATCTACCTGTGATTTGGATACTATAAATTTGGAAGATTCTGTCAGCAGTGATTCTTCTGAATCAGAGTAGTTACGATCTATGCATTTTGTTGTCCTAAAGTAAATTTATAGTATCTTAAGTTTTTTTTTAATTAAATATAACATTAATATTTCTTTTTCATTAAAGAAAAAACATTTTTATCTTATATTAGGCTTATATTGTAGGAATCATGTTCTAATGTTATTTCAATTCTTTTTTATTACAGGGATTTATTTAATACTTACAACGTTTTCATACTATAAATTATTATTTTCTTAGATGGAACACAGCTCCAACATTTTTATTATTTATAAGATTTTTTTTCATAAACGTGGGCCTAAGAACATCATCATTTAGTACAATGAGAGTACTCATCATTTGTGTCAAATAAACCTAGTTGGAATAAATTGCTTACAATAAAAGAGAAGTTTTGCATTTTTGTCCTCTAGAGCCATATGTTCGAAGCACTGTGCGATGGTTCGACGGCGTTCTGATTGATCATAGCGTTTTCGCGCCACTTTTCATCCGTAATTTTTTTACTCCAGCCCGTCAACGGAGAAAGGTCGTACGATAACGGACCTTTTGACACTTTTTTGACAAGTGTAATCTAACCATAATAAAAATATAATAGTACAAGAGCTAGCAACGACGGGAAAACGAGAATTTTAAGAAAGCTGATTTTTTGCTATGCTCTCCTGACCAAAGTGCGGGCCGTCTGATTGCCGGTAGACTACTGCTGTTCACTACTGCGCATCACATCTGTACAGGGTATCCCATTTTCGTGTGTTTTATGGGATTTCTCGTTTATGAGTAGATACAGTGATACATATACAATGATGCGATTTTCACATTACTTTTTTATGAAACCAAATATGCTACACATATGTTTGTTCTAGCCTCCTTAGTTCCTGAAATACAGGGCGCATTTATGATGCGCAGCAGTGAACAGATGTTGAATACAGATATGATGCGCAGTAGTGAATGCAACGTCTACCGGCAGCCAGGCGGTCCGCACTCTGTTCAGGAGAGCATCACAAAAGATATATTAAAGAACCAGCTTTCTTAAAATTCTATCTCGAAAACGTTGCTAACTCTTAGACTATTAGTGAAACAGCGAAATCATTATGAAAATGAAAATAGAAAATGACACCAATAACAAGCAAATCGTACATCCGATGAACGGAGGCATGAAAATACAATAAATTTAAAAACTGCGTAATTTTCTAACCAATTGAAGTCTTTAAATTCAACCAATAAAATTAATATTTTATCATCAGATAACGGATGCATGAAAATCAAGCTTTTCGCTAGTAGAAATCGAAATTTACCTCGTAACATTCACAATAATTTTTCAAACAGCCGGATCTTTTACAGTTGCATCCCTTCGTATGTTTTCGCAGCACATCGCCTGTTGTATCTTTTGCTTTACCGATTTTAGGCCTAAAAACATCAAATTAAACAACATCAATAAAAATTAATCAATTTATCAAAATCATAGTACTCTTTGAATGTCATGTCAAAGGTCACCGAGACGCCGTTTTTAGGGTTCCGTACCCAAAGGGTAAAAACGGGAACCCTTTTACTAAGACTTCGCTGTCCGTCCGTCCGTCCGTCTGTCAAAAAGGCCTATCTTACGAACCGTGATAGCTAGACAGTTGAAATTTTTACAGATAATGTATCTATGTTGCCGCTATAAGAACAAATACTAAAAACAGAATTAAATAAATGTTTATAAATAAAAAAGTACTTTCACTAAACATTATCTTTTAAGTAAGAATTTTACATAGAATCTTTCAAGTCCTCGGTGGCCGCGTGGTTAAAGCGTTAGGACTTTACGCTGCTATGACGTTGGAGCCGTAGTAAGGCAGGTTCGAATCCTAGTCAAGGCGACTTTTTTTTTAATCGTTTTTTTTTAATTTTTACATATTTATTTTTACTTTTTACATATTTATTATTGATGAATACAATTTTTAGTAATGTGGTTCTTCATTTTTTTTCTATCGTACGGCGTTGCTTACCTGAAAGCGTTCGGATTGCGATCCATACAAGACCTTATCGCCATATTCCTGGTGTCTTCGTTCTCCAAGTTGTTGTAACAGTTCATGCAGTTGCAAAGGTAACAAAATTCTCCGTTGGCGAAACAGTCGCAGTACAATTTTAGGCATTGGGACTTGGTACAGTTGCACGGTTTTCGAGGTCTTATCCCATTGGCTATTCCGTTGATGGTTGCTCCGGTGGCCTGTTCGCTTGATGAGGCTTGTGAAACGTTTGTGGGAGACAGATTACTTTCCGACAATGCTATTTTAGTAAATAAAAAAATATATTTTTTTTTGGTAATGTTTAAGGTAACCAAAGTAGAAATTAGGATCGATGACATTTTAGAGGTAAAATTAATTTACTCAAATGTCTTAAGTACCATATACGATCGACAAAAAAAAACGGCATCAGATACGGCTAGGACCGATGATAATTTTGGCTAGGTCAAGCCCTAGACTTCGGTTACTTGGCCCGTACTTTTCTTTATTTCTTAGGGCTCAAACACACTGACGACCAGGTCGCACCGGCCAGGCCGCACCTACCTCTAAAACCATTAAATCAAATGAAATAGCGCACACTAACGTCCTGACCGTTCGTTGGTCGTTGCGACCAGGAGACTGCACGGAAATATTATTATTTTCTGCCGCTTGTTGCCGGTTTTCTTCCAAATTAATAATTTTTCAGATGAAATCCCTCAAATTCAAGGCACAATATTTTATTTTCTATAAGATATAGTGTTTTAGTGTAGTTTTTGCACACGTGCAGAAAATCCAAAGAAATAGTATACAGACTGGATCAAAGGTAAACTTAAATCTAATCCCTTTTTTTTTATCAAGGGTCGATTCTAGTAAAAACATTTTTATATAACATACCTACTCTATTTATAGTTGGTATGATACCTGTTATTATACCTTTGAGTTTTGATATTTAAAAAATAAAAAAAATAATATTTCAAGTTTTTACCACTTGTTTTTTTTATTAAATTAGTTTTTTTAGTTGTATTGTAGTCATGTACAAGGAGGACAACTGTATTTTAAATATGATATTTAATTTAACGTTTTTCAAACAGGGTTCATTAGACTATATTTCTACTAGGTACATTATTTTGAAAAAAAATTAAGAAAGTAACTTAAACATTCATAAAAATAGAAGTAATTACAGTTGTAGATTCTTCGTTATATTGTAAACATTGAAATAACTGGAAGCTAAACTTTCTACCTGCTTATATTTAGAGCCAGTGTCTGACCATCTTTTTTTACGATGGCCCTAATATGTTTACTTCCAAAGTCGATAAGGGCGCCATATCAGTAGAAAAAAGAAACAGAATATCTCCCTTTTTGTCGGTCGCGCGTACACAATGCTTTTTGTTTGTTGTGAATAGCAACTTCGCTTTTTAGTTAACTCGGATATTTTAACATTTCTGAAACAATATTTTCTAATTGGTAAAACGTAAAATTTCGTTAGATTTGACAACTCAGTTGAAACTGGTCGTTCATCTGGCCGCAGTTAAAAACGCAATACATCCGGCCAGCCGACGGCCAGGTCGTTGCGACCTGGTCGTCAGTGAGTTTGAGCCCTTAATGGCGCTTATTGGCTGCTGGCCTTAGAAGGTTATAATTTATTCTTATATGTATTTAGTAAAAACTTTGAATAAAAAGATTAAGGAAGGAGCATATCAAAAATCTTAATATCGACCGCGACGGGGTCCTAAAATGGCCAACTTAAATTCCGGTTTATCAGTGCCATTCTAATTTTATTAAAAACGTGTAAAAATATAATGTAGGGTGGACTTAATAATTTGTTGTTTTATTTTACGTTATGAATAAATGTTGTAGTTATTAAAATCGGTTAAAATTTTTTTTTGAACAGAACGTCAACGGTTTTTTCTTGCAGTGGCGAAATACCCATATAGGATTTTTTGGAGAGTTAGAAAAAAATCAAACCCTAAGCGAAATTAATAGATCGTAATTTCTCAGGTAATTTGACGCCGTTTTTTTTTCGATTTTACAATACTTACGCGGTGTCACCGGAGCTATAGGTTTAGGGATCGTAACTTCAACCGGCTTAGGCCTCGCCGTGGCAGGTTTGATGGGAGGAAGAGCAATTTTTGACACTTTGGCCTCGGGACCCACGTTGAGCTGCGTGAGATTGGTGGGTATATACCCGGCGGGTACCATGAAAACTTGAGCCGGTTTTGGGCTCGAATGTATCGACTTTGTCACTACCTTATTAGTGGTGAATACAGGCTAGAATATAGAAGTATTGGTAGTGTTTTTTTTAATTAACTATCATAGAATATAGTACCTTTAACTCTCCAACAGGTGATGTTACTATAGAAGAATTAGAAATGCCTTTGACGGGACTGACTGATGCGTTTGTGCTGGGTGACTCAGCTGAAGAAGCAGGTACCAATTTGATGTATTGCATCTGTTAAACACAATACAATTTTGAATTAACAAAAATTTATTTTTTTTAATTTTTTAAAAAAAACAAAATTGAAAAAAAATATTGGATTATTATTATATTTATATATTTTATTTTTCAGATAATAAAACGAGATTTGGTAGGTTAGTATATCTACATTATATAAAATGCTAATGTTTATCTGTGTCGTCTCTACTGAAGTAACGACTTGCTCTAGAAAGTTGCTTTTTTTACTAAAAGATAGTTAATTGGCTCTTCTAAACACTGTCATCGCCGGATTTTTTGTTTTTCATTTAATTTAAAAAAAATAAGTATTTTTTTTCCTGATGTATGTCGTGGCGGATGCTTAGTATTGTATAAATTAGGATTGACTGACGTATTCAATTGTTTTTGATCACTTCCTGTTTCACAGGAAATGCCTACAATTTTTAATGACACTCTGAATAGAATGACATATAATATGTCAACTTCTGACATTTTCGTTTAAAAAAATCGTATTTTAAATATCAATCCAGAGTGCCATGGCTGTGTTAAAAACACTAATTTTTAATCAAGGAACCTTGGAAAAATAGTTTTTCCTTGTCTGTTAAAAGACACCCAAATCATATTTATAATCATATCTCATTTTTTTTTCAAATAGAACAAGGGTGGCTCATTAGCATATTTGGAAAAAGCATTTTTTTACAAATAATTTGGTACCACATACTTGGTATTTAGAGTCAAGTTGTCGTTATGAACCGCATGTTACAATTTCAAATAAACCATATATGGAAATGCCAACAGTTGACATATGATATGTCAACTGTTGACACTGTCATTCTAATTAGAGGTGTCATTTTCTATTGATTTAAAAGTAGAAATATACCGAGGGTGCCATTTAAAAATCAAAAATTGTAGTCATTTCCGTTGAAACAGGAAGTGACCAAAAACAATTAAATATGTTAACTAATCCTAATTTATGTTATATACTTACATAGCAAATCTCGTTTTTTTATCTGAAAAAAATAAATAAGTTATAGTGGTGAACCACTTTTGAGATGTACCCGGTATTTGTCACCCTGTCTCTCATTAGTTGATTCAAAATCTGGTCACTTTAAACAATTATTTTAAGAAAAGAAAATTAAGAAAATCCATATCTTAAACTTAAAAGCAAAAATAACTTATGGTAATCTTTTTCAATTAACTAGTGGTTATATATTTTAATGCCATGAATCTGGTAATACTTACTCCTTTTCCAGGAACATTTATTTGATGAATTTGCCCGCCAGCTATCTGCGTACCCACTTGGATCAATTGGCCTGCCGGTACAAGCTGACCGCTACCGCCACCCTTAAAAATAATCCTCTGAGCACCCTTCCCTCCAGTTAGAGCACCGGCCGGTAGAATCTTTGCCGGCGACTTAATTTGTGTTAGAGAAATTGTTTTCGGACTCTTATTGGTAGATATCTGACTATGGCTACTTCTGGAAACCAACTTTATGGTTTTCGGTGGATTCTTATTGATCAAAACTGTTCTCTTTGCCCCGCCTGATGATCCTGTAGTGTGCAAGACCTTTGCCGAACTCAATAAACCCATTTCTTGAGCTTGCTGCAATGTAATTGTTTTGCTTTGAATTGGGGTGGCAGCAATTGTATTTCCGGAACTAGTTTGTACCAATTTGACATGCTGTGGAGCATCAGAACCCTTTTGGACCACAACAAATTGCTGACCAGGTTTGTCAACTGCGACAGATTTGACCAGAGTTTTCGGGCCAGAACTGGTAATTATTTTTTTCATTACCATTTGTTTTCCCGATCCGACCGAAGCTGCAGTTACCTTTTTAGCAGGTTTGATAGTAATGGGACGGCCGAATGGATAATTTCCTAGATTAATTTCTTGTCCTTGATGATTAACAAGTTTAATTCCTTGATTTGTACCTCCTATAAATAAAAACCTTTTCTTTCTCTATTTTAATACATAAAAAGCATACAATTACCTGGAACTATAATTAGTGGCTGTCCACTAACAGATTTAAAAGCTATTGGAACTTGTTCAGGCTTGGGTGCAATATTTAAAGGCCTTAGAGGTGGTATCACTGCTGCTGATTTATGTTCTCTATCGGGTGCATCTTCAAAACTTTCAGTCTCTTCAGATTGAATTTCAATTTCTTGTGGTTCAATTTCAGCTTCACTTTGAACTTCCTCTTCATGTTCTATTATGTCTTGTTGTGATCCAACTATTAATTCATGTTCTAGAAACCAAAATTTTATCCTCAAAAATTCCACTAAACAGAATTTATATTTATAAGATAATAAATTATTTTTTAACAGAATTTATTTCTTGAACATTTTTGTTTATTTAAATAATTTTACATACCTTCAGTCTCCATTGCTGTATCTAAAGTTAATTCATGGGATAACTCAGTTATTTTATCCATTTCAACATTATCTTCAAGTGCATTTTCATCTAGCATAGTCTCATCATGAACACAAACCTCTAAACATGATATAAACAAAATTGCTTAGTCTAGTAAAATAACTACTATTATCAAGTTCAAAACATGAAACAATAACTTTTAAATATAACTAAACTGAGTAATTTAAATGGTTTTTAAACAATTTCATTCAAATTTGGTGGCATAGCATTTCAAATGATTCAAAAATATGCCACGCCAAAAGACGCTTTAAATTTTAAGGCCCGAAAAACAACATAGCTACTAAAATATAATTTTGTAAATAATATATATTGTCTAAAGTTATCATACCTGGGACAGATGAGGACATTTTTACCACATTAGATTTAAAATTTTAAAAAAATAGACAAACATTTCAAAACAACAAAGTCAAATATGACAAGTCACGTGACATAGTTCACTAATGGCCGCCAACGCCAACGTACTAGCGTGAAAATTACTATAAAAATATTTTTCCTTTTCAAATATAGGAAGGCGGTATTTATGGTAATATGGATTTTTAAAATATATTCATGTCTTGAATTATACTTATAATCGATTTTTAGGGGTACATTAATTTGAAAGAAGTACCAGAAGCCTTCTGGTATCTGCGATATTTAAACAATTGACTACCTAAATATGTCACAATTTAGGATGGATATGTCAAAAAATTAGTTGAAGAAGTTACTTTAAAAAAATAAAATGGATAATCCGTGTAAACCTCCCATCGAAGAAAAACATTACAACTGTCCTCGGATAGTGGAAACAAATTTAAAAAGTGATTCAAAACGCGGTGAGGTCCGCCAAGTAGAATGCGGGAAAGGATTTGGTTTGTTTGGTGGAAAAAAAAATGATGAACCACCACCACCTCCACCACCGGTGGTAAGCTTCAATATATAATAATTTATTTAAAAATATAGTTTAATATGGCGAGTAGTCATGTTCTATAATTCAAAAAAGGTTATATGTATTATTTAAATACTAAAACAGGTATGTCAAAATACAATAGTACTGTGATAAATTTAATTATACCGATTATACCATGATTATACCCTACCATTTCATAAATAGGTAAGTCAGTAAAAGTTAAATAAGAAATTTAAACAGAAATTTAGATTTTTGCGCAACTTTTCGTAGAAAGAAAAACCCTAAAAATATATGAAGCGATGTTGCCATGATCAGAGTCCATTATATCGTTTTTTTTTAATTGTTAATTTTCTTTTGGAAAAATATTTTAAATTACAATCAAGAACGTATTTTCAATTGTTTTTCGTCATTAAATCTCAAAGTTATCAACTTAAGCTTTGAATCCGTTGATAACCATTTTGATTTTATGCCATGTTGCAGACAACTTTTTCTCGTGATAGAAAAGGATAACCGTTATCTTATTCACTCTAGCTCGTCCAGCTGAATGAATGATAATTTTAACATTGCCGGTCCGGGTGGTGCTCTACGTTTGCGTTTGCGATTTTGTGCTGTGTCTTTTTGCCCGATTTTAACTAAATCGGCTAGGTAGTGATAGACAAATTTATCAAAAAAATACCTTTTTAGTCGTCAATATTCCGTAAGTGTTTCTATATTTTCTTATTGCATTAATTCACTTTACGTCATGGCCTACTTGCTCATTCCATGCGATCATTTATTAGGTTGAACCGTTTTTTTAATAAAATTTTAAAGTCTATTTAGAGAATGACCACCGTTTTTGCTGGTATTTTCCATGGTAATATGTTAAATACCGTGATTACTGGAAGGATACTAATAAATTTCAACTTTAATTGATTATGTAAGAAAATGGTTGAACCTCAAATCGATATTTCTAGAATTTTTATGGCACGAACTTTGTACTGTCTATAAATTTATTCCCTAAAATATCCCAATTCAAAAATTAAAAACATATTTCTTGCAATTTGAACGGTGAAATGAGCGTATTTAAATAAAACAATCCTATTTCTTTTTATCCTTGTGACATGGCGTGACCCCGTGTGTTTCTCGCAAATTGGTCGAAAGATGGAGGCACTAGCGAATTTCAGTTAAAATCGCATTAATTTTATAATAGTTAACTGTTTAATTTTATTTAAATTTATTAATATGTGGAAGATTTAATTTTAATTTAGTAATATTTGCTAAGTAGTTTTTTTTTTATTTTAAGTTCATTGTCGTCATTGGTTTTAAATTTACTAGAAATTCTTTTTATATATTTTAATAAGTGACTTCATAAAAAAATCTACGGAAAAAATTATGTAACGAACAAATTATCTAGTGACACTTGAGGGGTTTTACACGTTTTTTTTTAATTCCTCGTTTTCGAGTTTAGATAATTATAGATTTGGCAACAACTAATGAGATCCCGTACCCACCTTTATTTATCTTGATTGCTTATCAGTATGCGCTGGATTTAAATAATTTCAGCCAGAAGAAGACATGTCTCCTCCGCCATACTCCGACTTGGGCAAAAAAGCCAAAGATGTGTTCAACAAGGGCTACCATTTCGGTCTGATCAAACTCGACTGCAAGACAAAGTCCAGCTCGGGGGTGGAGTTCAGCACGGGGGGCACGTCCAATCAGGAGTCGGGCAAAGTGTTCGGTTCGTTGGAGACCAAGTACAACGTCAAGGAATACGGTCTAACCTTCACCGAAAAATGGAACACAGACAACACCCTAAGCACCGATTTCACCGTTAAGGATCAGGGTTTGGAGGGCCTGAAACTTGGTGCCTGCTTAGATTTCGCACCACACACAGGGTAAGACAGTGTATTTTTTCTGGAGTAGGCTGTGGTTTGTCCGGTGAATGATTACGTGACATGTGACAGTGACAGTTGATGTCTGAAGTCTCAAAATTTCAGATTCTTTCACTGGACATACTATATCATGAGAGTTTTTTTGAATAACTATTATTATTAGCAGGTAAAGTCTAAGAATATAACTAAATTATTTTAACCGTTTTTCTTTAGAGCACTGTATCATATCAAGGGTTTAAATATCAGTGCGGGACATAAAACTATACAGGATTGGGGTACACTCGAGACAAAGTCTTTGTGGAGAATTTCGTATGTGTGAAATATCTATTTTTTTTTTATAAAAATTAACCAAAAAATATCAGAGGTAGTTTTTTGTCGATCTATGTTTCATTTAAATAATTTAATTTGTGGGCAAAATAGGATTTTTTCTTAGATTTTACGTTGCTACAGAATGTTCAGCGATCGTTCATCGTTACGTCATCATTATTATTTGTCAAATGTGAGATTTAGGGTGTGTCTGAGATCAGTTCATATTTATGTTTATATTTTTTAATTTTGACATTGATCGATGTTCGTCATTAAAATTATAACCCCAAATCAAATGCCAGTGACAATTACTAAAAAATAATATGCAGTAATTTACGAAATACCGTAATGACGTCACCAATCCCTGTTATCTAATTGGCAAATAAGTGATTTAGTCGACATTATATGACGTGACAGTGAAGGATGACTGAACATCTATGAGTACGTTCCACTAAGCACTCATAACGTTCACGCTCAAGATCGCGATTTTTTCCGTTACACTTGCTTGCGAGCGTTACAATCATAAACTCAAGTGGAATGGGTTATGGGGCGTTTTAAACGTCAATCCTGGTCAGTGTATGTAAATAAGATGTAAATAGTAAATAATAGTCAAAATCACAGAAGAGAGTTCAAAAAATCTGTCTCAAAAAAAAAGAAATCAAAATGTCTTTGGCGACAGTTGGATATATTTGGTGCATCGGAATGTGTCTGAAACTTCTTCATCTAGTTCAGACAAATAGTGGAATGCAATTTTACAAAATCGTGATCGTAAAAAGCGAAAACTTAGGCCACGTATTATTGGCTATGAGAATCTATGAAAATTTTTATCTTAAGTGTTTTGTCTAAGTTTTAAAAATTGCGCCAAAATTCCTCAACGTCCACTTCGAACCCATCTGAATATTAGGATCGAAGTTGTGAGCTCGCGTGAGCGAAAATAATGACGTCATTAGGGAGTTTTCGTTGCTTACAAATTGCAATTCCGGTTAACGCTAATTGACAACTTTGACATTTCAATTTCGATTATCGTATATCGTAACCGCTAGCTGCCGATATTGTACGGACGTTAGCCAAGGCCGTTAACATAGCGGTACGCATGCGCACTAGCGCAGTAGAAGCACAACATTGAAAAATACAGATCTAACCTAACCTCATTCTATTTTGTTTATGTTTTGATTATTTATTCTATCTGTGTTAAACTCGTTGGGAATTCTTAGTGATTCAGCTAATCGAGGAATGTCTTTTTTTTTCAAAGCGGAAGTTAGGTTTGCACTCTTGGTCAGATAATATTTCTAGGTTGAACTCCCCATAAAGTTCTGCTCGATATTCGATGTTGTTTTCAAACCCTTCCAACAGCATAGCATCCTCCAAATCCGATTCATCACTAGAGTCCAATAAAATTAAATTGTCCATCCTATATAGCGATACCCAATAAAGTCATATAAAGCACTTTCAAACCAAATAACAATACAAAAATCAAAACACTACGCTACGGGCTGTGCTTAGCTGTCAGTTTTCGGTTATCGTATCGTATGTCGGCTCCGAACCGATGAACCGAAAGTCCGAAAACTGTTTTTTTATCTGTCAAAATAGCGGTTATGGTGACGTATCCGTTAACCGTACCGTTGAATTTTTTTAAAGCAACGAAAACTCCCTATTAGTGACGTTTTCGCCGCGACCACAACGTCCACGATCGTCATGTGGAACGACTGAAGGCATATTTTGAGCATTATGAGCGCTTAGTGGAACGCACTCTATATGTTGTGGAAATTGTCTCTATTAGGGTGCATCCACACTATCCTAGAAACGGCGTAACGACCTTGAATAGACTTTCAGTAATTCTATTGGCTGAAATTTTTGACAGATGAATTTGACAGATAAAATTTCTGACAGATGAATTTTTCAGCCAATAGAATTGCTGGAAATCGATTCAAGGTCGTTACGTCGTTACGCCGATACGCCGTTTCTAGGATAGTGTGGATGCACCCTTCTATGGTTATGGGAAACCTTTTTGTTCAGTTAAACTAACATTTTTTTTGTATTAAATTATTATTTACTAATATTAGGTTTAAATATAATTTACGTTTTTATTGGAATTTTAATTTTTACATAAATATACAGGGTTGTTCACCACATACGACACGGAGTATTGTAGCTAAACGATGAGATTTTTACAAATTGTAAGTTTTGAGTTCGATGAAGGACTATTAGAGGTACAATTTAAAAATAATTTTACAAGATACAGAGTGTCCCAAATAAGTAAAAAATATCAAAGTTGTATTTTTTTAAATGGAACACCCTGTATATCATTACATTTTTAGTTTCTACGATTAAAATGGTAATGATATACTAATAAATAATCTAAAATGTCAATATACCATGGATATATTGATAAATGAGGTCTAAATTATAAGAAAATGCATTTTCTACGAAAACTTGAAGGGATAGCTAAAAAATGGTATAATACAATTTGATAGACAATTTAATTGTGCATCTGATTCTCCTAAAATATACAGGGCATTCCATTTAAATTAAAAAAGTTATTGCCGTTTGAAGCTAATAATTATTTAAAATAAATTTTTAGACACTCTGTATAAGGTAGTATTATTTTTATTATTGCAACACAATAACTGATCAATAAATAAACTTCATTAAATATTTAGTATTAAAAACATTGATACCCTTGGAAAATGAAGCTTTAAATTTTTACTGCAATTTCACAAAATTGAAAATATTTCAAAAACAGTAAGGTTTAAGTATAATAAACCTTAATCAAATTTACCTTTATTTTAATCGTAGAAACTAAAAATGTAATAATATACAGGGTGTTCCATTTAAAAAAATACAACTTTGATATTTTTTATTTATTTGGGACACTCTGTATCTTGTAAAAATATTTTTAAATTGTAGCTCTAATAGTCCTTCAACGAACCCCAAACTTACAATTTGTAAAAATCCCATCGTTTAGCTAAAATACCGTGTCGTATGTGGTGAACAACTCTGTATTTACTTTGCTAGAAATGACATACCTACTTCAAAAATCGGTCAGAAATTTTTGAATTGATGGATATACAGGGTGGTCCGAACTGTATTCCGGAAACTTTCTGCAGATAAAAATAAGTAAAAAACTTCGTATAAATGTATGTCATAAAATGCTTACTTTCGGAAATACAGGGTGTAGAAGTTTCATTTTTATTTCGATTTTTTCCAAATAATTTATGAAGTAACCTGAATATTTGGATGAAAATTGGTGTCTGGGAGTTTTTTGACATGAGAAATTTGGATTTTGATGTCAATATGACTCCTATTTGTAGGGGGCGCCACCTACATGTGTTTTAACTGTTTTGAAGAGTAATAACTTTTCGTTCGTAGCTGTATAAAACTACTGAGTGAAAAAATATAAATTCCTGTGATTTTTTACGTAAAAAATATCTCTTGGCAAAAATCTCTACGAGCAACCGTTCTCAAGATATTTATTTAGAATGTGTGGAAATAGTCAATACATCTCTGTAAGCTAAACATTTAACTGAAATGATTAATTTAAGTTTTTATTTTTTTTAAATTAATTATAAATTTTTCTTCGAAAGAATGTTGAAAAAACCGAGGAAAAAACAGTTTCTGTTGAACTTTTGGCACAAAAACATTTCAAATTTCTGAATTCGGTCTAATAACTATTTAGTCAACATGTTTAATTTATGTCAATGATGAGAGGTATTGATAATTTCGATTCCAAATATCTCGAGAACCATTACTCTTAGCCATTTTTACCAAAAAACATCGTGAATGTATATTTTTTTACTCAGTAGTTTTATACAGGTACAGACAAAAAGTTGTTACTCTTCAAACCAGTTAAAAAATATATAGGTGGCGCCCTCTACAGGTAGGAGACATTGACATCAAAATCAAATTTCTCATGTCAAAAAACTTCCAGACACCAATTTTCATCTAAAAGTTGATGTTACTTCAGAAATTATTTGGAAGAAATCGAAATAAAAATGAAACTTCTACACCCTGTACCTCCGAAACTAAGCATTTTAGGACATACATATATTTATACGAACTTTTTTTACTTTAGGCAATCCGGGGACATACTGTATATGTGTTATATGAACCATTTTTTATAGTTATCATTTTAAACGTTACAACAGCAAGTGTAACAAGCAAGTAGGATTAATTTTTTATAGTTTATAGGAAACATTTTTATATCTTTTACAGTTATTTCTCGATTTATTATAAGTTTTTAACCAAGATGATTTTTTTAATTTAAATCACACAATTAAAATTTCAAAATCCGCTCGATTTAAATCAAGTTGATTTAAATCTTTGCACCCTGCCCCAGACTATTATTTCCTTCCTAAAAGAATAATCTACACGTTTTTCTTGCCTCCGCGCAGACAGAAGACCGGAAACGTTAAAGCCGCCTTCCAGAACCCCCAGGTGGCGATAAACGCCGACGCCGAATACACCCCGGAAGGTCCCAAGGTCCTCGGTTCGGTCGTGTTGGGCTACCAGGGCTGGTTGGCCGGCGCCCAGGCCGGTTACGACATCAACAACAACAAGCTGACCAAGAACAACTTCGCCCTGGGTTTCAGCTCCGGCGACTTCACCCTACATACCAATGTGTAAGTTGATTGTTTTATTTGTTTTACATTTTTATATTGAATAATTTACCGTTAAAAACATTTATATTTTGTTTCCAATCAAATAGGGCTTTATGAAGTCGAGATTATTTTATATTAAAGAATGATAATGTAGTGTATAAATGTCATTAAACTACTAGGAAGGTTACGTGATAATTATATAGGACTAATCAGGCTTGGCGCATTCACCGCCGGTGCTGCCATCATCGGAGAAAATCCTAAACAACTAGTATATACATATACACGGGTTTAAATAGCGAGTATACGAAAAATTTATTATACACTCACTGGCAAAAAAACCGGCAACTAAAAACTAGTCTCAATTTCAAAGTTGGATTTCTCGCGAACCACTCATTAGATTTTAATTATTGTTTTTTTAAATTGTAAATTAATTCCTTCTTAACGGATGCTACGTCAGCAATTTTTATTCCGAATTTATTTTGAGCATATACAGGGCACAACAATAAGACGAAGTTTTTTGCCCGTACTTTGTAACACCCAGTAGGGTGCAGCAGCTGTAGTACTATTGCTAAATCAAATCACATTGTAGCCTCATCTTTTATGAGCATTTTGTTTTTTTAATCATGACATTATCTCTGTTTGTATTAGAGATACGCTGCTTTTCGCTGCGGTCGGAATTTTTTGAAATCAACTGAAATGCACCATGCCTATTATTATTTAAAAATTTATCATTTGCTTTTAAAAATGTAATTGGAGATCTTGCTGGTCTTTGTTCTTTTCACAATATCTTAAAGAGATGTCAAACGTATACATATAACTACATATACTCGCCTAATCTCTAAAAAGTGACGCCCACGTGACGCCCAAACAGTGAAAGAGAAATATGGAATTTCACCCGGATTTAACTGCGCATGCCTTACCTGAAGAAGTTTACATTGGTCGGTGTTTTTAAAGGGAAGTGGTTGATTAACATTCACCTAACCTTGAATTTTATTTATATTTTTATTATTCATAACACATTATCATGGAGCTGGAAAAATATCAAAAAACAGTTGGAAACAATAAGCTAAACAAAACCACTCTTTTACACGCACAAATAAAAAGTAATCCAAACAGAACTAAAACAACAATCAATGGGAGTTTGGCGCAATCGCAGTTCAATCGATATCCGGGTGAAATAGACTTATGCAGCGTTAACATGGAGCTGAGTTATGTTGTCTTTTTCTTACGGCACGGAAATAGCACACGGGGTTAAATAGGGAACACTGAGTATATTTAGTTATATGTATATGATGTCAAATTTAGTGTCATCTGACGATTCTTTAGTTCCATATGTGGATATAATCTACTCTATTTCCAAAAAGGGTATAGTATAACGACTATTCAACAGAAACCCTAAAGGGCACTATTTTATGTAAATCTAAGCACACCCTGTTTAAACCGAGCGACTGTTCTAACCGTTTAGCGATTGGATTAGTGACGACGGGCAGGAGTTTGGCGGCTCCATCTACCAGAAGATCAACCCCAGCCTGGAGACGGGCATCTCCCTCAACTGGTCGTCGGGCAGCAGCAACACGAAGTTCGGCATCGGCGCCAAGTACGACCTGGACAAGGACGCGGCGGTACGTTTCAAGGTCAACAACGCCAGCCAGATCGGTCTGGGATATCAGCAGCGTCTGCGCGAAGGTATGCCTTATTTTTTATTTTTTTTTTATATCTACACAGTCGAAGAGTGAATACTTTCAGTAAAATAATATGTATAGTATTTCCAAAGTCAATTGGATGTAGCGAGACTCTTAATTCCTTAGTGCCGACAAAGGCACCGACAAATACAGTCCTGAAATTAAAAGAGTCCCAGTCTATTCCAACTGACTTCAGATAAACTATACAAGGGCATGAAATATATAGTTCATATCAAATAAACTATTAGTAACGTGATTAAGCTTGACCGGCACAGCGTTGACCACTTTTACATATTTTCTTTTAATCAAAATATTTTAGAAAAACAAAAAAAAAATTAATTATAAATATATAAACAGTTATTATTTACATCAACAAAACTCACCTCCTTAATAGCACATAACGGACATAAAGGGCCATTACTACCGCTTTCCCGTTCAAAATATTCTAATAAAGTTACAATGAGTTTTTTACGGCTATTAAGCTATATTTTACACTTTGCACTAAAAGAGGTTCTACAAAGAACAATGTTCGACTGCAAGGTCTACTGGTTAAACATTTTTAAGCTTAAAGTATTACAAGACAATTCATTTAAACCAAAAACTCGTAATACAAAACTAAAGTATCAAAACGAATGAGGTTCCAGTCGATATTACGGACACTAAAAACGTTAAAATTTCCATACAGATTAGGTAGTAACATCGAATATTAGCACTTTACTACATTATATAGATGTGGATTGACCTAGTTTAAGCACAAAAATTCAAGAAAACCTCTTTGTAAGCGTAAAAATTAAGAAAATACATGTCTTTACAATATTCCGAGCTAACAACCATTGATTTTTTGATTGACAGTTGATCGACGGCCTTCGTATGCTATTTGCGACGTTGTCAATATAATTATTTTATATAATTTTCTAATGAAGTGAGGTTATGTTACATATTCTTTTAGGGGTTCTGTGGTTTTGAATGTTTGGCTAGCTTTTCTTTGTGGAGGGTGTTAAGCTGTGGTTTTTATATTTTAATAATTAACTGATTTTGCAAAAATATTATTAGATTGGTTAGCATTTGGGTTGCTTTGGTTAGGTTTTCTATGGTGAGGGGGGTTAAGCTGTGTTTTTTTTTATATTTTAATACGAATCTGAGTGCTTTCAATGATTTAATTTTAAACACAGATTTTAAAATAATTCATTTGTTTTCACCGTGATGGCGCCACCGTAGGAGCCGTTCCTCCGGCGATCGGCACGTGAAAAATTGGCGTAAAATAGACGGCAACGTCGCACAGATTTTTGACACCTGTCATAATGTTTGTGCCATTTGTCAAAATTCCTCCGCAGCATCAAATAGTACCATCATTTTATTTCAATATTTTAAAATTTACTGGATAATCCGCAAATTTTTTTGGTTTAAATTACCTACTAAAACACGTACTTTTCAGGACAATTTTTGTTTTTTTAAAATTCTTGTGTCCGTAAAGTCGAACGGACCCACGAATGACAATAAATGTGACAACTTGACATTTTTTACAGCAGAGCTACTACCTGAATTCCCAGCGGGAAATTTAAATTCCAATTAGGCAGTCCGGCGACGAATATGTTGCCATGGTTGGCAACAATTAATTTAAAAATCGCGCCCTTGATTATGTAACTAAAAGTTTAATTGGTATTGAATATAAGTGTTAATTTTTTTGATCAAACTCTTTGGAAAGGATCACCTTTTGGAAATAATTGTTCACTGAACAGGCTGCCTGTTCCTGTTCTTAAGAACTGTTCCGTTGTTTTCTTAACAACCTTAATTTTTTTATTTGTGGGTATGCCGAAAAAATATCACTCTTTTTTAACTGAATAGCAAATTATCCCATTTTATTTTTATATTATTTTTGGCCTGTATATTTTTTCAATTATTTATTAATGATCAATAAATTTTCGTATCAAACATGCTTTGATTTTGACTGTTAAGCATATTCTGACATACTTTTGCTTTATCATGTTTATCTGTCATCATTCAAGACACGCTTGATCATAAAACTTTTTGATCACATTGTACCAATGACTAAAGAATCCAAGGACAAATAACACCCGAGAGCAAATTGTTACCATGCCACCAAACAGTGCCATGGTACATATTTTTCTTAACTAAAAAACGTATTAAAATGTTAACAAAAGGTACAAAAGTTTATATCGATCCTGGCTCTTTCTTATCGCTACGGCTTTTACACTTGAAAGCTGATCAACTAATCACCATTGTAATAAAGTTTATACAAAGTTCACTACACACAAACTATTAAAAATCGCAAAAATTCGCGCTGATGACTCATTCGTTGCCATCAACAAAATGGCGAAAAACTAACGTCACAAAATCTGCTTCAGCCCGTATATGAGCGTTACATGTTCTTGTATTCTTTAGTCATGGCAGTGTACCGTATGATCGAAAAGAAACGCTGTCTAAGACGGCTGAGGAATAACAATCAATGATAATTTTGGCGACGTCAATCTCTAGACGTGGTTAGCTAAAAATTAGAGAACAACGGCATACGGTCAAGTCGCCCGCTGCTGGCACGTATACGTAGACGTAAAGCATCTTTTACGTGTATAAAAAATAAAAGATATAAGAAATGCGCATGCGTACGTAAACGTTTACGTGTTTGTAGGCCGACTCGACCGTATGCCGTTGTTCTCTATTGACATAAAACTGAAGCCTTGCCAAAATTACCATCGCTTGTCATTCCCCAGCCGTCTTTGACGCCGTTTTTTTTCGATCGTATAATATATTGGTTTAAATTGTTTTTTTCAGGTGTCACTCTTACTCTGTCCACCCTGATCGACGGGAAGAACTTCAACCAGGGCGGTCACAAAATCGGTTTGGCCCTAGAATTAGAGGCTTAAACACTCTCCTCGTTCCACGTTATACACTAGACCCCACTTGCGTATTAAGCCGCTGTATTGTAGATAATATATAATTGTTTTACTGGAACATTTAGTATTAAAAAGATACAATTTTTTTTGTATGTTTTCTTCATTCAAATCGGACACTTTAACAGACTACAATATCGTATAGGGATCGTCGTGTGTGTAACAAAACGATACGGGCAGATCCCTTTTCTTTCTCGGTGGGTATTTGTTTTCATTTCAAAAGGGCAAAGGGACTGGTAGTAAGAGTATATACTATATATAAAAAGGCGAGTTAATTTATATGTCTCTGTTATACAGCTACACGATTATTTTTGTCCAACCTGATTTTTTTGTTTTTATAAATACTTATGTATCGCAATACCTTTTTTGCTTTAAAACAAATCTTTATTGTTAATAAAGAAGTTTAATTTCTAAACAATGTTTTATTTCTCTATATTGCCTCACAAAAGGTAATTTAAAGGTAAATGTCCTCCTATTAGCCAGAGAAGGTTTTGACAGACGACGTCACGTGTCCAAGAAATGACAGAAGAAAATACAATTTACCAGTAGGACAGACTATACATATTTTTCGAAGTTGGTATGAAATGAACAGAATGGATCCTGTGAGGGTGCAGCCACACTATCCTAAAAACGGCGTAACGGCGTAATGACCTTGAATAGATTTCCAGTAATTCTATTGGCTGAAATTTTTGACAGATGAATTTGACAGATAAAATTTCTGACAGATGAATGTTTCAGCCAATAGAATTACTGGAAATCTATTCAAGGTCATTACGCCGTTACGCCGATACGCCGTTTTTAGGATAGTGTGGCTGCACCCTGAGAGAATATATAACAAATATACGAAAAATCAAAAGTTGTAGTCATTTCCGGTGAAACCGGAAGTGACCGAAAACAATTGAATGCTTCAATCAGTCCTAATTTATGTCATATACTAAGATACCAAATCTCGTTTTTTTTAACTGAAAAAAAAATTAAATAGTTATAGGGGTTAGCCACTTTTGAGACGCACCCGGTATAAGCTGATTTGAGTAAAAATAGAGCTGAAGCTTTGGCTGAACTTAGTTGAAATACATACTAGGTATTTTAGCCCTAAAAAGCTAGTTTTTACACTAAGATAAATCCACCCATCCCTTATATTTAAAAAAAATCAACTGATTTGAATAAACAGTCAGCTCAATTCAAATTTATTAATATAAAATGTTATTTAGTTTAAAGACAACCTTACATATATATTTTCTAACTTTTATTTATGTAATATTATAATTTATAATAGAAAAAAGAAATGAAATTTATCACACACAATGTTTGAAATAAATGAACACATTTTTAAGAAACCATTTGTTCTTCCATAACTTTTGCCAGCCATTCCGGATGAGCCTTGGCGATCTGTTCGATGATCGAATTAACTTGATAGCAAAGAGACTGAATTTGTTTATCCCACTGCGGTAACATTTCTCGAGCTAAAAATAACAAAAATGTATATTTTTTCTATTATACTATGGTGAAAAGAATGTAATTTACTTTCAAAATGAACAATGGAATCAATCTGATCAATATATCCATGCATACGTCCCTCTGTTATCATCTGACTTGCAATTTTTTCAGCTTTCGAAGGGTTGATTTCCAGCAAAGCCCCCAATTCTTCAAAACTGATATTGTTATACAGCTTGCTTGCTGAAAGTAAATTGTGTTCTATAACAGCCCTGTCCAGAATAGTAGAACCATCCATTGTAGTTGCTTTTTGGTGTGGCTGAAGTAGTGCTTCAAAATCTCTCAATTCAGATCTACGAATAATCCTTTCTAAATACATTTTCTCCAAAATTCCAACAGCCGGTAATTGTTGACAACGTTCATCCTTAAATAATGTTGCTAACATTCTAGACCTTTGTTGTCCTGCAGAAGCTAAAACTGTACATATCAATGCATTTCTTAAAGCAGTCATTCTCTCATCTTCATGAACAATATTTCTGTAGGACAATTCATTGTATCTTTGAGCTGCTTCAATGAACTTCCTGCGGTAATCCAGAACTCTGGCATAACATACTTTATAATATACTTGTAACTGTTCATTCCTTGACTCGGCTTGTAATAATGAAGCTCTGTTAATAAAAGCTTCAGCTTGTACGGGATCATCATCTTCTAAGTATAGTCTGGCTATTTTCAAGTAGGTTTCTAACTTATAGTCAACTGTGTACTGTTTCTGACCAGTTTCTAGAGGTATTCCAACTAAAACAGCTGCTGCTTCTCGCCAATTCTGGTTACGTTCATAAATATCAGCCAAGTGCTGTCGAATGCTTGCAACTTGCTCTTCAAATGAGATTACACGCGGTTGTACCTTTTCAAGCATATAATGACACACTGCCTTCGACACATCGTCAGGAAGCTTCATAAGATGACTGCTGATTTCTGTTAAGATCTGACGTGATATCACCAGACTCACATTCTCATTAACAACTAAAATTAAGGACTTTGTTAAAAAAGGAAATCTGGGTTAATTTAGAGAGTATACTTACTAGCTTCTATGAAAATTTGCAAACCATCTACGAGATCTTTGTTAGTTTCTTTCAAGATAATGTCCAATGTACTACGATACCTAAAAGATAAGTTATAGAATGTATAGGGGTATATAGTACCTGTACGTACTTTTCGGCCTGTTCTTTATGCGAACCTCCGCTTAGGATGTTATTTTGGAGTGTTATACGAATATTGTTTGCTTTTCCAGACATTTTTTCGGTGTTTTGTGTTTGACGTAAAATGACACATAAAGCAAAACAAGAAAAGTTAGGTTACTGTTGAAGTCTTCTTATTTTTAGATTTATTTGGCTTCAAACAGAATGCGGCGAAGTCAGATAAGTTTGAAGTCCTATTGCTACAAGGTTATTAGACTCTAAAGAGTCTAATAATCTTGCTATTGCCGTATTTGTTTATTTTAACTGTTGTCTTTGTCGGTATACCTCTTTGTCTAATAAGTAACCATAGATTTTAATTTGGACTCTCCTTTCGATTATATTTTTCTAGGCTCTGGCCAAATGACCCATATGAGTTCAAGCCATTTAAAAGGAAAGAAGAGAGAATATATATCTAATCTGTGGTTGGCTATGTTTTGAACCATAAATATAAAAAAGAAGAAGAACACTCCTTTATTCTGTGGATACTGTTCTTTTAAGGCCTGAAATACGAAAAAGAAGAAGAGTGTTGGTGGCGCCATTGTGAAAAAAGTGACAAAATTTTGAACTAAAGTGCTTCCAAGGTTGCCAAGGTATTAGCGAAATCTTGAAACTAATCTAAGTCAACATTTTTTTAAATATAAAATGAATTGAACCGTTAAAAACAATGATAAATCTAATAAACATATAATACAAACTTTGTTTGAGTAGAATAAATAATATATTTTCTTTTAAGCGCAGTATTATTTATGCAGCAAAAATCACTATTTTTTTCTAGATGTGTTCAATCTGACAACGTTGACGTACGAGATTTTCCGTTGTTTAACAGCAAGTCGTTGTCGCTGGTACTGTTTTTCTGATTTTTTAATAGAAAAAGTGGTTTTTCTGTGCACTATTTGAGTTTATTCTGTTCCTTAAGGCGTGTTTAATCTCCTCAAATGTGAGTATCCATTATTTTGCCTGTTATCTGTAGAAATTTTTCACTTTAAAATATTTCAATTACATCATCATTAAATCCTTATATATTTGCTCAATTTTCATAATTTTCTTCTTCAAAATCGAGTATATGGAAATATAGATACATTCCTTGATGTCTCTATTGTACAATAAAAATAAAGTTACTTAGAATATAGCTTTATATTTAGAAATATTTGGTATTTTTTTGTCCTTTTTTTTGCAGAATTTAAAGATGTTTTTTTTTATTCCAAAACATAAAGATAATTTTTTAGGTGTTTGTTCGTATTTTAAGTCAGTGTTGCTATACCCAAAGGTGCCCTCAATTCTACTGATTTTTTTTTATTTTTATAATTCCTTGTATTAATTACTATTAAAAAAGTTCTTTATGTTACGAAAATTTCTATATATCTTTTAATATTTTAAGTACCATATAAATTAACTAGGTATATAGTATTTAAAGTAATAGAGTGGTTTTTAATCAAGCTTGTTAGTGATCAAATAATTAATTCTTTTTTTATACTTTTATTACAGAATCAATACTTTATCCAGAAGGGTAGCTAGAAGATACATATAGACATAGACATAAGGATGTCTGCCAACACATTGGAAAGGATCTCTGCCAGCACATTGGATTTTATATACTTTTTATATTACTATTCTTAATAGAATGTAGGTAATGTGTTAAAAAATAAACGAAACTGGTAATCTATGATAACAGAAAAAATAAAAATTATATTTTAACTGTAGATGTTTTTAGTTAATAAGTTTAATATATTATTTATAATTTATTGTAAGAAACCCTAGTGTAAGAATATGTTTTAGCCATTTCTTTTAATTAGTTAAAAATTATAACATGTAAATATATACTGAGTGTTACGAAATATCTTTTATCTGATGCGCTGAACAAAAGATAAGATCTTCCTTGTTTATATTTCTAAATAGAGTATTTTTAAATGTCAGATTTATTTAGCTGGAAAATGCCAAATAATATTTTTAGTGCACTTATGTATCTATCTCAATTATTATGTAGTTAAGTTTTTTTCCTAACGCGGCAATATACTATGTGATCGAAAAAAAAACGGCTATAAAATGAAGATTGCTGTCATTTTATATGTAAAAATAATTTTCAAATTGAAAAAAAAAATTAGGAAATGACGATATAAATGGGGGATCGTCATTTCTAAGCCAACTGGACGCCGGTTTTTTTTCTATCATACGGTATTATACTAGTGTAAAACAAATCATATAGCTTTATAAATGTTATTATAAACACTTTTTTAGGACTAAAATCCATAGTTTATAGATAACATATTATTGTGTACAATTAGCGAATTAATAGAATATAAAAGCATTAGAATTTATTATTAGATCCAATATACAGGGTGGTCCGAACTGTATTCCGGAAACTTCGGCAGCATATTCTGCAGATAAAAATAGGTAAAAAAGTTCGTATAAATGTATGTGCTAAAATGCTTAGTTTCGAAGATACAGGGTGGTGAAGTATCATTTTTATTTCGATTTTTTCCAAATAATTTCTGAAGTAACGTCAATATTTGGATGAAAATTGGTGTCTGGGAGTTTTTTGACATGAGAAATTTGATTTTGATGTCAATATGACTCCTACTTGTAGAGGGCGCTACCTACATATTTTTTAACTGGTTTGAAGAGTAATAACTTTTTGTTAGTACCTGTATAAAAGTACTGAGTAAAAAAATATACATTTACGGAGTTTTCTACGTAGAAAAGGTCTCTTGGTAAAAATCACTACGAGTAATAGTTCTCGAGATATTTGGAATCGAAATTATCAATACCTGTCATCATTGACATAAATTAAACATGTTGACTAAATAGTTATTAGACTGAGATCATAAATTTGAAATGTTTTTGTGCCAAAAGTTCAACAGAAACTGTTTTATCATTATTTTTTTTCAGAAAAATGTATAATTAATTTATAAAAATTAAAATTTCCCAAATTTATTATTTCAGTCAAATAACAATCTACTCAACGTGTTTATTTTGTGTCAATAATGACATGTATTGACTATTTCCATTCTAAATATTTTGAGAACGGTCGCTTGTAGCGATTTTTACCAAGAAATATTTTTTGCGTAAAAAGTTATGGAAATGTATATTTTTTCACTCAGTAGTTTTACGCAGGTGCGGACGAAAAGTTATTACTCTTAAAAACAGTTAAAACACATGTAGGTGGCGCCCCCTACAAATTGGGGTCATATTGACATCAATATCAAATTTGTTATGTCAAAAAACTTCCAGACACCAATTTTCATCCCAATATTCACGTTACTTCACAAATTACTTAGAAAAAATCAAAATAAAAATGAAACACCCTGTATCCCATTCTACACCCTGTATCTACGAAACTAAGCATTTTAGGACATACATTTATACGAACTTTTTTACATATTTTTATCTGCAGAATATGTTGTTGAAGTTTCCGGAATACAGTTCGGACCACCCTGTATAGCAATTATTTGTCATTTGATATGGCAAACCTATTCCAATATTTTTTAATAAATATTTTAACATATATTAAACATGTGTTTTATTGATAGTGAAAAACAGAGCTCTCTTATTATTAAATATAACAATGAAAAATAAAGTAGCAACCTAAAATATATAATGGAAAACTGTAAATAACAATAGAGTTAAGAACTATTATTCTGAAAAGTATATCTTATTACTGTTCAAAATAAAATTTTTGAGAACAATGCCACAAATCAAAAATATATACGTTAAGAAATATGATGATGTGAAAAATATATTTCATTTTTGTTCAAAATTAAATTTTTGATGACAAAAATATATAAGATTTGCTTGCCCCGTGCGAAATTTTTCAACACGTCTAACAAATTTTTAACAATACAGAGAAACACTGATTTTTGTTGACTCTAAAACTTTGACCTCGTTTCCGAAATTAAAACGCTAATAACTTCGTAATTAAAAGAGATATCGGGGCGCGCTTAGCGTCAATCGATAGAGAATTCAACCCTCTACCTATACACAAAATTATAACCCCCTACGACACCCTTTATTTTTTGGGCCAAAAATTTTCTAAGGTTAACCCCTTTGCTCATTTTTGCTCCAAAAAATAAAGTATGTCGTAGGGGGTTGTAATTTTATGTACAGATAGAGGGTTGAATTCCCTATCGATTGCCACTAAGCGCGCTTCGATATCTTAATTAGTTTTTGAGTAATTAATTTTTTTCTAAATGAGTCTAACTCTTCGAGCTCGTTGGCCAACGATTTTATTTTTAATTTACCTGAGAAAAATATTTTTAAAAATGCACATTTTTGCTGCTGGATTTGGCTGTTTTGAGGTAAAAGAAATCAAATCTTTATAGAATTTTGCATGGTTCTAGATTATGAACGAGTTCATATATTATTAAATTAATGTACTAATATTGGCAACTGGATTAATCATAGATTAAAAATATTTACTGAATTTATATAAGGATTTATATTTAAATTTTAAATATTTTGTTTTTTGTTTGTTTTGGCAACCAGTAATACACCAATATTTAATGTTAGCTGGGATTGTCTTAAATTAATTTTTCAAAGTATTAAAAGGAAACTCCATTAAAACTTTAATAAGATTTATTAGAAAAGAATAGTTTATAAATACAATTAATACATTATAAATTTATTGTTAGACATATACAGCATACAGCCCAAATAGCATAAGTCCTTGGATCGCTCCTTGATTTTTCCATACAATTTTTCTTCTGATGTATCCGGATGTTCATATTTCCAATAACTTGGGCGTACCTCTGAAAAAAATAAAAATATATTTATACAGGGTGATCCAGTGTACAGAAAGGGCGCTCCATATCAGGTTTTTGTTTAATATTTTCACTCAAATATATTTCACAATAATAACATAAGACCCAATGGTAGCGTATATTTCAACTAATAATATACCGTATGATAAAAAAAATGGCGTCCAGTTGCCTGGGAAATAACGATCGATGATATTTCCCATATAAATTTACATATAAAATGACAGTGATCATAATTTCATAGCCATCGCTGACGCCGTCCTTTTCGAGCATACGGTATAATTAATTTTCATAGATATACAGGGCTATTCAAATATATATTTACACCATAGTTATAGATTTCAAATGAAAGGTTGTATTTTTTTTACTTTTTGGGGACTTGCCAGGCAAGTTCTTATTCCATAAATATAAACACCATAAAGTTAACCTTTGTTGAGTGTTTTTGAAATATGACAATTTTTAGAGATTAAATCTTATATTTTTAATATCTTTTTAAAAATTATAGTCTAAAGCAACGTTTTTGAGAAAGTATTTTAAGGAAGCTGGCTCTTTAATATATCTTTTGCTATGCTCTCTGGAATAGCGTGCGAGTCGTCTGCCTGCCGATAGATGTTGCGTGCACTACTGCGCATTGAAAGAAGATCCTATATATTTTTTTATTTAGTCCGTTAAATTCTAGTATTGAATATAAATCTAACAAGTCTCCATAGTGCGGCGAGAAAACGTTCAGCTTAAAAAGCGAGAAGTTTAGAGTTCAATAAAGGCTCGAGGTATTTTTTTATATTTATTTTCGTTTATATTTTGATAGTAAAGTATTAAATAATTGTTTTTTTAATAACCAAAATTATTTAATACTTTAATATTAGAATATAAACGAAAATAAAATAAAAAAAAGTTTACTCTTAGCCAGTATTGAACTCTGAACTTCTCGTTTTATAGACTGAACGTTTTCGCGCAGCGCTATGTAGACTTGTTCGATTTATATTCAATACTAGTACCGTATGATCGAAAAAAAACGGCGTCCAGTTAGCTGGGAAATGAACATCGATGACATTTACCATATAAATTTACATATAAAATGACAGCGATCTTCATTCCATAGCCATCGCTGACGCCGTTTTTTCTCGATCATACGGTATTTAAATGACTAAATAAAAAGTAGTGAACGCAACGTCTATCGGCAGCCAGACGGCCTGCCCGCTGTTCCAGAGAGCATAGAAAGATATATCAAAGAGCCAGCTTTTTTAAATACTTGTTTTCCAGATGTTGCTAGTTCTCGTACTAATAGTTATACAAAATATATGCTAATTTGCTTAAGCTCTGTATATATTATACTTTATAAAATATATAAGTATGAAGTAACAATTATTATTAATATCATAAAAAATATTTATACAGTAAAAAGTAAAAGAACATAAAGATAATATGTATGTTTTCTAGCATATTATTATTATTTCGTTCACGCCTTGCACTATTCACTGTACAGAAAATTGTAACAAATTAAATAACACATTGGAACAATGTGAAAACAAAGTTTACCTTTTACCACTGCATCTCGTCATAACAATAATACATATCTAACAGTATAGAAGGACCATTACAATGATACAGCATAATAGTTTAATTTTCTGAAGAAGTAGTTGTACTAATTTAAAGGAAATATTTAAAAGCAGCGGATATGTTGTTTCAACAGAATTCCTCCAATCTTGTTGCTCCAGCTTTACTCTTTTTTGGTACACAGAAAGCAGAGAAGAGTACAATTGGTGAGGTTTTCTTATGAAATTCTGCTCAAGTTAACTTCTTCCCTAAAGAGAATCTCATTTCTTTCCATTTTTCTTGATGTATTCTTCATTCTTATCTTCCATAAGAAGCTTTCATTACTGTATTATTACCAATGTCTATTACATATCTGTATCTGTAATAAAAAATGTTACCATATACTTCATTGTCTTCACACTTAAAAATACGAATGGTAGAGAAATAATATTAAAGTTAGTTATAAAGTATATTATATCTATATATCATACATTTTAATTTAACCAGCAGATATATAAACTCATTTAGTTTATTTTTATCCATAATTTTTAGAAACAAAAATCATATTTTCTAGGGTTAGAATTAAAATTAGTATAACATAATATTCATAGATGGCTCTCACTCGAAATTTTTTTGGAACGAAAAATAATAGATTTCTTTAAAATTCCAAGAAAATTTTAACTGAAGTTCAACTATTTAACGTTAGATATCACTACCGGTATATTTTTTATAGAAATCTATAAATGAGCAGTTCAAATATTTAAACTGGGATGGCGCCACCGATACATAGTAAAAAGTAGGAAACTATATTTTTGTACTTTTAGAACTCTCCGTATGATGGCGCTATGATCGTCTCGACAATAGTTCCAAGAATTCTCACTAAATAAGAATGGCGCTGTAATCACTTAAACGCGCCAAAGAAGAAATTTGAATAGAGAACGCTTTTTTAATAAGCTAATGTACGATTTTCTTGTTATTTCTTCATTTTATACATACATACTAGCATAAAATACCAAAGTCACCCTTTGCAGAATATCTTTAGCGCTTTTTGTCGTATATTCATCGTTAGTAAGCCCAATCTAATGAATAAATAAATCAGTTTAAGTAAAATAAAACTCTTAAAACAGTGTAACATCTCATTTCTTCTAACATTTATTATAATATATTATAGCCTGTTAAAACTGCATTGTTACTTTTACCAACAATTAACAAAATAAAAATTAAACTTTGTTTGAGATTGGATTTAGAATATTATTTGGAAAGCGTTAAATTTGTCCCCACTTCGATAAAAAAAATTATCAACAATAGGACTTAGTTTATGAGAAATTTATATAAATCGCTGTAATTTTTTTTTATTTACAGTTATTTTATTATTACTAGAATATAATTAACAGTGTATAACATTTATTAATTGGGTAAATATGGCTTGTGCAGTTGACTTTTCCAAAAAATCAATTTTCTTAGTTAGTGGTGCGTCTCAAGGTATTGGAAGAGAAATTTCAATTAAGTTTGCACAAAACGTAAATAAAAATTCAATTTTTATTTTGTTGGCTCGATCTCTAGAAGGTTTAGAAGAAACGAAAAAACGGATTTCAAAAATTGATAATGGTTTAACAGTTTTAACACATGCAATAGACCTATCTAAACCCAATCTTGAAAAATACAACCAGCTTTTTGACCAAGTTTTAAAGACTATCGATTCTACTGGTATAGAATATGGGTATATTTTCCACAACGCTGCTAGTAATGGAGAAATGAAAAGAATATCCGAACTCAGTAACATACAAACTTGGAGAGAATACTATGAGTTTAATCTATTTTCTGCTGTATTGCTCAATAATGCATTTTTAGAAAAATTCAGTCCCGTTGCTCAGAAATTAGTAGTGGTAGAAATTAGTTCTGCATGCGCCATTGTTCCATATCCACACTTGGTTTTGCATGGGACATCAAAAGCTGCACGTCAGAACTTCTTCAAAGTTTTAGCAGCTGAACAACTAAACATTATCGTATTAATCTATTGTCCAGGAGCTGTGAGAACAGAGATGTTTGATTTGATGTGCAAAACAGCAGAGCCTATAGAAGTTAGAAGGGCGTTTCAAGAAATTACAGATAAAAATATATTAACTACTGATCAAACTATTGGTAGATTAGTTGAAATTTTAAGAAAAGGTGATTTTAAGAGTGGCGATATTGTAGATTATCACAATCATTTTGGCAGTATCAATAGCTTCAAGTAGATATAAGGACTAAATATGTAATTTTTATTCTGAAATGGTTTGGTTTGAAAATTATACATACTAAGATTTTATTAAAAAAAGATAATTATAAATAATAATTATGTATCTACAAAAATACAGTTATTTTTTATAGCTACAATAAAAGAAAATTAAAAACTTTATAGCATATTTTTTCGGAGAATTATTCTTTTTTAAGAATACAGGGTGAGTTTCCTACGATGTTCTCTATGGGTATCTTGGAAACTACTGGTGATAGAGAGTCGGTTAAATGGGGAGAGAATTGCAGTTTTGTGGGGTCATAAACATGCGCCTTTCAGATTTTTGAAAAAGTTCATCCCAACCAAACCAAAACAAAAATTTTGGCTACCTATTTTAAAAATTGTCCCTTATTCCCTTATAATCTATTTTAGGCAAAAACTCTTCAGATAAAAGTTGTAGATAATCACATCCCTAATGAGTTTGTGTTCTCCGATTTTTTCTAAAGGGTATCATTTTTAGATATAATGGCGATAGCTTGGCGCTTCCTATGAAGTCATGGCCAACTATGGTTTCCATTTAAAAAAACATATATTATGTTTGTGTCATATCTCAAAAATGACAGGTTTTAGAAAAATTCGGAAAACACATACTCATTATAGGGATGTGATTATCTACAACATTTATCTGAAGAGTTTTTACCTAAAATAGATTATAACGGAATTAGGAACAATTTTTAAAATATCCAAAATTTGTTTTTTTTTCGAAATATCTAGTAAGCCATGAACTTTTTCAAAACTCTGAAAGGCGCATATTTATGACACAACAAAACTGCAATTCTTTCCCCAATTAAGAGACTCTCTATCTCCAGTAGTTTCCGAGATACCCATAGAAAACATCGTAGGATATTCACCCTGTAGATATCCTATACCTTTTTAACAAATATTTTGAACGAACATCATGTCTGAATGAACGGACTGTCCATCATAATAATCAATGTCTATAATCACTCTAATTCTGTTATACTTTTAGAATACCCCTGGTATAATATTGAGTTTTAATATCTTTGGCATAATAACATTTTTTTAACGTCTGGGTTGTTAATTATAGATATTTCTCCCTTGTATTAATAAAAATAAAAAAGGTCGACAAAAAGTAACCTCAGTGTTCGTAAAATGATCCTAATTTTATTATATTCTGTAAACTTTAATCAAATCTGCATTTTTAATGATTTCGCTAACCTCAAATCATCTTCGCATTAATAAAAAAATACTATTAAAATGGAAATTTGAGTTTACAAAGTTATATATAAATACCTGTAATTTTTCCAGTATTGTTAGTGATATTGTTAGAAGAAAAAGTTGATATAGTTTAGTAAAAAACATGGCTTGTGCTGTAGATTATACGAAAAAATCTATTTTTGTAATCACTGGTGCATCAAAAGGCATTGGACGTGAAATTTCAACAATGCTAGCGAAAAACGTAAATAAAAATTCAGTTTTTATTTTACTGGCAAGATCTACAGAGGGCTTAGAAGAAACTAAAACCCAGATTGGAAAAATAGACAACGGCTTAAAAGTTTTAACGTATGTAACAGACCTCTCTAAACCCAATTTTAAATTTTATAATGATCTGTTTGATGGAGTTTTAAAAACTATTGATTCTACTGGTACAGAATATGGGTATATTTTTCATAACGCTGCTAGTAATGGACCACTCAAAGAAATAGCTGGACTCAGTGACCTACAAATCTGGCGAGACTTCTATGAATTTAATTTGTTCTCAACTGTTTTGTTAAATAACGCCTTCTTACATAAAATAAGTCCTGTTACTCAGAAAACTGTTGTGATCAATATTAGTTCTGGATGTGGAATAGTGCCATATGAAAACTTTTCCTTGTATGGATCGTCCAAAGCAGCACGTCAACTGTTTTTCAAAATTTTAGCTATTGAACAACCGAATCTTACTGTCTTAAGTTATTGCCCAGGAGCTGTAAAAACCGAGATGTTTAATTCTGCATGCGATAATGCAGAATCGAAAAAAGTTAGAGAAGTATTTCAAGAAATGAGAAAAACCAAAATGATAACTACTGAACAGACAGTTGGTAAATTGCTTGAAGTTTTAAAAAAAGGAGATTTCAAGAGTGGAGATGTTATAGATTATCACAACCTGTATACCAGTCTCAACAATATAAAGACTCTAATGGACACATAATATGTAGTTTTACCTGAATAAAATATGAGATAACTTAATAAAATACAGAAAAAGGTTAAAGTCTCTTAATTTAAATTGTTAAGTAAATAAGAAACTGGCTACTGTTTATTACATTGTAGATCATTAATTAAAAATCATCAGGCAACTCTAATTTTCTTGACATCTGACCTAATGGTCATAAAAATTAAAGCAATATGAGTTATAATGTAAAATTTTCAACTTTTCAAGAAGCAGATTTGAATTTTTCTCTTGAAAATAAATTGTTAAAGGGTATACCTGTTAAAGTCCTATTACCAAAAACTGAACCCTTTTAAAGATATCGATATTTGGATATATCGATACAATTTCTACATCCCTAGTCATACCTCATTTTCAATAATATCTGTGGTCAGCCACACTTGTCATAACAATATGAGGGGTCGGAGAGGGGGTAAACGTCATATAAATGGATCCGTGGGCTTGTTATCAAGAAGAGAACGTCATTAATTTCGATGAAAAAATAACAAAATTCGAAGACGATTTTATTCCAGAAAACTACGACAGATTACCCGATCACAAAGAGTATTTAGAGATACTAGGTACCTACTTTTTTATCCTATAAGTTCTTAGTACAGTACCGTAAACCATTGTTTTTTTTTGTAGAGTCAAAGCTGCGTAAAATTAAGACAAATCCTAGCGTCCTTCAACAGATTTTAGCGAAAAAGGACGCGTACATGGTACAGTTATTAACTGACGAAACGACTAGTTTTACTGAATCAACCTGTCTGGACGAACCAATTCAGAATTCCCAACTTTTACGAACACTGTTACCTCAGAAACAGGCCTTAAATCAAGGCGAGGTCGTGGACTTGATTAAATTTGATCAATTAGCTCTAGAAGGTGCATATGTTTAAAAATCATTACATGCTACGTCATATAATTAATCAACTTTTAGTTGAAGAAGCTGAAAACAGCAGTGTTACTAATAATAAACTAGTCACAAATCAAAATAATATCAAGAATTCTTCCTTATAAAAAGTCAAGGTACGTATATTAGATTGCATGTGGCAGTTATATTTAATCAAAATATTTTTATTCGCAGACTATACTAAAAAAATATGGCAAATGCTGTTAATTTTTTGAAAAAATCTATTATCGTTATTACCGGCGCATCAAAAGGTATAGGACAAACGATTGCAGTAGGTTTAGCTAGAAATTTGTCCCAAAATTCAATTTTTGTACTGATTGCACGTAGTGAGAAAGGTTTAGAGGAGACTAAGAAACAAATTGGTGAAATTGATAAAGGAATCACTGTTTTAACATATGTTACTGATCTTTCAAAACCAAATCTCGAGGTGTTTGTTGATATTTTTAATAAAGTTCTTAATTCTATTGATTCTACTGCAATAGAATATGGGTATGTCTTCCATAACGCCGGTTCTGTTGGAGTTATAAAAGAAACCACCGAACTTGGCGATCTGCAAACTTGGAAGGACTACTATGATCTTAATCTTTTTTCAACAGTTTTATTAAATAATGTTTTCATTCAAAAAATTCGTCCCATTGCTCCTCAGTTGGTAGTAGTAAATATAACGTCTTTGTGTGGTAATAAACCTTTCACAAATTTGTCAATGTACGGTTCTGGCAAAGCAGCGCGACAGCTGTTTTTTAAGGTTTTGGCTGTGGAACAGCCCAACATTATTGTCCTGAATTACTCACCTGGGCCTGTAAAAACGGAAATGTTTGACTCAATTTGTGATACGGCCGATTCGAAAGAACTGAGAGATAGTTTTGAAAAAGTGAGAAATACTTCGGTTTTAACAACAAATCAGACAGTGGAAAAAATGTTGGAGATTTTAGAAAAGGGTGATTTTGTTAGTGGGGATGTCATCGATTATTTTGATAGGGTTTAATTTGATTTATTTTAGCTATATAATAAGTGCATTTAAGATTTAAGATGTAAGAACCTAAATTTAAGACCAGTTAGGTCACCTAAATTCCATAAAATAAAAACTGCTTGTGTTTATTTTATATCTTAAATTAAAAATAATTATCACCTTGGTGTTATATTCCATTTTGTATTTTTTTTTCAAATATATCATGTATAAAAGGCATGTGTTTTTTTTCATTGTCTCATTTTTTATAAATAACTACTGTGATAATTACTCCCAAATTTCTAAATAATTTTGGTTTAATATTAAAACAGTAAACAAACCTTGAAATTAACAGCCAGTTTGTTACCACGATACTTAAATTTACTTTTTAAATTATTTCAAAATATTAATCCAATTTGTTTTTTTTTACAAAAAAATATAAAAAGATAAGAGTCAAATCAAAACAAATTTATCATCAAATATTTGTATCTGAATAATTTAGACTTTAGAAAAAAGGTATACTCCTATTGTTTTTCATAATTTATTATCTTTGTTTTCGTCAAAAGCTTATTCTATTTTTAATAAAACTAACTTTACATGTTGAAAGCTTGAGATTTGACATCTAATTATTATTATTCTTTTGATTTTATTTAAATCCTTATTAACATGGTTTGTCTGGAAGAAATAATCTAATAATGAATGAAAATACTAGAATACAACTGAGACAATAATATACTCTTCTCCACATAATGTGTATAAATAATATATGCTAATGGTTTCTAATGTTTTTTTAAATTTTGACTGACTAAGTCATATAATGGACTATCCTTTTTACTCATTTTATATTTATAAATCGCTCTGTGGTCTCCCTATCATTCCTTATCTATTTTTTAGAGTGTTTGTAGTTAGATAACATAGATTTTTTGAAGGATACTAGCAGTGTTCACTGAAAATATTGCTCTACAAATGGTGTAATTCAATATTTTTAAATGATTAAAGAAGGTGCAATATAAAACCATTAAATTACTTAAAAACAATATAATACTTTACATAAGATTCATAGATTTCCCCATAAATGAAGTTATTTTATCTGTATAATACTCGATAGGCAATAATTTAAAAAAAAACGATGTTGGATAACCGCTCGACTTATAGTATAGTCTGTCTACATGACTATGGACATTTTCGAATTTAAAAGACGCACAACTGTCAGGACAAGACCAGTAAGAACACCTGCCATAATATGCAGAAGATTTTTAAGAATTTTTACTTAGAAAACACAGTTGATTCATGTTTCTTGCAGTTTTTCACAATTGTATTATATTTCACAGAGCATAATTCTAGCTATTCTAAATATCTTGGGTATATTAAACTTTTCCAAACTAATTTATGTCTATGCTTAAGGCTAGATATTTAAGAGAATTTGTGAAAGCAGTTTTATTTATCCATTGTTTTGAGTTTTTGCAACACTCAATGACAATTAAGCTCTGCCCAACAAGTCAGGAAATATTTCGACAAAATATGATTTACATTTGAATTAAAATGACAGACGCAACTGTCACTGTCATGTATCCTCTTGATGGAGAGACTATATATATGTATATATATTATATATATATATATATATATATATATATATATATATATATATATATATATATATATATATATATATATATATATATATATATATATATATATATATATATATATATATATATATATATATATATATATATATATATATATATATATATATATATATATATATATATATATATATATATATATATATATATATATATATATATATATATATATATATATATAGATAGGCTAAAGTCTCTCCAACAAATTAGGGAAGATTTTCACAAAATACATCTAAAAAATGATAGAAATACAATTTACCTGTGAATTAAATAGATTCTTCGAAGTGGCTATCAGCTTGATCCATTGCGACCTTTTCAGATCTACTGTGGTCCTCTTCTGATCCTCATGTTACATTCTCCAGTCTTTTCCTTTTCAACAGGTCTAGCAACTTAGAGATTGAACACTCCATATAGCTTCTCTGTCAATGGCCTATCATTGCTTCTTTCTTACAGGCGATCGCATATTTGCCAAGCTGTCATTAAATACTGTCGTCATAAACACTGACATAAAATGTGTTTTGTCGTTTCTTCTTCAACTTGCACATGGCTCCGTCTGCCAATCTCATTAGCTTTACTTACTGTTTTGGCTATTCTACTATACACTTTTTCGCCTGCCTCTGCACTAGTGCATTTCTCCACCATTCTAGAGATTTGTTGGCCACCCATTGTTTTGTAGGCATTCTCGTGACTGCTTTTGCAACGCCACAGAAGAGTTCTAGCTTTCATCTGCTTTTCGTTACCCTTGTGACCATTGTGCCCTAGTACCCAGGCTAATGTAATATTACTACACTCACCCAATGAATTGACAGTACACACAATCCCAAACTAGTTTAGAATTGATCTCCCTGGAATCGAGAGCCTTTAGCGTGAAGATGGCCACCAAACGGTATGTTCTTTGCTGAATTAAGAGTCTATTACGCTGTACGTTTGGGTCGCTTTGGGGGTCGGGTAAAGCGGGTGTGTGGGCGTAGGAAATATATATTATATTTCAGAAAACTATCTAAGGTTTAGCCTGATCCTGTCGTATTAAGCCACACCTAAAATTCCAAACACGCGTGCTTTAATTAAGACTTGATTAAGGTTTGCAGAGCTTCAGCATTTGCCATAAAATAGAGAGCAATTTGTTACAAAGCCATATAAATTATATATCACTGTAATCAGAAAACTTATTAATATTATATATTAATTATTAATATATTTCCGTATTGTACCGGAATTTTAAATTACGATGTACTTAAACAGCCGTTAAACGGTAGCCTACTAAAATGCCGTTAATAGATATTGTGACGTCGTTCATGTCGGCGGAAAGTAATGCCTAGCCTTAAGCATTCTGCAAGAGCACCTGTGGGTCAGTGGCTGAGGCTATCGCTTCGTAAGCGGATGGTCCGTGGTTCAAATCTCACGCCGACCAAGACTTTTTTTATATTTTTTTTGCTTATAGCGTGATTTTATTGCATTGGTTTCACTCTTTTTAGTTGGATTGGTTTAGTTATTTGGCGGGTTGGTTAGCGTGGTTATTTGGAGGGTGTTAATTCATTGGTTAGTTGGTTATTTGGTGGGGTTGGTTGATTTTTACTAATTTATATTTGTTTTTTATATTTTTTATCAGTGTCGAGGTTAGTTGCGTTGGTTAAGTTGGTTATTTGGTGGGGTGGATAGCGTTGGTTAGTCCTTATAAAATTTCTATATTTCATAAAGCCGTCAAGTGCATCACATCAACGACGTCATACTTATTAACGGCATTTTAGTAAGCTACCGTTTAACGGCAGTTTAAGTACAGCCTTTAAATTATGTCTTTATTTTCGATAAAATTTAGTCCAAACATAAGGAATATTTTGTTGATGTTTGACCAACAAAATCTTTAAAATAAAGTTGTCTAAAAATGTGCTACAATACGGATATATTATAATCCTTTATCTTTAATTTTCTTCTTTATTTGTGTAAAAATACCTAGCCAGTTTTACATAAAACGTTAAATGCCGGACGCTTATTTTGCTACTTTTTCGGACTAGCGAAATGGACTCTTAAGTAACAACTGTCATGTATTCCCTTGGACACACTACTTACTATCTTTTGCGAGTTGTCAGAGTCCTTTTGAGTCTCAGAGCGGAACAGTTAAGAACATTTGACTGATCCTGTCATATATATCGATACTTTTTCATGTATTCTAAACCAATTTTTGTTTTGTTTTCAGATGGAAATGAGTCCATTGCTGTTCTTACTGAAGCTAGCCTGGGACTGCAGATACAGACTGCCCTTGTTGATTACGGTCGGCTTTATGGTGTTAGATGTCAGGATGCAGTTGGATATTAACGTCCAAATGAGACAAATCCCGAGACCTAGACCCATACAACGCCCGCAAGCGGAGGCAATACCTGTCAATGCTCAAAATGTCTCATTTGACGATAGTATATCAGAAAGTAAGTAGAATTGTACAGAGTTTGAAACCTTAAAATGATCACGCTAACATTTATATCCTCTAATATAAACTAATCGAAAAAAGTTAAGGATATTGTGTTTTAGCTAGGAAGAAAATTTTTCAGAAAAAATATGTTATAAATATTAATACCTATGTCGTTTGTGTTTAAAAAAAATACTGTGTGTAAACATAAAAAATTGTACCCAAACAAATAAAAAGTAAAGTATCATAAAAACATTTAATTTTTGTTTAGAATAGAACTTGTTTGCGTGTTGCTAAGCGGCAGTTTGCGATATTGTGGTTATTCTGTCATCGATAATATGAACAGACATCACTTAACAATAGAGGAAGCAAATCAAGCCATTGGGTTGGTTCTTAGCGATGCGCGACAGATCGATGTGGTTGATTGATTTAAAGTCACCTAAAGTGTAGGCTAGGCTTGAAAAACAATTTAATGAGACTGGATCTGTCATGGAGAAGCATAGGGAGGGTCGAGGTCGACAAATGCTAGGGAGGACCGAAGCCTGCTGAGAGGAGCTAGGATGGATCCTGCAAGAAACTATACGTTGCTCAGCCAGGACCTTTTGGCTGCCAGCAGAGTACGTATTACCCCCAGACGGTCTTAAATCGATTAAAAAAAGCAGGTTTACGCTGCTATTATAGGCCTATAAGACACCCTCCGTTGACCGCGAGTCAGGTTGAGGTCATAAAGCTCAACGTTTGCTCCGGTGAGCTGAATGAAAGAGCTAGCTGGAATGATGAGTGGCATACTGCGATGTTCAGCGATGTATAATGGTCTGCGGTGGAATTTTCTACGGACGCCGAACGGAATTGTATGTCTGTGAAAGTACAATGACAGGTGAGGTTATGCTGGCGACATCATTGGAGGATCACAGAGGCCATCATTGGAGAGATCATTGGAGGATCTTATAGGCCTATATCAATGTAAACCTGCTTTTTTTAATCGATTTAAAACCGTCCGAGCGGCAATACGTACCCTGCTGGCAGCCAAAAGATCCTGGCTGAGTAGCCAACGTGTATTTTCTTGCAGGATCCATCCTAGCTCGTCTCATTAAGCTTCGGTCCTCCCTAGCATTTGTCGACCTTGGTTTACCCTCCCTATGCCTTATATGACAGATCCAGTGTCATTAAATCGGGTTTTAAGTCTACAAATTACACATTAGGTGACTTTAAATCGATCAGCCACATCGATCTGTCGCGCACCGCCAAGAAGCAATCCAATGGCTTGATTTGCTTCCTCTACTGTTAAATTACGTCTATTCATATTATCGATGACACTAACCACAATATCGCAAACTGCCCCTTAGCAACACGCAAACAAATTCTATTCTAAACAAAAATTAAATGTACATTTTTGATGATAATGCTTTTTATTTGTTTGGGTACAATTTTTTATGTTTACAAAAAGTATTTTTTTAAATACAAACGACATAGGTATTAATAGCTAGAACACATTATTTTCTGAAAAATTTTCTTAGCGAAAACACAATATCCTTAACTTTTTTCGATCAGTTTATTTCATGTAGTATTTTTTAGATAAAAATTAGTGTTTTTAAAAGGATTTAACTAGAATTATTATTTTTTAAGGTTCATGGACTACATTGGAAGAACAAGAAATCACAGACGTTGACACAGAGTGATAGCTCATCAATAACTGTTGGGAAAACAGTTAACAATGTAATAACAATATCACAAATTATCTATTTGTATGTATGTTTCCGACAAACAAAAATATTTCGTGACGTTCAGAAAAAAACTCAATAAATTTTATTTTAAAACACTTTTTATTAATCGAATTGCAGTATAAATACTTTTTTTAATGAGAAAAAAAGAAGAACTAAATTTAAATAACTAATACTAATAAATTAAAATATTAAAAAATAAAAAATAGAGTATTTAATACACAAAAATAAATGCAAAAAAATTACAATAATCGGACAGGTTTTTTTTTCATAAAGACAAAATTTACTAAAACTTGGACTGTGGCAGTCAATGCTGGTTGATTGTGTTATTGAAGTCATCTTCGGAACGACAAGTTTTTCCTTTAAACAATAAAATTATTATTTTAGAATTTAACGTATGTATCATGCCATTTACAGAATTTAATAAATATTTCGTTTTTTGTGTCGTTTTTTATTTGTCTTTTTTGTACTATCTATCTAGATCTTCCAATACTAAAAAATCACATGAAATACAAAAAAAAACAGAAATAATGTAAAGATTTGAGATATTTTTTTACGTCGCTGCATTAAAATATTCTGTATAATTAAAGTACTTCTATGACATCAAATATTTGAAAAAAACGTTACAAACTGCAGATTTCACTTACTTTAGCTGAATATAGGGGCACTAAAAAGCGCACCCGCTGTTTATGTTTGAACTTTTCCTAGACATAGACGTCTCCCTCAGAATTTCTTCGGGCAGATGACTCTGACCCTCCATTGACGGGTGCAAACTCATATCTTCCAGCCCAGGGATCATATTCAGATAATTCTAAAAGTTTCCAATCCAAAGATTCAGTAAACTGGCAATTTACATCTCGAACGATTCGGTTTATTTTTTTAATTTATTGTTTATTTTTAACTTATTAGATTATTAATCTAGATCATATACCTATAGCAGAGTAGGAAAGTCTGTAGAATACCGTTAATCGTTATGTCATATATTGCCTATCCCCTTTGAATAAGAAGACTAAGGAAGGAGCATAATGCTATCCATGTATTCATGCATGGTGGACGGAAAAAGGACTCTAGGGTGGGGATCCTTGACATTTCTCTTTGACGATTCATTTGACACATTTGAATTTGATTTGAAATTTTGTGGATTTGTCAGTCTTTTTTATTTTATGTTATTTATTATTTATTCTACTACTGATAGTTGTATAAAGGTAGTAAATCTAGATGGAAATTGTGTGTGTGTGTGTGTGTGGCAGAACTGAAATTTAACAGTGACACTATCGCAATTTGTCGAAAAAGACTCTAAAATAGTTGGTTGTGTAGCGTGCGGTAGATCTCGGCAAAAATCGAGTGAAATAACGGAACAACTTTTCGCTAGTGACTATATACTATATAATATACATACGTGTAGCAAAACGATTATTTATGAAATTCACTTAAATTAACTAATTACATATTTTTTCTTGCATTTTTGCTTTTATTTACTACTTGTCAAAGATTACATGTCAAAGAATTTAGATACGTCAATTTGACTTACCTGCTTCAGTAGCGTATCGGATGTTTATGGTTATAAATAATTATTATAACTTATCTATTTTTATTAGAATATTGAATTTTTATAACAATTTTAATAATTACCAACATTTATTCACAACGTAAAATAAAAAAAATATATTGAGTCTACCCCACGTCTACCCTACATCATAGTTCTACATTTTTTAAATAAAATTAGAACGACACTGATAAACCGGAATTTAAGTCGGCCATATTTGAGGCCTATCGCGGTGGACCTAATATTTTTGATATGCTCCTTCCTTAGTCTTTTTATTCAAAGGCCTATATCATTTCACTTTTTTGGTCATAATCCTGTTGACGGATATCAATAAAAATGTTAAACAAAATTCAAATCCGTTTGTTCCTAAAATGTTAGTTATTAAAATGTTAGGCACAGACAATATAAGCAGAAAAAGAAAAAAAAATCACACATAAGACTGACAGTGACAAGAAGTCTGTGGCTATAAAGTAATAAATCTCTGCCTAAATATATATGATCTAGAGTTTAACAGTATTTTATGGTAAAAAATAATAATCTGAAGTATCTTGAACGAATATTTAAAAATTTAACTTGGAGTGTTACGTAAAATAAATATTTTAGTATTTCGAAAGTTATATTTTTCTTTAAACACCGACATTCCTAAACTAGTCTATACTAAAACTATTTTTGATGTATATTTCTGTAAAAATTACTAACCAAACTACACCTAAAACGTGTTTGTCCTAATTTCCTTTCCTTTTTATTCACACATCTCTTAATTCTAATCTATTAAACTAACTATATCTATAAAATGTTACGTATGATAACACATAATTATGGCACAACATAAAAAACTCCGGGCAGGGGATGGTTAGAGTTAGAATGGGGGTAGAGGGGGTAAAATGTCTAAAAACTTATTCAAGTTACCTAATTCTTCGCTAGTTCAATGCGCAATAAGTCTAGATGGCGGTTAGTAACAATGCTTTTAGATTAAGACACCAATATTAACACTGAACCAATTTTTAGCCGGCAAAAAATATCATATGTTCGTTAAGGGTGTGTTTAGGATTTTTTTACTATTAGAACACGGTACGATATCAAATATGTTGAAACAAGGAGAAATAAGACGAGAATGACTATACTTAGGGTGTATTCCGTTGCTTACCTTGGTTATGGTTTTATGTTCCGTTTCTATCGGTTCCCTGAAAGTTTTCTTATTACGGAACACGGTTCCTGAAAAATTCGGTTATAACTGTCACCAAACTAACTAGCGCGAGAAGGCTGTTTTTTCTGGTTTTGGTTTGGTTTGGTTTGTCACATCAATGTCATTTATGTGACAGAAATCAAGCAAATATTGGAAGTTCGAGTAAAATTCTCATTTAATTTCTAAAATTTGTAATAATATTTTGTATTTACATCCAAAAGCAATGCAGGTAGGTAGTAAAGGTAAATAAATTTCATTAACTAAATAGAATAACTTTTTAGGACCATTTAAACTTATCATGTTGCCATTCTTTCTTAGTCAGGAACATTTAAAGAAAACATGAAAAACAAGACAACAAGTAATCGTGAATGTTTTGTAAGCTATAAAAATATAAATATTGAATAGATTTGTTTATTTGTTATTTAACTGTTTTAATATGTGACCCAAGGATACTATAGAGATAAGGATAGTTCGATTCCTATCTTCCTGCACTGTCAGTTTTTTTACATCATCTGATGACCGAATTGAAGTTGGCGCTAAAGATTTTAGACAGTGACAGTTATTTTTGCATTTGACGGACGAGCGCACAGTGCGTTGGAAGATAAATTTAGCGGGACAAAAGCGTTTGGTTAGAAATAAGCCAAAAAATGTGTACTGTAAGAATAAATAGTAGACATTCCAATTGATACAAAAATGCATGAATATTCTTTGTATTTCGATACATTTTTATCAACCAAATTTGGTCGTTTTCTGCTCAGCAAGGCAGAGATCATACGAAAACGATATATTTACAAGTGCTTATACATTTTATTCCAAAGCCAAATTATGTTGAAGATTGCCAAAGGTATGTACTTTTCTACTGTACGTATATTATTTGTTAAAATCCTTCGTGCCTTTGTTCCGCAGATATCAAACTTTCACTTTTTTTCAAATATCGATATATTGAATGATGTAGATCTTTTGAGTTACTAATAGTTACCAACACAGGTAGTCACAGTCACAGGGAGTTCAAGCTTAACAGGTGAATGCCCAAAAAGTTTCATTTCAATCGGATAGTATAAAATAAAACAACTCCATCAAAAGGCACTGAGTTTAAAAAATTGTCTTAGATACTTACTATATATGAATTTACAATTACCGAGTGTTAAAATTAAAATTAAAATATATATCTTAATTAATATTTTTAAAATAAAATATAATTTTTTAAAATAAAATATAGAGGGTGTCACAAGATTACAAAGTAATTAAAAAATAACTGCTAAAGAGTTTTTTGTAAGTATTTCACCTGATATCATAATTTTATGTATTTGGCAATAGTTTACAATACGGTTTTTGTGTGTCATGTACGAATAATATCATAGTTTTATTATCTTGTATTTATTTATTAATAAATTAAGTTGTTAATAAATAAATAGATTTAACCATATAGTTGCTATATATTAGACCATTTGCTACGTTCTTAGATTTTAAGTCCCAAACATTGCTCTTGAGATTTTGTCCCGCTAGAATAACCGCACTGTATATCACAATAATCCGCCGCACTGTGGAGCGCTGGTCAGCGCGTGACGTAGCATTCCACGGCGACTACGACAGCGGCGATTTGACGTGATCGAACAGTCCTTTAGAATATATACAGTCCTTTTATTGGACCTGCAAATCTTCACTTGAGCTGTCTAACGAGTTTAACAGTTTATTAATAAAGTACTTTTCAATATTAAACACCATTGAAAAGAAGAAGCAAACGTAAAAGCAGAGAATAGGTACATTAAAAATGAATAAAAGGTAAATTTTATAATAGAGGTATTGAAATTTAGAAAACGTCAACATTTGACGTTTCCAGTATTTTACCAAACCGTTCCGTATCAAACCGATGTTTTTCATGAACCGCTCTTTACCGTAGTTTACCGGTCTGGTTCGCCTGGTCTTGCAACGGAATACAGCCTTAAATAATATCGATTCTAAATGCTTAAACACACCGATAACGACATACAGTGAGGCTCAAACTAAAAATTGGCGATGTTGCGGCACACACTTGTTACAAAGGCTGGGTCCCACTTACTGCGGCATTGCGAGCACACACTGTGCAGTGCTGACAGAATGATATTTCTGGCCTTTTTTGTCAGATGGAATTTTCGGGTGTCCCAACAAAAAACAGGTGAAAACATCGCATGAAATGGTACGTGAGGGGGTGTATAACAGAAAATGAGGGTGTAAACAGTCAATTCACATTTCGTGTGTTTAATTAATTAATGATAATTATCGTTATAAAATTAATTTGAATTAATAGATTAAATAAATTTCTGAGGATTTTGGACCGAGAAAAATCAAAGATTATCCTTGATTTAATTCAGACACAGGTCAGGACAATAGCTTGCACAGTCGGTCCCGCATATGGAACTTCCCACATACAGGGTGTCTCAGATTTTAATCGGGAAAATTTAATAGACGATAGAACTTGCAAAAATAAAACAAAAAGTTCATATCAACTTGTAAGATTTAAAGCTTCCTTTTCGAGATACCGGGTGTTAAAGTTACTTAAAAAAAAAAAATTAAGATATTTGAAAAACTATTTAATCGATTTTGATATAACTTGACCCGTTTATAATACTTACTATGGGACTTAATTTGATGTAATTAGATTTAAGTTTAATGGCCAGGGACGGCGGTGGGGCATAACTGTTAAATTATTTTAAAGGAAAAAATAGGCACGCCACTGCTTTTTTAGAAGTTTAATATTATTTTTGGATTTAGTAATTAAAAATAGTATTTTTTTGTCTCCTGGCTATCTTGCTTACTTCTTGCGAAAAAAAATAAATTCTAATTGGAAATTAATATTATAATTGGTATTCTAATGGTACCCTGTATCTCGAAAAGGAAGTTTTAAATCTTACAAGTTGATATGAACTTTTTGTTCTATTTTTGCAAGTTCTATCGTCTATTAAATTTTCCCGATTAAAATCTGAGACACCCTGTATATACGATATATACCTGCACAAACCAGGTTTGAACAGGCGGCCTGAGCGTTAAAACTTAGCGTCTGTGGGGGCTTTAAGAAAACTTGTTAATATAGTGTATTTCAGACTTACTGATTAGTTCTTACTTTGCAGTCAATTTTGATATATGCAATAAAAAAATTAAACACACGAAATATAGGTTTGTTGACTGATTTTTTGATTAATATGCTTGACAGTTATCTTTCATATTTTGACATTTCCTGTACAGGGTGTCCCATTTTAGTTGAAATCATACGGTATCTCCGTTATTAGTGAAGATAGAAGGGTGCGGTTTGCACAAACCTGTCTCACTTTTTTGTCAAACGGAAGATGCCGTAAACAAAATTTTCATAGCCCTCTTCGTTTCCGAGCTACAGGGTCTTTTTGAAAATTTTACAGTGGCGTAGTCAGAATACAGTGGCGTAGTCAGGTTTTCTACCAAAAAAATATTTTTGAAAATATGAACTAAAGTTATGTTTTTTAAATGGAACACCCCGTATATTTATAAATCATATGATCTCTCTTGCCATAAGCTTCTCAAAAATATATATCACTCTATATTTATTTTCACTATTTACTGCAATATTTAAAAGTTTTTATAAGTAGGCCATGATTGATAATAAAAGAAACTAAAGAATTATTAAAAGTATACTGCTATCTGTCTCTTGTTCTTTATATATTAGGGAAACTTAACTACCGCTATTTGTAAATCTTGGAATACGTGTATACGTACGAATAATCTATCGTGGGAAGGCCCATACGAAGTCATGGATAGGATTAATGACGTCGTATACCGTATCAGAAAATTGCCAAAAGGAAAACCGAGGGTAGTCCATTTCAACCGTTTGAGCCCCTACCAAGGCGAAATAGAAGATCGTGCTGGGACCGTGAGAACCTGCAGCTTTGATCCCCCTGATTCGGAGATGTCCTTTGACGATTTCATGGCCCGATACAACAGCAGTGAGAAGGCTCGCTATGGTGTAACCAAAGAAGATCAACGAGACCTCTTTTCCGTGCCTCCTGATTATTCGCTCGCTCATTGTGTGGCCCGAGGTTTGCGGATGTCCAGAGGAATCGCTGCGACGTTCAATGAGAAGTTTGGGCGTGTCAGAGAACTACGCCGACAGGATCCAGAGGTTGGAAGCGTCTTGAGGCTAACCGACAATGCACATGGTCAAGCAAGACACATCTTCTACCTAGTCACTAAGGAATGGTCGCCGAGTAAGCCGACTTATCTCAATCTATGGAACACCCTGATTGAACTCAGAGAAGCCTTGCTAAACAACATCATTACACGATTAGCCATACCGAAGCTGGCGTGTGGACTCGATGGTTTGAGTTGGCGTACAATCCGGAACATGATTGAAGTCTTGTTCAGATTTACGGGAATCGAGATCCTTGTTTGCTGCTACAACCCAAAGCTGAGATCGGGAGAGAAAACTGTAGACTGCTATTTCTTCCAGACTTCGCAATGTACCAGGGGCCAGCTTTGCAAATACCTTCATTCACCGTGTACATCTCGGGACGAGCATGTACCTAAGAAGGGGGCAGTGTTGCGGACCGGTGTGGACTCGACTTAACCTAACAATATGGCCCGCCCTCGGATGACCTTAAATCGCATAGACACCGCAATGATTCATTCGTTCGAGAAGAATCGAGTCCCACTGGAATGGACGAGTACATACGAGAACATTCGAAAACCTTCTCTACGCACCTAACGATCTATGGACAATTCTAGAGTTCTTTACCTGCCGGTATAAAAGCCGGCGGCCGTGGCCTACAGGGGCCAGTTATAAATATACCAGTGCAGTTGACGCGCCAAAATTCAAAAATAAATTCTTAGTTATAAATCGTTTGTAAATAGTTCTATAAGTCTTTTATCGTTATTGTTTTTGTTAATTAGTGTTAAATAAATAGTGTTTAAATAAATTGTGACTTTCTATCCACACGGAACCGACAAAACGTAACAATACTTTCTAAAAATATTTTTTTGGTAGAAAAACAGACTACGCTACTGTATTCCACGTAAAAAGTTCTACAAAAAGCAGTTTTCGCCTTCTCGATACCTTTAACAATAACAGAGATACAGGGGGTGTCCCAAATTGCAACATTTTCGAAAAGACCCTGTAGCTCAGAAACTAAGAGGGCTATGAAAATTTTGTTTGCAGCATCTTCCGTTTGATGAAAAAGTGGGACAGGTTTGTGCAAACCGCACCCTTCTATCTTCACTAATAACGGAGATACCCTATGATTTCAACCAAAATGGGACACACTGTACATAATATAATTTGATTAAACCATACGAAAATTAAGAAATTTTTATTTTCGCATGTACCATCCCGTTTCAAAAAGATTTATTTGAAAAGTAATTTTAATAGTCACTTTGAAAATTAATTATAACGTCAGATTATAACCTCGGATAAGAGCCAACTAAATATTTTCAATGTATTTAACGTCAATTATAATTTATACGGGTCATATATAAATGTGAAATCGCGCATTTAATTTATTGTGTTTTCAATTCAATCGATGCCAAAATTTTAAACGCTTGAGGAAATTTAGAAATACAGTAGTAAATGGCGTTAATGATATGTGAAAAACATATTATCTTCATAAGCAAGATGTATGATTGATATTTATGAAAATTAAAATTCTCAGTAATACAAATGAAATAAAATGAAAAGAACTGTGTGAATCCTACCTTAGATAATGTAGATTGGGTCGGAACATTCAGGTGGATTTTTTGGGCACACAATGTCTGAAGGAGAGCAATTCCTAAAAAAATGAAAATAATTTAATAACGGTATTCAAAACTGTTCAGACTTGTTCTGAACTGTTCTGGAACTAACATAACCTAGAAAAAGCCTTGATTTACGTACCGTCATCTCTTCTAGAAGCGTATTTCGTTTCCCAGGCATCAAACAGTCTGTTGTAGTACCTAGATTCCATAAATCCTAAGTATGTATGTGTATCTTCTGTAGGAAATATCCTCTCAAATTTTCCTTTGACTACAAATTCATCTTCGGCCCTCAGTAAATGTCTTACGTCATCACCTACAATCATATGAAGCATTTATAAATAAATAATTAATATGTATTATCTATACAGGGTGGCGACTCTCATACGCCGCGGAAGCTCCAAGGAAAATGGCAGTTTATATCGAAATGACATTTTGGCAGCATATGTAGGTTAACTGACAACATTTTATAAAAATATATACAATTATACAGGGTGACCCCAAAAAAAGTTACACATCAAAGTTGTGTTCTTTCTAATGGAACACCCTATATATTGCTATTGGTGAATGCACATTGCATTTACCAACTAATAGAATCATATCAATTCTTTCTGATGTAGAATAAGTGTGCATTTTCGGCTAATTTCTCAGAAATTTTTTTGTTTTAACTGACACAAAATTATAACTAGTTGTTAAAGTTGGACTAATTAGACAGCTATGTTGAAGTAACGTCAGACATTTTACAGCCACCTAGATTTTACCAAATAATAAAGATCTACTCAGGTCAAATCATGTAAATGAAATTATCTAGGAAAATCTTTGTTTTAGGGGTAGGCAACCTTACTAGTATTTTGAAGAGACATGAATTCTCCATTGAATATCGGAATAATATACTGGGTGTTCCATTTAAAATAAGAGAGTAACAAGCTTTTAAAGATGACCAATGTTCAATATTAATTTTGTCTCACCCTGTATAACTTTTTAAATCAAGCTTTAATTTGATTTAAAGTGCTATATTTAATTTAACTACATATTAGGCTATACCGGGTAAATTCCAGTTTAGGTAGCTTTTATTGTAATTTATAAATAGTTCTTAATTTCTAGAAAATGTTAAATATGTCAAAAACCTTACATTTTAGTCATATACTCTTATAAAACTCACCTTTATTTTTCTCCTAGAATCCGAAAATCAATTAATATATAGAGTGTTCCGTTACAAAAAACACAACTTTGATATTTAATTTTTTTTGGGACACCCTGTAGAACTGTCTATGTTTTTAAAAAGTGCTCTGAATTAACCTACATATGCTCACAAAATTTCATTTCAATTCAAACTGTCGTTCTCTTTGGAGCCCCCGCGGCGTATGAGAGGCGCCACCCTGTACAGGGTGTTTAAAAAAAATATACGCCAAATAAACCAATTTAATAAATGTACAGGTCAAGTCACCCTGTATAAATAAAAACTTTCTTTACATCAATGATCTTTTTACCTGTTAAATCTTTTAGAATATCGTAGACATAGTCCTCTCTCGATTCAAATTCAGTGAAATTCTTATGTTTCTTTCTCTCTCTTTTGGTCAAAGCCCTTGTATATAGTCGTCCGTCGAAGCACTGCGGTGGATTTTTGACAGACTGCCCTAACCGTGGAGGAAAATGAAATTGGGCCATGTCGAGCAAGGTTTGTACTAGAGGACCCTTAACGTGGGCGTCAAGCGGAGATGCGCTATGCAAACTTGGAGAAATATTAACCTAAAACATTGAAATACTGTACAGCCTTGTTATATACCGTTAACATCTAAAAAAGAAGGCATGGGGGTATAAGAGTGGCGTCATCGAAGTAGACGATAAGCAAGGCCTTTATAGGTACCCTAGATCATATATACTGACGTGGAAAAATCAACGCCATAAGTTTAGCATTAAAAAATATGTCTCCAACATCACGACATGCCATTTTCAAACCTCTTTTATTGCACTTATGGAACGTTCAATAGGTTTGTCTTTCTCGAAGGCCTTACTTTACGCATGCGCATTAAAAGTTGCACGTATTTCCAAAATAATCACTATTTTATACGGTTTAGGAAAAGGGAAGTACAAATTATACGTTGTTAAGGAAACCAACTTTTCATTGTCATCATGTCATCATATTGTCATAACCTTATTTTCATTGTGTAACGACGCTTGTTTTTTACATTTTTTAATTTAAAAATTGTATTAATTACTCTTATTTAGTATTAATGATGCAAGTGTGGTCAGTGAGAAGTTAATTTTAAGTTTGTGCAATTATATTTCAATTAGTTGGACTTTATAAATACTCGTAAAAATGACTAGAAAGTATTTAGTGTGTGAACGTTCTAATATAGGTCTCCGCATAGATAAATGAAACAAGTTTAGATTGGAAAGTGCCCATAAGGATAATGTAAACACTATTGGCGCTGTTCTTGCAACGGTCGCGACCCAAAACTTTTGAAGATTTCGGAGCGGTTCGGCTTTTTCCGGAATTATATCGCCATATATTGTTTATTCAAATTTATTATTATTTTCGTTCAATTTTATAAATAAAATACAGTGTGTTGCATACAAGAAACTTTATTTTATATAAGGACGCATGTATGAAATACCTATGAAACATTGGAAACCGACGTTATGCCACGATCCACGATGGTTTTTGCTGTTCACAGTTTACAGCACAGCTTTTTAAGTTTTTAATGCCACTTTTTCACAATTATCACCGGTTGGAGTAAATAAAACTTGAATTAAACTCACAAGATACCAATAATTACTTTGAAAATGAACGCTATAAACACTTTTCGGAATTTCTTTAATGAGAGTGGTTTAGATTTTGAAAGATTATTATGATTTTTGAAGATTCTGACTTTGACAAGAGAAAATTATTTCTGTTTTTGTTTGTCGTTGTTCTTAGCGACCGATATAGCAGCGCCAGATCGCGTATAACGGTCGCGACCCAAAATAATTTCGCGACCTAAAATTTTTACGGGATTTCCAATCTAAACTTGTTGCATTTATCTATGGGTCTCCGAATTATCTTTTCATAGGCAAGTAAAGTATTCAGTTGTTTTTTATTTATATTAAGCCAAATGCATACTTTCTGGTTAGATCTCCTAAGAATGTTGATATTCGTAGGGAGTGGCAAATATATTTTTTATATAATTTAATTTTTGTGACAGTAAACATTCAATTTAATGTTCAAATATATGCATTTTACAAATTAAATTTTGAAAATTAATGTTCAAATTTGGCGCGTGGACGATAGTTCCTCGACAAGGATAAATAGAGTAGAAGCACCGCGTGTGCGACAAAAAAAGAAGATAAATGGAAGTCGTTGATATGTTTGCGACAGTTTCCATAGTGACTTACGTATCCACGTAAGTAATATATGATCTAGGAATACTGTATCTAAAATCTGAAAAGGTCGCAGTGGGACAAAATCTAATCTAATCTAGCCATATTTACTCACCTCAAGCAACCACGGTTTCAGATACTCGTCCAGTAGTACATCGATTCCAAACAGCTCATAACAATTGTAATAACTCAGCATGCTTTCTTCGCACAAGGGTGTTATCAAAGACTCGGAAGAAATGATAGTTTTTATAACTAATTTTTGCAAATTCGTCCACAGAGTTTTCGTATCTACCCCCTCGTCGTGCATGTACTCCATTAATTTGCTCACAGTCCACTTGTGACCGTGACAGGCATTCGCGTCTTCGTTCGCTGTATATTGGCTAGACAGTTTGTTTATACTGTAATTGGTCAGATGCATGTAACGATCTTTAAGGTCTTTGATATCATCGCTGTATTTCACTGAAAAGTTTTTTTTGTTTTTGGTTACTATCTAACAAATATATTAAAAGAATATATTGCCAGTACCTCATTTACTCATTTACACAATGATGGAAAGTGAAGCCAAAGAGAAGAAATAGGAATATCAATCTTACATAAGTCTATCCTTTTGGTTCAACAGGATTTTCGTGCGCACGCACCAAATAAAAAGATCTGATTTATCTACTTCATCGCTGAACTCTGTCACCTGCCCGCGTACTATTTTAAACTCTAAATATTAATAACGTATAATATATTATTTTTTTATTGGTAATGGCATTATTTCAACCTGTTATATTAGATATTCATCATATCTATCCGTTTCTTGTTTTTGTTTAAATATGTCAAAGAGATTAAATTTAAATTTATAAGTAAAGGCGCGAATAGTCAGACGCTAAATTGATTTACGTGGTAGATAGAAACTTAGAAAACTACTTCTATTGGTTAGTATAAAATAAACCAACTAATCGAGAAGCATTTCTCACGCTTGCGTAGTTCAAAGCTGTTGAACGAAAAGAACCGACTTATGTGGATTTTGTATAGCTCCATCTCAAAAATTTGGCTTCAATTTCTGTTCCTTACTCCTTACTAGCAATATATTCCTATAATATATTTGCTATAAAATGATAAACATTTCTAAAATCTCAGACCATAAACCAACTAGACACCTCTCTAGCAATAGATAGCCTAGGATTGTGACGTCGCGTCAAATAGTGGAGCTTAACAATCCTTCCCAAAGAAAGGTTAGTGTCTATATGTTTCACGGTCTAAGATTATTATTAAACCTACCACTTGCGAACCTGGCTAAGCCGTCAGGATAGAGGTATATTCTTAACGGGTGGAAACTAGTAACCAAAACGTACAGTCTCAGGTCGAATTTGCTGCCGTTAATGAGGTATGGATTGTTAACGTATTTCTGGCACACCAAAGAAGTTTTTTTGGGCAGCTGAGACCATTTGTTGATGACTTTGATACCGGCACCTCTAGCTGACGCAGGCTAGAGTAATATTAATTAAATTTAAAGCAAATCAAAATAATATATAGAGCAAACAATAACAGTTGACATGCACGTCATCTGACGTTTACCATTTTCAATTTTATTCTGTGTTTTCTTTGACAATTAATCTGCGTTTTATTTTCTGAAACACATTTTTCAGCTTTCACTTCAATTTAACTAGAAAACTTCAATTTAACTAGAATTTGTTTATGTAATAATCATAGACAAAATAATAATGTAGATAAAAAATATTTGTATTTATTATTTGACAGCTCAAAAGTCAAAGTAAAAAAATAGCTGTGGCAACATTTCATTGGTCAAATATTTTGATGACGTGGAGGCCAAATTTTATTAATTTTCCTATAATTTTCCTAAATGTTTTATTAAATATCTCAGAGAAGGAAGTAAACAAAGAGCCACCTTAAAGTCTTAACTTCTCTAGGTTTACTTATTTTTCTGGGACTGAAATCACTACTTACCGGTTTAATAATCCACATTTCCTTGGTGCCGCCATTTTTAAAATCCCACCTCTGCTTCAGCAATTTTATATCTTGAGGTAGAACGTAGGTGTGAGGCAGAAATCCAAACCTAACATATAATAAACTGTACTATCGAAAAAACGGCGTCACGGTAACTTTTGAACATTTTGTGTTTAATTGCCAGAGTTTATTCGACATTTATGTAAAAAAATTAGAGACAAATGTTTCAAAGAATTCAATGTTTACTGTTGCTTCTATATAACTAAAGTATTCTGAGCTTTAGGGTACAAAAATCTTAAATTATATCACTTACTCTTTAAGGCCAAACTGGGCAATCATTTTCTGGAAATTCCTCCACAGCCTATCTTTTCTTCCCAGTTGGAAAGTTCCAGGAAAATGATTCAGTTTCTGTGTCTCTTTTAAAGTTACGAAATTGGCAGATTTCATGTGTTTTCCCCACGTGCCCAGCCACTGGTTCGATTCTAAAAAATAACGACAAAAGTGACTTAAAGCACTTCAAAAAATATAGTTAGATAGTGTACTGAAACACCCCGTTTATGATCTGTTTTAACTAAAAATATAACATAAAATACTACAGGATCGTTAATTTTTACTAAGTTGGTTACAAGATGCCAATATAAGAAAATGTGTCTAGTTGGAAATAGTCTAAGGTTTGGTTTAAATAAAATGGTCTTAATGGGGATTCATTATAAATATGAGATTTATAAAAGGTAAAAACTCAACAGAGTCATAACTTTTTAATACAATACGATCGAAAAAAAAACGGCGTCAGCGATGGCTATGAAATGAAGATCGCTGTCATTCTATATGAAAAAATATATGGGAAATGTCATTGATTGTCATTTCCAAGCCAACTGGAAGCCGTTTATTTTTCGATCATGCGATATGTTGGTTACTGGATGCCCACATATGAAAATGTGTCAAGTTGAAAATAGTCTAAGATTTGGTTTGGATAAAATGATCTCATGTGGATTTAGAGAAGGTAAAAATACAACAGGGTCCTTTTTATCATGTTGGTTACAGGATGCCCACATATGAAAATGTGTCTAGTTGGAAATAGTCTAAGGTTAGTCTTGGTTTCCTTTATAAAATAGTTTTATGGTGAATTACATTAGGTAGAAACTCACCAAGATCCTTACTTTTAATTATGTTGGGAACAAGATGTCCACACAACAAAAAATGCATCTAGTTAGAAATACTCTAAGGTTTGATTTAAATAAAATGGTCACACTTTTGGAGCTAAAAGGAAACGGGAATGGAGGAAATCAAGGGTGCACACCTCTACTGAACTCACTTCTGACCAAGGCGAAGCCAGAGTTCGTCAGCGTTTTTCTGACAATCACCGGCGTGATAGTGCTGAGTTTCCATTTGAAAAACTTCTTGCCGGCTGGTAGTTTGTAGGCAATTTCGAGGTCCGGTGATCTGAACTTAATGTAAGGTGGAATGTTAGGAAATAAGCTGGATCGTACTGGCCATGACGCTGATTCGCCCGAACCTAAAAATAAAACGTCAATAAAAACAGGCGGTATAAAAAAGTATTAACGTTGTTTGATGGAATTTTTGCGGATGCAGGAAATAAGATATTACGTCTAAAAATCTAGACACTCGTAAAACAGAGGATACTGTTGCCAACTTAGCGGTTTATCCGCTAGATCTAGCGGTATATTTTTCGGGAAAAATATTATTTACCGGCTAGCGTTTTTTTGGCGGTTTACAGACATAACTTATTTTCACAAGGATGAAACCTTAGACTCTCAGTAGTGCTCTTATGTGTTTTGAATACCGGCGTGTTTGTGGGGTTCGCCCTGCCGTCTCTAATAGAACAGCCTCGGAGCGAGAATTATGATGTCACGCTAGTTAGATACTACGGATTAATAAATATGTTGTAGCATACACGGAAAACATAATTATTCCTCGTATTTTTGGTTTGTGTTTTAAAAATGATATAGTTTCCATGAAATATATACATAATATACAGTTAATAAATACAATATATATACCTATTTATAGTAATAAATACTTTGGCAAATAAAATATGAACCATACAAATGCAGCAAATGTTTTACAATATACAAATAATGAATAGGTAGATAAGATAATGGGTAAAATGTAAAATATATTTTAAATTTTGGGGTTTGAAAATCGATCTAATTTAACAAAAAACATTCAATATTTACTAATAGTGATGGATTATTATCTGCATACACAAAATTTATATGTATATTTTGCAAGTATCAATGTTCGAAAAATTATATATTTGCAAATAGTACAATATCATAGAAAAAAGGCGTCAACGATGGCTATGAAATAAAGATCGCTGTCATTTTATATGTAAAATTATTCTAAAATGTTTGATTTTCTTGGGATTTAGGTTCGGGAAACACGCTGATTAAGTTTTCTCTTGGTCTTTCATTATTTTTTTGGTTAAAAAAAACGTTTTAATACAACCAAAAATACGAGGAATAATTATGTTTTCCGTGGTATCTAACTAGCGTGACGTCATAAATCTCGCTCCGGGGCTGTTCTATTAGAGACGGCATTGGTCTGATATTTAGAAATGTCAAAAACTGATGACATTTTACTTTTGACATTTATGACATTTCGGGTTGATTTTTGCAAGAAGAGGAAGAACTGTCACTTGTTTTATTATTTTCCTTTTCTATTTCACGAAAATAAAAAGAGTTACCTATCTGATTCGTTCAGGCACTCAATTTAAAGAATATCAGTAACTTTTTTGACAGAGGGATTTTATATTTGCCATGTTGGTAAAAAATAACGGTCAAAATTCAAAGTTATTCATTTTATAGACTTTATTATAAAGTTATATTTAATCAGTCAGACAGAGTGTAATGACCAAACATCCTCTAAACACAAAAAATATTCAGCCGTGACTATGAGCGCGGGAGAACTATGCGTTTCCGAGTAAAGTATTTAAATATTTTAAAAATACTTACTGCTTTTGATTCAATATTTTTGCATCTCTATTTAAATGAGATTAGTTGTAACAGTGAAAACAGTACATACTTATGCAGCCGATCGGCCGACTATTAGATTGCATGTGAGCACGGCTTCATAAGGATTATATTGGTTACAAATCTGCAACTAAGGCTTCATAAGGATTATATTGGTTACAAATCTGCAACTAAATAGTTGGCCGACTAAGAATTGCATGTCACCCTCAGGTTTATTTTCCAATATTTCCTTTTACAGTGTCCAAACTATTTAAAAACGTAAGTCAAAGTGTCTTGTTTTCAAATTAATAGTTTTTTTAGAAAATATACGATAATTGTTTTGAGTAGTTTATATGCAATAAATTAATTTACTTTAATAATTCTTAATTATTACTTTAATAAAAAAGATCATCTTATTAAATAGAGATGCCAACATATTAAATCGAAAGCAGTAAGTATTTATAAAATATTTAAATACTTTACTGGGAAGTGCATAGTTCTCCCGCTCTAAATAATTTTTGTGTTTAGAGGATGTTTGGTCATTACAACCTCTCTGACTGATTAAATATAACTTTATAACATATGTAAAAATCAGACATGTAAAAATAAGTAAAGTTCATTTATTTCTTTTAGTTGCCTTTCTCACCTGGTTTCCATTCGAAGCACATGAGACCACTACTGAGAGCCTAAGGTTTCATCCTTGTGAAAATAAGTTATGTCTGATTATTCTCAGATCTTGGACTAATTTTTGTTTAAAATAGTGTTTAAAATTGACTCAAAATTTCAGAAGCTTTTTTTTGTTATTTCTAAAACGAGTATGGTGAAAACACAATAAATTGCAATAAATCATGAAATAAAAAATATTTCATTCTTTTTCTTTATGCTGTAAACGGTTCAGATGTTTATACTCAACAACTTATTCCCTGCTATTAACCACAAAACACACACCAAGGCACTTAAATTTTGTTTTAAAACACGAAGAGCAACACATCTAATCCACGAAATATCTCTGTGAGTATTGCCAGATTTTTTCAATGTCCTGTTTCATGTCGTGCAGTAAGTATTTAAAAACAACACATCGGCTATACAAAATTATTTATTAGTATTTTAATAAAGCACGCTTTTAGATGTTTCAAAAAACTTTTAATAAGAGTAACTTTAACTCAACATATATGTTTCGGCTTGTTAGGCCTTTTTCAAGAGTTTTTTAAGAACTAATCGTCTAACTACACTGTAACTATATATATATATTTACTATGGGGGTGGGTTCAGAGAGTTTACAATAGGGGTAATAAAAAATGTAGAGAGAATTTAGAAATCCTTGTTGGTCGTTAACATTATTTTCGTTTTTAACAGATTTTAGTATTTCTAACTGTTCAATGTAATTTAAGCGTCTACCTTTTGTTTCTCTGTGTAGTAACTTAATTGAGTTTTCATTAATTTTGTGATTATTTACTATACAATGAGTTGCAAGACCAGAACTTTGCTGGAGATTATTAATAGACTTTACATGTTCTTTAATCCTTATATCTAAATTTCTACCTGTTTGGCCTATGTACACGGCATCACAATCATTGCAATCCACTCTATATACACCCGACTTATTTTTGACATTAGTTTTGTCTTTATTATTTAATAAAATTTGACCTAAATTTCTTTTATTTACGTTAATAATTTTACATCCTATTTTATTGAGATTATTTAATATTTTGTTAGTTAAATTAGGAATGTAGTTTAAAAGTCGTAATTGTTATTGTCTTTAGAATTAGCGGAATAAAAATTTTTCATTAATATTTTCTTTTGTTTTTCTTTAGCATATTATCAATAAGGGAACACTTATATCCATTGTTGATGGCGATTTGTTTAATAATATTTAACTCTTTTTTAAAATTCTCTGGGCTCAATGAAAACATTACTAATCTATGAATTAAACTATGAAAGGGTGACATTTTGATTTGCCAGGATTGGTGTGATTGACTATGTATTACAATGTCTGTGGTAGTGGGTTTTCTGTAAATATCAAATTGTAATCTATTAGACTGTTTTATAATTGTAACATCAAGAAAATTGATGGTATTAATACCTTTTTCAATAGTAAATTGTATTCTCGGGTTAATTGAATTTAATAATGTTAAAAAACTGTTTAAATTTCTCTCGGTGCCTGACCAAATACAAAAAATGTCATCTACATATCTTGCCCAATAATTTATTTTTGATATTGAATTAGAAATTTAGATATAAGGATTAAAGAACATGTAAAGTCTATTAATAATCTCCAGCATAGTTCTGGTCTTGCAACTCATTGTATAGTAAATAATCACAAAATTAATGAAAACTCAATTAAGTTACTACACAGAGAAACAAAAGGTAGCCGCTTAAATTACATTGAACAGTTAGAAATACTAAAATCTGTTAAAAACGAAAATAATGTTAACGACCAACAAGGATTTCTAAACACATTTTTTATTACCCCTATTGTAAACCCTCTGAACCCACCCCCATAGTAAATATATATATAGTTACAGTGTAGTTAGACAATTAGTTCTTAAAAAACTCTTGAAAAAGGCCCAACAAGCCGAAACATATATGTTGAGTTAAAGTTACTCTTATTAAAAGTTTTTTGAAACATCTAAAAGCGTGCTTTATTAAAATACTAATATTTCAACGATGTTTCACAAGGAACCAACCACAGCTTCAGTACAATTTATCAAAATTATTTTTTAATTTAGTATTTTTTTGATTCAAGATTGATTTAAAATGAAAATTAAAATTAGTAAAAGTACGAATATATTTCTGATTGAAGGTTGGACAAAATATGCGACAAGTAGTGTGATTTTTTTCTAAATTTATTTTGGACAATTTTTCTGTGTATTTAAGAATAAAGTATGTTATTTTTGTATAGAGGTATTTTTAAAAATGTCTTAGACTTTGAGTGAAAAGGTTAAAGTCGTTAGGTTTTTTAAAAATGTTAAAAAACCCTTGAATTTGAAACCTTCAAAATCATTTTTTTGATCCCAAATGCTAATGACTAAAGATTTTTATTAAATTCAAACAATATACTATAGTGTGTGACCAACTTTAGATACCTTTGAACCTGACAAACTACACATTTTCGACAACTCAATAAACCAATTAAATGAAAAATTACCTAGCCTCGAAAACGAATGTCATTCTCCTGTAAGCGCGCCAAAAAACAAGATTTTCACGAAAAACATAAAATAGTATTTCGAAGTTTTTATGCGACATCCAACGATGACACATATTTTTTATTATGGCTCACTTTGCCAAAATGGAAAACAAAAACTGATTTATATTTAGAAAAAATGTAAATAATTTTGAGGTAAACACAAAAAAACATAAAAAATGTGGTTTTCCCAAAATTTTAATTGATTTTCTTATTAAATTGTTTTATGATTAAAATATAAAACACTTTTTCTTCACCATGTATACTACTTCTTTGTTAGATAGCGAATTAAAAAAATAACATTTTTTGTGTTTGAACTATGATCAAAATTTTTAACAGTTTTGCAGATATTCGCGGTATTATAACAATATGATCGAAAAAAAATAAACGGCGTCGGCGATGGGTATGAAATGAAGATCGCTGTCACTCTATATGTAAAATTATATGGGGAATGTCATTGATCGTCATGTCTAAGCCAACTAGACACCGTTTTTTTTCTCGATCATACGGTATTACATATGACTTTTTCAACAGTAAATTTTTATCAAAGCCACCTAATGATTTTTGTCTGATATTTTACAGTTGAAAGATCCATATCTAATTTTAACGCAATTTCGCAAATAATTGTTTAAAATTAATAATACACAAGGTGTTCCGTTAAAAAAAAGAAAACGAAAAAGAATTATTTTATATTTTAGGAAGTTTGGCATAGAACTTTGAACACCCCGTATGATTTAATATTATGATATTTAAAATAAAGTCAGTACAGACTAAAGCCGGAGTCTCGTGCATCCGAAATCCGATGGTACGACATCCGAAATTTGAAGTTATCCTGTGAAATAAAAAAAGCCTGTCACACATCCGAAAGTTCGTTCCGAAATTTGACAGTTCTGACATTTTTCTGCTGCATTGAATAGAGATTCATATCTTGTTTTATTGGAGAAACACTTATAAAAATAACTTCCTCGCCAAATATCCCGAAATTGCCCACTTTCCACTAAACTTCAAAAATGTTTTCAAAAAAAGTGAGGTTAAAAAACACACGATATCGTACAAAAGTTAAACAATATTTAACTTTATACGACGTCGGACGATTAGTTAAAAATATCGGATAAAAATTGGTGTCAAAATATTTCGACCAATAGGAGCACCATCAGATCGTCGTGTCATCGGATTTCGGATGCATGAGACTCCGGCTTAAGGGCTCAAACACACTGATGACCAAGTCGCACCGGCCAGGCCGCACCTACCTCTAAAACCATTAAATCAAATGAAATAGCGCACACTAACGTCCTGGCCGTCCGTTGGTCGTTGCGACCAGAAGACTGCACGGAAATATTATTATTTTCTGTCGCTTGTTGCCGGTTTTCTTCCAAATTAATAATTTTTCAGATAAAATGCCTCAAATTCAAGGCACAATATTTTATTTTCTATAAGATATAGTGTTTTAGTGTAGTTTTTGCACACGTGCAGAAAATCCAAAGAACTAGTATACAGACTGAATCAATGGTAAACTTAAATCTAATCCCTTTTTTTTATCAAGGTATTCTAGTAAAAACTCAAATCATTTTTATATGACATACCTACTCTATTAATGGTTGGTATGATACCTGTTATTATACCTTTGAGTTTCAATGTTTAAAAAATAAAAAAAATATTATTTAAAGTTTTTCTACAACCACTTGTTTTTGTTATTAAATTAGTTTTTTTAGTTGTATTGTAGTCATGTACAAGGAGGACAACTGTATTTTAAATATGATATTTAATTAAACGTTTTTCAAACAGGGTTCATTAGACTATATTTCTACTAGGTACATTATTTTGAAAAAAAAATTAAGAAAGTAACTTAAACATTCATAAAAATAGAAGTAATTACTGTTGTAGATTCTTCCTTATATTGTAAACATTGAAATAACTGGAAGCTAAACTTGCTACCTGCTTATATTTAGAGCCAGTGTCTGACCATCTTTTTTTACGATGGCCCTAATATGTTTACTTCCAAAGTCGATAAGGGCGCCATATCAGTAGAAAAAAGAAACAGAATATCTCCCTTTTTGTCGGTCGCGCGTACACAATGCTTTTTGTTTGTTGTGAATAGCAACTTCGCTTTTTAGTTAACTCGGATATTTTAAAATTTCTGAAACAATATTTTCTAATTGATAAAATGTAACTAACTCTGTTGAAACTGGTCGTTCATCTGGCCGCAGCTAAAAACGCAATACATCCGGCCAGCCGACGGCCAGGTCGTTGCGACCTGGTAGTCAGTGAGTTCGAGCCCTAACTATAGTAAGTACCTAGTATAGTTTTGATTTCAGGACACATCTTATATTTTTATTATTATCTTTTTTAAATGCTGCTGAAAATCATATTTTCCTCATTATTTTTATTTATAGAATAAAATTATAAAAACAAATTTAATTATATCTTAGGACTATGTAAAGTGATTAAGAAGGAAGCCAAAAATGCGATAATATACAGGGTGTATCATATAAAAATTCATAGAGAGTTAAAATAGGACAAAATAAAATGAAAGCAACGTAATAAAATTATTTGGTTTAACATAATTCCAGTTGGCTTGGAAAATACATATAAAATGACAGCGATCTTCATTTCATAGTCATCGCTGACGCCGTTTTTTTTTCGATCATATTGTACTTCCTTTACCAGAAATAGACGAAATGTAGTACTATTGTTTCATTTTACTAAATTAAAAAATAAGCCTGACTAAAAACGCTATAATTGCTGTTTATTAACGAAGTCTATTAAAAAAAGTGAAAGAAAATAAAAAAAATCTATACAAAAACAGTATTACTTTAAGAATAATATAAATATTTCTCCTGAAACCGTTGTAAAATAAAATTTAAAAAATAACAAGAGATACTCACAGGACTGGTTATAAGGTAGAGAAACACTATTATCCGTGGAATCTTTTGTACTATCATCAGTGGACACAGGATCACTATAAACACTCTCCGAGTCTTCATCCAAGGAATCATCTTCAACAACGTCACTTTCCGAACCACTCAAATCACTAAAACAGCAAAGAAATTCATTAGTTTAAAAGCAACACTTTTTTCTAACAGTTTTATATGTTTACTCGTCTCTATATTCCGAAACATCATACGGAGCGATATCATAATCGTGCAATAATCGCATATTTGTTCTTCTTTTTTTTTGACCAAACTAAAGAATTCTTTCTTTTAATAAATAAACTAGTTGTTTTTGCATTGAATACAACTTTAACACTGAGAATTTAGTGTTAAGTGGTGGGAAAAAAATCCGCGGGAAGTGTAGTAGAGTGGGAGTAAGAATGAGGTACATTCAAATTTTCCGATTGAGTGTTTTAAAAATACGAAAATACTTTACGCGCTTTTCTTTTGACTGGAGCTATATTTAACTCATTCGCTGGGAGTCTACAGGGTGAGTATAGAGTGTAAACCTCTCTCTAGTTGTAAGTAAGTCAAGAAATGAAGTAAAACTTTTTATAAAGATAAGTAGTTGAAAAAAAAACTATATTACTTAATTTTGTACGAATATTAAGCACAATATCAGCACGTACATTTTATTGGTTATATTCAATTCATCAGGTAAACGAGACGAGTGCCCGACTATTGGAAAAATAACTCTTTTGTTTTAGTCTTTTTCTTGACAATTGACTGTAATATCCCTAGAATTTTAGAATTTAGAATGAGTGGGAGGGGGGTTAATCACTTCGACCTTACAGATCCATTGTGTCCCCCTTTCTTGAATCACAACTCATCATACAGTCCCAGGGCTTTGACAAAAGCCAGTATCTGGGACAGTTTTATAGAGGGTAGTTCTCCATCTCCAATATCAGTCGTACCAAAATTCATGGCACGAATGGTTGTCGTCTCGGCGCACTCAGTGATGAGGTGTACTGGTGTTTCACCATCTTCCCCACAGAATCTGCATTCGCCGTTTCTTCTTAGTTTCAATCTACTGAGGTGTTCATTGAGGAGACAGTGTCCTGTTAAAAACCCCTGACAATCCGAAGATTGTTCTTACTCAGACCTAGGAAGATCTGTGATTTTTATTGATCATAAGCCCTCAGAAACTTCTTCGAGTGTCCTAGACCATTGCAAGATTTCCATTCCAGGTTGCGGATGGAATCTTCCAAGTTCTTGAGTTCCTCCTTGAGTTGGTTACCACTTGGAAAGCAGAACGGTTCTGGTCCAGTTAGTGGAGTGTTCGCTCCTTTTCTACCTAGATTATTTGCTTTTTCATTGCCTTTTATCCCTTGGTGAGCAGGCACCCAGTGTAGGAGGACTTTGTTTTCTTTGCCTAATTTATTCAGCTTCTCTATGTATTCTTTGACCAATTTCGAATTGATTGAGACTGAGTTGATCGCCTTTAACGCTGCTTGACTATCAGATAAGATGGCTATTTCTTGTTTCCGATAGTTCCTATCTAAGATAAGTTGTACGCATCTCTCGATAGCGTAGATTTCTGCCTGTAGGATACTAGGGTAAGTGCCCATTGGTTCGGAGTAATTAGCTCTCGGCCCAAACACTCCGATCCCTGTTCCCGTATTGGTTTTGGAAGCATCAGTATATCAAGTTATGGTATGGTCTTTTAACTGCTGGGCAAGCGTTTCGCTCTTCCAATCCTTCTTATTGCTCAATACTACATTGACATGTTTGTCAAAGTTGTACGTTCTTGGCATATCGTCCACTGGGAGTTGCAGGAGTGTAATATCCCTAATATCTACTGTCTTTTTCGTTTGCATTATAATGAAACATGAGTTTTTGGTAGTGTTTAGTGGTCGGACAGCAAAAACTCAACACAAACGCAGATCAAGGGAAATAAAAGTTGTCCGACCACCAGTCAACGCAAAATTTAATATATTTGAGAGGTTGAACAGTGGCCTCTTTTCGACGTCATATTGCAGAGTTTAGACGGATTTTTTATGAAATTTTGGTTATTTTCAACCATGAAGCCTAAAGTAAAAGGGAGTTTTCATCAATACAATAAAGATGCATTAGAAAAAAACAGTCCAAAATCGCTAACAAGCAGTCAGTACAGGATTCCAAGTCAACAATACAAGACCGTATTAAAGACAAATAAGCGACGTTTGCAAACGAATGGAACCAGCACTTGTTTTAACCAGAGAAATTGAAAAAAAAATTAACCTCGATTGAAAATTAAGCCGTTTGCGGATTTCCAATTCAAAAAAAAACAGGTGTTACTTAATACAGTTAAAAAAATTGTATCTAGAAGAAAAATTAAAAACGTTGTTTACTAATGGAAGCATGGTTTTATGAACCGCGTTGGTATCGTTTAAAGATGACTTTTTCATATGGATTACAAGCAGGAAAAACGGTATATAATGTTGAAGATTAAATTTGCTTTAAAAATGTCTGAACACTGGCATATTCATCTTAATACACAGATGTGTCAACATTTCGTATTAATTATTTTTAAAATATTAAAAGATATTTCTTAAATTATTAAATCCTCTGTATAGGCTGTTGTAGTTACTTTATTTTGTGTATCTGACCTACAAAAATAACGTTTTGAAATACAATTTTGTTCAGACACAATCTGCGTTACTCAAAAAGTTCAGGAATAAAGCTCCAGCAATTTTAAAAAATGTCTGAACACTGGCATATTCACCTTAATACACAGATGTGTCAACATTTCATATTAATTATTTTTAAAATATTAAAAGATATTTCTTAAATTATTAAATCCTCTGTATAGGCTGTTGTAGTTACTTTATTTTGTGTATCTGACCTACAAAAATAACGTTTTGAAATACAATTTTGTTCAGACACAATCTGCGTTACTCAAAAAGTTCAGGAATAAAGCTCCAGCAATTTTAAAATTAGACATTCCTTGGGTAATACGCCGCATTATTTCAGAATGATTCAAAAACGCAGTTTCTAAAAATATAATCAATCTGAATAGGGCGTTTTTCAACGAAAAACACATGGTGACTGATCTGTTTACACTAAACTCTTCTCAAAGTCAAAGCTTTGCTTACTACAAAATATATACTAGCGTCAAAAAATATAAACTAAGTAAACTACTTTAATACTAAGTAAAAAACTTATGGCCTAAAATGCTTCGATTCAGAGATACAGGGTGTAGAAGTTTGGTTTGGTTTCAAAAAATGTATGAGTGGCGCTACCTACGACTAGGAGTTATACTAACATTTAAATCGAATTTTTCATGCCGAAAAACACCCAGACATCAATTTTCATCCAAATATCGAAATTAGTTGGAAATTTCTTGGAAAAAGACTAAATAAAAATTAAACTTCTACACCCTGTATCTCTTAAACAAAGAATTTTAGGACATACATTTATATGAACTTTTTTACTTATTTTTATCTGTAGAATATGTTGATAAATTTATCAATTACAATTCGAACCACCCTGTATAAATAAGATTTTAATTTTTACCTAGATTAAAAACACAAAAAAAAATTAAGGAAGAATTTTAAATACATTTTAGCCTATAAATTTCAAAAAAATATATCGACTATGTCTATAGCATATGTAAATTGCCTCATTTTTTTCTAAATATATTATTACCCATTTCATTACATCACATCTACAAATTAGTTCAAAATAAAAATAAGTAATAAAAAAATGACGGCGATTGTGACGTCATTACTCTGACGTGCATACTACACCATCACCAGCGTAAAATTTTAACCTCATCTCCCAAAATACTTTTTGATCTAATTTATAATTTCCATTCATAAAAATTACAATAGCAAATCCTACATTTTTTCTATATTAAGAAAATAAGACTATAGCAACTTTTTATTGAAAAATTCATACAAAAATTAAATTTTTTTACTTACTTTTGACTTGTCTCAGCCTGTCCACCATTCGTATCCTTGCTCTTCAATTTCTTAGTTTTATTGATATTGTTTTTCTTGATTTTCAAAGAAACTTTACTCTTGCTAGTTTTCAAATTCGTGCACGACTTCTTATCCTTCTTTATCTTTGGTTTGATCTCAATAGGGCTGGCTATAAAGGTCTCTTTAAGACTATCGCCCTTATCTAAATTAATTACTTTCACATCATGACACGTGTATACGCCTTTTTGTAAAATTCTAAGCTTCTCCCTCAATCTATCCACTTCTTTGGTGTACCTCTCTCTGTCTATTGGTCGATTAAAGTATGTGTCAGTCTCATAACAGAGAGGTTTTCGGTTGGGAAGCTCATGGCACTTATAGTCTGACAACTGGCAGTATTCCTTACAACCAGAAGCACCCCCCTTTTGTACATCACAGTCCGAGTTTGCATTTTGTATGTCATCACTAAATACCTTTTGCTTAATTGGATGCAAACTGCTACATTTTATATACGACTGACAAATAGTAGGACTGTACTTCCCAAATGCCCTAACATTTTCTGCAATTTTGCCATTATTTTCCATCGATTCGCTACTGTCGTAATTTAATTTTATATCAGATAATTTACTAAAGCCATTGACAGATTTTAAACACTGTGTGTCATCTCTCTGTTCAGAAATGTTTTGTGGAAGTTGACAGTTGTTTGAAATGTATGAAGTGGGCAATTCAACCAAATTTGACCTTAAAAGAAATATTTTAAGTTATAAATTTTTGATTTGATATATAAAAAAGATACCTAATCCTACAGCAATCAAACCTAGTGTCATGCCAGCCTTTGAAATCGTACTCCAGCTCCATATTTTCGTATTCATTACATTTATTGTACTTTTTCGGAGTAAGGGTTTTCATTTCCTTGCATTTTTTCCTACATGATTCGTTTGTCTCACTTCTCGACCTTCTCCTGGGTGAATTCTTTTCACAGGTAACACACCACGAGCTGTAGGAGTATTTACAATACTTTTCCTTAATCTCAGAAGTGTTTGAACAGGTCAGGCTAAAATTATATTCTTCCATTTTTTTATTATTTTATACTACCTCCACAATGCTGTTAAATACATAACCTATGCTTCCTACAAAGAACAAATTAAGAACTATTTAAAAACACCATACGTTATTGTTATTAAAAGGTATAACAGAAAAACGTGGTAAAATTTAAAAATGAAATCACACTTCCAAAATGGTGATTAGGAATTATGGTAGACAACATTAAACACAATACCTATTGTTTTCTCTGTATTACAGATTTATCTAAGAAAATTATATCACGAATTAAATAAAGAAATATGTTTCTTACCTTTACTGTTAATATTAATGAATCCTAACAAGCATAACTACAACTAAAGTTTGGTTTTAAGGCAAAGTAACACAAATCTGTAACATCTTTAGATTCGTCTGCGAAACGACTATCGTTATTGACAACAAGCTCCGACATGAAATGAATACCATGTCTTTGTTCATCACGGCGATCGTGTCAATAACGTACGTGTTTTCTTCACGAAAAAGTTTTTAAAAAATGGAGGACAAAATTAATTGATGGAAGACGTTTTCCCGCCGATAAGACATTTTAAAAATATGATCTATAAAATTAAAATTGCAAAATCTTAAAAATCATATATTTTAATGCATTTATTAATAATTATTTATATAGGCATATTGTTAGTTTGTATTACGTGTATGTATTGTTATTATTCGAAAAGCATTAAACATGATTTTCAACTTTCTTGAACCATCATATTGTGAATTAAAGATCAAGAAACTAAAATGAAAATTTATTTTTACCCCTAAAATAATTATAATATTTACTGTATTAGAGCATTTTAGTACCATTTTTCTTTTAGCAACATGCTAATTCGTAGATTTCAATATAATTATTTATTTATTTGTTACTAGATAAAAAAATAGAAAAACTATTTCTTGGTGCGTATTATTTGGCGGAAGTCAATACTTAAACTGATTTATGTACTGCGAATTATAATTTGAATTATAATAAAATAATTTGTGTTATTTTAGTTACTTTACATCTATTTTTAGGCCTTTATGGCCAAATTATTTTATTATAAAAGTAATAGTAAAATTTTATTATAAATTTAACATTTTATTGTCATAATCAAAATCGGTTTCTTTCATGTTAAGCCGAAATATATTAATAAATTGCTCCTCATTTATACTTAATAAGTAATAACTTTAATAATAATCGTTTGGAATTTTCTGTTGACAGTTTTATAAATAAAAAGAAATAAATCATAAATTTGTCATAAATTCAGTCTTTAATTTTTGACCATAGATCGCAAAGATATATTTCTGACGATCTTGATCTATGGACTTGAGTTTGAAAGAAATGTCATTAACAGCTGATTTTTGTTGTGCTTTTCTTGTGCTTTTCTATCATGTCTTAAAATATTGATTTTAGACACAGGATTTTAAATATTCAGCCTCCAAAAGTTTTTAAATTAAAACAAAAATGGCATTTTTAGAAGTAGGTTTGTTTAATTAATTATTGATAGATATTTACTGTTTATTTTTAGTGGCGGAAATTTCATTTTTTTGATCTGAAAAAGAACATAGACGAGGGGCGTCTTTCTAACTTATTCAAGGTATAGGAAATAATAGAACTGTTTTACAATATAAACATTTAATTGCCTTTATTTCAGGAGTCATCAATAACAACTACATCAGCCGGGAATAATCATCTAGTAATTGGCGATTCCCTAGGCCAAATCCATATAATTTCTAGATCTTGGAACGTTTCAACTTTCAGGGCTTACGAAATTTCTATTACCCATACGCATCAGTTACGAAACTCACCACTTCTTGTTACTATTGGGGTTTGTAGAAACATCAATTTGATAAAACCATATTAAATGTATGAATTTTTAGAATGATGAACCAGGTATAAATCCACTAATAAAAGTATGGGACACCAGCAGACTTGACAAGAATGGAGTTCCATTCTGCTTCAGAGTTACAAGAGCTGTAGCTGGCAGTAAGGCTGTTAAAGTTAGTGTTCTGGCTGTGCATGAGAATTTACAGCTAATGGCTGTAGGATTTGTCGATGGCTCCTTTATTTTGTACAGGTTTGTTTACAATTTTAATAAAAATGCACTAAATGAGAGTGGTAATGTACTTTAGAGGAGACATCACAAGAGACAGGAGTTCCAAACACAAGCTGTTCAAAGATCTTACTTCGGTTATAACAGGGTTGGCTTTTAAGGTTTTAGTGAATAGCAGCTATCTTTTTGTCGCGACAGACAGATCTGTGGTGGTTTATAATATCACTTACAAAGATAAAGAACAAAAAGTAACAGATAGTGTATTAGTTATTTTAAATTATGTAATTAATTCACAAAATATTTTAGTACCCTTTGGATAACATTGGTTGTGCGACAAATTGCAGTGTTTTGGCAGATTCGACACAGGAGAGTCATTTTATGGTTGCCAGAAATGATGTACGAGATTTTTTAGTGCTTTTAATATTATACTATCGAAAAAAATGCGTCAAAGATGGCTGGGGAAAAATTAACACCAATTTTTCCATAATTATGACAAGTTTTATGTCAATTTTATCTAGAGATTAAATACAAAACAAAATTATCATTGGTTGTCAGCTCTTAGCCGTCTTTGACGCCGTTTTTTTTTTGTTCATATGGTATTTTCTGTAAAATTTATGCACTTTTAGGCTATTTATTGTTATACATCTGATGGAAGGGGCCCTTGTTATGCAGTTGACGGAGAAAAAGTAATGTTAGAATGGTTTCGCAGCTATTTAATCATTATCTCTAAAAGCAACCGTCTTGGATACACAAATACATCAAATGAAATAAGTAGTAATGCATCACAAGGAGATTTAATCACTGTTCTCGATATTTATAACAAATTTATAGTGTTTTCTTGCATTATTCCTAATATCAGGTGAGTGGACATTAAAATACCATACATATATTCGAAAAAAAAACGGCGTCAAGGACTTAAGAAGGTTGTAATTTAGTTCTATATTGAGTAAAATTGTTTTTAAATGATGTTTAAAATTCGAGAAATAGTTAAAGTTTTATGTCAATTTTTAGTTAACGACTTCTAGAGATTGACTTCGCCAAATTAATCGATTGTCATTGCTCTGCCGTCTTCGACGCCGTTTTTTTTCGATCATAAGGTAAAGAAATTTATAAAACATTTATTTTAGTGCTATATTAAACGAATGGGGTTCATTTTTTATCCTTGACCAAGAGAACAATATTTATCACTTGGACGAGAAGGATCTTCAATCGAAACTGTCTTTGTTGTTTAAGAAAAATTTGTACGACGTAGCAATCAGGATAGCTAAATCGCAACAGTACGATTTAGATGGTTTGGTTGAAATCTTTAAGCAATACGGTGATCATTTGTGTGAAAAAGGCGATTATGCCGGCGCTATAGAGCAGTACATAAAAACAATAGGCAAGCTTGAGCCTAGTTACGTGATTAGGAGGTTTTTGGACTCTCAACATCTAGAAAAGCTTACAATGTATTTACAGGTAAGTTTTTTAAGGGAAATATACAAATTTATATAGAAGTCATGCCACAGAATATCTTTGTTGATTTAAACTATTAAACACCTTGTACAGGGTGTCCCATTATCGTATTTTATAGGGTTTCTTGTTTATGAGTAGAGATAGAAAGACGCGGTTTTAATTTTTACAATTCATTACCAGAAAAAAATGTTTTTAAAGAAATTTTAAAAAAACTAGTACATATACAGGGTGTTTCAAAACAAATGCGAAAAATTTCAGGGGGTGATTCCTTGTTCAAAATAAAGGGTAGTTTGCTTTATAAACGTTGGGTCAAAAGTCAACCATTAGGGAGATATCGCGGTACAAAGATGGCGGAAAAATAATGTTTTTATTTTTTATCTTGAAAACGAAAAGAGATAGACTAATGAAATTTTACGGAAGCATTACTGTTATAGTCTGTTACATAGCATTACTGTTAGTCTAAATACATAGCATTACTGTTAGTCTAAATAAATGATTTTGATTTTGATTTTGTTATGAAAACACACTTTCTGGTAATTTTTTCACTTTTTTAAAATGAGTGGAAGGGGTTGAAATAAACTACCCCTATCATTCTTGTTAATGAAATTTAAAGAAAAATCTTATCAAACACATGCAAAAAAATTAATTTTGATAGTTTAGTTTATTTAGAAACTTTTTTATCTCTTGTGTTTTTTTGATAAAACTCACTGATTTGAAATTAAAAAATAAAATGTAAAGCATTACATGTCAGGACAAAAAACATTTTTAGATAAAGAATCTAGTGGGCAGCTGTAATTTCTTTAGGAAAAAATCTAGTCGGCCGCTGTCACTTTTTAGGATGTTTCTAATATTGTTTTATTTGACATTACCCTACTGCAATACGTTATTATCTAGATTATTATTATTATCATTATTATCACTAGATTCTTAATCAAAAATATTTTTAGTCCTGACATGTAATGCTTTACATTTTTTTAATTTCAAATCGGTGAGTTTTATAAAAAAAATACAAGAGATAAAAAGTTTCTAAACAAACTAAACTATCCAAATTAATTTTTTTGCATGTGTTTGATAAGATTTTTCTTTAAATTTCGTTAACAAGAATGATAGGGGTAGTTTATTTCAACCCCTTCCACTCGTTTTAAAAAAGTGAAAAAATTACCAGAAAGTGTGTTTTCATAACAGTAATGCTTCCATAAAATTTCATTAGTCTATCTCTTTTCGTTTTCAAGATAAAAAATAAGAACATTATTTTTCCGCCATCTTTGTACCACGATATCTCCCTAATGGTTGACTTTTGATCCAACGTTTATGAAGCAAACTACCCTTTATTTTGAACAAGGAATCACCCCCTGAAGTTTTTCGCATTTGTTTTGAAACACCCTGTATATCTTTAGGCTTTACATAGACAAGGCCAGGCAACAGAAGACCATACAACCTTACTACTAAATTGTTACACTAAGCTTAACAATGCTGTGGGTCAAAGTGACAGCTTGAAAGAGTTCATCTTAAGTAAAGATACTGATTTAAATTATGATGTAGATGTCGCCATTAAAGTATGTAGGTAAGTTTTTTTTATTAAATTTAAGAGTCTTTTATTTTTTTAAATATAAATATATCACAGACAAGGAAGCCCAGCTGAGGCTTTGATGCTAGCCAAAAAACACGAGAAGCATGACTGGTATATCAAAATTCAGATTGAGGACCATCAGAAATACTCAGACGTGTTGGATTATATTGGTAATTTGAATTTTGAGGAGGCCGATCATTACATGAAGCTCTATGGAAAGGTTTTGGTGGAACATATACCTTCTGAGAGCACGCAGTTCTTAAAAAGACTGTGTACAAACTATAAACCCAGCAGCTGTCCTATTATATCTGAAAACATGATAACAGGTATGGAAAAGTGTCATTAGTGAGGCTTTAACCTGTGTTTTATCAAAATAATTTTAATATCTTAGGAAATTATGATATAATTCAAAAATCTGACCCGGAGGACTTTATTCATCTCTTTCTAAACAATTCAGAACGATTGGTTGAATTTTTGGAGCATTTGATTGCCGAGGGATGCATTTTAAGCATGTCAGTGTATAACACTTTGCTGGAACACTATTTGCACGTGTGGTCTAGCCTGGAAGGTAATTTATATTTTTATTATATTTTTTAAAGTCAATTATTTTGTGTCCTTTTAAGGTGTTAGCGAAAAAAATAAATTGTCTCAAAAAACTCTGAAACTCTTACAAAACCCTGACATAAAATATGACAAATACCAAGCACTGGTTGTGTGTCACATGCACAACTTCAGTGAAGGAATTTTGTATTTGTATGAAGAACAAAAACTATATCAACAAATCTTGAGGTTTTTTATTCATTTAACTTTGGAAATTTCGTAATTTTAATCTTATTTTTGTAGGTATCATATTTCAAAAAATGATCCCAACTCTGTGCTGGCTTGCTGCAGAAGATTCGGGCACCAAGAGCCCACTTTATGGGTTCAAGTATTGTGGTCATGTGTCAGAGACAACAAGCAACCTTCTATTGAATTATTAAATGAGGTAAAGTTAAATTAAATATATTTTGTTTGTATTATATTTAAAAATTCGAAGGTACTGACTGTAATAGCCAAAGAAAAATTGTTTTCTCCGCAACTTGTTATCGATGCAGTGGGTACAGGCAATGCTGAAATTAGTTTGGGGCATATTAGGTCATATATAATGAACGAATTCTTACAAGAGACCAAAAAAATTAATGAGACCTCTGAACTAACTAAAAATTACCAGAAGGATACTAATCAGCTTAAAGAACACTTGGAAACTTTGAAAAGTGGGGTTATAGTTATTAGAGGTATATACACTGGAAGTTTGTAGTTATTTCAGAAAATTTAAAGTGGTATTTAAGGTTCAAGATGTGCTGCATGTCATCATCCTCTTGAACTACCCACAGTTCACTTTTTGTGCAATCACAGTTTTCATCAGCACTGTTTTCAAAGCTTTTCCGACGATGAAAACGAGTGCCCGACTTGTCAGCCCGAAAACAAGAGCTTGTGGGAGCTTCTGCAAGCTAGGTAAGCAAGAAATATAGTTTTGAATGTTCTTAACCTATAATAAATATGATTTTTTAGAGAATATAACAAGGATTTGCATGAAACATTCCACTCCCAGCTTGAAAAAACTCACGATGGGTTTTCAGTGGCTGCAGAATATTTTGGGAGAGGTGTATTTTATAATTATAAAGTTTTAAGGTAAAATTACTCCCTATTTTGTATAATTTTACCCGTATTATTGAATTGGAGTTTGGTTTATCCGACTTAGATCACCCTGTATATGACAAATTACATTCAAAATTATGCAACTCATACTACATGGACTCCTAGTATCTCTTTACAGAATATGGCCCCTAATTGAAGGGTACATAAGGGCTATATTATCGTGACAATTTTGTTAGGATTCGGTGTATTGTTAGTTGCATATTCACCATCATTAACTACCTTTATTATTGCAGAGATGAGAATCTAGAAAAGAATTTAGGTCTGCCTGAAAATGCGGATCTTAAACTTTCTTCAAAATTACCAGCGAATATTCCACAAAACTTTAAAAATTACGGTCCTGGAGCTGAAGCGAGGATCAGACAAATGGAGAATTCCAGGGCTCAAGTCAGTTTAGATTCAGTATCTGAAGGAAGAATGCGGATGCAAGAAAATAGGTTTGTGTTAAACCAGTGGCATAAAAGTAAAACAATGATTGTATGATTTTGTCTCGGCTAGGCAACGCCTTTTTGTCTACACTAGATGCACACGCTTGTGTTAAATACATATATAAAAAAATTCTAACTAAAATAATTATTTTAATTTTTAGGTATAGTTCTTCTGTGTCATCGACATCTTCAAAAGGCACATCTTCACAATTCAAGCCAAAGAGTTACGAACAAAAAAGCATGCTGTCCTCATCCAAGACTGAACATAAGAGGCAATCAATTTCTAGGAATCCATTCGAGGATGATTATGACGAGACAAAAAATCCATTTTATGAGGATGAGGACGATGATGATCTTGATAAGAACAACCCTTTTAGCGAAGCTTACGATTGTGATAAGAATTTAAATCCATTTAATTAGCCAGTAGAGACCAAAAACTTTATATTATTATAAACATGTATATACTTTATATATTTTTTTCTATATATTAATTTTATTTAAAAGTGCTTAATAATAAATTTAGATTACCTTGTTTCTACATCATTTATTTGTGCAATAACACTTTAGGTGTATTGGTGATGTTTAGTTAAGGCATTATATAAGTATCTGGTAATCATTTTGTAATATAATATCACATTTATTTACTACAATTTCTATACAACACTTTACAATGATCCAGGGAACGGATCTACTCTATTTTTCCTCAAAATAAATTCAATTTTCCTTTGCATATCCTCGTTGTATAAGGCTTTACATTTTTCAAAGTTTACTCTTCTTCGGTACTGCAGAATAAGAGGAAAGGTAATAAGTATTCTAAGTTTACATAGTAGTACTTAAGAATAGTACCTGATAAGGCTTTTCGTAGAACCGAGTTCTTCTAAACTGATCGAATATTTCTTCTCTGCCTAATATTCGATTTAGAATCCTACAAGCGGCTTCTACATCGTTGTTCTGTACAAAAACCGTACGGGCTATAAAGCTAGCATGTCTCATTTTGTTATTCTAAAAAAATACTAATCAAATATGTTTCAAATCAGTTTTAAATTATTTTTTTTGCAAAAAATTAGGACTTTTGCTGTTTTGAGGTTAAGTTTTTCTAATTTAGCCATAGACAAATAGATTAATTTCGCTTTGATCTATTTCCATTTGACTGATCTGTGGTGTTTAAGCGCCTAAATTTAAAAATACGAAATTAATTTCAAGTTTCTTTAATGTATTGAAAATCACAGATTATATCTCTCCATCTAACAAATGGAAGAGCTGAATGGAATGAACCACTCCTAAATAAGTTCGAACCCAAATAAATTAGGCGAAGCGAAAAGTCAAAGAATTCCAAAAAATACAATTGAAAATCCCATCAAGATCCAGTATGCGTGGGGGTCAAGGTAACAAAATATTTTTTCACTTTTGTCATACGAAAATCGTTCGGGGAATCCATTTGTTCTTATTGGTAGCATTTTTGCATTACCTATATGTTTTTAGGCGTTAAGATTTCTGTTGAGTTTTTTAAGTTAGTCAAATCAGAAAAAAAAATTATTGAGCGCTCGCACATGTTGAAAAACTTGGGGGACCTCCTTTTACAATTAAAAATATCAGACATTCGAAAAAAAAATCGTTAAGGGTTAGAGTTGACACAGCGAAATAAAAATCTTTTTATATGTAAATTATATATTTCATTTTGGTAAATGCCGACTTAACGCTTTTTTAGGTAATACGTTAGAAATACGGTATGATATTACTATGATCGAAAAAAAAACAACGTTCAGTTGGCTCTGAAATGAGGATCGATGATATTCCTAATATAATTTTCCATATAAAATGGGAGTGACCTTCATTTCCAAGCCATCTCTGACGCCGTTTTTTTTCGTCCGTATGGTGCCATATAATGAAAAATAAATCGGTGTTAGAGTAGGTTTGGAAGATTTGCTGTCATTTTAAATGTGAAATTATATGGTGAATGCCATTTCCAAGCCAACTTGACGCCCTTTTTTCGATCATATAGTAATAATATCGTATAATAAAATCCGTGTCTGACGCATTTTTTTTTCGATCGTGGTTCTTTTACAATAAAAAAAATTGGTGTCAGAGAAAGCTTGGATATAAAGATCGCTGTCATTTTATATGTAAAATTATATGGCGAATGTCACCGATCGTCATTTCCAAGCTAATTTGACACTCTTTTTTTATTTTTTTTTGTTGTATACCATACATTGAAAAAAATCGGCGTTAGAGTAGGTTTGAAAATTCAGATGTCTGTCATTTTATATGTAAAATTGTATGGTAAATGTCATCCAATTTTTTCCATCATACTTTATTTACAATTCAATAGTATAAAAAAATGACCGTCAGAGTAGGTTTGGAAATAAATATCATTCATATTTTACGTGTAATGTTATCTATACCTAATTTGACGCCGTTTTTCTCGATCGTATGGTACTCTCAGTAATGCGAAAACTCTCCTAAGTCGCGCAGTGGTTCCGCAAGGGGATATGCATATATTTTGAACCGGTACCATGTCTTTTGCCAGTTGAGTACCAAGCTATTCGCGTTTTGGTTTACATCGCTCTTTTAAACATCTTCTAATCATGTTGAAATACATTTTCGGTGCTACTATCGTATTTTGCGCACTTTCAGGTAAGCACTGTGCTTAAATATTACTTCTATCATCTATTTTACCAGGTTTTAGAACAAAATTACGTAAACATTATACAGTTTATTACTTTTTGTTATTCTATACTTTCAAGTAATCTAGTTAATTGATTTAGTTTTATTTATTTATTTGTAATTTTACGTTAACTTTTGTTGTTATGAAAGGCTATTACAAAATTTGTTATTAGAAATCTATTATACAGACTTGATATTTTCTCTTCCAAATAATATATCCTTCAAGAATGGTCATGTGTATAATTATACATACATATATAGTTTTAAATTGAATAAATATATTTCATGGTCATAATAACATATGAATTAAGAAACAGTTGTTTACATTTTCTATTAATTTTTTTAAAAATACATAAATTAATTTAATTTCATGTCCATTTAATACATTTATATTTTCCTATAAAAAAAGAATCATGAGGATAAACTTTCATAGCCACCTTTTCACATAATGTAGTTCTTATTTTGATAAGCACTCAATAATACAGGGTGGCGCCTCTCATACGCCGCGGAAGCTCCAAGGAGAACGACAGTTTGTATTGAAATGAAATTTTGTGAGCATATGTAGGTTAATTCAGAGCACTTTTTAAAAATATAGAGGGTTCTACAGGGTGTCCCCAAAAAAAGTTACATATCAAAGTTGTGTTTTTTTGTAATGGAACACCCTATATATTAATTGATTTTCTGATTCTAGGAAAAAAATAAAGGTGAGTTTTATTAAAGAAGCATATACCTAAAATCTAAGGATTTTGACATATTTAACATTTTCTAGAAATAAAGAACAATCTTTAAATTACAATAAAAGCTACCTAAATTGGAATTTACCCGGTATAGTCTAATATGTAGTTAAATTAACTATTGTACTTTAAATCAAATTAAAATTTGATCCAAAAAGTTATACAGGGTGAGACAAAATTAATATTGAATATTGGTCACCTTTAAAAGCATGTTACTCTCTTATTTTAAATGGAACACCCAGTATATTATTCCGATATTCAATGGAGAATTCATTCAATTCTCTACAAAATACTATTAAGGTTGCCTAAACCTCAAACAAATATTTTCCTAGATATTTTCATTTACATGATTTGATCTGAGTAGATCTTTATTATTTGATAAAATCTAGTTGGCTGTGATATGTCTGACGTTACTTCAACATAGCTGTCTAATTAGTCCAACTCTAACAACTAGTTATCATTTTGTATTAAATAAAACAAGAAAAATTCTCAGAAATTTGCCGAAAATGCAAACTTATCCTACATCAGACAAAATTGATATGATTCTATAAGTTGGGCAATGTGTATTCACCAATTATTAATGCTCTATTATTAACTTAAATGCTCCTGATTTTATCTAGTCTGTTTTTTTTAGTTAATACTGATATATTAAAGACAGTTTTTACAAAATTCAACCAACGCTAGTGTCGACAACATGAGAGAAATTATTTTAGCTGCTTTTCGAGGTAGAACTCCACATAAAATGTCTTTTAAAAGGAAAATATCCCTTTGAAAAGACAATCATTTTATGCAGTTAACAGGAAAGGAAGCATTATAAGCATTTGATTTAATCTAGCTAATTTTTGTCGCATAATTATAGGTTTATATCTAGTTTTAATTCTGTAATACTTAAAATATGTTTTAAACGTGTATCTTTTTATTACCCTTGATTATTTTACTCTACAATCTTTATTTTTGTAAATTAACAAAAGGTATATCGCACAGCCACCTAGATTTTTTCAAATAATAAAGATTTACTGACGCAAAACCATAAAAATTAAAATATCTGGGAAAATCTTTGTCTGAGGGGTAGGCAACCTTAATAATATTTTCAAGATATATAAATTCCCCATCGAACACCGGGAAAATATACTGGGTGTTCCATTTAAAATAAAGGAGTAACTTGCTTACAAAAGTGACTAATGTTCCATATTAATTTTGTCTCACCCTGTATAACTTTCCGGGTCAAATTTCAATTTGGTTTAACATACAATGGTTACTGTAATTAAATATCAGGCTATACAAGGTCAACTAAAATTTAGGTAGCTGTTATCGAAATTTAAAATTTACTCTTCATTTTCACAAAATGTGAAATATGTCAAAATCCTTAGATTTTAGGTATATGCTTCTTTAATGAAATTCACCTTTATTTTTTTCCTAGAATCAGAAAATCAATTAATATAGAGGGTGTTCCATTAGAAAAAACAAAACTTTGATGTGTAACTTTTTTTGAGGGCACCCTGTATAATTCTATATGTTTTTATAAAATGCTTTCAGTTAACCTACATATGCTGGCAAAATTTCATCTCGATATAAACTGCCGTTCTCCTTTGAGCTTCCGCGGCGTATGAGAGGCGCCACCCTGTACAATATGATGGAAAAAAAATACAGTCAGCGATGAAATGAAGATCACTGTCAATTTATTTGGAGAATGTCATCGATCGTCATTTCCAAGCCAACTGGACGCCGTTTTTTTTTTCGATCATACAGTAGTATCATATAGTATATGGGTCTATTGTTAAACTATAAAAAGTCAGGTAAAATCAACTTCATATTATGCTTCTTGTGAGTAATTTTACAAATGCTGTTTTTTGGGGGCTGTATTTTATCTCCATCGGTCATTTCTTGATAATTTTCCAGTATAATACCTGCTTGTATGTCACAAAATGGCATTCAAGCAACGAACAGGATCCTACAATTTGAAAAAAAAACGACTTGTCCTTGTCCCTGAGACCATGTATGTAGTTTGCCAACAATATAATCGATGATATCATCACTATGAGGTTCTCGGATCTGTTATTATTTTTATTCTCATACGAAAAGTTCATTGATAAAGATAAATTACCATTAATATGGGATAACATTTTTAAGACGGTACCTACGTAATAAGGAATTGTTATTGGTTATGAGAAAAAATGAAAAATAGTTTTTTTTACATGCAAAATATTAAGGTAGGAAATAAGGCAAAACCTGCCTAACGATTAGGCTGTTAATTTTTTAATTTTTTGTCTATTTTATTACTTTATTTTTAGCCAAACCAAACCAACAGGTATGGTAGGCTATTAAGATCGGCAAAAAAAAGTTTTTTTTTAATTTCACTCAAAATGAGTTGTTTGGGTCATAAATGACCTAAATACAAAATATTTTCATGGTGTCTGTCTGTCTGTCCGTCTGTCTGTAACACGATAACTCAAAAACCGCTAAACCGATTTTAACCAAATTTGGCACAAAAATACCGTGGCACCCGAGAATCTGGCTATTTGTCTTTGGTGGGGGTGGGGGGTTGGTAAGGGGGTATGGGAGGGGGTTAAAAATTTTAAAAAATCGTAACTCGAAAATTACAGTAGCTAGCGAAACGCGGTTTTCAATTTAAGATTAGGAATAATATTTGCAACAAAATTTGTAATAACATCAAAATCAGTCAAAGTCGCAGTTTTTGAGGTAAAAAAAATTGGAAAAATTCCTTTACTTTGAAACTAAAAGAACTGCCTACCAACTTTTTATTAACATTTTTTAGTATGGGCGGCGCCATTTTTTTTTATAAAAATTGAAATATCTAGGAAAATCTTCGTCTGAGGGCTAGGCAACTTTACTATTTTGAAGAGATATGGATTTTAAATTTAATATCGGAATATTATACTGCGTAAACTATAAGAAAATATTATTGAAATTTTGAGAAAATGCATTCTTCATAAAAAATTTGCTTATTATTTTGGTTAATCCCGTTTATAATTTTTCCAAATTTCCATACCGTTTTAGAGAAAATAAAAAAAAAAACATGAAAATATGGTTGAATTTTACTAAGTCCTGAAAATCAAAAGGCTCAATGGTAATACAAGGTGTCCCAGAAATAATTGTCCCAGAAATCAGTTCAACCCCAGAAACATTATGAGGTTTTTTCGCAAAAATTTTGGAATTGAAATTTTTCAAAAAATTCGGAATTTTTTGAAAAATTTTTTGGATTTTTTTTAGTTTTTAGTTAAAAATATTCTTGATAAAATGGCAACATAGGTAGTAAATTAAATTTACCAGAAAAAAATCCAGAAAAGATCCAGTGCTTCTCAAAATTTGAGCAAAAAATAATTTTTTTCGAAATTTTCAAAGTAAAATAACTCCGTTATTTTGGACTTATTTGAAAAACCATAAAGAGAAAATATGTTTCTTTTATCGAGGTCTACCTACCACCCCTTAAAATACTTGCACTTATTTTTGGGACACCCTGTGTAATTTGGTATATATGGTAATATAATTTTGATTCTTTGATAGATGCTTTAATAAAATTTTCACCAGCATGTATTTTTTCCCTGCATTAAATTATTTTTACAGCCTATTTGAATATGCGGACCACACGAAAAGCATTTAAATATGTAAAACGGATAATATATTTGTTTTTAAAGACAATAATAAACAGTCAACCAACTGAACATTGTTCCTTTTTTACAAAGTTCAATAAGCTTTACCTGGGGCCTGGTGGTATCCAAAAGCAAAAAAAATTAAGGTGTGTGTAGGTACCCCAAAAATATAAATCGCCTTACTAAAATCTACAGATATTATGTTAATTGATGATTTTATCGCGAATCCATAAATAACACCTTCGTTCTTGTTTGGGAATTCCTAAAACCAACGCCAACATCTGATCCTTTTGTTTGTGTGCTGTTTGGATTTGCATTGGTAATTTTAACAACAATCGTGACCGTTAATATCCTAATTTTTAAATCCTGTTAAAAATTATTGGTATTTTTCAGATATATTTGATTTTTAGATTATTTCAGTAATTATTTTTATCTTATTTATCTTTGATTTTCTGCGAAGTGACTCTTTTAATCATTTTTTTTTCATATTCCTATGCTAGCATGATGTACTAAAGCGCGAATATTTTGTCACACCTATATACACCTAAATTAAAAATATTTTTCTATGACAACAACTTCGTTTCCATGGTAACGGTGACAAGTTAATTTGGAATGATATTTTGAGCAGTCCGTTTTAAGTATATTTAATTTTTAACATAATCTCTTAATTTTTATCATTGAATTTAGTTTTCTACAAAAATAAATGTTATTTTTTCGACAAAGTAATAAAACAATATGAAAAGTGACACTTTTATTCACTTGTTTTTCCTATGCCTATGTTAACATGATGTATTAAAGAGCGAATATTACCACCAGTCCAGTCTTCAGCTAAATTAAAAAATATTTTTATATGACAACAAAACTTCGTTTCCATAGTAACAGAGTGACAAGTTGATTTGGATAGAAATTTTAAGTCCGTTTAATGCCATTTTTACATTAAGTTAAGCAACTTGTTTATATTAACAAATTATTGTAACAATAATTATAATTGGTATATTATGATGATTGTAGAAAAATGTTGTGGCGCGAACTATTTTGGCGATGTCAAATTTTTTTTTCATCTTTTACACCAAAGTATAGTAGCATTTCGGACACTTATACAGGGTGGCGTCTCTTATACGACGTTGCAGCTCCAAGAAGACCCAGTTTGTATTGAAATGAAATTTTATCAGCATATAAGTTAATTTAAGGCCATTTTTAAAATTATATAGAGTTCTACAGGGTGTCCCCAAAAAAAAGTTACACATCAAAGTTGTGTTTTTTATAAAGGAACACACTTTTTTATTCTTGACATTTTGAGAAAAATGCGTTCTTCATAAAAGTACATAAATGTCTTTAACAAAGTAATATACTCGTATGTTACAGGAATCTTCACTGACGATCTACCAGTCACCCAACAATGCCTAGGTTGCATCTGCGAAGCCATCTCCGCCTGTAACACATCCAGTGCTTGTAGTGGTGACGTTTGTGGTCCCTTCAGAATCACCTGGGCCTACTGGGCAGACTCTGGAAAACCTACTGTTGGTGGGGAGTCCCCCGAAGCAGCCCAGGCATATGCCCACTGTGCTGGGGATACCTACTGTGCCGCTTTGTCTGTGCAGGGATACATGAACAAATTCCAACAGGTTAGTAGTGCACTTAATTATCAAAAGTTTGGGTATCTATGTCGAGTTAGTTTTAAAAATGAGTATTTGGGACACTCAATCCTAAGGTAGAAGTTTTTCCAACGAACCAGGGATGATTTTAACAGATAACCTTTATAGGGAACCGATATCCGGAAAAAGAGAGAAAATTAAATTTAACAATATACAGGGTGGTCCGAACTGTATTTCGGAAACATCAGCAGCATATTCTGCAGATAAAAATAAATAAGAAAGTTCGTATAAAGGCATGTCCTAAAATGCTTAGTTTCGGAGATACAGGGTGTAGAAGTTTCATTTTGATTTCGATTTTTTCCAAATAATTCCTGGAACTCCCAGATACCAATTTTCATCCAAATATTGACGTTACTTCAGAAATTATTTGGAAAAAATCGAAATAAAAATGAAACTTCTACACCCTGTATCTCCGAAACTAAGCATTTCAGGACATACATTTATATTATTGTTAATCTAAGCATTTATACGAATATGCTGCCGAAGTTTCCGGAATACAGTTTGGATCACCCTGTAGATTAATTATTAATATAAAACATGATGATCTGAATATTTATGTTTAAATATTAGAAAAAAATACCACTTCTGGCTTTTTTTAGCATCTATGTTTTACCTAAATTTGATAGAAATTTATAGGTTTTTCCATATAATTCTACTTTAGTAGATTAATTCATGAAAATTCCGTTGCTTTTTTATATATTTATATATTAAATATTAATAATTAAATAAGTAGGTTATATTTAATGTAAACTTGTTTAGAAACTCGCGAATAAGATCACTGGTTATAAATAATAATCATCATAAATAATTATAGAAAGTAGTAAACAAATATTTAGTGTATTTATTTATTTTAAAAATATATCTAATCACAATATAAATGAGGATTATAAAATAATCACAGTAATCATCTCTGTAGATCTTTATTACTTAAATACACATTTACATTGATAACATATTTTTTCAAAAGTAAATAAAAATGGTTTCACCCGGAAAAATGCAAAAAACTGCGTTTGAGTGACTTTGGCGCCCTCTATCTCTGTCCCCGTAGGTTTTAGAGGTTTGTTACTTAGAAATGAAAATGTAGAGAATTTAATTTTCTTCATTTTTTGTTCAGTAGAATTTTCTGTGGGACCTACGGTTCAGCCAGGAAATTGAATCTAATTTTTTTTTTAGTTTCTCTAAAACGATGGGGTGGGGGATACGAATAAGTATACCTACACACATGGTCAAAATTATTGCATATAACGAAATTTTTATTTTATTTTGGACCTAATATGATTCTTTTTATATTTTTGGACATATTGGCTTACTACACGACTAACTAATACAAAATTAAAAATCTATTAGTATTTTAATAAAACACGCTTTTAGATGTATCAAAAAACTTTTAATAAGAGTAACTTTAACTCTACATATACCTATGTTTCGGCTTGTTAGGCCTTTTTCAAGAGTTTTTTAAGAACTAATCGTCTAACTACATTGTAACTATATATATATTTGCTATGGGGGTGGGTTCAGAGAGTTTACAACAGGGGTAATAAAAAATGTGTTTAGAAATCCTTGATGGTCGTTTACATTATTTTCGTTTTTAACAGATTTTAGTATTTCTAACTGTTCAATGTAATTTAAGCGTCTACCTTTTGTTTCTCTGTGTAGTAACTTAATTGAGTTTTCATTAATTTTGTGATTATTTACTATACAATGAGTTGCAAGAACAGAACTATGCTGGAGATTATTAATAGACTTTACATGTTCTTTAATCCTTATATCTAAATTTCTACCTGTTTGGCCTATGTACAGGGTGGGTCAAATTCGACACTTTTAAATGGAAACACCCTTTTCAATAGGAGATAGACAAAAACTAATATCGGTGTCTGGAGCTCAATTTTTGCCAAAAACATGATGGTGAAAACCGCATATCGATATCTGTTACCGTTTCGAAGTTACGGGGTGTTTTTCAAAAATATGCATTTTTAACAAATCGCTGTAACTTTTTTGCTATGGAAAATTTTGTATTTTTATGAAAACATTTACAAAGCACCTTTTTACGTAGAATTTAATGGTTTAAGTATAATTTTTTTAAGATTAATAATTTAAGAATTATCAACAGAAAATTTGATTTTTTATATGGGACACCCTGTATATTTTTAATTTATTGAAAATAATTTAAAATTGCCTTTCCAAAAATATAACACACTTGATATTTTACTCGATTCCTCATCGAGATATAGAGTATATAAAAATTTGCCCGCTTTAAATAAGTAGGCTTTGAACGGCACCGGCTGTAATGCAAAAAAATTCTAGTTGTGAGCATCAATTAAAACGAAAATAATATTTGCTATGAGAAATGCAGAATTTTATAACAATTTAAAATATATTTAACCAAAATCAACACATTTAAACTATATCTAATAACAATAAAAATAAATAGCAAACCAAGACATGAGATTTTGCTACAGATGTTCGACATATCGACCGTCTTCTGTTATGGACAGACGGGGCAGTTTATGAACATTTCTCACGGAATTCATTAACTCAGTGGGGGTGAAAGATACCCTTTCATAACTGCTAAGTATTTCTAATTCTTGTCTAGATTATACGGAACAATAAGGAACCTTTATTCTTCCGCAAATATATCCATAGGATTAGATCCATGGGCACTAAGTTAGGCGGCCTCGACGGCCAACGGCTGGGATCTTGGTTAGCTATTCAATTATTCTTGAAATTGACTGCAAAAATTTGCTGATAACTTCAGCGTTCAGAGGCGGTGCGTCGTCTTGCTGAAAAAATATGTTTTCGAGTTCCATTAAGGGCATAATCAATCATCATCAATAAGGGGTCCAAAGCCTACTTGTTAAAAGTGGTGAACTTTTAAAAATTCTGTATTTCGAAGGGGATTATAACAAAATATCAAGTGTGTGATATTTTTGGAAAGGTAATTTTAAATTCTTTTCATTTAATTAAAAATATAGAGGGTGTCCCAAATAAAAAATCAATTTTTCTGTTGATAACTCTTAAATTTTTAATTTAAAAAAAATTATACCTAAACCATTAAATTCTACGTAAAAAGGTACTTTGGAAATGTTTTGATAGAAATACAAAATTTTCCATAGCAAAAAAGTTGCAGCGATTTGTTAAAAATGCACATTTTTGAAAAACACCCCGTAACTTCGAAACGGTAACAGATATTGATGTGCGGTTTTCACCATCATGTTTTTGATGAAAATTGAGCTCCAGACACCGATATTAGTTTTCGTCTATCTCCTATAGAAAAGGGTGTTTCCATTTAAAAGCGTCGAATTTGACCCACCCTGTACACGGCATCACAATCATTGCAATCCACCCTATATACACCCGACTTATTTTTGACATTAGTTTTGTCTTTATTATTTAATAAAATTTGACCTAAATTTCTTTTATTTACGTTAATAGTTTTACATCCTATTTTATTGAGATTATTTGATATTTTGTTAGTTAAATTAGGAATGTAGTTTAAAAGTCGATAATTGTTATTGTCTTTAGAATTAGCGGATTTTTTAAATTCCTTTCCATATATTTTTAAACGATATATGCAATAATTTTGACCATGTGTATATTTGATGGGAGTCTAGACCTTTTTTGATGCCAGATTGACTGTAATTCACACATGTAATTTGACTAAGAAATTGGCTCTAGTCAGTATGAAATAGTTTTGACGACTTCTTATGACGTTATATGAATAAATTCTACTTTATAGCGATATCTGATTCACTCTTTTTGTTACTTTGATACCTCTAAGAATCTTTTGTAATGTTAATTTTATTTACTATAAAAAAAAAACACAAAAAAAGAACCCCCAAAATTGATTTATTTTACATTATTTTTCCTTTATATAGGACTGCAATGGCGATGGTAAAATCGACTGTGACGATTTTGCTGCTATCCACAAGATTGGAGGATATGGTTGCAAAGGTGTGGCCCTTCCAGAACCCTACGGAGAACGCTACAGGCAATGCAAAGCTATCGTTGGATCTGGGCGTTGATAGAAATGAATTTTCTTAAACAAATCCGAAATTTTTCTTTCTTCTAATACTATTTATATGATTTTCTTTTCTTTCTTGAGCTTTTCTATTAAGTTGCTGTGCATTGTTTGTGTCTGATGTAGATAGAAAACATCAAAGATGTTTTCTAAATGTGTGTGTTTAATATTTTAGTTAAAAATGTGCCAATATGTTTGTTCAGTTATTATACTATAACTTAAGTCAGTGTTATTATGGTATTACATTCCCTAATGGTAATATATGTAAAGTTTTTACTTTGTGAGACTGTGAAAAAATAAATATTTTTAAATAAAAATCATTGTGTTTTTCATCATCATTAATGTTTTTTTATTACTCATAAAAATGGGTAAAGTCTGAGATAAATAAAGAAAAACAGATGGAAACATAAAAATCCTAGTTTGCCACTTATTGATTAAAAAAATTAATAATTAAGATCATAAAATGTGGTTATTTTAAACATCGAAAAATTTGTTCGAAAAAAAGGGGTCAAAAATGGCTATAAAATGAAGATCGCTGTAATTTTATATATAAAATTATATGGGGACTGTCATCGATCGTCATTTCCAAGCCAACTCGACACCGTTTTTTTTTTCGATCATACGGTACTTCTTCAAACAAATAAAATAATATACTTTACTCTATCATTGACATACTCTGTACAATTTTATTTAAAAATATACTCTAAGCTCTAAAATATAAAGAAATATTAAATAAAAATATCGTCAACGTCTGGATCATTCCTTAAGTTATTGAAAAAACTTAGTGTAGAATTGGCATTAATTTTTCTATTTATTTGACACAGTGCGCTTGAGAAATGTTTAAAAGTTGGCTATGGAATGCTTTGCCTGTCAAGACTACAGAAAAAAAGATTGTTTATAAGTTTTCAATACATTTGAACTATTTTGTGTATTTTTATGATTACACAAGTGGCATTTTATACGGTGTGTTGATTTAAAAAGTGCTTTTATTTGGTGCTCATGGAACTTTTGTATTGAAATCTATTATTTCTCTGGCATTTAATGTAAGTACTATCGTTTTCTTTATATTTATCATCTTATGGGAGTTTTGTAATTTATATTCTCTTTGTTTTATGTTGATTTAAACTTATAAAAATAATATCTTCAAATCAATAAATTAATACCTAATTGTACATGAAGATATTCAAATAAATTTATTGTTTCAAATACACCTGTGGAAAATCCTTACAAACATAACTTATTGACTATAATTCCGTATAGTCAATTAAGTTGCTAATTATAGTTAATGAGAAAAATCCGGTATTGTGCATATAGAAAATATTGTTTAGCCAGGACGATGTATTGGAGTATAAGAAAATAGAAATAAATAGTAGGGCTTGGAGATCCTATAAATTACAATTCTATACAAGGCGAGTCAAAGAAATTTCTAAAGAAATAAACTTAAATACTTAGAGTTTGCTCTGATGGGTTGCTAACTGGTTAATCAACATAAACTTATGAAAGTTATGGTGGTTCAAAAGTAACCAAGTAGTTATTAAATAATTAATTGGAAAATCAAAATTTCATGATTTTTAAAACATCTTTTTTTACACCATTTCAATGACACCCTGTATACATTATATATTTTCTATTTTTCTGCTATAAAAACACACACAAAATTTTATTATAACTATTTGTAATTTACAAGTATTTTAAAAGTATATAACACAATGTAGCATTCAGTATAACTTAGGATTACATGCTTTGTATCTTTGTAACCATCCTACTCCTGCTTCACTTCTGTTCAGTGGCGGATGACACTGGTATCCACCGTTGAAGTTGATCATCATGTAGTCATCACAGTCGGTGACACCGTCATTATTACAATCCTAAAAAAAGGTTCCAATAATAATCGTATTTATTATCGTTCTTTTTTTATGTAGAGTAAATAGGTCAAAAAATGGTAGATACCCTTCCGTATTTAGCTATGTAGTTTAGTACTATTCTTTGGGCACATTGGTATGATAAGGCACAGTCTTCGTAAGCTAAAAATAAAAACAAATCAAGTTTATTTATACAGGGGCCGGCAATAATGCGTCGGACATCTGTGTAGCTACTAGAATAAAAAACTTCAAAACTACATCAAATTAAATACCACAGCAATTTTTTACTCATTACTCATACGAGTTGTAACTTTGAAAAAAATGGACCAATTTTGTTGATTTTTTTATTTTTGTTGATACTTTTTTGAGCCATCCTAATTTTTTTTCCTGAAATACATCTTAGTACATACTATAGGTTTGTACTTACACAAAATTACCAAGTTTTTTATTCTATGAGCTACAGATGACCGACATACTAATCCCAGACCCTGTATACAGAACGGAACTAAGAATTCAATTTATTTTTTCGTGTTTAATCAGGTTTAATCAGAAAATTACGCAAATCAACACTAGAACACTTTATTTTTTGTGTTTCGTGTACCTCCTGCCCGTTCTTTGTCATCATCAGGTAGGGTGACCTCACTGGCGTCCTTCCAATAAATTTTGCTGATTTTATAGGGGCCGCAATAGCCTTTCACGCAACCCCTGGTCAAGTCACATTCTGTGGCCACGTGGCACAAACACCTCATGCACTGGCGATGCAAATTTGGCAGTCTCAAAAGTGGTTCTAGAAATTCTGCAAATGGATAAATTGTTACAAAACAATGTTTTTTTTTCACGTTACAGAATAACATCACAAAATGCCAGTCTGTAGTAAACAGTTTTTCTGTCAATTTATCGAACTATACAGTATACAGGGTGTTACAACTATGGCAGCATATTCTGCAGATAAAAATAAGCAAAAAAAATCGTATAAATATATGTCCTAAAATGCTTAGTTTCGAAGATACAGGGTGTAGAACTTTCGTTTTTATTTCGACTTTTTTCCAAATAATTTGTGAAGTAACGTCAATATTTGGATGAAAATTGGTGTTGAGAGTTTTTTGACAAGAGAGATTTTGATGTCGATATGACTCCTATTCTTTGAATAAGAAGACTAAGGAAGGAGCATATCAAAAATCTTAGGTACACCGCGATGGGCCTCAAATATGGCCGACTTAAATTCCGGTTTATCAGTGTCGTTCTAGTTTTATTTAAAAAATGTAAAACTATGATGTAGGGTAGACGTGGGGTAGACTCAATAATTTGTTGTTTTATTTTACGTTGTGAATAAATGTTGGTAGTTATTAAAATTGTTATAAAAATATATAATTCTAATAAAAATAGATAAGTTATAATAAGTATTTATTAACATAAACATCCGATACACTATTAAAGCAGGTAAGTCAAATTAACGTATCTAAATTCTTTGACATCTAATCGCAACAAACTATTTTAGAGTCTTTTTCGATAAATCGCGATAGTGTCACTGTTAATTTAAGTTCTGCCACAATTTCCATCTAGATTTACTACACGTATGTTTATACAACTATCAGTAGTAGAATAAATAATAAATAACATAAAATAAGCTCCGTAAAGACTGACAAATCCACAAAATTTCAAATCAAATTCAAATGTGTCAAATGAATCGTCAAACAGAACTCTCAAGGATCCCCACCCTAGAGTGCTTTTTCCGCCCACCATGCATGAATACATGGATAGCATTATGCTCATAGATTTAGTAAGAACAGATATAACATTTTGCATTTTAACCCGATCAAACAATCGGAGGTTGACGACGTACTGTAAAAACCAACTGAGATAGAGAAGGCGATATTGCCACATATCAAATTTGCGCCTATCTACTTAATTTGATTTGCAGAAAAGGTGACTTTAAAATCTTCACCGGATATCAATAAATCTCAATTTCTTAATTAAATTAATAGTTTATTTTTAAAGAAGCATGCGTAATAATATGTTATTAACCAGAGGATATATTATATGCATTACTATTAAAGGACAGTTTATTAATGTGCTGAAACGTCTAGAACTATTGGCAACGTCGCTGCTAGTCTTCCAGAATGAAATGAGCCGTCCGTCCCACCAACCCTCGCGACGGCCCTTGGTCCGTTATAGCGTACTACGTTTAGCTTACGATGTGTTTGAAGTCGGAATCAAGACCGAAGTGAACTTTTCAGTGTTTTTCAGTAGTTTTTGTTTTTGTTTAACGTACTTTTGAATCTGCGAATTTTCATTATGGTACGACAGTGTCAAGTGTGTGGAAAAATATGCTCAAATTACCCGAATTTGTCTTTTCACAGGTACCTAGGTATTGTTTTTTCCGCCGTAATTGTACATAGGCGTCCCACAAGGGAGCCTCTCACAATAATTTCTAATTAGGTATATTTGTTGAATTTTGATCTATTAAATCAAGAACGTAGTAGCCGGTAGTTGATTATAATTCGTCTCAATTACAAACTGTTGTAGATCATAACAAATTTGGATATAAACATTGCATTTGAAGCTTTATTATAAGAAAGCGACATTTTTTTGATCTCTTAAAATTGCGTCATATTTTTGATCATTATGGTATACGATATTCTAAAGGAATTTTGCTCAACAAATAAACAAAGGTGTTTACCCGACCTTTTTACATTTTATTGCTTTACAGCGCTTTCAGATGAAGCAAGTACCATGAGTTTATATGAACAATTTCACATGGGCGCGTATGTCTGTCCGACGGAGTTCGTCCGACGGCTATCTTAAAAAAAACACGACGGACGGTCCGTCGCGGACGAAAGTCAATTGTTTAATTTTATGTTGTTTACAGTAAACAGTTTTAAAAATTATTTGAATTTAGAATTTTGGGAGGGCTTTAAGAGAGGGTATTTCTAAAGTTGCCACCGTTGTGCAAAGTAGAAAAAGGACATTGTACTATGAAACAAAAGGATGAGTGGTGGGTAAAACTAAAACCTAAACTATCATTTGAGATTAAACGGGAAGTTCTAAATAATGTTGCCTATTCTAAACAAGAAAAATTTATTTATAAGTTAACATCTCTAATTAAATTTGGACGAAAAGAATATTTCTGTTTGTTATAGGTAATTTTTCTCAGGAAAATACATAAACAAAAAATGACTTTTTAAGTCAAAAAAAGTCAAAAGGACAAGTTATTCCAAAAAAGGACTGTCCTTTTCAAAAAAGGACAGGTGGCAACCCTAGGTATTTCTGGAATGGAAATTTAATGTCAAATCTATAACTATATTTTGAAAATATGTTCCGGCCACCTATGTTTCAACAAAGACAAATTTTTAGACAAATTAATTTTAGACAAAAATGTCTAAAATGTGCTTTACCATTGCCTCCATATTCTAAAAAAAATGGAAGAAAAGTTACCAACCATTTAAACCTAATATAGAACTGTTTCGGCATCTTGAGTCACCCTGTAAAAATTCAAGTAACTAAAAGTTTATATAGAAGTAACTGATAAATATTTATATTCTTTAAACTGTTTCAGTTTTAAATTGAAAATCGACGTTGGAGCGATTTTCGAAAACTACTAACGTTTCAACACAAGTATATGTGGGATATTAATTATATTATTATATTAGACCTTATAACAAAAGTCATCTGAAAGTGTTAATGTAATATATTAATATGAAGTAAAAATTTTACTAATTACTTTACTTTTACTTTACTAATTAAATTCGTTCCAAAATGATACGCCACTGGCCATTAGAACAATCCAAATGCGCCTAGTTGCCGGGGTCGGAAATTTTAGATTTCTCTGTCTCTTCTGTCCTTGTTTGACACATTGGAATGTTTGATACACTACCAACGAGTATTTATGAATGAGATGTTCGGTCTATCTTTATAATGTCTTTGATTATGCTCCTTCCTAAGTCTTCTTTTTCAAAGCTCCTATTAGTAGCGGGGCGCCACCTACATGTGTCTTAACTATTTTGAAAAATAATACATTTTTTTGTCCCTACCTGTATAAAACTACTTCGTGAAAAAATATGCATTTCCGTGACTTTTACGTAAAAATGTCTTGGTAAAAATCGCTACGAGCAACCGTTCTCAAGATATTTAAAATGGAAATAGTCAATACATATGTCATTATTGACAAAAATAAACATGTTGGGTATATATAATAGATATAGTTATTTATATATATGGGTGCCACTTAACTTGATATAGAAATTTATTCATTACGCTGTGTTTGTCATAATGTGAATCAACCTCCACTAATTTTTCGGAGTATTCCATCATCAGGTGAGCTTGGGCAGATCCACAAAATGACAACCACAGCGTAGAGATATTAATTCCGACTTGTCGGAAAGTGTCGGTTAGATATTAAGTCCCGAACGGGAGATAGCGGCCTGCGCGCAATGGTAGTACTTTCGTACCACCGAGGCGATATACCTATACTGCCAGAAATTTGTTTTCTATTTTATAATTTGGCTTGCCTGAAAAAAAGCCTTTACCATCTTTTTACTATCGATAGTTTCCCTCGGTGGTACGAAAGTACTACCATTGCACGCAGGCCGCTATCTCCCGTTCGGGACTGAATATCTAACCGACACTTTCCGACAAGTCGGAATTAACTATCTCTGCGCTGTGGTTGTCATTTTGTGGATCTGCCCAAACTCACCTGATGATGGAGTAGGGCTCCGAAACCGGTAGTGAGAGCAGGTTGATCCACATGATGACAAACACAGCGTAGAATTAAATTTCTATATCAGCAGTTAAGTGGCAAGAACCCATATATAATTTTATTATATACCTATACTGCAAGAAATTTGTTTTCTATTTTATAATAGTTATTTGACCGAAATAATAAATTTGGGAAATTTGATTTTTTTTTAAATTAATCATAAATTTTTCTTCGAAAAAATGATTATAAAACAATTTCTCTTGAATTTTTAGCTCAAAAAAATTTCAAATTTATGATTTCATTCTAATAATTATTTAGTCAACATGTTTAATTCATGCCAATGATGACATAAATCGACAAAATATCAAGAGACAACTTTTAAGCAGCATTAACCTGCTTACACTATTCCGCTAACAAGAAAAAAAAAAGTCAGTGGCGTACATATGTTTTTTAGAAAATTATTCTGATGATTGATATTCGGTGATAACCCATATGCACGTCCCTGGTTAATATGTCGACACTTTTTTAACTTTAAAATATGTCGCATTTAGAATAACTTTTACCTGTGCTTTTACCCTCAAAATTTTATTCATAACGTTGAAAGTACTTGGAAGAAAAACTTTATAATAAATCAAGCTACGAAACAAAGCAGAATAGGACCTATGTCGATATGAAAAATAAATCTTTTATTAATTTTTACGTGAGGAATCTCCCCACGAGATAAGGCACATATTTTTTTAAACACCCCGTATATGCTATATTGTTTTCGTCTCCTTCTCATCTTTTCTGAAACGCCTCGTATGTATGTATAGAGTATAGACAAAGGTATATATGTAGATATCTGTTTCAGTAACGAAATATCCAGTCTTATTGTTTTCAGAAATATAGCTGCACGCGCGCGCGTGTTATAATTATTCTAATTTAATAATATTTAACCTTTTGCATTTCTAGAAAAATTCGTGTTTATCTATCGATTCGTACGTAGGTATAGAAATATTTTTTAACTAATTAAAATCAAATCAAAAACAGGCTTCTCTAAATACCAACCGCTTGTTATCGATCTAATTTCCGATTTGAAGAATTATACAAAATAATGTCGTTTTAATATGGCTCACCTTCACAGAGACTCTCGCGACCTTGGCTCACTATCAGAACGAGGAAAACCAGCAGAATTTTCTTCATTTCCACCAATAACACGAGGTGACGAACGAATAACAGTCCGAGCATAAGCGTAAGCGAGCAACATTGCAACCAATGTGGAATAAACAGAAAACTAACATTTTCTACGTATAAAGTAAGTAGATGCAATTAATTGGTATTGAAGCGAGACAACAAAAAGGAAGATGCCAGTCGATCTGGTTTTACCAGAACATCATCATCGGGTCTTGGTGAAATAACTGATAAAATGCGCTAGGCTATTTTTTAAAATGTTTTACTTCTTTTGGGGTTTTCAATGCCGTTGTTTCTATTTTTAACATTCGTATAATATTTAGTTGCTGTTTTGGAATTTCTTGTGTTTTTATTTATGAAGAAATCTGATAACCTCTGACTTATCCAATCTATATTAATATATAAAAATCCTTAAGTGACTGACATACTGATTAATCATAATCCTGCTCAAACCACTCAACGTAAGAAGCTCAATTTTGGCATACAGGTTGATTCTAGGGTGTAGAGGTTCGATTAGAAGGGATTTTTCGAAATTCCAGTTCCAAGAGGGTGGAACCACTCCTCAAATATTACAATATTTTTTATTTAAAAAACGGTCAAGGTTCCGAAAAAAACGCTTAAACACGTATATTTTATTTTGTTTTTTTACATATTTTAAGATTTTTTAAAAATGTATACAGAGTGTTTTGAAAAATCTGGTCATTGATTAATCACGATCCTGCTTAAAGCGCTTGACGTAAAAAGCTGATTTTTGACAAACAGATTAACTTTAGGGTGTAGAGGTTCGATAAGAAGGGATTTTTCGAAACTCGAATTCTAAGGGGGTGAAACTATCTCTCAAATATTAAAATATTTTTTATTTAAAAACCGGTGAGTTTTTCGGAAAAACTCTTAAACACGTATATTTTATTTTGTTGTTTTACATATTTTAAGATTTTTTATAAATTTATACAGGGTGTTTTATAAAATATGACCATTGAGTAATCACGATTATGCTTAAACTGCTTGACGCTTAAAGCTGATTTTTGGCAAACGGATTGACTGTGGGGTGTAGAGGTTCGATAAGGAGGGGTTTGCCGAATCTCAAATTCCAAGAGGGTGAAAACGCCCATCAAATATTACAATATTTCTTATTTAAAAAACGGTTAGTCTTTCGGGAAAACGCTTGGACAAGCATAATTTATTTGGTTTTTTTACATATTTTAAAATTTTTTAAAAAATCATACAGGGTGTTCCAAAAAGTTGGGTAATTTCTTAACCACGATTCTGCTTAAACTGCTTGACGTAAAAAGCTTATTTTTGGCAAACGGATTTTTTGAAAGTCAAATTCCAACGAGATGAAACTCAAATATTACAAAGTTATATAATAATATCGCCATATTGTTTTTTCTCATGCTGACATAAATGTGAGAAAATTTTATCCAGTTTGTATGTTAATGGAAATTCTTGCTTTGCTTTATCATCACCATTACAAATGATTAATTTGACGCGAACGAAGTCGCTGGTACACGCTAGTACTGTAAATACTAAAATTAGTAAAGATCTATAGGTTTGTATTAATTTTCAGGTATGTAGTAGTTCTTATAGGCCCAGTATCTTTGAGCCTAGTAAAACAACTCGAGCAACATGTTGCTCAAATGTTGCCGACGTGAAACACAAGACCAAATTACCAGTTTGTAGAAAGATGTCTAGCAGCAGCGTGGAAAAAATCCTAGCCATTGAAGATGAAGACATACTCATGTACAGGGTGTTCCATTTTGGTTGAATTCATATGGTATCTCCGTTATTAGTAAAGATATGAGGATGCGGTTTGCACCAACCTGTCCCACTTTTTTGTCAAATGGAAGATTCCCTTTCCAGGTTACGGATGTAGTCTTCCAGGTTCTTAAGCTCTGCTTGACGTTGGTTTCCACTTAGGAAGCAAGGACTAATAGTACGAGAGCTAGTAACGTCGAAAAAACAAGTATTTTAAGACGTCTGGCTCTTTGATATATCTTTTACTATGCTCTCTAGAACAGCATGCGGCCCGTCTGGCTGCCGGTAAACGTTGCGTTCCCTACTGCGCATTAAAAGAAGATCCTATATTTTCATTAGTCATTTAAATTCTAGTATTAAATATTAATCGAACATGTCTCCATAGAGTTCGAATCCGGTTCAGGGCAAATATTTTTTATTTTATTTTCGTTTATATTCTGATAGTAAAGTATTAAATATTTGTTTTTTTAATTATCGGAATTATTTAATACTTTACTATCAGAATATAAACGAAAATAAAATAAAAAACTCTTTGACCTGACCCAGATTTGAACTCTGAATTATCGGTTCGTGGTCGGAAACTCTACGCACTGCACTATGGAGTCATGTTTGATTTATATTCAATACTAGAATTTATAGGACTAAATTAATAAAAAATATAGGATCTTCTCCCGATGCGCAGTAGTGAACGCAACGTTTACCGGCAGCCAGACGGACCGCATGCTGTTCCAGAGAGCATAGTAAAAGATATATCAAAGAGCCAGACGTCTTAAAATACTTTCTCGAAAACATTGCTTAGAGTCTAAGCTGGGATTTAAAAAAACACAATTCTAAAATGTCGACGTATCTTTATTTATTCAAATAACACTTCTAACAGAGGTATCCAAAATAAAATTATTTTATACACGTTCATAATCAGTTCCTTTTAGATTTTAGTTTGTATGCCTCTTTTATTTTATTTTTCTTTCTTTGCTTTGTCCATTGAATTTAAAATTTCGTTCAAAAATCGAACGAAGGACCTATAAACTAATTTTAACATTTTAATTTTTTTTCTACAGGCATCTTACGGCTTTTACCACTACTCTATTCTACGTATTATTTATTTATTTTTCTTATTTTATTGCCAACAAGTTTTTTAATTCAACGGGTAAAAGTTTTTAAAAGAGACATTTTTACAATAAAATCATTTGGTATTATAATTTAAAAAAGTTATTTTAGTGTCTAGTCTAATGCCGGGTCCAGACCAAGCAGACAAAACAACGACAAGACAGAAACATTCATATTTTACGACAAAATTGCGACAAATCCAATACATTCTGCGACATTTTTGTCTCATTTTTGTTTTGTTTGAAAATTCGGAGACTTTTCAATGTCCCGTCTCGAGTCGGTAAAGATCAAATAAGTGTCTATTGTTTTGTTCGTATATTTTACAAGTTGTCGACGCAATGTGGATAGCCTGTGCTAGCAACAGTAGGAGACCAGTGAAATCACACATGGTTGATAAAACTCATTCGCAACAACTAAACTTTTGACTTTGTTGTATTTTTGTCCTTGCGGTGTGAACAATTGGTCTCAAGTTTGTCTTGCCAGAATTCCCCATTTTTTGTCGCAAGTTTGTCTTGTTTTTGTCTCATGTATATGTACTACCTTTGATTGAAGAAATAAGTTTTCCCAATTCTTTCAATCAACGGTACCACCAAAACATCATTTTACTACCAAGCGACTGCCAATAGTGTCAATGACTGCGAAGAAAACTGCCTATGTCTGCCATATAATAATGCCAACGAGTTAAGCCCAATACTCACACTTCGCTCCTTCGTCCCTTCCTCACGTTACTTCCCTTCCTCACTTCACTTCGTTCCTTCGTCCCTTCGCTTGCTTCCTTCGTCCATTCGATGCTTGGAAATTAGTCGATTATGCAACAACACACTACAAAATATATTTGATATAGCAGAGCTACATGTTTATTACGAAATATCTAGTAACCTCTAAAGTTTTTATTATAAAACCACAGATAACATAAGTATGTGTTATCTGTGATAAAACGGCAATTCTTTATCGTGTCAAAAATAAAAATTGAATTTTAATAATATAATTTTTTTAATAAATCCGAATATTTCAGTATCATGTACAAGGTATATCAGTATGAATGTACAAGGCGAGTCAACAATAGAGTAAAGTTTATTATGTCATTTATATCGAAACTATGAAATATGACATACTAATTAAACGTTGATGTCAATCCCCATTTCTTCAGATATTTTTGTAAAGGCATAAAATGCACATTATTTCTATTTTTTTATTTTTGTCGCTAGGATTACATAAATATGGACATGTATTTCTTCACAAATATGAAAAGAATATTGTCTTTTCCTTCCATTTTTAAGACTATTGTGTGTGATATCTATTTTTATATCGACTGGCGATTGCTAGATGTACAGGGTGTCCCGTTTTTATGTGTTTTATGGCGTTTCTGGTTTATGAGTAGAGATATAAATATGCCGTTTTCACATCATTGTTCTACTTATTATGAAACTAAATATGCTATATATATACACACAGATTTATCCTAGCCGTCTTAGTTCAAATTTATTTCTTATTTCTTTCTTTTATACTTTTTATTTTTTAATTAGTAGAAATTTTTCCATTGTTCGATAACCTTTGTATCTCGATAATCTTATAACTTATCGAAAAAGTGAAAAGGGTCAGTGATTGGCGGTGGGTAAGTACCCAATTTGTAGATAAATAAAATCTGTGCATATGTATATACCTGTACATTTAGATGAACATCCTAATTTTATAAAAGGAGTTTTCGACGACCGCATGGTAAATACCCGGTATAATACCGGGAACAGGAATATACCAATATATTAGGTTAGGTTAGGTTAGGTTCCTGATATTACTGGTATATTTCTGGTATTATACCGGATATTTATTATGCGGTCGTTGGAAATACCTTTTATAAAATTCGACTGTTCATCTAAATGTACAGGTATATTACCGGATACCCTGATTTTGTTTTTTTCTTCAGCCTATTGAGTACTTACCCACCGCCCGTGTCTCGTTTTTCAGGTAGAATACAGTGACGAAACTAGTTCTTCGTTAGGAGGTGTCTATTTCGAAAAATGACTCAAACTCATGTTCTTTTTTTTTTAAACATGACAATTTATATTCTATTTTTATTTTATTTGCCTTGTTATGAGCTTTCTAAAATTATAATACCTATATCTATACTTATTTATTTAGGTACTGCTAAACTGCTAAACGGCTATTATTTGATTTAACTTAATTTTATCAGATAATTTTTATCAGATTTTTTAATCGTGATATTATGATAAACTACACGGAAACTGAACTTGTTCTGCTTTTAAATAACATGCCAATAACCAACATTTTACGTCGAATAAATTAGTTGATTGTTTTGATTACCTAATTTAAACCGGCCGACTATGTAATAAAGTTAAATAATGCATTTTTACCCCGTTTATGAAAATAAGTATTTTAGAGAGCCCGTAACAAGGAAAATAAAATAATATACAAAACGTCTCTTTTTTTTAAATAAAAGTCATATTTAAAAAAGACAGATTCCAACGAAGAACTCGTTACGTCACGGCATTCTACGTGAAAAACTGTACATAACACCGTCTTCACCTTTTCGATAAGTTATGATACAAAAGGGATCGAAAAATGCAATAATTTCAGATTCGCCCTGTATTTTAGGAAGTAAGAGAGCTAGGACATATCTATATGTAGCATCTTTAGTTTCATAAAAAAGTAACATCGTAATTTTCGTTTCATAAAAAAGTAACATCGAAAATTGGACAACATGTACAGACGTATCAGGAAATATCCTGCCAAATCAAGAAATCAACTACGAATGAAATCTAAGATCGATTTATATATTTTAATATTTTTTTGCGTTCGTGATAATTCCTTTGCTACTTCGTCCAAAAACCGACAGTACGGGGAAGGAGCGTTTTGAGGAAGTAAACGGACGAAGGAGCGTTTTGACGAAGGAACGAAGGAACACACAGTCGCATAAAATCGACAATTTCCCATAGTAAATATATGATTTTTGGATGAAGGGACGCGAGGAAGGAACGAAGTGAAGTAGCGAAGTGTGAGTATAGGGCTTTACTTGACTCGTGACAACACTGATTATAAACACAAATAAAAAAAACTTTTAAAAATATTTTTCTTCAACTTAAAATCATTACAAAATTGAATAGTCTAAATTTAAAATGTTTTTTTGATACTTAAGATATGTTCAGAGTTCTAAGTCCTAGTCTATAGTTCCTTTACAGTAAATTGACTTATAATCTACGAACTAACACTAACCTACGCATTTTTTATTTATCCATATGAATATTATTGTTTGTTACATTATTAGTTTTTTACTAATTTTAAAAACGCCTTATTACAAAAAATTACAACCGTTTTTTTCTTTTTACAACTTTGCTTGTTAAAACTACCATTGGTTTGTTCAAGATTTACTCATTATTCTGATTCTTTTTTTAGAATTCTGTCATTTAATGTTGAAATTGCAAATTGACATTCTTTGAAGCAGAATTGGCACTCCGTGTAGGGTTACTTTCATATTTCACAGCCCAGTGAAATAAGCAAACATAGAGAGACGACCCTAACGACAACAAAAATTCGTGAGATGAGTAAATCAGGAAAAATTAATATTTAAAAAAAAACTCTCCCTTATATGGACGATGTTATATCAGTTTCTAGTCTTTTATTCCGTTTGTGGTGTCAAAAAACGATGTATCTTTATTTTTTTTTTGTACTGAAATGTGCTGAGAATGAATTTTTGATTTTCGGTTTCAACAGCTGAGAGAAGATAAAAAGAATAAGGATATGAAGAATTAAAAATAACTTTTCTTATGATAATATCATACGATCGAAAAAAAAACTGCGTCAAAGTAGGCTGGGGAATGATAATCGACGATAATTTTGGTGAGGTCAAGCCCTAGACATCATTACTCTTCTTCATTTGTTAATGGCGCTTACTACCAGTTGGCTGTTTATTTTTATATCAAGTAAAAATAACTTTTTTGGAAATAGATTTTTGTGTTTGGACACGTTCTATCCTTTGTGTTAATTTTGACAAATTTTACGTCAATTTTTAGTAAGTGATGTCTAGAGATTGACCACGTCAGACGTCTTAAAATACTTGTTTATCCGACGTTGCTAGCTCTCGTACTATTAGATTTAACACAAAATTTATAATTCAAAATCCACTGCTGAATATTTTTATATTATTATAAACGTTTTGAAGCAGATAATTTAAATATGTACTGTTTTAAAGAAACTCGAATTATTTTAAGGAAGTTTTTATAAAGTTTGAAGAGTACTTCTATACTGTTTGTGATGTTAAAGTTTACAGAATATAGTAAACTTTGGTATAATGGTCTAGAATTAGTTACGAGTAAATATTAGGTAAATATTGAAATGGAATTAATTGACTAAAAAAATACATATTCCTAACAAAACCAAATTTGGGCATACCTAACTTATAAACTGTAGTATAACCACAGTCTATTCGTAACCAGCCTGTCGGCTTATGATCATTCGCATAAAATTATTGTGTTTCTTTAAGATATTAGCTTATGCATTGAAGGTTCGTTTAAAAAAACTATCGAGACTGGCGTGAAACTATTCTGACCAACTGATAATGAATAAACTGTGACGTAATTAGTATCACAGATAACATATAATACTATGTTATCTGTGCTAGTATACAATTATTCATATCTATAAAGGCAGTGTAGTGAGTATAATAATTCATTTGGAATGAATATGTATTATGCTGTATTTATATTTCATGCCTTTGTAACATTACATATTTATTTTATTCAAAAATCAGTAAAAGTAAAAATGTTACACAGAAAAGAGACCTCCGGGTATGGTATATTCTGTATTCAAGAAGGTCTATAATGTTATCCAGGTATTCATGCATGAGATACTGAATCGACATCATAAACATAGATAAATGAAACAAGTTTAGATTGGAAAGTGTCCATAAGGACAATGTAAACACTATTTGGCGCTATTTTTGCAACGGTCACGACTCAAAGCTTTTGATAATTTCGGAGCGGTTCGGCTTTTTCCGGAATTATGTCGCCAAATATTATTTGTTCAAATTTATTATTATTTTCTTTTAATTTTATAAATAAATTACAGTGAGTTGCATACAAGAGACTTTATTTTATATAAGTACATGTATGAAATACCTATGAAACATTGGAAACCGACGTTATGCCACGATCCACGATGTTTTTTGCAGTTCACAACACAGCTTTTTATAGTGTGATCTCTTCGGACGGGGCTATCTCTTATAATTCAGGATTGAACTTCCTTACAGGTAAGTCGTTTAATCTCTAATTAAAATGATACAAGTTCGATACGAACATCATAATTTCATTAAAAAGTTCGTATCGAACGTGTATCATTCAAAATTTAATCTACGACGCGACCCGAGGGACGATTCAAAGAGATTTGATTTAATTTAAAATATCAGAGATATCCTCATAAAACAATACAACCTAACCAAACGTACGAGCAAGCCTATGTAAAACTTGAAGATTGGTGTAAAGGGAAAGGAATCAACAATAATAGTAACGAAAAGGTTCTCCTGGCATATTTTGAACATCTCTCAAAACATAGGAAGGCTTCATCACTTGGGGTATATTATTCTATGCTACGTTCAGTTATATCAGTGAAGAAAAATACAGATATTAGTACGTCATCATCATCATTATTTAGCTTATACCGTCCACTGCTGAACAAAAGCCTCCCTTAACTCTAGCCATTTCCTTCTATTTTGTGCCACTTGAATCCAGTTTCCAGCCACCCTCTTAATGTCATCTGTCCATCGACTTCCTAGTCCATCGTCGTCCTCTGCTTCTATAGGCCTCGTGTCTCGGTCTCCATTCCACAAGTCTCTTTGTCCACCGTCCATCTGTCATCCTAGCCACATGTCCTGCCCAATTCCATTTAAGATGTAAGACAGATATCACCGCATCTCTTACTCCTCTTCGATTTCGTATTGTATGATTGGGTATTTTATCTCTGAGTGTAACTCCCCTTATTAGTAAGTACGTCCATTTAATTGCATTTCTAAAAAGAAAATCGGAAGGATTTCGGTCAAAAAAATCGAGAATTTTAAGAAAAGAAGACATAACTCGTTTTTTGTTGGAAGCCGATGATAAAACTTATTTCCTGACAAAATTTTCATTGATAGTGAGACTTGCGGGAGCCTGCCGGCGTATCGAGTTGACAAATCTGCAGTTGCAAAATGTTAAAGATGGAGGACAATGCATTCATGTCATTATTTACGAAAACAAAGCTTTCACGAGATTTTTTTATAACGAAAGGGAATGTTGAAGTAATAAATATGGTGAAAATGGTTCGAAGATATATAGCTATGCGGCCAAGCAACACAGACAGCGCATATTTTTTGTGGGGTACAGAAATGGAAAATGTATTAAGCAACCCGTTGGCATTAATACTTTAGGGAAAATGCCGTATAAAATAGCATTGTCCCTAAGTCTTCCAAATCCACAACAATACACTGGACATTGTTTCCGTAGATCGTCTGCGTCATTGCTTGCAGATTAAGGAGTGGATTTATTAACTGTTAAAAGACATGGTGGTTGGCGCTCTAACACAGTGGCAGAGAGCTATATAGAAAATTCCAAAGAAAATAAGAAAAAAGTGTCATGTGTAATATTTTGGGTAACATTTCTGGCAATGATGGGTTTTCAACAAGTTCAAGCACTGAGGAAATAAATTTACTTTCTAAAAATTCAACTCACCTGTCATCGTCTGGAATTAATTTAACCAATTGTACTGATATTATAATTAATGTTTACAATAAATAAACGTATTTAGATACCTTTTTTTGCTTGTTTCTTATTTTAAAATTTACGTGTTATTATGAATTCATAATAGCACTAGTGCTATGATGAAAGCCATAATGACATCCAAATGACAATGTTAAATGTCTCATAATGACATTGTCGTAGATTAAGTTTTTAATGCCACTTTTTCACAATTATCACGAGTTTGAGTAAATAAAATTTAAATTAAACTCACAAGATAGCAATAATTGGCTTGAAAATGAACGCTCTAAACACTTTTCGGTATTTTTTCATTGAGGGCGGTTTAAATTTTGAAAGATTTTATAATTTTTGAAGATTCTGACTTTGACAAGAGAAAATATTTCTGTTATTGTTTGCGGTTGTTCTTAGCAACCGCTATAGCAGCGCCAGATCGCGTACAACGGTCGCGACCCAAAACAATTATATATTTTGACGGGCTGTCCAATCTAAATTTAAATTTATTTCCTTTATCTGTGCATGTGATGAATCAATTATGAAATTCGCTTAGAAACTAATAACATTTATAGATAACGAAATACAAAACCAACAAATTATTGTGTCTACTTTATATTATACTTTTACACGTTTTACACGTAAATAAAATTAGAACGGCACTGATGAACAGGAAATTAAGTCAGCAAATATTCAAACTATGTAGCCTAACAATGCCTTTATAGTTTATAACTTATAACCTCTTTTTAACTTCCACAGATTTGAAACAAACTTAAAAATTCTCTTCACCAAACAGCAGTATCTTTTTACAGCCCTTCCTCTTGTCCATTTTCTCCTTCATTTCCATGTTTTTCTCCATGATTTCGTTCTTTTTGTTGTCGATTTTCTCCTCGCTCTTGCTTCGGTCGCACCACCATCTTTTTTTCTCGCCATTTTTTCGACTATTGTTGTTGTTTTTAACGGGTGGTATTTCATCCTCTTCATCTTGTGACAGCTTCTCGTACTTGTAGCCTTTTGGATTTCTGCTCAGTAGCGGCATTTCAAGTTGTGTTACGATTTTCTGTGCACATCTAAGACAGAAAATATAATATAGGTAAAGTATGTTTGAAATGAATGAATAAATAAATAAATAAATGGCCTTTATTGTCAAAAATTTTTTCAATTTGTAGACAAAGGTAAACTAAACAAATAAAGTAAACAAACAAGCTACACAAACAAACAAATAAAAGATAATACAAAACATTACACAAATAATATTGTCAGTCTTATTGTTTAAAATAAACATCTATAAATGTTTACAATGTCAAAGAACAAAAAAATAAAAACAACACTCAAAAATATTCAGCAAGTTAATAGTAAATATCAATGACTTCTAAATAAATTTATTTCCATGTCATTAGTAAATATAGCAATAGCAAACATTAGACCAGTGTTTACAAGATCAAATTCGATTTTCAAAATATAATCCCTTTACAGCATAGAAAGCCTTGTCTAGTAAATAAGAGTTCAATGCTTTGCGAAATGAAGAAAATGATGTTATGGATTTGATTTCAAATGGCAGGTGATTGTGCATTTTTTTCGAGTTGTATAATCTTGAACATTTAACTAACTCTGAGCGTGGGGTAGGTAGATAAAGATCTTGCTCCGCGTTTCTGAGTGGATAAGTGTGAGATGGCCTTTCTTGAGAAGCTGATACATGCTTACGTATTAGGCAAACGGATTCAAATATAAATAAAGAAGGAAGAGTCAATATTTTTAACTTTTTAAAAAAGTCCTGGCAATGAGTTCTGCTGTTTAGTCCCAGTGAATATCGAACAGCTCTCTTCTGGAGCTTGAAAATGCGGTCAAATTGAGTCGCACAACACGTATCCCAGAATGGAAGGGGTCAAATTAGTCGCACCTGAGGTGCGACTCAAAAAGTGCATAATAAACAGTTCTAGCTACTGACAAGTTAAGCTCCTTAGAAACAGATATTAATGCATAACACAGGTAGAGCTCAATTTTTTCGACAAAGCTTCGATATGTATGTCCCATTTCAGAGAATTGTCTACAACAAGCCCTAAGAATTTTACAGATTTTACGACGTCAATGGAGGTGTTGTTAAGTACAAACGGCTGCAGCGAGTTTTTATACGACAAAGCTTTAGTTTTAGAAATGTTGAGACTCGGGAGGTTCGAGTCGCACCAAGATTTAATAGTGATTAAATGATTTGATATAATCCTATAAAGTGCCGTGACGTCCTTGTTGCTCCAAGTGAAGCTAGTGTCGTCCGCAAAAAGACATATTTTGCCACTAATATTTATGTTAGCAATGTCGTTAATAAAAAAAAGAAACAAAATAGGGCCTAGTACTGAGCCTTGTGGTACTCCACATTCTATTGGCTTGCTAGAAGACAACGTGGTATCCACCTTCACAAGTTGACTTCTGTTGCTCAGATACGACTTAAACCATTCGAGAGATGTTCCCCTGAACCCATAGTGCTCCAGTTTATTAATTAGGATTTACACAATCGAACGCCTTAGAAAAATCACAGAAAATTGTTGCTGTAAAATGATGGTTATTTAGGCTGGAGTAAACTTTATTAAGGAAGGAAAACATAGCGTCATTTGTGGACTTGTTGCTTAGAAATCCAAATTGATATTCAGTAAATATTTTGTACTTAAACAGAAAAGATACCAGCCTTCTTTTAACCAACCTTTCTATGATCTTAGATAGCGTTGGAAGGAGTGCAATTGGGCGATAGTTAGAAGCTTCATCTTTGTCTCCTCCTTTATGCAGAGGAATGATTATTGCCGTCTTAAGACATTTTGGAAAAATACCATTTTGGAATGACATGTTTATTAAAGTAGTTAGGTGATTCAGAGTGCTTTCTGGCAGATTTGAAAACATTTTTAAAGTTAGCCCGTCGGTCCCAGATGAGGATTTATTTTTGATGGTATTAATTGTACTGCAAAGCTCTTCTAGAACTACGGGTGAAAAAAAGAAACTGTGTAAGTTTACATTATCATTAGAGAGATATGAAAGTGGATCATGAGAAGGACATATAGTATTAGTTAAGTTTTTCGCTACATTTACAAAGTAATCGTTAAGGTTCTCAGGTGAGGTAGAGATATTGCTAGACTAAGAAGCTTTGTTTCTCAAATCATTCACAATAGACCATGACTCTTTAGCAACATTACCAGAATTGACTATTCTCCTATTATAATAAAGAAAAATGAAGTCAAAGTAAACAAGAAAACAACAGAAAATTTATAATCAGGGACGGATTAAGACAGGGGGATCCACTATCTCCAGTACAGTTTAGTGTAGTATTAGAAAAAGTTAAAAAAGATGCGGGAATCAACAGAGTATAACCTTCTGTATATAAAAAGACAACAATGCTTAGCCTTTGCAGATAATTTAGTTATCTTAGCAAGAGATCGGAAAGAGCTGATATCGTTCACCAAAAGACTAGAAGATCAAGCTCAAAAAGTATGCTTAGTGTTTACTGAGAAGAAAACGAAATTTATGAGTGGTCAGATAGGGATTTTGAGAAGAAAAGATGTCTACAAATAGATTCTGAGAGAGGGAAACGATACAAATTTGAGGAAGTAGATATATTCACATATCTAGGAGGTGTATTTTTAAGGAACCCAAATGTAACTCAAGAAATTGTGGCAAGAATAATGGCAGGAAATAGATGTATTTGAGCACTAGAGAAAATTATTTAGAGTAAGAACATCTATAGAAGTATAAAAATCACCATGTACTAAACAATGATACGACCAACAGTGCTATATGCATGCGAAACGTGGACGTTTAATGCAACGGAAAGTTCGAAGCTAGAGATTTGGGAAAGAAAAAAAACTGAGGAAGATTTTTGGAAGAAAAAAGATAGAAAACATATGGGACCAGAAGAATAAATGAAGAATTAAAGCAACTATATCGGGCACCGAGTATAACGGGAGTAGTTAGAGTATAAAGACTGAGATGACTGGGATACATTGAAAGAATGGCTGAAGCAAGAATTCCTAGTATGATAATGAAGAGATAGATGGAAAGAGGAGGGGTAGACTGAGAATCAGAAGGAAAAAGGATGTAGAAGAGGACTTGAGAAAAATAAGAGTGGATGGGTGGAGAATAAAGGCGGAAGACAGAAAAAAATGGAGAAAGATAACCAATCAAGTCATGAGCCTTTTAGGCTTTTAGAGCTATTATACAGGGTGAGTTTGCAACTATATCGGGCACCGAGTATAACGGGAGTTGCAAGAGCACAAAGTGGAATGGATGGGTGGAATGGGAAAGAATGGAAGAACAAGATGGAAAAAGGATGTTGAAGAGGACTTGAGAAGGATAACAGTGGATGGGTGGAGAATAAAGGCGAATGGAGAAAGATGACCATTCAAGCCATGAGCCTTTTAGGATTTTAGAGCTATTATATATTAAGTATGTTTATCGAGAGGATACATATTATGATAGTGGCTGTTGTTAATAAACTAACGATTAATGTATAATAGATTCCAATGATTAGGAATACGAGGACCAATAACAGCAGAAACCAAATTGTTACCAGTTGTCACCAAATAATGCTGTGCCACCGGCTAGAGGGTTTATATTTCATCATATATTACGCTAGAACATAAAACTTTTTGATCATATCATACCTTATTCTTGTTGATGCTGGTGGTACACTGTGCAATGGACTCGACTCTCTGATTGGAGGAAGACGATTGATGTGGTTCTTTTCCGGTCTACAGTAGCCTTTCAATGTCATTTTCATGTCCTGCTTTTGAGATCTAAACCAATAATCAAAGAATATAATAATTTAGTCATTATCTATAAAGAAGACACATTTGAAATGGTAAATATTTGATAACTCTTTTATAAAGCAAGAAAATGATGTTGGCTACAGATGTATCGATAAAATCGCGTGTCTAGTGGTATGATGATCTATTTTTTCTTATTTCTCGAGATCATTTCGTAGTCTTGGCTTATATTTTAAATATTCCTAATAATATATTTTTGCTACATGTACTTGCCATCAATTTTGAAGTTCTAAATAACAGTTTTGAATTAATGTTGTCACCACATGTAAAAATTACAAATTGAGATCAAATATAAGTGTATAATCAGATAAATATGCCGTACTATCATTTAATTACCGTAACTTTCATAGAAACATATTGTACAACTCATGCGACATCACAATTTGCCTTGCCCTGAAGTGACGTCATACAACAACTTATGTTGGCTTCAAACATGTTAACGAAAAAATGCGTCTAGAAGTTTGATGGTCTAAGATTTTTTAATTTGGTTTATTTGCTTTTTTCAAATGACCAATATGACAATATTCTCTACCTTTTGATAGCTCCCGTTGATGGTTGTCTGGGATAAGCTCCTCCTACGCATCTACCTTTGCAGCATGCTCCATGAATGTGGTCCATGCCTTTTATATTTGCAGCGATATCGGTAGAGCCCGAGGAAGATGAAGATATGGAAGAACCTCCGCTGCTCACGCTATACAGGCTGTCCGAAGCCGGAACCGAGGATGTCCTGGAGGCCATAGAGTAGCCGCTAGCTGATGTAGGAAACATTGGGCCTGTCTGTATAGTAAAAAAGATGATGGTAGTACAACAGATTATAAAAATAGATTTTTTCATTCAGTGTTCTACAAGGTTTTATTTAATTTTTTATATGTATATACTGGGTGTCTTTTATATAAGTGCAAGTATTTGAAGGAATGGTAGATCTGAACAAAAGAAATATCTGTTTAACATTTTTATAATAAATTGAAAATCGAAAAAATTCATAGTTTTTTCTGGGGTGGTAAAATATAATACCAGTTAAAATACTTGCACTTATTTAGGATACACCCTATATCTATTACGTGTACTATGTTTATTTGATTAAAAAAATTGACTGCATATTTTATTTTGGTATGATGAAGGGAAAGAGATACTAAACATTTTTTTTATTGGATATTTCTTGACAAAATGGCGAAGGAATTTTTTTACTGATAATTTTAATTGGAACAAAAAATAAATTATTAAAATTAATATCAACTTACTGAACACTAATTTGAAAATTTATATTTACTTATTTGTCTAAATATGTTATATTATTTGTTTTTTGAACATCACTTATAAAAATACAGATATCTATATACATGTTAAATATATGTTCTTGTAGAATTTTGAAGAGCTATTTAAAACAGTTTTGTTGAATACTTGTAGTTTATAATAGACGTGTCTGTTAAAAATTAAAGTATTTTTTAATAGTTGTATTTAGATGTTGTAAATCGTTTTTTCTTTGTTCTTTGTGCTTTTTTGCCTTCTGACGTCGGGAGTAGATATACCTCCTGAAACGTTAAGCATTTTTTGTCGGTAAGGCAAATTGTTATACTAGTAGATAATTACTGACATGCTTGTTTCTGTTTGGATTCAACCCAGTGGCACAAATTACCTATTACAGATGCGAAAGAAAGCGACTGCATCGGAAACCGCTCGGCAAACCCGACACGCCTATTGAGTGGTGTAAATACACCAGTCGTTTAGTCCGGAAACCCATGCTGTTTCGTATTCGCTTGCTGGAGTGACATAGTGCGTGGTTGATATTAAAAAAAAGATGTTTTAGTATAAAAAATTAATATATTTAACAAAATTTAATTAAAAATGTGACAAAATAGTTACCTTTCTATTTGTTCTATCGGACTTTTTTCGACTATATAAATCTTTATTTGTAAACTTTAATACATAAAATATTTTCAATCTAATAAATCATTTAATGATGTAAATCAGAGGAAATTTCTCACATGGGTGGTCAAATTCTATAGTTTTCATTATATCAAACAGCCTCTGAGAAATGTTTTCAACTCAAAATACCTTTAATTATGTTTGTGACTACATCATTAAAAACGGTCTTCAAATACATCAATGTGAGATTTGTTTAATATTTGCAAAAGAATCCGAATCTCTGGATAACTCGAAATTATTTACCCATTTAAAAAAAAGACTTTTATCATGAAAGTGGAAAAATTTGTTCATTTTATTTACAGGCTGGAAAAATATTTATATTAAATTTTGATGAGTTTTGCACTGAAGAAAACATTCAGAGGCTGTTTGATATAATGAAAACTATAGAATTTGACCACCCATGTGAGAAATTTCCTCTTATTTACATCATTAAATTATTTATCAGATTGAAAATATTTTATGCATCAAAGTTTACAAATAAAGATTTATATAGTCGAAAAAAGTCCGATAGAACCAATAGAAAAGTAACTATTTTGTCACATCTTTAATTAAATTTTGTTAAATAAATTAATTTTTTATACTATAAATATCTTTTTTTTCCTAATCTCCTACGAACTGATATAATATGACGAGCAATCTATTAAATTACTGTGAGATTATATGCCTCGCTAACATATTGGTGCAGATTATTTTCACCCAAACCAATAATAACCCAAACTATACATTGATGCGGATTGTCTATGAACTCTTTCTGAAGGTCACAGAAACCTGAACGCGTAATTCGGTGTTTTTTCGTTTGAAGTCCAGGTCTTGATAAGGTACGGAACCCTAAAAACAACTATTTAATTTTGTAGGTTTCCTTCCAATGAAAAATCCAGAATAATTTACAAGAATAAAATTATAATTTTTTAACTAATTTGAAGTCCAGGTCTTGATAATTAATTTATATTGAACAAAAATGCTTTTTAACTGTTTTAATAGATAGTATTTTGTCACGATAAGAATAGTTAAATAGAAAGAGGTATAGGTTGATTTTAAAAGAAAAATATTTGTTGACAAAATGGTGAAGGTACTTACTTTCAGTCGTAATATTTTTGCACGGCAAATGACGCATCTCAGCGGAAGAAGTCGCTGGGATACAGCGATTTGGATGGTTTTGACGAAGCATTTTCGACAAACAACTTGATGACCGCATGGTGAGGTTTGCATTGTTGCTTTGGCATGGATACAGATAACACACTAAAAAAAAAATAAAAAAAAAATGTAAAAAATGCAACAACGCATAGTCTTGCACGCTTGGTCTTGGTCTTTGTCTTGCGTTAAGTCTTGGACTGGTCGGTCTTGGTATTGCTCTTGCAGATCTAACGTTAGTCTTGGTCTTGGTCCTGCTTTTTGTGAAAGACCAAGACCGCTTAAAGATCTATTGAGACTCTCATCATTATATCTTTATTATTAATTAATATATTTTTTAATTTTTAATCTTGATGAAAGTATTGTTATAAAAATAAAATAAAATAAAAAAATATTAAAAATACCAATAAGTACAGGGTGAGTCTTAAATAAGTGCAAATATTTTAGGGGCTGGTAGATCTCGATAAAAGAAACACATTTTCTCTTTACCGTTTTTCAAATAAATCCAAAATTACCCAGTTATTTTATTTTGAAAATTTCCAGAAAAAATATTTTTTTGCTTAAATTTTGAGAACCACTAGATTTTTTCTGGGGGTTTTCTTTCTTGTAAATTTAATCTACTACCTATGTTGCCATATTATCAGGAAATTATAATTCCAAAAAAAATTCAAATTTTCCAAAAAAAAATTTTCGCGAAAAAATCTCATATAATCGTGTTTTTGGGGTCCAAATATACTATCCCTAAAAGTATTTGCACTTATTTAAGACACACTCTGTATAGGCCAAGGGAATAATTATTTTAATGTTGTAAAATTGTGACACATTTTTATTAGTTTGTTTTTTTTTAAAATGTAACTAGGTTAACACATGCGATGCAGTTGGAAGCGGTAATGTTATTATGATTATTCGTATAATAATACGAATTACACAGTAATAATCCCTCAGCTTTGTGATATTTTATAATAATATTAATAATAATGTACGTTTTTGCTTTCAATGCAATTCCAACAATACAGCGCAACAACACATTTTTATAATTTATTTACTAAATTTAATTAAAAACATGTATATGAGTAAAAACATTTATCTATACCTTTTCTTAAATAATTTTAAAAATACTCAAAAAACAACATGATTGAATATGATTGATAGATGTATCAGAATTTGTTTTACTGTCAATATTCAAAGCCTGCTTGCTTGATCCTAAAAAATACAGTTTTTGTTTGACATTTCTCTTGACAAATTCCAATTTTTGAGTTTTATGTGTTTATTTTGTATTAGTTCATGTTGATTTTATAATGGGTGTTATTTGAAGTGTATAAATCTATAAAAGACATTATTTCAAGACTTAAATTACAATGAGAGTGTTATGGGCTATTCTTAGAAAAAGGCTTTAAAAATAGCGAAAAAACTTTAATAACATCAAAATTATTGAAACAACTTTTCTCTAGTAAGTAGATAATTATTATAATCAGACATATTGAAAAATCCTTTGGCTGTCTGGTTTACAACCAATGTCAATACATTTTCTTATAATTTATACCTCATCAATCAATATACCCATGCAATATTGCCATTTTAGGTTATTTTTAAAAATATAACAAATTTTCAAATAGTACAGATACTGATATTATCGATATAGTTCTCTTATTTCATTAAAAAATTAAAAAAAAACTGTTTATTTGCAAAAGAGGACCAATTAATATGATCCCAGTTTTCGAACTACATCAATTGACTGTTTTTGTTGGTTAATAATTGCTCCAAATACTAAAAAAAACTGAATTTTGTGTGTGTATTAGACAGTGAAGTAAAAGCAAAGTTTACAGAATATTTTATTCTGTAAACTTTGGTAAAAGTAACACCTTATAAATAATGTTATTCCATTTTTTGACGAATGCTTAAATTTATAATCAACAACAGAGACGTTCACATTCATAACTTATTATTATATTGATTTCTGATTGATTCTTGATTTAAACGCACTATACAGGGTAAGTCTTAAATAAGTGCAAATATTTTTAGGGTAGTATATAGGGTGATTCACGGCGATAGCACATAAAGGCACCTGCTCTATCTTTTTAAAATATTTTCAGCATTACAGTGTTGAAGCATCATTTGAAAAGTGGTAGCATCTTTCTTATTTTAAACGGAACACCCAGTATATTATTACATTTATATGGGACGACACTAGCTTCACTTGGAGCAACAAGGACGTCACGGCACTTCATCGGATTATATCAAATGACTTAATCACCATTAAATCTTGGTGCGATTCGAACCTCCTGAGTCTCAACATTTCTAAAACTAAAGCTTTGTCGTATAAAAACTCGCTGCAGCCTTTTGTACTTAACAACACCACCATTGACGTCGTAAAATCTGTAAAATTTTTAGAGCTTGTTGTAGACAATTCTCTGAAATGGGACATGCATATCGACGCTTTGTCGAAAAAATTAAGCTCTGCCTGTTTTGCATTAAGATCTGTTTCTAAGGAGCTTAACTTGTCAGTGGCTAGAACTGTTTATTATGCACTTTTTGAGTCGCATCTCAGATATGCCGTTCCATTCTGGGGTACGTGTTGTGCGACTCAATTTGACCGCATTTTCAAGCTCCAGAAGAGAGCTGTTCGATATTCACTGGGACTAAACAGCAGAACTCCTTGCCAGGACTTTTTTAAAAAATTAAAAATATTAACTCTTCCTTCCTTATTTATATTTGAATCCGTTTGCCTAATACGTAAGCATGTATCAGCTTCTCAAGAAAGGCCATCTCACATTTATCCACTCAGGAACGCGGAGCAAGATCTTTATCTACGTACCCTACGCTCAGAGTTGGTTAAAAGTTCAATATTATACAACTCGAAAAAATGCCATTTGAAATCAAATCCATAAAGGTGTGTATTCATTATCCGAACGAACGAACGAACGAGCGAGCGAACGAATGGAATTCGGTATATTTGGACGGTGGACCGAACGCATGCGGTCGTTCGTTTGTTCGTTCGCTCGGCCATCCGTTTCGAGTCGGTACATCAAAGGCGTTCGCAAACGAATGGGTTAAGGTGTTTTCGTTTGGTTCTAAAATCCGGTCCCGTCCATACTACTACCGAACGAACGAATGAACATTCGTTCGTTTTTTTTTGCGAACGCCTTTGATGTACCGACTCGAAACGGATGGCCGAGCGAACGAACAAACGAACGACCGCATGCGTTCGGTCCACCGTCCAAATATACCGAATTCCATTCGTTCGTTCGCTCGCTCGTTCATTCGTTCGGATAATGAATACGCACCTTTATGAATTTGATTTCAAATGGCATTTTTTCGAGTTGTATAATATTGAACTTTTAACTAACTCTGAGCGTGGGGTACGTAGATAAAGATCTTGCTCCGCGTTCCTGAGTGGATAAATGTGAGATGGCCTTTCTTCGTTCGTTGGACATTCGTTCGTTCGTTCGTTCGGATAGTGAATACGCACCTTAACATCATTTTCTTCATGTCGCAAATCTTATTTATTAGACAAGGCTTTCTACGCCGTAAATGATTTATATTTTGATAATCGAATTTGATCTTGTAAACACTGATCTAATACTTGCTATTACTATATTTACTATAAACTTACTAAATATTTTTGAATATTATTTTTATTTTTTCATTCTTGGACATTGTAAACATTTATAAATGTTTATTTTAAACAATACGACTGACAATGTAATTTGTATACTTGTTTTGTATTCTCTTTTGTTTGTTTACTTCACCATTGTCCACAAATTGTAAAAATTTTTGACAATAAAAGCATTTATTTATTTATTATGTAAAAAAAATACAAAAAAATGCTTTTTTAAAAAAATCCAAATTTTCAAAAAAGTTCTATGACCGGTTCTCCATAAACGTCTAACTTGCCATGGCCGTGAATCACCCTATATATCGACCACAGGAACACGTCTATGAGGTTTGTTTCGCGAAAAAAAATAGAAAAATCGGAGTTTTTTAAACATATTTTGAATATTGTTTTAATTTTGGTTAAAAAAAAATATATCTTGATAATATGGTGTAGTAGATTAAATTTACAAGAAAGAAAACATCCAGTAGTTTTTAAAATCGTTTCTTTTTAAATTTTCAAAATAAAATAACTCGGTTATTTTAAATTTACTTGAAAAACAGCAGAGAGAAAAATACTGTTTCTTTTATCGAGATCTACCAACCCTAACAATCTGTGCACTTATTTTAGACTCGCTCAGTATAAATTTTACGAACCGAAACAAACAAATAGATATGTTTGTGCCAAATTTCAGGTGGAAATAAATCTGACAATGTAGCTTAAAAATGCGATCCTACATTTTCCGAAGAAATTCGAACATAAATCAGGCAAGATGGAATTACTTACCTCCTCCTCTTGACACGTTGCCAGCTCTGGCTCGCTCTCCTCCAACTTGGACAATAATTTCTCCTGCAACAAAAGAGAAACACCTTGACTCAAACGACTCTCCAGAGATTCAAAACATGTTAAAGATATATAGAGTTAGTTTACTTGGGGAGGGTTTTTTTTGGAACAATGTCAACAGCAGTTTTTTTGCAAGACAGAGAATATATTTTATCGAATTTTGGAGCAATATTTAATACAGCATAATAATAGAGCAAAGGCATAGAGGTCGGAAAGTTTGTACAGGGTGTCCCACTAAGAATAGCTCTCGGCTGTATCTCGGAAAGTATTTGGCCGTAGGCCTTACGGAAAAAAATATTTATAACTAAAGAGGCTATGAGAAATTTCTGGAAATTATTTTCAAGTTTGTAAAACGGCCGCTAGTGGGCGCAACTGCTATGGAAAATAAGAAAATAGAATTTTGACTAGATAATGGGTACTATAAATAATAGCTTCATAATCTTCAGTAAATTTTGGATTTTTTTTGTTAAAACCATTTTTCTCTATCTGCTAAATTAAAGTGGTGGGGGAAGGTTAGATCTATCTTTATATAAATGTTAATAACTCCCGACTGGATGATCAGTATCCAACCACCGAGGGCTCGTTTAAAAGAGCGTTTCTTACTCTATATTATACCATAAAAATAATAATAATAAGGTTTTGAACGTAGACGCTAGGGGGCGCTTTCTTACAATTTAACAAACATAGCGCGTTTTTTCAAAAAAGTTAAATACGATAGTATATGTAATTTTAGCTGACAGTAAAGAGAAGTAAAAGCTTAAAAAGTCAGCGAAAACCACATCTTGATATCTTCTTTCAAACCGAAGATATTAGCAAAATTATAATAAATACCAAAAAATTAGTCCTTAATTACATTATTTTTACAACACGGTATCAGTAGCCCTCTTGATTATGCCCATTCAAACCAAAAAATAAGATAGAACCAGAATAATCATAATACCAGATGTATTAGTATCTAATAATTAAGATATTAATAACAGTGAACAAGAAACGATGATTCAGTGAAGTCATGGTAGGCTTTGGAAAAAACTTGCTTTTGGCGTAATAGCATAAACGTCAAATTGTTATTAGATCAACATTTTGATAGTCTTTTATATTTTGATTGCTTTTTCAAAATGCCAACAACTTCAAGTACTTCTTCAAATAATAAATGCATTTTGAAAAAGCAATTAAAAGATAAAATACGCTGCCAAGACTATTAAAATGTTGATCTAATAACAATTTGACGTTTATACTATTACGTCAAAAGCAATTTTTTTCCAAAGCCTACCATGACGTCACTGAATCATCGTTTCTTGTAACAGGGTGTTCCAATTAAAAAAAAAACAAAGTAAATTTTTTTTATATTTAAAGTTTGGCGTAGAATTTTGAACACCCTGTGTAATTTAAGATTACGATATTTATAGTGAAGTAAATATAGATCATTTATAGTAAATATGTAATAGTTTTGATTTCAGGACAGTTAGTTCTTGTATTTATAATAATTTTTGGTTTAAAAAAGGTTGAAAAATATATATTTTTTATTTATTTAATATCTCTGAAATTATCGAAATATATTGACTCATATTAAAGGAATTCAAAAATGCAGCAATATACAGGGTGTTTTATTTAAAAAAAAATCGATGCCCTCACACTTTCTTGGGCCACTCTGTAGAAGTTAAAATATTTTCCTGAGGTCTGCACTTAAACAAAATTCTCAAGTTTTTTATTCTAGGAGCTAGAGATGTCCGACGCACTATTACCGGACCCTGTATAAACATACTATTATAATAAAATTTAAAAAAATTAAAGAAATCATAGATTTTGTTATATAGGACTCTATAATTATGTTGCTGTATAAAGCTGTATAAAGCCTTGTAATTTGATACATTCTTTCTTTTCAGATACCTATTTTCTTGTTCGAAAATTACTGGCCCATTTTCTAAGAATTCCCTTTTGTGTTCCTGAACCAAGCACGAAAATCTTTCATTAGGTAGCAGCACGCAAATAAGGGCGTCACTTCTGGTGTAAGGTCGTGAACAATCTATACTTGAAAAGGGACACAAAAAACTTGTTTTTTTATTTCTGGAAAATATTTGTTTTGCTTCGTCTGAAGTCGGAATGTAATGGAAAGAAATAAACACGTTCCTGTTTTGTGAAAATAGAAGGTAATTGTGTAGAAGAAATTATACAGGGTGGTCCGAAATGTATTCCGGAAACTTGGGCAGCATATTTTGCAGATAAAAATAAGCAAAAAAGTTTGTATAAATGTATATCCTAAAATGCTTAGTTTTGGAGATACAGGGTGTAGAAGTTTTATTTCTATTTCGAGTTTTTTGACATGAGATATCTAATTTTGATGTCAATAAACTCCTATTTATAGGAAGCGCTACCTACATATGTTTTAACTGTTTTGAAGAATAATAACTTTTCTCTCTCGTTGGTACCTGTAAAAAATTACTGAGTAAAGAAATATACATTTACGACATTTTTTACGTAAAAAAAGTCTCTTGGTAAAACTCGCTACCAGTAATGGTTCTCGAAATATTTGAAATCGAAATTATCAATATCTGTCATCACTGACATGTTGACTAAATAGTTATTAGACTGAAATCATAAATTTGAAATTGTTTTGTGTCAAAAGTTCAACAGAAACTGTTTTCTCATCATTTTTTCGAAGAAAAATTAAGATTTAATTTAAAAAAATAAAAAGTTCCCCAATTTATCATTTCAGTCAAATAACTATCTACTCAACATGTTTATTGTTTGTCAATAATGACATTTATTGACTATTTCCGTTCTAAATAGCTTAAAAGATCATTTTTACGTAAAAAATCACGAAAATGTATATTTTTTCATTCAGTGGTTTTATACAGGTACGGACGAAATGTTATTACTCTTCAAAACAGTTAAAACATGTAGGTGGCGCCTCCCACAAATAGGAGCCATATTGACATCAAAATCAAATTTCTCTAGTAGAATTTTTATTGCGCTAATTCTAAAGACAATAACAATTATCGACTTTTAAACTACATTCCTAATTTATCTAACAAAATATCAAATAATCTCAATAAAATAGGATGTAAAACTATTAACGTAAATAAAAGAAATTTAGGTCAAATTTTATTAAATAATAAAGACAAAACTAATGTCAAAAATAAGTCGGGTGTATATAGGGTGGATTGCAATGATTGTGATGCCGTGTACATAGGCCAAACAGGTAGAAATTTAGATATAAGGATTAAAGAACATGTAAAGTCTATTAAAAATCTCCAGCATAGTTCTGGTCTTGCAACTCATTGTATAGTAAATAATCACAAAATTAATGAAAACTCAATTAAGTTACTACACAGAGAAACAAAAGGTAGACGCTTAAATTACATTGAACAGTTAGAAATACTAAAATCTGTTAAAAACGAAAATAATGTTAACGACCAACAAGGATTTCTAAACACATTTTTTATTACCCCTATTGTAAACTCTCTGAACCCACCCCCATAGTAAATATATATATAGTTACAGTGTAGTTAGACGATTAGTTCTTAAAAAACTCTTGAAAAAGGCCTAACAAGCCGAAACATATATGTAGAGTTAAAGTTACTCTTATTAAAAGTTTTTTGAAACATCTAAAAGCGTGCTTTATTAAAATACTAATATCTTAATAAAATATTGTTATTACAAATCGTCGCTGAACTTACTCATGAAACTCTTAATTATTAAGCAATAAAAAGCAATAAAATAACACAGCTACAAGTCATAAAACATAATAAACCAAAAGAAACGGATATAATAAAAGGAAAGAAATAACGAAAAATGCAATAAACGACATTTTTTCAGATACCTACAGCGTTCTCAAGGATACCACTACAACCAAAACACATTTAAAGAACAACAAAACAACAAGGACTTCTTGAATCTTACCCAGAGTGGTTAACCTCATCAAGTTTAACCAAGGTATTTTAATTAGTTTGAAAAATAAGCGAATTTCGTCTAGAGGAAGTGTTTGCAAAGATTTAAAAATAAAGGTGTAGAATACATTTTTTAAAGTCATTCATCTATTATAAATTACTCTCTGAGGTCAGTGAAAGATTTTGGAATATGAATGTCATTAAAAAATTGCTATGTGCAGTTTTAGAAAAAATAGTTGTAGAAATGTGTGCTGGGGTGAACGTGGTATATTATTTGCTTTTGGCGATAAATGTAATTTTTGGTTAATTTGTGGAATTTTTTGACGAAATTACTGTTAAAGGGATTATTAAATTGTCATTAAAGAATCGTAATGGCTGAGTTAAAGAAATATGTATAGATATTTGGCGGAATTGTTCGGTTTACAGTTGGAAAAGAGTTTTTGTGTTGGTGATGTCTGATTAGTGTTATTAGTTTTATCGTTATTAAGTGTGATTTAAATAAATAATTGTAAGTATCCTTATTTTATATTATTATTAAATTAATTTTTGACCTGGCTATCTTTAACCGGGAATCGCTAGAGGACTACTAAAACTACAATTTGAAATTATTTTCAAAATGTACAGGGTGTCCCAAATAAATAAAAAATATCAGTTTTATTTTTTTTAAAAGGAACACATTTTTAGTTTCTAAGATTAAAATAAAGGTAAATTTGATTAGGGTTTAGCGCTCTTTTTTTGATTTTGTGAAAATGTAGTAACAATTTTATAGCTTCTTCTCTAAAGGTATTTAAGTTTCTAAAACCAAATACAGTACTGAAGTTTTTCTAATTACTAAATTTTCTGTTGCAATAATAAAAATAATACTACCCTATATAGAGTGTCTAAAAATTTATTTTAAATAATTACTAGATTTATTCGGGAATAACTTGTTTAATTTAAATTGAACACCCTGTAAGTTTACGACAGTCAGATGCACAATTTAGTTGTCTATCATATAGTATTAAACCATTTACCTATCTCTTGTTTTCGTAGAAAATGCATTTTCTTATAATTTCTACCTCATTTTTCAATATACCCATGGGACATTGGCATTTTAGATTATTTTTGAATATATAACAAACTTTTTTTTGTCGATATTATCGATATAGTCCTCTTATTTCATTAAAAAATAAAAAGCTGTTTAAATATTTGTAAAAGAAGACCAATTAATATGATCCCAGTATTCAAGCTACGTTAATTGACTGTTTGCGTTGATTAATAATTGCTCAAAATTTAAAAAAAAACTGAATTTTGTACGTGTATTAGACAGTGTAGTAAAAAGTAACTCCTTATAAATTTTATTCCATTTTTTAACTTACTAGTTGAAGCCTGGCGCATCCGCCACGACATCAGGAAAAAAAAATACTTTTTATTTTTTTTTAATTAAACGAAAAACAAAAAATCCGGCGACGACAGTTTTTAGAAGAGCCAATTAGCTATCCTTTAGTAAAAAAAGCAACTTACTTTCTAGAGCAAGTCGTTACTTCAGTAGAGACCACACAAATAAACATTAGCATTTTATATATGTAGATTATTATAGATATTGATTTCTAATTCAAATCCACATTTATTTAGAATAATTTATTTATTTAATTATTTTTTCTTCTTAACAATCTTAGGCTGGGTTTTCTTCGTAATTCAATATAGTATTGTTGACTACAAATACATATTATTTATATACTTATTAGATGTTACGGCTTCTCTATGTGTACTTAATTATCTGGAGTTATATAATTATTATTAAAATAAACTTATCTTTTGTATGGACTACAATTGAGTGGTTATTACTGACCGAACTCTTCGAAATATAACTAATATTTGTGTAAGATTCATTATGGTGACTGGAAAACCACATGAGTTTTGATTTCGGATAATTCAAATTGAGAAAAATTGAATTATATAATATTGAATCAGGTGCTAGTTTCCGGAAAAATGTGCGATTTTTTTCCGATTCTGTTGTGTGGATGTTTTTTTTTCAATGCTCAAGGTAACTTACTGTTAAGTAATTTGCTAATTACACTAATTGGTCACCATCGGCTGAACTAACTTATATTTAATTTTACCACAAAAATGCAACTCGTCATAATGTGTGTGATTATATTTGATTTGGCATTCGTTAATTTTATTTTCATATGCAATTTTTCAATTGTTTATCCTTTTTTTAGAAGATGACAATTTTTTCCATTTAAATTAGGAAATATTATTTATTTTTTAATATAATATATAGAAATTAATTATTTAATTTTTTAATATAGTAGATAGTCGATTTGGTTGCTGATTGGCAGGTCTGAATTGGAATTGAATCGATAGGTCTGATTTTTCTTTTCCCTGTCACTATATTATAACCTAACATGACTTTTTTTCTTAATATCTCCGTTTAGAGAGAAGATAGAAAGTTACGGTTTGCGCTGATATTTTGAAAATTTTGTGCTCTATTTAACTGTGCAAATAGAAATATAGCCTCCTATTTAATTTTTTTATGCAAAAGCGCAATATCTGTTATGATGTCAAACAGCGCCCTCTAGCTACCACGAAAAAAATGTTAAAAATTATGGAAACAAAATTTATACTGCATATCATTAAGGAAGAAAAGCTCTTTTAAACGAGCCCTAGTTTTTTAAATCGGTTAACCCAAACCATAGTTATCCTTATTTTAACAAAAGCTAGTTTAACCTTCCCCCACCACTTTATTTTATGAGATAGAGCAAAACACTCTATATAAAAAAAATTACAAATTTCTCGATGATTACAATAGTAATAAAATACTTGTTCACCTGCATATTTTTGAGAAAACCCTTGTTTTCTGATTGGCTATCAGAGAAACGCCCCCTTGCGGACATTTTTCGAACTTGAAAATAATTTCCAGCGATTTCTCTTGGTCGATTTACTTATTAGAATTTTTTTCCCAAAGTAATACGATAAGTAGTTTCTGAGAGACAGCCGGCGTCCACTCTTAGTTGGCCACCCGGTACAGTTCAATGAGCACACTGAAAGACTCATATGAACAATGCCGTAGCGCTTAACCAAACCAATTGAAGGACAATTATTCTGGACTAATATCCTCGAATATGTATGAATATCCGTCACAGATATTGACTGAATGAGACTGAGACGGTACGACACTGTGAGGTGACTCACATGTGTGAATATGCTTTAAATCCAATCTATGCTTAAACCACAGAATATCTAGCTACGCAACAGAAGCCTCGTTACATGTATAAAATTGTAGGTAGCAAAAGGAGACAGGCTTTAAAAGTCTGCCTCCAAATCAGATATTTTGATGTGCTAGTTTCGCTACTACATAATAGAGGGCAATAAATTTAAAAGAAAACAGTTTTCTACAAACAAAATTTAAAAGAATTTTGTACAGTGTTGCCAATGTGTAATTCATATCGTAATACTTCCTGATAAAGCCTACCTTCAAATTTGCTACATCATTTAAACATATTTAAATAGATCAGAGCTGTTTTTTTCAGTTTGCCATGTTAGTTGGAATTAAATCTTATGAGCTAAATTACAATCACTTCCTGACGTTTGATTGTATAATTGAATCCTGAATTTTCATTGTAATTCGGCGACAATATAATAAGTATTGTTCTACTATTATGATACCACTTCCTGACGTTCGATTGTGTTCATACCAAGTTCATATTGTATAATCGGGAAAAAACGGCGTTAGCGATAGCTATGAAATTAATATCACTGTCATTTTATATGTAAATTTATATGGGAAATGTCATCGATCGTCCTTTTCCAGCCAACTGGACGCCGTTTTTCAGAAGCATATCAAGTGATACCATAATATAGTACTATATTACGATACATGGCGTTCGATTGGGCTTAAACTTGGTATACTATATCTTCAGTGACATTGTAATATCATGGTACCATGGAGCATATAAAGTGGTACCTTCTATAGGACCATATTTGATGACATAGCAATATTAGGTACATGGCGGCAATAGGGCTTAAACTTGGTACACTACATATTTTCGGTGACATTGTAATATGATGGTACTATGATGCATATCATCTGGTACCATAATATAGTACCATATTATGTACATGGCGTTTGATTGGGCTTAAATTTGGGATACTACGTATCTTCGGTGATATTGTAATATTATAGTACCATGGAGCATAATAAGAGGTACCATAATATAGTACCATATTACGATACCATTTCCTGGCGTTCGATTGGACTTAAACTTGTTATACTACGTATCTTCGGTTACATTGTAATATGATGGTACTATGATGCATATAAAGTGGTACCTTAATATAGTACCATATTTCAATACCATTTCCTGGCGTTCGATTGAGCTCATATTTGATATATACTTGCGTATTTTTGATGACATTGCATTATTATGGTACCATGAAGCATATCAACTGGTACCATAATATAGTACTATATTACGTACATGGCGTTCGATTGGGCTTAAACTTGGGATACTACGTATTTTCGGTGACATTGTAATATGATTGACCTATGATGTATATAAAGTGGTACCTTAATATAGTACCATATTACGATACCATTTCATGGCGTTCGATTGTTCTTAAATTTGGTATACTACGGATCTTCGGTGACATTGCAATATTATGGTACCTTAAAGTATATCGAGTGGTCCCATAATATAGTACACTATTATGATATCATTTCCTGGAGTTCGATTGGGCCCAAATTTGGTATACTTGCGTTTCTTTATAAAGATTTGTTTAATTAATAATTTTAATTTATTTTACGAATTTTAATTTATTGTTCGATGTCGTGACATCAACTTTTATGCCGAACTAATATATTATTAATTGTACCTGTGTCACTTTTTAAAATCTACCTAGGTCTATATAAATAACGTGGCAAACGGAAGAAATTTGTTATTATAGTATTTTTTAGTCAGTTAACATTTTTTGTACTGCATTTTAATAAATTATTTCCATTATTATTAAACTTATATTTCATTACTAACGTTCCAGCATTAATAAATATCACTATCA